CTTCTGACAATGAAGTGAAGAAATGCTTTGAAACTATGGACAAAGAAAGTGGCAATATGGCAATGAAAAAAGTTTAAAAGTGAAAATCATGCAGACCACAGCTCATGTGCTTCTTTCAACATTATACTCTCCCATATTTCGGATAAGTTATGTGACCGAGTCTGTTCAGTGGCAAATTCTGCTAATCCCAAGTATTCAGTTGTTTAAACTCAGAAATACTTTGCTCCAAATATCTTAAATTTGTCCCAGAATTAAGTATTTATTGTGAACTGAAATGAGAATGACTCAAAGGTATGTAAAGCTGTTGCTGTGTAAAGTTCCTGCAAGGAGTGTTTTTTATTTTTTTTAAATCAGTAATGAAACAGACTGTGATGTCTCTCTATGACCTAAGCAAACAAGAACTTTACCTCTGTAAAACATGTATGATTTATGTTATGTGATTTCTGATGCCTGTAACCACAGGAAGTATCATTTACTACAAGGTGCAAATGGGAATTTTTTCTTGTCAGAAAACACTACCTTTGCATGTGGACAAGACCACTAAAGAGATGAGAGGTACAGCTTTGTCCACAGGGGGTGCCAAAACTGATACAGACATATAGTTCCCTCAAGGACCTTTCAAGTGCTAGTTCACCGCATCACAAAATTAAAACATATTTCTACTGTCGTCTTTGTTTTTACTTTAATTACTTTAATCCTTTGTTTTAAACCTCAAGTGCTACAGCTTTTTCATTCATAGTCTTGTCAGCGTGCTTTGCTTTTACATTGACTGGGACACTTAAGGCATTTTATCATTTCCCACTGAGCAATAGACAGCTATTAGATGTCAGGTTTTTTTTTAGACCTAATTTCAACCATCTAGATTCTGTATATTTCAGATGGAATTTAGACGTTGCACTTTAACCCATTATTCGATATCTATTTATTTCAGAAATCAACTGTGAGTTGCATAACTGATCTCCAAGTACTTAACCAAAATAATGATGATAGCCGTTGAGCAATATACAGTGTAGTATAGATATAGCCCAGATTTAGACTTGATCTAAACTTGGTCTAAATTTAGACTTCTAAAAAACTTTAATTTTTAGACCTGTGGTAGCCTGATTTTAGACCAGTCGTCTAGGCTACATTTAGATGTCTATCAGACCTCTTTAAGACCAAAAAATGCTCAGTGGGTTATTTTAAAAGTTTACATTGAAGTCACCAGTTTAACTCAGTTGATGCACGCTCCCCATGAACAGAGGCCTCAGTCCCAGTCACACTAGTCAAAATATTAATGCCTTGTCCTAGCGTGATTTGGTGCACGGTGTTCCTTGCTCTCTTCCCACATTGCCAGTTTCTGTGAAGCTGTACAATCAAAACAAAATGTCAAAAAGCCACAAAAAGACCCCATACCTTTAATATTTCTGCCATGAGACTCTTTTAAAACTTTGATGCTGACCTTGAACTTGTCATACCTTGGCTTGGCTTTGATAGTTTAACACTTGAGTCTAAACTTCAGATGGCACACAATTGCAGTACTGCTTAATTAAATGACCGTTGTGTATATGAAAAGATATGATGGATATACATGTTCTCTCCATATGGTGATGTGTGTTTGTCATACCTTCTTTCTGTGAAGATGCAACATCAAGAAAAGTTGTCTCTCCTCATCTGACCTTTGACAGGGCAACCTGGAGTCTGCAGTCCGGACACTCTGCTGCTACAGGTTGAAACTCAGTGAGGAAACAAAAGTTTTGGCAGGACACTGATGCATGCATTGCCTTAGCTAAGCGCAGCTGACAGCAGCTTCCTCTGTGTGGCCAAAGGGTCACTCTGGGTGACATGTTGTTCTGGGGGACACTGAGTCTCTTGCCTGCAGAGGAGATTAGAGGGGTGAGCTGACCTCGTTCTCAAGAGGGCCGATGTGTTTTGAGTAAACACTTGGTGCAAGACAAAAACACAGGCAACAAACACCAGCCATCCATAAGGCAGTGATCCCATTGTTTCACCATTACTCCTGAACAGGCATGAGAGAGGCAGAGACGTCTGTGTGTGTCCCTGAGCTGCAGGGAGTCCCGGGGAGCACACACAGCCAGGTCAAACCCCAGAGTTGCACACAGGTCACTGCCATTAGCTTCACTGTGCTATAGCAGTCACTTCCTGGCCACAAAATACATATTTTACCACTTATCTGAAGCTCCTCCCACCTACTAGTCAGAAGGCCTTGAGCAGGACACAGAGCTGCAGATTACACAAGTTACAAGTTACACAAGTTACTTATCTGATCATTTTCCTGATTTAACTTCCAACAAAAAAGGTCATATAGTCAAATAATATCAGTATAATAGGAATATGTAATCCTCATGATGATGTTTTACTCCAGTTTCATTTTCAGAATAAAAGAATTAAAACCTGAGAATGTAGGATTCTGTCGGCCAAAATAGATAGATTTGAAAAAAAAAAAAACAACAACTCTCGATTTACAGTCATGTCAATCACGTTTGAAGTAAGGTTGAGCATTTTAAGGTGTTTGGTTTGAAATTTTAACCAAATTTTTGTTTTCTCTAAAACTGTGAACCTTAAGTTTATTTCCAATTATGCATTTACGCAATGCAACTGTGACACATAAGCCCTACTGAAGCATTACTTTTTAGGTTAAATGGGGTGAAGTTTTGAAAATTGTGGGTATGGCTAAATTATCTATCAAGGTCATGGCAACCAAATAAAACTATATAAAATGTGACTCTAAGTATTTTGAGCCGTTAAAATAAATCTACTTCCTGTTTGATTGTGATAAGTCATGGCCATGACCCAGACCATGCATGGTGAGGGTGAGTCAGATTGGAGCATGCACAGCTGAGGCAAAACTACTTCATCTATCATGGCAAAACTCCCAGCTTTGACGGCTTGCCATGAATATACCATTGATGTTTCTGTAGGAGCACATGAGTATTTCACCATTCAGGTCTTTCTTGCCTGTAAAACCAGCAGATGAATGCTGCATGATGGGAAATTTGTTGAAGAGCCCCTGAAATGGCCCCAAAACTGGGCATTTTCACCAGTTTTTCAAATATGCGTCATGTCAACGTTTCAGCAACTTGTTTGCAAGAAAGCTGGTTATGTGTGGCAAAAAGATCTGTCTGTGTGAATCTGCCCTGAGGGGCACTTTCAAAAAATGCTGGGGGTTGCTAGTGAGCCAATATTTATACCCCCTCTCCAATTTTTTCATCGGACATGGCATCATTGCATAGCTTGATGAGTTTTTGAGCATGTCTAGGCCCTAAAAAAATTAACCAATTTGTTGGAAAAAAAAAAAGAAAAAGAAAAGAAAGAATCCCTGGAGAATACAATTAAAGCCACTAATTGATTTGGTTCTTGGGGCTTAATTCTGAGGCCACAGCTGAACTTAATGCTATGAAGACTCAGTTTGTCAGGTGCAGTTCTGTTAAGTGTTGCAAATAGAGACAGAAGGATAGAACATTTTTGACTCAGTTTTATGATTGTGGGTGCCAGATAGTTTTCTTAAGCCTGTCATCACGCCAGTCTTTGTCTGTGAAATACTCCGCAAGCGAAAGGAAAAAAAATACTTACGCCATATATATTCATATTCATTAATCTCATAAACCTATGTTTAATAGTAGTTTGACATTATTGTTAATATGTAAATACTACTTTAACACCACTGCTGGTCATAGTCAGCTAACTGACTTACTCAGAGTTCGGGTTGTTTAATTTTTTAGAAACTGTTTTTTTAGTTCATGATATAATCCTCTTAAATGTACTAACAAAAGGTAGTATCAGAATTTGTTAGCTGTGACAAAAAAAAGACTACCATAACATCCTGTCACACTACATGATGACACTACAAAAAATGCACTCATAGTCAATCACCATTTGTTTTAACATTCACTTTCTTCTTTACTTAACAAAGTTACTTGTAAGTTTAAGACTAGTCTGTATTTGTCCAACCTCAGCAGCTGCTGCTTAATCCTAAATCATGTAGCCTTTTGATCAACTGAAAATGGAACCTTTTGTATATGTGAATTTATGTATGACCAACACCACCACCATCAACAACTACAGCCCCTGCCACACAGGGTCTCAAGTGTTTCCAGACCATAACCCAGCGGGCTTTAGGACCAACAGGATATCTCTGTGAGGATGCTCTTGTTTTTGTCCGTTACGTTCATGCATGTAATCATTGATTGTGCCTATTGTGACAGGCCGATTTACCATCTGTGGGCTCCCATGGGGCTGGTACTGCTGTCACTACAGTCTCCCTGCAGACTTTAAGGAATGCCCCTTTAATTTCCGGCAGCAAATTTTAATCTCCAACAGGTTTCACATTTGAGCCTGCGATTAAAGCACCACACCTGCCTGTGTTATCTCACCCGGCACAGACGTTCCCCCCATGGATGAGGCAGTGTGTTCATTGTGTGTGTGTGTGTGTGTGTGTGTGTGTGTGTGTGTGTGTGTGTGTGTGTGTGTGTGTGTGTGGGGGGGGGGGGGGGGGGGTCAGTTCAAAGGTGATCAGACAAAGACTATTTTTCTCAATTATATTAAGTTTTACAAATACAAAATAAAGAGTCGTACAATATTTCTTTTTTATGAAGACGTTTGGATAAGTGAAGAAAAAAATCCGCATGAAATTTTTTGAACAAAAAAATATCGCACATAATTCCCCAAAGAGAATAGACAACACACAATAATTTACTGTGTTTTTAGTAGTATCTCCAGGGGCAGTCAAGGATTTTTTCTGGACTATTTCTCTACTGTAGTAAAGCAGTTTTTAAGTGTTCCTTGTGCGCCTTTGCCGCCTCCTGCAGCAGCAGCAGCAGACCCTCCGGCCCCCTGTCTCTGTTTGCCTGCCTGCCTGCCCTCCCTCCGCGCCTCCCCGGCTTCTTTTCCCACCGCTGAGAGGAGCAGGACGCGGCCCCAGCGGCGGGAAGCAAATTATCTACAAGCACTTCCCTTAAAAAAAAAGTTCACACTCACTTACACAGATGCCACCACAAGTACCGACTCACACAGTCTTAGACCTGAACGAGGGAGCTCACCGGGAATAACCTGGCAGGACAAGAGGATGTGGTGCAGCCAAATGGATATTTAAAGTTCACTTTTCTTCTTCTTTTCTGTTACCAGCAGAGGTTTTCTGGTGATACTGGTGGACTTAGTCTAGTTCAACTATTTTACAATACTTAGCCTGTTTTATTTGATCATTCTGTGCCAAATTGATCCATATTACGCACATGACTTCGTGTTTTCCTAAGGCGCACCTGTTTGCCACTGGAGGGACAAGGACAGTAAAAGACAAGTTCTTTATTTACCTTTGAACAAGAGGACTACAGTGTCTGATGGGAGTAGACTATGGCCTGATTTTTAATGCAAAAACGTGTGTTGACTGCTGTTTGAAGTGGTGAAGGGACTCATTTCCACTCATTTCTACAAGGTGACAGAGAGTCTCCAAGTCGATAGTTTTGCACTTACTGTGTGAAGTGTGGATGCTGTCGGAACTGTGAACAGGGCAGTGCGTTAACAGCAGCTGTCAAACTCATGGGTCCCTCCTGCCCCCCGGGCGACTGGGAGCTCTGCTGAGGTCTGTACTGCGCATGTCAGAGAGCCGGACAGCACCAGAGAGGGAAATTTAAAAACGGTTTTTGGAGAATCAAGTGCAACAACAGAGAAATACAGTACAGGGGCTCACGACCGGCTCACACATCCTTCATTATCATCAAAAAAGGTAAATTTCTAAATCTTTTTCTTTTCTCATTGTGCATCATTCTGTAATCTTTGTTTGGGATGTGGATTGTAGTGGAAAAATAGTATTTTAATTACTTTAAGTGATCTATACATGGGCATGCTAGATGAGATAGAAATGTAAACCTCAGCTGAGTAAACTCTTATGTAAACCTTTTAACAGAATGCTAATGCAAAACAAGCTTATTCTATTTTTGTGTTTGAGAAATTTTATTGAAGTAATAAGAAACAAAGATTTTCACCTGTTAAATGTGCAACAGCTACCACAAAGAAATAATAATTCTTAATATATTTTTTACTTATTCTTTTAATTGATCCTCAACTTCTTTTTATGATTGATTTAAAGATTAGTTAAAAAAAAAAAAGGTTTGCTCTTTGTTAAACATCTTTTTTTTCTGTATTTGCAGAAGAGCAAAAACTGGTCTACTCTGTACTTCATCTTAGCTTGAGTATATCAGATTTACTATTATTATTTTTAATCTAATGCCTTTAATTTTGTTGATTTTATCACAGAGGTACCACACATCCCAGGAAATGATAGAAGGTGGAATCACATCCAGGATGTCGGGAATTATTGAGAATGCCGGGCATCATCCGTCTCCACAAGACTACAGGTAAGACCTGTGATTTAAAATTAATGTGAAGAGATGCAATTACTTAACTTTCCAACATTTCACAATGTGTTATTTCTGTTTGACATCGTCAAAAGCATTCAGGATCAAGTTTGAGCTGCCTCAATAGATAAAAGGCATATTTTCATAAACCAAACCCTTTAAGGTGTCTCCAGAGTGGTCATGGAACAAATTGCCTAACCCCACTATGTTTCATCTAAAGGTAGATGGACAGCTCTTTTTGTGTATGGGGGGTTTCATGAAAAAAATCCTAAGGAATAAATGATTTTCAGTCTGAATGGATCTGTCAGAAACCATCAGCTCTGTTTACACTCCCGCTGTCGGCACACGGAGAGCCTGAGCCTCTTGGCCTGCCGACTCAGGGGGAGATGGGGTGCTCTGGGTCACCAGTATGCACAAGTGGCTCCCAATTAGAAGAACTGTGAGGGAGGGAGAGAGGGAGGGAGAAGGGAGGCACAATATTTAGTGTTGTTGAGCCCCTGAAAAGGCTGGGATGATACATGGAGACACCAGCTCAACATGTTTTGCATCAGTGAACAATTTCTAAGCTGCTGGTAGAAGGGAGTGGGGGTAGGAATAATGTCCAGGGTGTTGTCTGTTCCTTAGTTTACACCAGTTATTGTCAAATTTTGTAATGAATGAATAGTTGTAATTTTGGGTAGATTTGACGGTGTGAAAAATGGCATTTTTAATTTTTTTTATTTTTGTGATTTTCTTGGGGATTTTTTTTTTTTTTGCAGTAATTCTATCAAACATTTAATTGGGTGAAGACTTTTAGCTTGTTTTGCTTAAGAATTACTTTTTTTTCCTGAATTGAATTAAACTAACACTAACAAGCTTAGGTTCTGCACAGAAACATCTCAAAACTGTTTGTTTAAAAAGAGTCATTACTCTAAGTTGTGTATTGGCACACTCAAGACGTTTCAGGAAGTGTGCTGCTGATTTCTGGTCACAGTGATGTCACTAATTCAGATGGCAGACACACAGTCCTGACCTCAAACTACATTTGCACTACCTCTTGCCCTAGGCTCTGTTGGCTCCCTGTTTAGGGAGAACTGAGGGGGGGTGGTGGTGGGGTGATGTTGGGGCAGCAGGGAGGACAGAGGCTGGAAAGGGACAGGGAAGCAGATGGCATCCTATTTGTCCCTCTTATGTGAGGCCTGTCATTCCAACAGATTAATGCAAGGGCTGGCTAAAGAAAAGAAGACGACAGAGACAATCAAGGAAGGGTCTGGGGAAGACAATAGAGCCACGTGCCACTGGGCAGATTTGTCGTTTGGGACACAATAGGTGATCATTTTTCAATAGACAAGGCCAACTGTTGCAGGCAACATGTGCTGCTGTCCCATGTTTCAAACGATCTCATGCGTTGTTTACTTATGATTCAGCCAATGGTTAGGGCCAGATCCTGGTCACCTGACACACGGTTGATTTTTTAATAGGAGATTTGGTGTGTATGCATGAGGGGGGGGGGGTCTACTCCTGCACTGTCCGCAGACTTGAAAAGTAACTGAATAGTGCGTGTTGTCATAGCGACCCCAATTACTAAACCCTTGCACAGTAAGTGTGAGTGCAGAGCAAACTGGAGAGGATTCAAGAGGATTCCTCTCTTTTCTTTATTTCTCGTTGGGGCTCACTAATAAATCCGTAGTGACTAAAACTGACTGGGTTTAACAGAAATCAAATATTCCATCTTTTCTCTTTACCAAATTATTGGTCTCACACAAATGCAACTTTATTTGTTTATTATTTTCTCAAATTTGTTTTGCTTTAGTATGAATTACAGGTTAAAAAAAAGACCTGTGAAAAAAAAGGAACAGTTTTGACGGATGATTTCCTCTGAATGGAAAGCTTGTTTAACTCCCTCATTGTTGATTAAAACTGTCACCACTAAATAACACTTGTAGTTAATCTTCTTACGGTAAATCCTGGACGGCATGGCAAACACCCGACCCTGGCTGAGCAGCTTCCATCCATCCATTTTCAGACTCATTACAGTGGTTTTGACATTTTGAAGAACTCGATGTTATGTCAAGTGTTTACATTTAAATTCTACTTGGGGTCTAAGTGAGTTTAAACTGACAATCCTGTAACACCCCACCCCACCCCTCCCTTCTCTTCTGCAGGCTTTTGACCACAGACCCCTCCCAGCTGAGAGAGGAGGACCTCCCTGGGGACCTGCAGTCTCTGTCATGGCTCACCTCTGTGGATGTGCCCCGACTACAACAGATGGCTGATAGTAGAGGCCACAATAACGGGCCTTCTCAGGGCAGCCTTCTGGAGCAACAGACAGGTAAGGTGACAGTGAGGGGACAGTAACATTCAAAAACTGCACTCTCTCTGATTGGATGAATCAGGGCGGCTACATTCCTCTAAAATTTTAGTCCCTGGAGCTATAACCAAAGTTTCATGAGAATATCCTCAGAGACAAAGAGACTACAGGGTTAACATTTATGTCACTGGCTATAATTAACCCTAATCTGAGAAAATTAATCCACTCATGTCTGGTGAGGTTTTAGCCATAATGTTTAACTCTTATTGATCAACAGAGCAGAAGGTCAAACAAATGCACACATAAAACTTGAATTTTGACATCCTCAGACATCATGAAATGAAAAAACAAAACAAAACAAGAATAAGCAGTTTGATTGAAAGAAACTTTAAATCTGTGAATGGCAGCGATGAAAACTAATTATATTAACTCATGGTGTGTTTATTGAATATATTGTCGTGCATATTTACATTCTGATTAGCTTTTAAAATCAGTTCTTTTACTTTAGAGTTTTTTAATGAAAAATATTGCACTTAGCTGCATTATGCATAACCTTAGTAACTGAGTAATAAAAATATCCTTTTTTTCAGCAACTGCATGACAGCCAGTGGATTAGAAGACATTTATACTTCCAAACACTCAAATCTTACTGAGTGACTTTGTCTCATTTGTCTTAATGAGTCAAATAAGTCTCACTAAAATGTTTTATTACAGTTAATTGACAGACTCAGCTCAACTCAACTCAACATTTAGAGATCTTTCAAGCCCAAACCATCTTCATTAGTTCCTTAAAATAATTATTTCATCTTGTTTAAATAAACTTATCAAGATAATTTCGCCTGTTGCCGTAGCAGCCATTTTTATTCTTACAGTCAACTTATCTGACCTTATCTGTGGCTCCTGATAACAAGCCTTTCTGTACAGTCAGCCATGACTGTACTGTAGAGGGACCATCTGACCAAAGCTGTAGTAAAAAAAGACAAAAAAAGAGAATAACTTTGGCCTAAATAGGTGCAGAGTCAACTCATTTAACATAATAATGCTGTCGATATTGCTAAAACAATTTGTTTGGGAAAATATGCCTTTACACACAATCTGGGGCATATCTTACAACCCTACCCCCATACCATTGGTTAAAGTACATAGTACATTTTTTATAAAGTCCCTTTTACCTTTACATCAGTAGATTAACAAACAGGTGGTTTTACTTTAACTAAAGTAACGGTACTTTTACCCAACTAGAATATTTAAGTTCATTTCTCAAAGTTAAAAGTCTTTGTGTTCCTACTCACAGCTCAGCTGAGTAACATGACAATGACGGCGGGTCAAGGCTCCATGCTCCACCTCCAGAGCAACATGCAGCACAGCCCTCTGGGAATCAGCATCATCAACACCCACAGCGGAAGTGTGAGTTTCAAAGCAATGACAAGGGGGGAAAAAAAACTGTATGATGCTTTAGTTGTTGATTGTAAAGCATGACTTGTGTGTTTTACAGATGTCTCCATTCTCCATGAATGGGCTGCCCTCTCCAGGGTACCAGTGCCCTACCTCAGTCTATCAGCCAACACCCCAGCAGGTGTACTCTCTAACCCAAACTGGACAACAGGTACCTAGTTGTGATCCATAGAATATCAAGGATGTAGTATTCCTCTGACTAAATGTCTTCATAATCTAATCCTTACTACTTTAATCCCAACTCAGTCCTTGTTCTTCTATATTTGTCATTGTCATCTAATTCTGTTATTGGTGCTACTTGATAAAAACTGTTAACATTGAACAACCCTTTTCTCTTTTTTTTTTTAGTGTTCAACCGGTGGGCTTTATAGTAACGTCTCCTTCAACAACCAAAGTCTATTCACACAACCTCGCCTGGCTCCCCAGGACCAGGAGCTGCAGCCCAAGTCTTTCCCCAAGCCTATCTATTCCTACAGGTCAGACCTGTTACCTGCTTAGCAAAGTTTAAAACACCTGAATAACCTTTTAACAACATTCGAATAACTATTTAATTCTTGGTATTTTCAGCTGTTTGATCGCAATGGCTTTAAAGAACAGCAAAACTGGCAGTCTCCCCGTCAGTGAAATCTATAGCTTTATGAAGGAACACTTTCCCTATTTCAAGGTATGAGTCTCTGAAAACGTCACAAAAAGCTGGTTAGAAAATAAAAAAAGAAGTGATTATTTACGACTCTTCTTCCTGCAGACTGCACCTGATGGATGGAAGAACTCCGTCAGACACAATCTGTCCTTAAACAAATGCTTTGAGAAAGTGGAGAATAAGACAAGCAGCTCCTCCCGTAAGGGCTGTCTGTGGGCGCTGAACCCTGCAAAGATTGACAAGATGGAGGAAGAGATGCAGAAGTGGAAACGCAAGGACCTCCCAGCCATCCGCCGCAGCATGGCTAACCCTGGTTAGACTTTTATCTTTAAATGTATAAGGTTAGCTAACCCAAAATTAAAAAGATATGCTCTCATGCTCTTTGTGTGTCTTTTCTTTCTCAGACGAGTTGGATAAACTGATCACAGACCGCCCAGAGAACTGTAGACGTAAGGTATTAGAGCCCGGTATGACACGGTTGCCCAGCTGTCCCACAGGCCTCCCGCTGTCTGTCCCACCCCAGATGCAGCCTCAGCCTATAGTCACTCTGTCCCTGCCGTGTTTGCCCCTACACCAGCACCACCAGCTCCAGGCTCAGCTCCAAGCTCAGGCTCGCCTCAGCCCTATGTCCCCTGCCCCAGCTCAGACTCCCCCCCTCCACACGGTCCCAGACCTTTCCCACAGTCCCCTGACCCAGCAGTCCAGCAAGCCGCCAGACGATTTCTACAGTGTGCACAATGACACACACACAGAGGTGGACGCACTGGACCCCAGCATCATGGACTTTGCTCTTCAAGGTTGATAAATACTCTACATTAAGAATTTTTATTTTTTACTAGAAATTTAAAGAGATTTTGTGTTTTCATACCTTCCCTATCTATCTGTTCAGGTAACCTGTGGGAGGAAATGAAGGACGACAGCTTTAACCTGGATGCTTTGGGCACCTTCAGTAACTCCCCTCTCCGGCTATCAGACTGTGACTTGGGAACAGCCAACCTCCCTAACGCCTCCAACGGCACAAACCTGTCACTGTCAGATGTGCAAGTGACAGGTCTCTACACCTCCTACACCTCTCAAGATTCCCTGTCTTCCCAGTGTATGGGCGCTCCCACCAACAGCAAGCCCATCGCTCTGTTATAAACTTGATTTTGTTGTGGATATCTGAGGATGCCAACTGAAGACACCTGATCAAAACTTTTATTCTTTTTGCTTCTGAAAGTACAAATCAATCTTTATTTTTCAGTCAGCTGCATCTTGAAAATCACGTAACTTACAGCCTACAGGAAAACCGCTCTCCTCATCAAGAGCTTAAAAAGCCGATAAACACAGAAGTGTCTGTAAGGAAACATATGTAAGAATTTTAATATCAAGCTTTGCTAAGCAAAGACTCAAAGCCTGTATGAGTACAAAGACTATGTGGAGACGTTTGTGTGAATTAGCATCCATCAGTTTTTTCTACTGTCCACTCGATCATTCTTTAGCTCTCTGTCCCTGTCTCTTGTTGTACTGTGCTAGATTATTGCTGTGATGTTATATTTATATTTATAAAAGGCAGCTGGAGAAGGTGATGACTCTATCTTTTGCTGTATATATTTGAATGTTTCAAACTGCTATTGCCAGAGAAAGCTTTCTTTTGACTGGATTTACCCTCTTCAGCCCAAAAGTCCAACATGTGCCGACACTGTGAATGACACAGATTTGACGTATTATTATGCTTTTACACACTCGGATTAACGTGTCTCCAAGCCACATGTCTCATATGTTCATTAACTTGATCATAATAAAAAAAATCAAATGGGTAAATAAATTTTTTTTTGCCAAAAATATCTCAATGAAATTTATTAACAAACAGTTCTTAGTACTGTAAGAATACAAGACACAGGAAAGAGGTCATATACATCCAAATCCTAATTTTTATGGCTGATACTTTGATCACAGGTAAGGCAAATGAAGCCAGCATTTCAAAACCCACACTGACAATACATGTCTCTAAACAAACCTGAGAGTTAAGAATAACTGCATTATATCATTGATATATTACCACAACGAAAAGAAAAGCTCTGAAGTTTGACGTACAGTGTCACAGTCTCTCCTGACATTTATAACATGATCTGATCACACTAAACATTGCTGCATAGATACGCATAAACTTCAGGTGACAAAGAAATGGACATCTGACCCCATGCAACAGTGAAATGACAAAAACGAAAATGACACTAACAGCTCATATTAGAAAAAAAAAATATTTTTCTGCATTTTAATTCTTTGAGAGTCTTTTAATATATTTGATCTAGAGAACTGTACCTTATTTTTCTGTTTATCAGCAAATTTATCAAAAATAATCAGTCATTTAAACTACATTCAAACTTGAAACTGAATTCTCTATTTGCTACTCTGGACTGAGGATGAGCACCTAAACATGAAGTGTCCCACTTCATGAAACTTTGATATACCTGGCCTCTACAGGCTGCATAAGGCCTCTTCTCTTAAGGCAATGCTAATACTGATACAGCATTATTTACAAGTGTGCTATTGAAATGTGCATTACAGTCACAGTTTGTGAACCTGAAAGAGCAGCTTGAATTCATGTTTACCAACAAAAAATAAAACGTAGAGAAATTCTCTGCCTGTGAGTTGAGAGTAGATGGACTATGACATCCCGGCAGAGATGCCACTTAATGGTAATGTTTCTGACAGACAAAGAACTGTAGTGGTTCAGTGATCACTGAGGAATAAGTAAGTCACTTTGTGCATATGTGCATTATTGCAAAACATCGCCCCAACTATAACTCTAAAATAGGATTTTTTACCCCTTTATTTTTCAAGTACAATCATCTATTTTTCTAATCAAAAGTACAACCTGATAAACCCCTCAGCTTAACTGGTGCTGGTGTTGTCCATAGTTGCTAGAAGATGTGAAAGTTGTGCCCTTTGGGAGGGAGTGATGTTCTGGCTCATGTGAATGATGCAGTCCATGGCTACGTCAGGGTTGGCTTGCACTAGACTACAACATAAAAGGAAAATTACAACAACACCAATTATTAATTATAAATAAATTAATTACTTTCATCAACGGAAATGTAGATATGGTGTGCTTGGCTTAAGCTAGCATGCAGGTTGATATTCTGTCCATGGGTGCTTCCCCTTGTGGTACTAACGAAGCAGTATTGTAATTTTATACCGTAAACATGGATCTATCAATATTACATTATTTTGTTAACATTTTATTTTTGGCCCTGATGAGATAATGACAGTGAAAATGATACCACATTTAAAGGTCACTGAGATTGCATGTACCTGCGGATGTGTTTCAGGGTGTTTTCTCTCTTCAGATACTTGATGTTCTCTCGGATGGCTGATCGAGTGCCGTCCTCCTCAGACAGATGCTTCTCGAGCCACTCAACTACCGCTCTGCTATTATCCCAGAGGTAGGCCTGGAGGAGAAGACACGGGCATCTGTATTATTTAAGAAATACTATTTCCCTTTTGACTTTTTTTTTACCTCAAATCTCCACAACATTTTATGGTTTTAACCCAGAACATTATACCCAGTACAGGAGCAGATACAGTGCTCTCTAACTTTTATAACACACCTGGACTGTCCCTTCCGTTTCAACAAACCAGCGTCGCAGCATGGACTGCATGTGACCGTCGCTGAGGTCCTTGTTTGCCTGCAGAATCTCACACTTTACTACCTGCTCCAACAGGAGGCGACGCAGACGCCAGTAGAAGAACGTCCGCACATTCTTCCAGTCCAAAATATCCTGTCAAATGTATGAAAGGGTACAAAAGAATAAACTCAAACCTCAATACAGGTCTGTTATCTCCTACGATGTTAAGTGGACTCCCAGTGAAAACACAAAGTCCACTTCAGAGACTGTACTAAACTCACAGTGATGACACCTTTCTCCTGCATCCTGCCTGGGGTGTCATGAAGATCCACAAACTGCACTGCCACCTGGTGGTAGATGGGCAACAGGAATTCCTCTCTTGCTTTGAGTTTTGACTCCAACTCCTTGCTCTGTTTTTCAGATAACTGTGGGGAAGCTGGAGAAAAAAGGGAGACACAAATTAAGCTAAAAATAAATAAATAAATAAATAAATAACAGCAACATAGCAGTTTTAAAAGGAAAATCAATACTGGAGTTCTCATGAGTCAAAAAAGAAAAAACTTTTACCAAGCTGCCCAACTAGACTAGCATAGACTGAATCTAGTCTTCTCATGGTCTTCAGCAGGTCCTTCCTTCTGAATTTGATCTCTACTGTGCCCTCAGCCTCCAGCACGCCACCCCTAGATGTCGAGACAAAACAGACCCAGTTAGAAACAAAAATGGTAGGAACTGGTTTTCTTCACACACCGGCTGATTAAAATGAGAACTTCACAGAGTTACCAATCCTCATGTACCTGCTCTCTCTGTCTGCATAGAGCTCCATACACAGTGGGTTGATGGTGGGGTCAATAACCACCCATGATCCTCCCCTTAGCTCAGCGTGTGGAGGGATGTACACCAACACTGGCTGTCGGAATCCACGCAGAGCATCCACAATGTACGCCCCAAACTTTAATACCTGGTCATACATGTCTGGGAACATAAGCAAAAAAAGATTTTTTTTTTACTGAATAACAAAGGGTTTTTTATGAAATGCAGCCTGTTTTAAATATGTATTAATCATTCTTACCCTTCATTCCTCCAGAGAAGCCTCTCCAGTTGGCAAACACCATGAGAGGCAGATGTTCACGGTTAAAGTCACAGATGGCCTGAGCCGTTTTAAACGCTGAGTCTGGAAACCACACCTGACCGGCCTGCTGCAGTACCTGATATCAACACACAAATATATGAGTCAGTGTGAAATACTAGCAGATAATGTGTGTGAGTAAAACTGTGGTGAGATTTACCCACTTTTGATTCTGAATCCAGGTTTGCTGGGTCTGCTGGGACTGTTAATTCAACTGTGCGTGTCTCCACAGCGATGACGCCGAGAGGAATTCCACCTAACCTGTTTTTATTTCACAAAGTTTGAAATTATTTTTTGTAAGGGTTTTAAAAATGACTTTCAAATGGTCTGATTTATTAAGATTACACATATTAGGAACAAATTACATATTTACCGTGCTCTCCCCACCACCACAGTCTGAGCCCACGATTCCATGATCTCCATGAAGGAGCCGTGGTCAAAGAACCCGCTCTGCCAGGCCCCTCTTACAGCTGATGAGACAAACAGACAAAAACGGGAATCATTAAGGCTGAAAATTTGACTTAAATATTGTCTGAGTTGAAATCTTGGATCTCACTTGGGTGAGGTCTTCCAGCCAGCATCCAGCGGGGGTCATATGGTGCTTTTGTGGGTGTATACTCTATCTCCCTGTCTATGGGATCCTTAATTTCTAGGACAGGCGCAGGAGAGTGTTTGCTCTGTGAGAAAGAGAAGAATCATAGTTAAAATTCTAACTTAGTTACTTTTATAAACCCTTAAAGAAAATCCCGATCTTTTGGACGTTTATGTGTCAAACCTTTGGCATATAGGAGAGCCACTGGAGGATTGTGAAGACGCCCTCAAAGTCGTCTGGCACAGTGGTGTGGGTGACTCCATTATTGTGCATGATCTGGATCCCTCCCAGCTGATTGTTGGAAGTGTAGACCTCCCTGCCCAAAACCTGAACAGATGTAGAAAGAACAATTATGGCTATAAATACACCATACTGTATGTTCAATTGTCTCACAAGCATTCATGGATATTTTATATTCATTAGACCAGCTCCACAACAAACCTTATTAAGGGCGCTCGCTCCAGTCAGGATAATGTGAGAGTTCTCCACCTGAATGACCCTCTGTCCCAAACGGACCAAATAAGCCCCGATTCCAATTGCACGACATGTCACCTGCCAAAGCATTAACAATGATTCAGGACAAACATCCACGAGCATCACAAGAGCTCCTCTCTTTTAAAGAAATCAGAAGCACCGCTCTCACCATGCTTATTGTGATGATCTCCTCATACGCAAGTGAGGATTCCCCAGCAATCATGCCAGAACCTCGCAGGTTCTCAACCCCGAGACCCTCGTCCTTCCCGATGATGTCAGTGATGATGTACCTACAAAAAAGTCCAAGTCTGTTATCCAAGAGACACAAGCCAAGAGTATCAAATATTCTGATTTTAGAAAAAAAAAAGGTGATCTATTGCACCTGGACTCTCCATTTTCCTCAACATGGTGACAGTGAACGGCATTTGTGGAGCTGATTCGTGTGTAGTCCTGTGGTGTCAAGTAGAGATACTTGAAACCCTATAGAGAAATGGAGAACAGGTACAGTGAAAGATTTGAAAACCTCACATATTACTGCACTACTTCTCGAATCTCTTCAGATCTTACCTTGTAGGGGTCTTTTGGGTCTATCCAGGCCACCTGAAACATATGTTTGATCTCTTCAGCGAGGCCGATGCGTGCGCCACTGTTGGCTGCGATGTAAATGCGTGGGATTCCTTCAGCTCGAGCCAGCTCAGATGCTTTCAGAAACAACTCATCCTCTTGAGGACCGAACGAGCCAATCATGTGTGTGATGTCGTTACAGATGACGATGATGTCTCTGCCCTCTGGGTACTCTGGAGTCTTCATCTTCATCCTGAAGGCAACCATTCCCACCTAGTGAAAAAGGATAAAGTGATCATCTTCATCATCTGTAGAGTAAAAACAAACACACAAGTACTCTGAATCGTGTCCTACATCATTGTCTCCTGGAAGGCGGTTCATTTGCACGAGTCGGCCTTGAGGGTCCAGAACCAGCTCGGTGCACATCAGTAAGTCTTTGGGGTATTTGTCCCCTGGACCCCACAGCTTAAACAATGCCTACAGAAAGATTTTCAGCTCGAGTCAGAAACTTTTAACAATACATTACAACTAGGTATATCAATGAGTCAGCAATACCTGTCTGAACATCTCAGGGAAGTCGTAGACGTATGTAGTCCCGAGAGTCTGAGCCTGGAAGCGCTTGGCCTGCAGCAGATCTTTGGTCACATATGGAGTGTTGATCAGCATGCCATGTAGAGGGCCAGGCTTGTCTCCATATGACTGGAACATGATCTGCAAAGGAAAAGAGATGTGGTGAATTAAGGATCCATCTGACTGTAATTATGACATGTAAAAACAATCAAACTTATACATCTTCAGAATAATAACACCACATCTTCTGTTCTGTTTCAGGTCGAGGAGGGTACCTCGGTCTACAGTCCTCACCTGTCCAGAACTCAGATCCGTGACCTCTTTGTACAGGCTGATGTCTAAGTAATAGCCAGACTCATTAGTGAGGAACAGGCGGATAGGGATGGCGTTCCCTGTTGGCGTCAGACGGATGTTGATCTTCAGCTCTGCCTGCAGGACCCGCAGTTTCCAGAGACGGCTGCCGTATCGCATCACCATGGAGCGAACTGACTCCTCGATCTGAGGGTCCCAAAAGATGAACAAGGGTGAAAAATGAAAACGAGCTGATGTGATAAAAATTCTCAAGTCAAGGTTAGTGAATGTTGACTACAGAGGACACTGACTTTAGAGGGGTCCATGATAACGGTGGGAACAAAGTTGAGGAAGATGTGGTTGCAGTCGGTGCGGACACTTGTGTTACTGAAGGCCACCTCTAACTCATCCATAGCCTCCAACAGAAGACGCTCTCCCTCATTTTGAAGGTACTCAAACGAAGCCTCCTGGTTGTGTAGAAAGAGATTTAAGTCACCAAAACGACAAGCCTCGGCCAAAACTTTTCAAGAACTAAATAAGTCTACTGGAGGAATGTGGAAGTGCTGCTCCGCTGACCTTTGTAATGAGATCTGAGTGGCGGATAATAGCTCGAATGAAGAAGCGGTAGTCTGTGACTTCAGCTCCCTCCTGCACACGGGCAGCACCGAGGTAGAGGTGCATCTTGTGGTTGGCACAGGGAACAGCTCTCAGCTCAAAGTTCCTCATGCGGTTGAGCTCAAGCTGAAAAGCCAAGGCTGGCTCCAGGTTACGGTAAATGCGATCCTCTTGGAACTGTTGAGAGGCACAGGTTAGAGAGGTCATCATCATCATTCTTGGACAGCAGCTGGAATCAGATAAGTAATTCTGAAATTAAAGGATCTATTGAGTTCTGTAAAAAGAGAAACAACATACCCCATCTCTTGCTCTGAAAGTGAAGAACTTGGGAAACTCTCTCTGTGAAAAATAAACATTACAAAAAATCTTTATCACAAACTGCCACCCAGGCATTTTCACAGTTTATCTGTGAACTTGCCAGGGTTAATGGAAAAAAAGAAGTGCAGCTACAGGACATGAGACTAGAAACTCAATCCTATTTTAGTTCTACTTAAAGCATGAGGATGGCATAATAATGTGACAGTGATTTATAGAATACGGTTCTCAGTTGGCAGTTGTGACAATATAAGCTCTAGTTTTGTTGACAGAGAAGTCAGACAAAGTTAGAGATAAAAACAGTATACAGAAAATTTCTATCCATTATTTTCTGTTTCCTTTTACACATAATGTCAATATCGGCCACATAATGACTCGCTAATCAATTTCTCTGACACCAATCACCATCTAAACAAAATAGTTCTACATCATCTAGAGCTATATATGAATATTAGAAAATCAGACATTAGCCAAGAGCCATTTAAGGCCTTCTCTGGAACTTTTAAGTACATAAATTATGAAATATAGAAAAGACTGACTGTGGGTCCAATGATAATATTTGAATGATGTTAAATTACCTTCTGTGCAAGCAAAAATGTGATTCTCCTGATTCCATACTCAACTAGGACCGATTTCTGTGGAAACACACACCATGTTTGATAAATAACACATTTTAAAAGCAACAGATCCAGATATGAAAGAGTCATTCAATCGAGGTCTGGCTAACCTTGGACTGGGCGAAGGCAGTAAAGGCTGTCACCAAGGCATCATCATCTTCTGTGTCTGCAGTTTTTATGGACACGTTTATGATGTGGATTGGGTTCTCTCTTGCATTCTGCAAAGGATAAAAGAGGGCAGTTGATGAGACAGAACTACACAAACAGAGCTGAAAATACCAGAACTGGTTTCATTTAAAGACTTTCATTCCATTTTATTCGCTAAGCATCGAGAATCCAAGAAACAATGCATGTGTTTTTAAACTGTAATTGTCCCAAAATGTTTGTTGCACTTTAACCATGATTTTGTAGTGGGTTCCCTTATATTTTTTGGCATTTATTATGAAGTGTGCTGCTGACCTCTTGGCCAGGTCACCCTTATAAATAAGATCATGATCTCAATGGGTTTTTACCTGGCTAAAAAAAGGTTAAATAAAAAAAATGAAAGCAGCATTTTTACTGATGATTTAGGAACTTCAACTCAGCCGCAGTTCTCACCTTGAAATTCTCCTCCTCATACAGACTGGAGCAGGACTCGGAGAATGGCGCAGTCTCCAAAAGTGGTTCTGCAAAGCTGGACAGCACTTCATCAAAATTCCTGCAGACAAAAAAAAGGAAACATTTAATCATCATGCCCTTTATAATAAAGACAGAAAAAGAAAAATTTGTATCGAGCTCAAAAGGACCTTTTAAAGTCATCAAAACACTGGAAAGCCACCATGGCGCCCATGCGCTGGCAGGGTGGTGAGAAAGCTCCCTCGAGGTAGAGCTCACTGCTCTGCCGCCTTATGTGAAACTGGCCTGATCCACTGACTGGCACAGGCACTCTGGAAATTTGACAAATAGAGACAATAACAGCCAAAAACAACCATAAATGATCAGATACAGAGGTTGGCTTTGATTTGAAAAAAATACAGAACAGGAACAGCCACGGGTACAAATATTTTTACAGACAGCAATTAAAGCACATCTGGAGGAATTTGTCTATCCAAAACATCCATGACATCCGTTGATGGGTGCATCTCATATCCTGAATTGAAGGGTATAACAAATTACTGTTATAAAAGCATTTATTACTCTATCTGATAGACAGCTGAGATGTACAGGCTCCTCATTCTGAATCATTCAACAGAATCACAGGCTTGAAGTTTTTAAGAGGAGTGCATGACAAAAGAAAAATGACATTCCTCTCAAAAAGCTCAGATTCGTTTGATAAGTTGAAAGAAGCAAGAAAAACGTGGAGAAGCGGGGCTAAAGAAGTGGATTTAGAAGGACTTGTTAGAAGGAGTCCTTGAGCTCAAGTTTCTGGTTTCAGAGGAAAAAAAAAAAAGAGGAAAGCAACACAGTGCACTGGGCATGCTTTGCCGAGAGACATACACACGATCAGGAGGTTTGTCTGGCTGGGAGGAGCTGTACTCTACCTGTTCAGAGTAGGGCTTCTCCCTCTGAAATAAGATGATTGACATGTGAATATCAGCAGTGGATGATCAGAGTGCACCTCTACCTTGAGGCGTAATGATTAGATAAAAGCACTTTACAAGATGTGGTGCGGAATCAAGTAGAAGTAAATATTATGGCAATATTTAAGTAAATACAGTCTCTATTAAAGGGATACTCCGGTGTAAAATTAATGCAGGTTCAAAAACCCTGTAACACAGAGTTAGACACCCCCTCGAGAGATGAATGTTGCTGACCGCTTGCTTCTTTAGTTACACCAACTTTAGTAATGACCACATGATAGCAATACACAGCGGTCTGAGGAGCTAAGCACAAACGTCAACCAAAACGCCACTCTATAGCCACAAATAATGCTCAGAACACACCTAACTTCATCAACAGTACATATAGGGTCCCAGCCATAGCACTAGCCACCAAACATCTTTTAAGCTTTGACTGATTTCTTTAGCAAAGAGACTAAACACAACTCACCTTCCAGCAGCCGCTTGTTTGTATGGAAACCTCAGGCGAGTCCATTACCGTTGCGGGGTGACGCAGCTCAAGGAAGAACATTTTGGTTGATGTTTGTGCTTAGCTCCTTAAACCGCTGTGTATTGCTATCATGTGATCGTTACTAAAGTTTATATAACTGGAGAAGCAAGTGGTCAGCAACATTCGTCTCTCGAGGGTGTGTCTAACTCTGTGTTACGGTGTGTTTGACGCTAAATTAATTTTACGTCAGAATATCCCTTTAAGAAGTTAGCTAAAGGCAGTAAAAGCAGCAGTGATGCAACTGTACCACTGGGTGCAGAATATAACTTTTTAAATCCCTTTGGGGAAAATCAGTTGTTCCTCTTTGTCTGAATCTTAAGAATTTTGTCCTCATAGTAGCCACAAAATTTTCTGCAAAATGTCAAATAAATTTTGCTCAATGATATCCTGATGTATCATCCTATCTCCATCAACATGAGTGAAACATGTAAGCAATGTGACAACTAAAGCTTCAAAAGCTGCATTCAGCAAGTATTTTAACATTTTCCTCGCAGTTTTCCAGAGTTTGGTTTTGTAATTGTTATACCTGTTGGGATGTGATGATGGCAGCATGAACTGGAAGTCCACAGCACATGTTCCATCCTGCAGCTGATGATGCTGGATGCTATTTAGCTCATAGGCAATGTAGGCTCTACGCACATACACCTAAAATTGAAGAAGGGAATCCTAAGTTAGTGAGACATAAAACTTCACAAGACAGAAAATCTTCTGTGTGAATGAACTGAGCGTACCTCCAATGCAGCCATGCAAACCACTTGGTTGGAGTGATAGAAGAAGTTTGGCAAAACGTCAAAAATGGAGGTTTCAGAGAGGATGAGTTTCTGAGCAAAGATAACAACATATACAATCAGCTGCCTGTGTTAAAGCAGAAAATAGTTGGTGGGTAAAAGGACTCATCATGGCTGACCTTCAAGTTTTCAGGACAAAACTGGTGGCCGTACATGTCGATGGCCGAAAGGAAGATGGACTCCACCTGGTTATGCCTCAGTTCATATGATGGTAAATGGGAGGCAATCAAGACCTATGACACAGTTTTTAATGTTGTATCAAAGCTAGGGTTAGGGAGAGAGGGGTATTCAGTAAAGATTAGAGTTTCATTGAGCTCTCGAAGACTTTTATGATACCTGTCTGGCTCTTAGTGCGACCTTTGAGTTCTCCATCTTGCTGAGCTGTGTGAGCTCATTCAGAATGGCCATCAGCTCGTCTGCCAGCGTGGGATCCCGTCCACACAGTTGATCCTGCATAATGTGGAAACAGTGCGTCACCAAAACTGAAGTGCAGGAGAATTATTCCCTTCATTCGATCAATGAATGCCTTACTATGAGCATTGTGACGAGGACGTTCTTCTTGGAGACTTGTGCATGGGAGAAGATGTATTCCAGCACGGGGCTCATGTCAGGTTTGTTCTGTTCTCTTAGGTTTATTACGCACTTGTCATAGTGGGCTGTTTGGGAGGACACAATTAAAGCTGTGTTAGCAGGGACAAATGAACCCCACTGAAGATTGTAAAATGTCCTAATATTGAGTTTCCATTGTAAGTAAATAAACATTACCTTGCTGAAACTGCATCTCTACTTGTAGGTATCGCTTCAGTAGATCAAGGACCACAGACTTCATGTAACCCCGAATCCCACTCCGATACCTTGACCATACAAATTAAAACAAGTGTCAATGTGGAGAGAGGGGGGTTGACATGCAGCATCCCGATACGTGGGGCACATTGACCCATAGGCTATCTGCGCGCCCCTCATGTGTCGATAAATTTAGTCTCAGAATCAATATGTGGTTAATTACTGCTGGACAATCTGCACATGACTAACCTCTGAACCAGCTGTACAATGCTCTGAGTGTTCATGAAGAAAACCTCTCGGTCAGCCTTTCTCTGTAGTGTTGCTGCATGACTGTCCAGGATATTTGCTATCTAAAATAAACAAGGGAAACATCATTATTTCCCTATTTAAAATTTTCTTTAGATTAGAGACCTAAAAGAATATCCTGTATCTCTCACTCTTTGGCTGGGGAACTGGCAGAGAACTGAGGTGATGTTGCTGGCATACTGGGCCATGACTTTGCGGATATCTTTCTCCACACCAGGAGGAATGCGTCCGGCCACACTGGTCATGATCTCCTGGAGTTCCAAAAGCGGCAGCGAGGGATCCCTTAAGGTCTTCATCAGGGTAGCCACCCACTGTTTCAACTGCAAACAGGAACACAAATATAAAACTAAGAAAATCTATTTGGACTCTGTGGTTGCTGAAAGACTGCCATCTACCTACCTTGTTGCTGAAATAAGGCTCTTCGAGACAGTAACCATCCATGACTTTAAACAAGTTTTCCAGCACGCTGTGGAACACCTGGTGAAGCTTTTCTCCAACAATGGGCAGTGGTTGCTGGGGTGGCAATATGGCAGTGTTGAGCTCCACCTATGAAAAAATGGCAAGATAAGTAAGAACAGAAACAAAGCAACAAAAACACTTAAAACTTTGCAGATATGGATTAATTATAATGAAAAAATTTGTTTATTTGTTGTACTAAGCAAAAGAAGTTATAATTTGAATTATTGAGTATGTACAACCGTAAACATACTGTAAATTTACACAAAGAATTTTTTCTACTTTTGGCCTTCATGACCCAGGACAGTATAAAGTTATGTTATTTCGTGCACTTACATGATGTATACTGCTGGGGTCATCCAGCTCTATCCGTGCCACCATACACCCCGGCACCAGAACTGCTCCAGGTCTCTTGACAAAGTGGATACAACCAGACTGTGGCACAGTCAGCGTCATCACCATCTTCATCACCTGAAACCACGACAGCTAGTAAAAAAAAAAAAAAACACCACCACATTTTCTAAAACATTAATTTCATCTGCTTGTGTCAAATTTACCTCAATCTCTGCGTACGTCTCTCCTCCAAAAATGTGACCTCCATCTTCCACCAAGTACTGCAGCAGTTTGCCAGCGGATGGTGACCTCAGCACGGTGGGGTCCTTCTCCTTCTCGAACACACAAGTCTTGTTGCCAACAGTGATGCGGTAGCTGTGGAGATGAATTAAGTCAATAGAAGTTAAGTTAAACTTCCTGTAAGCAACTTTTAACTAGATTTGAAAAAAAAATCCCTCGTTTCTGCTGATGTCTCCCTGTCACCTGCAACAGTGAATGAGCCCATCTGTGTGAAGATAAGCTATTTCTAAATAGTGAAAACGGGGAAAATGGGAGCCAGTGGTGGGGTCGGGACCACAAACAAAATGATTTACGGCACTCAGACCCACGCACACGCATTTTTTTCTCTATATTTTGCACTAAAAACACGCATATTACAGTCACTACAAAAACGGTGACATCTTCTTGCAGCCGGAGACTCCTGCAGACATCATGTCATGCTACAGCTGCAGCCATGGAGTTCGACAGGCAGAGCAGCTCTGTGTCACCTACCTCTGTAGTCCTGCTGCTTCACGTCTGTCTCACGCTCCACGGTGGGCTCACTCAGACTCGCTTCCCATTTTAAATACATTTACAAAGTAAGTTGCCTCAAACTGCTCACAAAAAACTTCGTTTCTGGAGCCCTGACGTGCGAGCCAGATAAGTGTCTTGGGCTTAAACACTACCGCTTTTGTCCACAGTGGCTGCTAAAATGAACAGAAAACAAAAACTCCTTCCAGCTGCTTTAAAAAACAAAACAACCGACTGATTCAGGAGCTCTTACCTGTCTACCTCCTCCTTCATGTACGTGGTGTGGCTGCAGCCGTCATAACAAAGAAGGAGGCCACCGTCACTCAGCCTGTGGACATCTATCTCAATGTTGGAACCATTCATTATGATGACATAAGTGGTCGGGGATTGGCGAGCCACCTTCACGCAGCAGAAAAGATCATTGACTAAAATTGGCCAACACTGAAATTATGAGTTTACATCAGATAAGGAGCAACAAACACACCTTTAGACAGAACTTCACTCCCTCATAAATTAGGTCCACGCTGACAGAATTGAGGAGACTGGCTGCTGGAAGCACTTGGCCTCTAAAAGAGCAGGAGAAAACATTGACCCTCACATGAATATACTGTAAAAACTAAAGTGAAAAATTCATGAGTGGGTCTGTATCCACTGACCTCTCAAGACAATGTAGGTAGTCGGACATGCTTTTTCTGAAGCTTGCATCAGCTACATGCAAAGCCCCGCAAACGATCCCCAGCATGGTATCTGGTCTCTCCGCCTGCAAGAAGCCCATTTTTACTATGTCGTAACATCGAGAAAATTAAAGACCAACTTTTTGGGTGTGAAGTGATTCTAAGAACTGGCACTCCAACCTGCACTTTCTCTGCGATGAGGTGATCGAGCCAGCCGGTGTCGATGTCATTGTTTCTGAAGCTTTCTGTTTCCAGCAACTTAATAAGATATTCCACTGTGGTCCTGAAGTCGCCTCGGATGGAGAGCTCCTTCATAGCCACCACCATGTTCCTGAAGTATGTTGCAAACATTACAAGTGTTGAACTTTTGAACCCTTTAAGGATCCTGAATGTAAAAAGTCACCACTTTATTCTTTTAATATACAACTAACAACTTCTACAGAATAATCATGTTTGTTGAACAAATGTCTTGCATAATCAGCTCTTAAGATTGTATTATCTACATGTTTTGTTACTTCTCAGGCCTTTACATCACGAGATAACTGACAAAACAAACTCAAAAGAGAAAGAAAATAAACAAAGGCTTACGAGATGGCTTCTTCACGGTTCTCCCCCCAAGAAAAACAGTGACCAAACTGCGAGTCAGCAAACTCATGCAGGCCACCTGTTGCCCCCACACTGAAATAACCCCAGACATTTTTACTGCTGCGGAAGTTCAGCTCCTGAACGGTACCAGAGCTGGGCTTGAACCCCTTTAAGAGAAGAACAGAGTTTAGTGGTGTATATTAAAACAAGTTATGAAAATGGTGAATTTTGAGGTGTGGTTTACCTCATCAGGGTTCTCACTGGTAATCCGTGCCGCTATGACGTGTCCTCTTGGGCTTGGTATGCACTCAGGAGTCTCAAAGTTGATAAAGCTGTCCCCCCATGGGGTTTCTCCGTACAGCAAGCGGATATCTTTGATTCTATTCAGGGGGATGCCCATTGAAATCTATCAGAGAGGAAACACAGAGTTAAAACGGATGGGTTAAAACTCATCTAATTCCTGTGGTTTAGTTATTTCTCAAAGAAAGTGCTAAAAAGGTTTACCTGAAGCTGAGCAGCTGGAAGATTGACATCTCCGATCATCTCAGTGCAGGGATGTTCAACCTGCAGGCGAGGATTCAGCTCCAGGAAATGGAAACTCCCGTCCTCAGAGAACAAATACTCAACAGTACCTGCACTCACGTAGCCCACCATCTTGGCTAGTCGCACAGCAAACTGAGCCATAAAAAAGGCAACACAAGTCACATTACCTCAAAAAAATCAAGATAGTAAGGATGGGGAAATAAATAGATGTAATGATCTAAACTGACCCTCTCCATTTGCTCAAAGGTTGAGGGAGCTGCTATGGTGGCGGGAGCTTCCTCGATGATCTTCTGGTGCCTCCTCTGGATAGAGCAATCTCGTCCAAAAAGAGAGATGGCATTTCCGTACTCATCTGCCAGTATCTGAACCTCAAGGTGTCTTGCATGCTGAGCCAGCTGCATGACGAAGATAGGAGAGCCAGGTACCTCTGTTTGTACCTATATTTAGATGAAAATAAAAAATATATATATAAAAGCTATCACGGCACAGGACTTGACACTAATTTAGACCATATTATCAGAAATCATTAATGCACAGTTACTTTAGGGGCACAATGAAAATTGATCAAATGATGTGTGTCTTACTGGTCAACATAAGTACTATTATTTGAAATCAATTTAACGTCAGTTGGTCACACGACATGGAAGCTATTTAAGGAAAACAACCTTTTAGAGAACATCAACCAGTAATTTATTGATGGTCCCTTATTCAACGCCTGATGTTGAAAGCGAGGGTGCTGAATAGATTTAACTGTGCTGCTGTTGCTATTCCCAGTTATGGAGAGTGAGAAGACACTGGTAGATCTGCCGTGAATGTCCGTCGAATATCCAACCTAAAACTAACTTCACCGCGTTATTTACATAAAAAAATATTTGTACATGTGCCCCTAAATACATTTTACAACTCGCACACATCTATTTTTAGTCGCAAATGCAAGTGAAATGGTTGCACTGTCGAGCCCTGCAGCAGTTTGTAAATTTATGAAATGATGTCAAAATCACAAAGAAATCAGTCCTTTGGCTGTAAAATTTGAAGACAAACCTGTCTGAAAGCGCTTGAAAAATCCTCAGAGCTTTCAACTTTTCGGATTCCCTTTCCACCTCCACCCTCAGAGGCCTTGATGACGACAGGATAACCAATCCTCTCTGCCCACTGCAAAAAGATACTGTGTCAAGTATTTGAAACAAAAGACCAGCGGATGAAGAGAACCAAAGAGGTAAATGTGTGGGTATTAATCAAGGGACTTTGCTAGACATGCCTACTTACTGCAAGCCCATCATCGACATCCTGGACGCAGCCTCTTGTGTAGATATCTGGAGGAACACTGATTACTTTCCCCAGTCTTTGGTCCTCCTCTGCCCAGTCCACTCTCAGACCTGGTGCCCCAAAACACACAAAAGGTACAACATAAAAACTTTGTGCATTCAAGAGATTTAGAAAAAAAAGTAAAAAATAGTTTCATTGTATGATTTCAGACAGTACAGAAGATAAAACATCACCTGATCCGCTCCATGGAAGCGTGGGAATGTCAGCACTCTGAGCCACAATAGAAGAAGCCACTTTATCCCCGAGGGCCCACATGGCTTTACTGGATGGTCCTAAGGCAAATATAGACACATGACATTGATTTGTGAAAAAGGTGTATACATTCAGAGTAACATTACGCAAACACTGTGTGGTTTCAAACTAGATTTTACCTAAAAACGATATTCCTGCTTTGTTCAACAGCTCAGGCAGTTTGGGGTTTTCTGAGGCATGACCCCAACCGGCCCATACCGCCTGAAAACCATGGTAAACACATACATGCAATCATTTATCACTGAAAAACAAGGTCAAAGAGCAAAAGGTCTGACTGTGGTCAGGGGACAAAAAAACATTACTGCTCAGATAAACACTGGAAAGCACCTGAACTGGGATTCTTTTAGCAATGTCCACAATCAGCTCTACATTTGCGTAGTTGTTGTTGTTGGGCCCACCGGATACTGGTACATAATGGTCAGCCATTTTTATGTATTCTACACAACAGAAGAGTGACAGACAAAAACAGGTCATTAACTGTGATCAGTGGACAACTCTCTCAACATACAGCTGACACAGATAACTGTACGACAGTAAATGTTTGGTTATAAAAAAGGATAAGAAGAATCAAGTTCACAGTGACCTGCATTAGCTTTCAAGTCTTCAGGGGTCACCATCACCACAAATCTGATGGTCCTCTCATTGCGAAACATTTCATAAGACCAGCGACGAATCGAGCGCATACATTTCACCGCAGCTATACCATTGTTGGCTATCAGCACCTGTAACACAAACAGAAACCACATGTACACAAAAACTGACAAAAACATTCAGGGCTAAGAGTAGATTAAAAAACGGAGGGAAGACTTTCATTCTCACTTTCTCAATGACACGGTTTCCCCCAAACCTGGTTACAAACTCAGCAGGAGAGGCCACAGTGAAGTCCCTCTGGAGATCCATCTTCCTCTGTTCACGTCCTTTTTTCACCAAGTGAAGACCGGACATGCTAGGCCTGCAGTAAAAAACTCGTAGTTAGCCATCTCCACAATACCACAGCAATAAAAAAAAAGACACAATTACCTGAGTGTGATCTGCCCCACATTAGCTGCAATGTACAGTATATAAATTAAATCCAGAAACAGCAGGGTGAATTTTTTCCTTAAAACCCGTGTAAGAAAGCGACACTGCTCCTCTTCAGTCATACATCGTATCAGTGTGAGCCATAACCCTACCTAGCAACAATTCAACGACAACTGCAATGAAAATCAAAAGCAAAGTCAAAGTTCAGTCTCTTTCCTCGACAGACTGTGGGCAAGCCCCTTTTATTTCTGACCTTATCTGCTGAACAACGCTGCTGATGTGCACAGACAACCGTTCATGGGAAAGTGCATGCTCGATACACCAACAGCTGCAGAAACTGAGCATTCACTAATACTCTGTGTTTTCTCATTATATGGGATGTGGTGATGTTTGTCAGCTGATTGCATCGGCACAAAAAAAAAGGAAATAAGTAAACAGTCGTGATTTCCAACAGGTCCAGTAGTGGTAGTCTGAAATATGCTGTGAATCAAACTCAGCTCTAGTTTCTCTTTGTTATTTAAGTCTCTTGGGGTTCTGTGTTTATCAGATGTTGATTGATGATTATAAGTTTTAAATTTTAGTTTCTTAAGACTTCATACTGTAGTTTATTTTTACATAACAGTCACTGATAACACTTGTTGAGAGCGCTCAATGGGTCAACATGTTTTTCTCTACACTGACAACCATCCATGCATGGTACACACTGATTTCAGTCTGCAACTCCGCATTTACTTTGACAGCCTGATAACCACTATCTTATCACTTAAAAAGCTAAAGCAGCAGATTTTAGCATGAAACTGTCTGTTCGTTATAATACAAAAGTGAAAAGTTTGACTCTTGTGATACTTAAAAGCACTCGTTGTGAAACTTCACTTCACTGGCATGTTGATTTTACTGTTTGTGATCCCTGAAATGAACTAGTGTTACATGCACAGACCGCGATAGATAGGACAAAAAGTTTGTTAACGCCGGGAATTTTACATACCATGGTCAAACCTCGTTCACTCCAAAGTCTTGTCGCGATTGCACCACATGCCACTTAACAGTATTTCTGTCCCGTGTTAAGATACGACTTGCAAACATCTGTGTTGAGCTGTACTGTGAAGAGCCGGAGTGCAATTCTGACTGAGCAGGTATGAACTTTAAACTTCCCTCCTGTATTTTTCTGTTTGCTCAGGACATACAACTTGCACTGTTATTGAGTCTGCTCTTCCAGCTTGCTGTCATGCACGCCCCATTTTCTGATCTTGTTCCAGGATGTGAGGCATGACGGAGCAGGGTTTAATATAACCAGATACATACCTCACTGAACAAATAAGAACAGCTATTCATAACCACGACTGAAGGACTAAAGGGGGTACAACTCGTGCCAGATACTTTGCAGATGACTACTCTACAGCTTTATAAGGACAACATTATTCTCCACTAGAGGTTACTAATGTCGGGTGTTACTTCTTTTATTTCCTCAAACTTTATGAGCCAAGGCACGCTCTGTTCAGTTACACAACGGAAAGATTAGGAGCACACCAGCTATTCTTCCTGTTCTTAAACATGTCTGCAGAAGTTGCAGCTCTATCTTTTCTTCTATCGTTCTGAGTAATCCAGCCTAAGTTCATCACGTTTTCATTATTTTCTGCAGTCACAACATGAAGTCTGTGATAACTGTCCACATACCAAACACTGCAGCCAAAGTATCAAATTACAATCAAGGATATCAAGATTTTACGCACTTACCTTCGGAGATATGGGAACAAACCATTTCCCTCCATTCTTCTGACAACTTTACTGTCACGACTGCATTGATACTGAGACACTATTTAAGAAACTAAGACCAAAACAAAAAGCTCTCTGCAAAAATGCTCCCTCTAAAGCTCTCCCTCTCGGCTCTCCCCTCCCACATGTGCAGCTAACTGATCTACAGATCCCGTGTGGCAGATCAGAGGCTGCTGAATACAAATATAAACAGAAGCAGGAACGGCAACAGAACAAAGTGTTCATTATACTTCATGAACTATGAAAGAAAGTAGCTTGAGTGCAGGTCAAATATGCAGCCTGGGCTATTGCATATATACAAATACAAAAGGAAATCTTCATCTTCTGCAAGCAAGCCAGTCTTAAATGCTTGAAGAAGCTGGTAAATTAGAGACCAAGAGGAGGACAATCTCTTACCTTTCTCCTCCTCATAACTTCATGCATCTGGATAACTCAACCATTCTTAATGTCTCTATCTCAACAAGTAGCTGTTGGTACCAAATACACCCACTGACTCTTTATCTTTTCATGCACTGCCGCCTGTTTTAAACAGAAAACTCTTAACTATGCAGGCTGCTATGAAAAATCGGAAAATTAAACTCGAAAGAGGATTTAAAATGTTCTTGATTCCCGTGTTGTGACCTGGACTCACACCAGAGTTTTCAAAGTCACCTGGTTCAGACTCTTGTTCCAATAATAGACTCGCACTGTTTGGCATGTGACAATAACACAGGTCAGCTCATTGCAGTCAGGTGATAACAGACAGTGAGTGGGAGCATAACGGCACGTCGCCAGCACGAGTACACAGACAGTTCATATGAGTCCCCCAGACTAAAGGTTGAGTGTGGATCAAACTGGTTTATGTTTATGCTACAGAAGTCCTATAAAAGAGCAGTAAAACAAAGGAGCTAATATAAAATCAGCTTAAATTAAATAAGGTCTTACTTAATGCCTGATGAGCTGGACGGCAGCGATGCAGAGGAAGCCCGCTGAGATGAAGATCCAGGGTTGGAGGTCACTGGCTGAGACGCTCCACTCGGCGGTTTAGAGACCAGAGGTTCCTCGTCTGAAGAGTTATCCTCTGATGCTCCCAGGATGAACTTGAGGCGGTCTCTCGCCTCAGGCCCAGAACTGAGCCTCGGTACAGCAGTTTTGGGAGGTACCTGGGTGGTCGTCGGCTGGGATGGCTTTCCAGAAATGGCCTCAGAGGATGCCTGCACAGACTCATCCTCTTTTGTTTTGACTTCAGGTCTTGCAGAGGCGCTGTCAGCCGGGAGACTGTTCTCTTCATTATGTTTCAAGCTTTTAGGAACAGCTGACAGGGAATGTTCGCCAGCATGAGAGGACTGTGTAGTAGGTACATCCTCTTCGGCTGCTGGAGGAGATTCTTCTCCTTTCACGGGCATCGTGTTTGTCTGGGTATTAATCCTCAACAGTCGCAGCAATATCAATAGGAATAATCCCAAAAGCGCAAATGGGAGCATTCACAGGCATCCTCCTAAAACTGCCAAAAGAAGAAAAGGGACATTAAGAGGTCATTATCATTAGAGGTAACAGTAATAACTGCACATGATCTAAACACCTCTTTCACCCCACATCATAAAACACTAACTCTTGAGGCATAAGCATCTAGATATGTTGTTGATGAAAGTGGCAAACTCTGTCACCAAGATGCCAGGAAAACACAGGATGTATAATCCCATTGCTCAGTGTGGTAATGTGATATAAAATGTGATTACAACTAAATATTCAAAAATGAAAAATAGCTTTAACTGACAGATTTGGTGTCTATGTACTAGGGCTGGGCGATACGGCCTCAAATCAATATCACGATATATTGAGCAGTTCACCTTGATAACGATAAATAGACGATAACTACTCCACAAGCTGCTCACCTCCTCCAACATTAACTTCCTCTGCTTCAGCCGCCACTTCAGCTGCTACAACTTTTGAACCGTCCTCCATCTCCTCATCTGTCCTCTCTATGTTACAATCTGGATGGGGTGGAGTCCCGTCTCGGACAGCGTCTTAAAGGGACATGCGACCATACCCTACCTACACACATCCAAAACCAACTTTGATTGATTAATTTTTCTGACTCAGAATATACTGATACGGGCAAAATGACATTGGTTATTGTCGTAAATTTTGGTATGGGTAAATTTTCAATTTATCGCCCAGCCCTACTGTGTACTACTCTATGTTATTAACAATATCTGTTCGACAAATGTCCCACCCAAAGTTCTATTTTTTTTCCTCTACATTAAAGCACAAAAATTACACCTAGGCCTCCATTCACTTGTTAATAAGTATGTATGTATACTGAGTGAGAAAGCATGGCTTGTACACACAAAATAATTTGATTATTAAGAGTAATGAATTTCTGCTCTTAGTAGAATAACAATAATCATCCCATCTTACATTATCTTAGTACTAACATTAAATACTTCAATGTTAGTTAAAAGACCTGTAACTAATTTAGTACCACTATCTTTGGATCATTCCAGTCTAGAGACATTTCTTTTCAACTGATCACAGGTCAGAAGCCCTTTAAAGACAGGGGGCATGCTGGGTAATTTGATAGGAGACCTTTTGATCTAGTAACCCACAGAAAAAGAGACTGAGTGGCTCGATTTTAAACCAATTCCAAATTGATGATTAGTCATGCTGATAAACGTCTTCAACTAGATGAAAGATAATGAGAAATTATCATATGAATGAACAAATGAAAATAACACTGTGACCTACAGAAATCAATACATTGGGATGTCTATAGTTTTCTGTGCCAGTAGGCCTGGTGGGCTACATTTCCCAGCCAGTGTTTGACAGCTGACATGAATGCCAAGTGTGGCAGCTTCAAATGGGGTAAAGGTCAACGCAGAGGGAATGAAGAGTAAGGAGGAGGAGGAGGAGGAGGCAAAAACATCCCCACAAGGAGCATTACAGGGGCATCTGGGGACACCTGACTGAAAGAAACTAAAATAATTGGAATATAAGGTATGAGTTATGATAAGGTATGAGGTATGATCAAACTTTATTCCAGCAAAAGTCTTCATTTCAAATACAAAAACTGAATACCAAAACATCCTCTATGTGAGAGGCTTCCAGCTCGGACACAAGGACACGTTTGTCCTCTAGAGCTGAGGACAAAGACAAAGGCTGGGTCATAACTTTTCAAATGAGGCTCAATACTTTTTAATATATTTCTCTCTGTACTTGGAAAAACTTTTTAACAATTTACCAAACTTTGAATGTTTGGTACACGTGGTTTGCATCAAAGACTCTCCAGTGAAAAATGAGAGTGTGATCAAATGTGTTGGTTGAAGCTCCATGCTGACCTCAACCGACTGTCAAATGGACACGTCGCAGACTACAACTGTACACGTCTCAAAACACTGAATTCACTGAACAATAATCACCTTAGAGGAAATACTGACAGAGGTTAAGACACAGCAGGTTGATCAAGTAAGTATGACACACACACTGGGTAAATCTCACCTTTCCTAATCTAATTTGAAGTCACTTTGTGTGTCAGAGATTAATGTGTTAATCCATAGACTGTATCTTTAAATGAACTTGTGTTATTCACACTCACCTGCACAGATAGTAGGTAACACAGTCCAGCCGTTGTTGTTGAAGCTGCAGCTCAAAGCAGGCTAACGAGCTAGCTGACAGCAAAGCCACTGACTGTTTATCATGACTTTTAATAAAGTTATATTGGGGTAAACTTCATCATTTAGTGACTCTTTATCTCAGGGGACACATTAAAGTCGGTTCAAATCAAAATGTCAATGTTTAAGAAATATCCATTACAGCAGCAGTGGTAAATGTCACAGCCACCTACCTCCACTCTAGTCTCGCTGAGCCCCCCACAGCCGTCCACCTCCTCCTCTACACTCGGATAGTAAACATGTGCGAGGGGAGGGGGCTCAGGCTCCTCCCAGAAAATGGGGGATCCCCTTCAAAGATCGCGTATTAAAAAGATGTTTCTAGTTACAAAGAAAGAGGAAAAACAAGCCCATTTGGAGTAAGCGTTCTTTTTTTATTATTATTTGTTTGGTTTTGGAAGACGAGTTTGGATGATTTCGGTAAATTGTCAGGTCAAAAATAAATGTATGACATCATTACAACGATCATATAACTTTTGAATACCATAATTGTACTGGACATTAATTAAAAAGAACGTTTGTTTACACCACTTCTTTTAATTTAGTATTATTATTATTATTATTATTATTATTATTATTATTATTATTATTATTATTATTATTATTATTACTATAATCATTACTAATGTGCTCTTACATATTATATATTTTGGCATTTCAACGATAGTTTTAGCCCAATGGATACTTTCATACTCAATAGTTTACAGAGCCAGCCGCGCTGTCACTCCATCATAGACATCACATGAAATTGCCGACATTTAGGCACGTAAATTTCATATTCTCTCAATTATATGGCTTGAAATATCTAAGATAATCTTTGAAATAATCGTGACAACTTTATGAAGGGTTTTGTGAAAAGCGTATGAAGTTATTTTGGGTCATATGAACGCAGCATTTTTAGTCTCCTTTGCCAGCAAAGTTTTTCCCCAAGTGTGAAACATCTTCGCACCATAAAATTACTATCTTTGTTCACCCTCATCTCTGCGCTGTTCTCGCGGGAACTGGAAGAAGGCGCCAAAGTAGGAAAACAGCAGCTTCTTCCAAGACGCAGACGGAGGGAACAGTGCGACAATTTAAAGATTTAACTTCACACGTCTTTTTAAAATGTTGATTAACCGACGGACTCACACACGCTGAGCAGGGGTTTTACTTTATTTCTGTAAATCAAAGCCGGCAGACGGCTGTTAAAGATGGTTTTACAGAACAGTGGCAGGTACAGAGCGGAGCGGGGACAAGGAGCAGGAGGAGACCAGGAAAACCAGTAAGCTGTTTAACATCATTCACAAATGAATAAAGAAAACTAGTCGTTAAATATAACTAATATATATGTTTCAACCAGGGATGATGGATCCTCCATGTCAGCCCTCAAGCGGCTGGAGCGCAGTCAGTTCACCGACGAGATGGACGCTCGCTTCGGCTTCGACCGGATGAAGGAACCGGGGGAGAAAACCGGCTGGCTGATCAACATGCATCCAGTGAGCCCCTAACTGTGTAGTGTTATGAGCGTTGTATGTCAGATAATGATGGATAAAAGATAAAAATGTTGTTTCCTGTCCTATTCCTGCTTGCAGACAGAAATCCTGGATGATGACAAGAGGATGATCAGTGCTGTGGACTATTACTTTATACAGGAGGACGGAAGCAGTTTCAAGGTCCTAATTGGGCACCAGTTTATCAGACTAGCACCTGTCGTCTTTTAAGACACTTTCTCTAACTCGTTTCTATTGATTCTGTCTGCAGGTGGCTCTACCATATAAGCCATATTTCTACATTGCGACGAAAAAGGTATGTGAGTGTTGGTTCTTTACCTAAAGGGGTTGGACAATGAAACTGAAACGCCTGGTTTTAGACCACAATAATTCATTAGTATGATCATGGGAGATGTTCAGCTTCACTCATATGTTCATCAAACCACTCTGTCCACTCATCCCGGCCGAGGGAATGCCATGATATTGCAGCCCAAACCATCACTGATTCACCCCCATGCTCTGGGCATGCAACAGTCTGGGTGGTACGCTTCTTTGGGGCTTCTCCACACTGTAACTCTCCCGGATGTGGGAAAGACAGCAAAGGTGGACTCGTCAGAGAACATTGCATGTTTCACATTGTCCACATCCCAACATTTTCGCTGCTGGCACCATTGAAACCGACATTTGGCATTGGCACGAGTGACCAAAGGTTTGGCTATAGCAGCGTGGCCGTGTATATTGACCCTGTGGAGCTCCCTACGGACAGTTTTGGTGGAAACAGGAGAGTTGAGGCAGCTGTGGTTTTATGTTTTTCAATACAATCTGGGTTAGCACCCGGGCATCCCTTTCAGACAGCTTCCTCTTGCATCCACATTTACTCCTGTTGGATGTGGTTTGTCCTTCTTGGTTATGCTGACATAACCCATAATATTGTGTGCAACTGCATTGCAATATTTTAAGCAAAACTGCTATTGCTCTGCTAATTGAACCTTCACACTCTGCTCTTACTGGTGCAATTTGCAATCATTGAAGATTGGCCACCAGGCTGGTCAAATTTAGCCATGAAACCTCCAACACTTTCAGTTTCATTGTCCAATCCCTGTATCTCAGCATGTTTAAACCCTGATCTGAAAGACAACTTCATTTCCAGAACTGTGAGCGAGAGGTCATCTCATACTTGTCTAAGAAGTTTCAAGGAAAAGTGGCCAAGCTTGAAGTTGTGCCCAAAGAGGACCTCGACCTGGTGAGAACTACTCTATTATACCATGTAATTACAACGACAATAATAAGAGACACCCTCTTAACATGTTGTACCACGTTGACTTTTTGTCCTCAGCCGAATCATCTTGTAGGGCTGAAGAGGAGCTACATCAAACTGTTGTTCAACACTGTGGATGATCTCATGAAAGTGAAGCGTGAGATCTCCCCGGCAGTACGCAAGAACAGAGAGAGGGAGCAGTCAAATGATGGCTACACCTCCATGTTGTCAAGGTATATAATCAATCAATCAATTATATTTTATTTCAATAGCACCAATTTACAACAGTCGTCATCCCAAGACGCTTTACAAAGAATAATATCAGGTCTAGATCATGCTCATGGTTTGATGAATTATTAAGACCCAATGTAAGATGGGACAGAGTTAACCCATCTCATCTAACATAAGTGACAGTGGAAAGGAGAAACTTCCTTTTAACAGGCAGAAACCTTGGGAAGGACCAGACTCATGCTAGACAGCCACCAGGCTGCTGCTAGGTTGGGGAGAAATACAGAGAGAGAGAAATGGGAGAGAAAGAGAACAAGGGAGAAGAGAATGCGTAAGGGAGAGGGAGGGAGAGAGAAAAGAGAACTAGGGTGAGAAAGAGAGACAGGGGACAGCACCGCAGTATATCTCTGATCTCTTAAATGTTTATACACCCTCAGGTTCCTTGAGGTCTGCTGATCAGCTCCAACTCATGGTTCCAAAAACTCGTTTATAAACCCGTAGGCAACCGAGCTTTCTCAGCTGTGGCTCTTAAATTATGGAATGAATTGCCACTGGAGATTAAAACATCCCCCACTCTTTCTACTTTTAAATCACATCTTAGAACTCATTTTTATTCCTTTGCTTTTAGCTCAGCATGAGAGTTGTGTGATCTCTGTCTTTTATGGTCCGTTTATCACTTTTATTTCTTTTATGCTTTTGTATTTTGATTTAATTTCAAATTTTTTACCTGTTTTTTTTTTTTTTTTCTCATCTTGATGTTTTATGCAGTTTGTTATTTTAATCTTATTGTGCAGCCCTTTGGTAAACTTTGAATGTTTTTTAAAATGTGCTATATAAATAAAGTGGATTGGACAGCAGCAACATTAAAACAACAACAGCAGCTCATGCAAAGTTGTGGTTGCAGAGCAAGTAAAGATGAAACAATATGAATTTAGTTTACAGGATTAGGATATAAGTAGTTATGGACTATGTTAAATTAATTTAATGTGATTACGGTCAGCGGGCCTAATAGTAGTTAATTTTAGCTTTATGATATTAATGTCGGTGAGGCTGACTTTCATGTCTGCTGCAACAGTCCGGAGGAACCTAAGAGAAAGTGTGTATCTATTAATATTGATAACATTATCTGCTCCAATGAGTTAGTAATATTCAATATCATCCACAATTTCAGCTCTGTTTATTAATAGTGTATTATTGATCTGTTAAATGCTGTATTTACAGTGCCTTATCAGGTGGCAATGTGACTACTGCGGATGAAGAGGGCACGATGAAGAGCATTTCAGACCAGCTGGACAACATAGTGGACATGAGGGAATATGATGTGCCCTATCATGTGCGGTTGTCCATCGACCTCAAGATCCATGTGGTAAAGGAGGATTTCTTTCCTTCTCTGAATGTTTTCAGAAAGAAGATAAACACAGTTTGGTGTTTTAATCTGCTGCTTCTGTCTCTCAGGCTCACTGGTATAATGTTCGATACAGAAGCAGCGCTTACCCACCTGAGATCGTACGAAGAGATGATCTTGTGGAGCGGCCGGTAAGAGGATTTTATAAATAATGATGCATATGAAATGTTCCTTTTGTCAGGTTTGTATTTGACTTCCACTGAATCCTTGTTTCTGGTTCTTTTCAGGACCCTATTGTGTTGGCGTTTGACATTGAAACCACCAAACTCCCACTGAAGTTTCCAGACGCAGAGAGCGATCAGATTATGATGATCTCCTACATGATTGATGGACAGGTAATATGTATTCTATTCAAACACATACCAGTGGTTAATTCCTCAGACAGTTTAATGACGTTTTTGTTTCCTTTAAAGGGGTTTCTAATCACAAACAGAGAGATTGTCTCGGAGAACATTGAGGATTTTGAGTTCACTCCCAAACCCGAGTATGAAGGGCCTTTCACTGTGTTTAACGAGGACGATGAGGTATATGAGTGCTATTAAAACAACACAATACAGAAAAATCAAGTGCTTGAAGATCATATTTCAGCATATAAACATGACTCTGTGTTTTCGTAAACGCTCTGACTCTGTCTGCAGGCAGGCCTCATCCAGAGGTGGTTTGACCACATTCAAGAAACCAAACCGAACATCTTTGTCACCTACAACGGAGACTTTTTTGACTGGTAAGTTTCCCCGATAAAGTGTTCAATTGATCACGTCTACCTTCATTTCCTGATCTTATGTCTGCCCCCTCAAGGCCTTTTGTTGAGACTCGTGCTGCCCTGCATGGACTGAGCATGCACAAGGAGATCGGTTTCCAGAAGGACAATCAGGGGGAGTACAAGTCCAGCCAAGCCATCCACATGGACTGCTTCAGGTTTTGTCTACCCCTGTCTCTGTTGAATGTGGTTTACAAACTCTGGGTTCGTTTACATTATTTTAAACTTTGTCCTTTTTTTCCCTCCCTTGTGTCAGGTGGGTAAAGAGAGACAGCTACCTGCCTGTGGGAAGTCACAACCTGAAGGCGGCAGCAAAGGCTAAATTAGGCTACGACCCAGTAGAGCTGGACCCAGAGGAGATGTGTCGGATGGCAACTGAGGAGCCGCAGGTACAGAAACAGCAGAGAAAATAAAAGTCTTCATTGAGTTTGGTGTTTTGTTCAATTGTTTCTTCACTTTTCTCTGCTCTTAGACCTTAGCCACCTACTCTGTGTCAGATGCTGTGGCCACGTACTATCTGTACATGAAATATGTTCACCCCTTCATCTTCGCCTTATGCACCATCATCCCCATGGAGCCTGACGAGGTTTGTCCATTGGAAATACCATTTATTGACTATACTTCACAAAGAAATTTCCATTTTGATTCTTCTTATTTTTACTATTTGCATAATTCTGTGTTACCAGGTGCTGCGAAAGGGTTCTGGCACTCTGTGTGAAGCTCTGCTCATGGTGCAGGCTTTCCACGCCAACATCATCTTCCCCAACAAGCAGGAGCAAGTCTTCAACAAGCTGACGGACGACGGCCACGTTTTGGACTCTGAGACCTACGTGGGCGGCCATGTGGAGGCGCTGGAGTCAGGCGTATTTCGCAGTGACATCCCTTGTCGCTTCAAAATGGTAGAGTTTCACCCGGAACTTTCTATTTGTTTGCCTGACTCCCTCCAGTCAGTTGGTAGATTATTGTCCAGACATCAGTCGAGGGATATTTTCAGTTAAAGAGTTAAGAACCTATACTTAGGTGCTCCACTTACACATGACCATTTTTTTGCTTGCTGATGCGCTCTGAGTAAATTGTAAATAATGAGGTTGTAAGGTTTCTTTAACAACTGAATGGTTGGATTAGATTGGATTAGATTAGATTGAAATTTATAAATGTTCTTTATTTATTCAGCCCTTTACAACAACCCTTTTAGTGAACCAAAGTGCTTTGCAATACATAGTAAATATAAATGAATAAAAACGTAACAAAAGTAATAAAAAAAAAAAAAAGAATAAGATACAATGCAATAAAATAAAGTGTCACCACGCTACTGGGTATTAAAAGCCAGCATAAATAAATACGTGTTCAGTCGAGATTTGAAAAGGCCCTGGTCAGAAATAAGTCGCATTTCGGTGGGGAGCTTATTCCAAAAACTGGGACCAGCAACTGCAAAGGCTTGGCCACCCCGGTGTTTGTATTTTGATCTGGGCACTTCCAGCAGAAGTTGGTTTGATGACCTCAGAGCTCTACCCGGCTCCTCAACGGTTAAAAGCTCAGTTAAATAGATGGGGGTGAGGCCGTTAAGAGCTTTAATTTAAATTCTTTATTGATCCTCTCAGGAATAATCCATCAAGAAAATTAGAATTTCATTAAAGACTGGATATCATTTCTGTCAACCAAGTTTGTCTCTGGTTATTTGGTACCTCGTTTATGTTTTTGATGCCTGTTGTGTTTACAGAATCCGGCTGCATTCGACTTCCTGATGCAAAGAGTCGAGAAAACGATGCGTCACGCCATTGAGGAAGAGGAGAATGTCCCTCTGGAGCAGGTCACGAACTTTAATGAGGTGCGTTTGCTTTATTTTTGTCCTCTATCTTTATCTATCATCTATCAAGTCCTGTCTGCCTAAACTTAGGAAATATCTTTTGATGCTTCTTCTTCTCAGGTTTGTGATGAGATCAAAAAGAAGCTGACTTCCCTGAAGGAGGTCCCAAACAGGATTGAATGTCCCCTTATCTACCATCTGGACGTAGGGGCCATGTACCCCAATATCATCCTCACTAACCGCCTGCAGGTAAAACACAAACAAGAGAGAAATGCATCAAACAAAAAGAAAGAAAAGAAAAGCATGAATTTAACGCTTTTCTGCTCTAACAGCCGTCTGCTATGGTTGATGAAGCCACTTGTGCCGCCTGTGACTTTAACAAACCCGGTGCTACCTGTCAGAGGAGGATGACCTGGCAGTGGAGAGGAGAAATCAGTGAGTTGAATGTCGACTTAGAGACTTGTGGCTGCTGCCAGCATTGCCTCTTTTGTGATTTGGAAAATGTCTTGTTTTTCTGCAGTGCCGGCGAGCCGCAGTGAGTTCCACCGCATTCAGCAGCAGCTGGAGTCTGAGAAGTTTCCACCATTTTTCCCCAACGGTCCACCGAGGGCCTTCCACAACCTCAACAGAGAAGAGCAGGCCAAACATGAGAAGAAACGTCTGGCAGGTGCTCTCCTCAGACTTTAACTCGAGCGATCTAAAAGTCCTGGTTTGCAAAACGCCGTGTGTGACCTGTCCTTTCACTTTTAGACTACTGTAAGAAGGCCTACAAGAAGACTCATGTCACCAAGCTCGAGGAGCGAGTCACCACCATTTGTCAGAGAGAAAACTCCTTTTACGTGGACACTGTGAGAGCTTTCAGAGATCGACGATATGAATTCAAAGGACTTCATAAGGTACCCTTTTTGTGCTTTTATTAGGGGTGTCATGATTCTACAAATCCACGATCTGATTTAATTTTCGTTTTTAGGTGACAATTCAATTCTTTTTCTTCTACGGACAGCAAAGAGTCTGATGCAATTTTAAAACTAGTCTAGTCTACAATCATTGATTTTATTCATTACATTTGTACAGTAAATATTATTTCAAAAGATTGGCTACAAACAAGTGACGCAGTTTCCATTGTTCTTGTGTAATGTATCACATCAGGCACTAATGGTCAAATTTAAATAATTTATTTAACAATCTTGTTTTCAGTGAACAAACATAATAACAACAAAAATATGAACTCACCAAGGCTTGCGTACAATGTGTGGCGTTGTCATTTACTTCCGCTTTCCAAACCTTTCAGATGTTGAGGCAGGGGATCATCGATCCTCTCTTTGATTTCGATTATTGAGACCATAACGTAATTTTTATCGATTTTCGATTAAAAAATCGAAATCGTGACACCCCTAGCTTTTCTTGATGTGAAGTTCATTAACGTGTGCTTATATCAGGGTTTGCCATTTGGGGCAGGGACCTCAGTTCTAAATAGAGTTACCTGAAATATATCTCCATCCACCAATTAGACCTTTGTCCATTATTATAATGATTAGAAAAAAAACTTCACACAGTGTAAATTAGATTTATTCAAAGTTTTCCTTCAAGTTCCTTCATACATCAAAACAGCAAAGAGATGGTATGTTTGGGATAATGTGCTTTCTGGCTACTGTGCTAGTAGACTTTGTGATGGTTTAAGAGAGTCTACGTTGATGTGTAAAAGACATGACTAACTCTCACAGTGAAGCGTCCTACTCTTCGTTTATGATCTGGCCTGATTAAGAGCAGATCTGCATATTTTTCTGATTTGTTATTTGGCTGCTCGGCTCATTTGATCACCACCCAGGATTGATTTTTCAGTTGTATAAATACAAGCTCAGCTGCCTTTATATATCCAGCAAAAACAAATCCTGTTTGATGCTCTAATCTCATCTTGCAATTCTGTCTCTGTCATCAGTAAGAAACACAAAAAAGTCTGATTGTGGCCCAATGTGTGCACATACTCGCAACAAAGTGTGTTTGTCTGAAAAAGCACAAGATTTCTGTTCAGAGTTCTGTGTCGCACAAAAGTTTGGGAACCACAGACTTAGCCGAAGAGGATGGATATCAGTTTGTTATTCCTCACTTTTTTTGTGTGTTTGTTTCAGGTGTGGAAGAAGAAGCTGTCCGCAGCTCAGGAAAGCGGAGACGCTGCTGAGGTGAAGCGCTGCAAAAACATGGAGATCCTTTACGAGTCTCTGCAGCTGGCTCACAAGTGTATCCTCAACTCTTTCTACGGCTATGTCATGAGGAAAGGGTACGTGCCAGCTACAGTTTCCACGATACAAATCAGCTACTGTAATCTCCCCCTCTTTTTTGCATGAGCTCTGTAGCTTCAGGCACTAGTGTTGTCTGTGCTTCTATCAGGGCGCGCTGGTACTCCATGGAGATGGCTGGCATCGTGTGCTACACTGGAGCCAACATCATCACTCAGGCCAGAGAGCTCATTGAACAGATAGGGTGAGTATCACTGTTGCTAAAGTTCTTTTTACTTCACCTTCTGATCAAAGAGAGGGCAGCTCCAACTCAGATTGGGATTTAGCTCTTTGTTATATCAGTAAATTCTTGCAAACATTTATGGGCTTGTATCCGGCTTCTGCAGCATTGTTTGTATGTGGACTTAAGAATATTAAAATGTATTTTTCCACCCCCCTCAGGCGGCCCCTTGAGTTGGACACTGATGGTATCTGGTGTGTCCTCCCCAACACCTTCCCTGAGAACTTTGTGGTGAAAACCAGCAACGAGAAGAAGCCCAAAGTGACCATATCGTACCCCGGGGCCATGCTGAATATCATGGTAAAGGAGGGATTCACCAATGATCAGTACCACGAGCTGGTCGACCCTTCAACCCTCACCTACATTACCAGGTCAGAGAACAGCATCTTCTTTGAGGTGGACGGACCGTACCTGGCCATGATCCTACCTGCATCCAAAGAGGAAGGCAAGAAGCTGAAGAAAAGGTTTGGCACTGACAGATTTGATTCATTTTTAAAGTTTTATTTATGGGGAAAAATAAAAAAGCTTCAAGAACAAAGATAAATTCTTCCCAATGTTGTCCCACCTGCATTCGTATAAAAATACTGCGTGATTATGACAATTGAATGATGATGACGCTGCTATTTTCAGGTACGCTGTGTTCAATGAGGATGGCTCTCTGGCTGAGCTGAAGGGTTTCGAGGTGAAAAGGAGAGGAGAGCTTCAGCTCATCAAGATCTTTCAGTCATCGGTGTTTGAGGCTTTCCTCAAAGGAACCACTCTGGAGGAGGTGTATGCCTCTGTGGCCAAAGTAGCCGACTATTGGCTGGATGTTCTCTACAGCAAGGTACAAATCTCTGACCAAATATCTGACAGCTTGATTAACTGTTGATTATTATTGTCCTTTACAAAAAGCCGATTGACTTATTTGATGTGATTTTCAGGCTGCCAACATGCCAGACGCAGAGCTGTTTGAGCTGATTTCAGAGAACAGGTCAATGTCCAGAAAGTTGGAGGACTACGGAGAGCAGAAGTCGACTTCCATCAGCACAGCAAAGAGACTGGCTGAGTTTCTGGGCGACCAAATGGTGAAAGATGCAGGTCTGAGCTGCCGCTACGTCATCTCCAGAAAACCAGAGGGGTCTCCTGTCACAGAAAGGTGGGACAGACAACACATTTGTGAAAACTGTTGCTCCTTTTACACACAAACCCCGAGTTTGACTACAGTTGTTTGACCGGTCTTTGTTGCTTCTCATTCCTCGCTTCATCCAGACACATAAAGAAAGTCATTACTACCATGTTACATAGATTTTCTGCCTCTTATGCGATCAAGGGTTGTAGGGATGACAGACTTTGCAATAAAGACAGAATAAAAGCCTCGAGAGTGACACTGATTGATGCGTGTCTCTCTCCATCAGAGCCATTCCTCTGGCCATCTTTCAGGCCGAGTCCAGCGTAAAGAAACACTTCCTCCGTAAGTGGTTGAAGATGCCCAGCCTGCATGACTTGGACATCCGCTCGGTGAGTTTAAATACAGATTTAATGCAGTTAATAGATGCCTTGGTAATCAACTTAAGTGCTCTCTGTAACATCACAATGGGGGCCTTTCAGATCCTTGATTGGAGTTATTACATCGAGCGGCTGGGCAGTGCCATCCAGAAAATCATCACCATCCCTGCAGCTCTTCAACAGGTAAAACTGAGCACGTTTAATCGGGCCCTTAGTCCATTTTTGGATGATAAATAGATGAAATTTTTAATTTATCTGTTATACTTCTAGGTGAAGAACCCAGTACCCAGAGTGAGGCATCCTGACTGGCTCCACAAGAAGCTACTGGAGAAAAACGACATTTACAAGCAGAAGAAAATCAGTGAACTCTTCACCAGCGAGGGCAAGAGACAGGTTTGTTCACCACACAGCAAAATGTCAGATGACCAACACAGAGTTTTCTGTCTTCATGAGTAGAGAAGCTTCTGTTTTTGGTTTGAGAACAGAATTAACTTTATGAATGAAAAATAATGGCGAATATTTGTCAGTGTCCTTTTATCAGGAAACAAGACAAGACGATGCCGCTCAAAAATGACATGGCTGATAATCAAACCTTTAAGGGAATGAAGGTTTAGTCTGGGTAAATGACACGATGAGGAGATAAAAATGTTTTGGACTTTGCAGCATTTGGCATGTTACAGTGTTGGGAACAAAGTGTTAAACTTATGTGGTTGAAGATGGCATAGGAGTGGGTCTGATCTTACAAGATTTTTTGTTGAGCATCTATGGGTAACATTTATTGTTAATTGGCACTAAACCGATAAAGATTGATTGATAATATTTTGACCTATAGTGATGGCTAAGATTCAACAACTAAAGCTAGACTAGGAGTTTCAGCTTTTGGTCGACTAAAACTGTAAAGGGAAAAGTGTCTTATGTCTGACACAAAATCTGAAGCAGTTACAGAAACACTCCTGTAACTCAATGATTGATTTTCAAATCGTCTGTTTTTCTCTCAGGTGGCCCATCAGCCTCTTCAACCAGGCCAAGCCGCAGACATCGAGGACTTTGGAATGCCAGCCAAACCTCTGCAGCCTGCCATTCTCATCAGCACCAAGAGGAAGCGGGTATCTCAGGGATCAGACAGCCAGGTGGAGTCTCAGGATATGGAGCTCACTCAGTCCTGGAGAGAGATCCTGGGGCCGCCCCCACTCATGGGAAACACACGCGTAAGTTTGTGACAACAGACGGTGTTCCCTGTTGTGTCTCTTAGTCCTCAGTCCAAAATGTAGTAATATTTACTCTGTACACAGGAGGAGCGTCTTGTGTGGCTTCGCTACCATAAAAAGAAGTGGGAGCTTCAGCTGAGACAGAGGAAGGAGAGGAAGAAGAGGAGGAAGCTTCTGGACGGTGGAGCTCAGCCTGTTGGAGGAGGAGTGATCAGAGACGGCCCCACAACCGGCCTGGGGAGTTTCCTCCGCAAGACGGCGCGCAGCATGCTGGACATGCCGTGGCAGATCGTGCAGGTGGGGTGGTGTTGTCTTGGTTGTCATCAACAAGCCAGTCCAGAAATCATCTCATCTCATTATGTGAGTTTGTGTTTCCTCTCAGATTGCAGAAACGAGTCACCCTGGTCTGTACAAGCTGTGGGCCGTGATTGGAAATGACCTCCACTGCATGAAGCTCAACATCCCTCGAGTCTTTTACGTCAACCAGAAAGTCCCAAAACAAGAAGAGGGCGCCACATACAAAAAGGCATACAATAAAAAAATGATTACAGTTATCATAAATGTGTTTTAAAGCAATTGTTGTTCATACTACAACTTATTTATGGTTTCGTTTCAGGTGAACCGCATGCTGCCTCGCTCAAACATGGTCTACTATCTGTATGAGTACTGTGTGCCAGAGGACATGTACCAGGAGCACATCAACGAGATCAACGCTGACCTGTCTGCTCCAGACATCGAAGGAGTTTATGAAACACAGGTATCATTTATCGTTTAGTACCCATCAGCGCTTTTGTAACCACTCCCATGATGCTCTGAATCTGAGTTATACGCCTGTGTAAGCAAACTAAAGCATGAGAGTGATCTTCTCTTAGGTCCCGTTGCTGTTTCGAGCTCTGGTGCAGCTGGGATGTGTGTGTATGGTCAATAAACATGCAGTGAGGGATCTGGCTGGTAGGGAGGCCGACACGTTTGACCTGGAGCACCTGGAGATGAGGTCCTTGGCTCAGTTCAGCTACCTGGAACCTGGTTAGACCTGATGTTTGTTTAATTGAGCATTTTCTCTCCCTGTAACCTCATATTTTACATGGTATAGTGTCAGGTATTGTGACAGTGACTGTAACACCATGTTTCTCTCTTCTCAGGAAGTGTTCGCCACATTTACTTGTATCATCACAGCCAGGGTCAAAAGGCTCTGTTTGGCCTCTTCATCCCCTCTCAGCGCAAAGCCAGCATCTTCGTCCTGGACACTGTAAGAAAAATACATCACTGTTTGGCTTAATGCGCGATTGTGTTGGTGTTGAATTGATGAAAGACTCATGAGAGAGGAGGTCTAGACTGTGGTTCAGCCTGCAGTTCAGGCTTGTTTGATTTGCAGAAAGGAAATTATACTGTTGTTGTTCTCTAATTGCCCCTCATTGCTGGTGTCACTGATGGTCTGATCCCTTCAGCTGAGAGTAAACAACCCTGATGATCTGCCTGCATTTTAACTCCTCAGGTAAGAAGCAACCAGATGCCCAACCTGAGCAACCTCTACACAGCTGAGCGCACCGCTCTCCTGGAGAAGACGACCGAGGAGCTCCTTCCTCCTGAGAAACACAACTTTGAGGTCCGAGCTGAAAATGACGTGAAGGCCGTTTACCGCGCCCTGCAGCGCATACTGCTGAACTACAAGGTAAACTGGACTCCTCACGAAAATGACTGTTTTAATCGTTTAAATAAGATGTTTAATCAAGGCTCTGCTTCATCTCGTACTACACAGGAGGAACGTCGTGGACCCACTCTGATCGCCTTACAGTCAAACTGGGAGCTGAGACGGTTGGCAGCAGGAATGCCAGTTCTTGAGGAGTTCCCAGTTGTTCCTGTACACGTAGTTGATGAAATCAGCTATAATGTGCTGGACTGGCAACGCCACGGTGCCCGGCGCATGGTTCGGCACTACCTCAACCTTGACAGCTGCCTGTCACAGGCCTTTGACATGGCCAGGTAGGAACCATCCACCGCCGTCTGAAGGATTCATATTCCTGCTGACAGACAGAAAAGTTTGATAATAACCAAAGGCACATCTCTTGCTTTCAGGTATTATCACTTACCTGTGGGAAACTTGCCACAAGACGTGTCCATCTTTGGCTCAGACTTGTTCCTGGCAAGACATCTGCGAAAACACAACCACCTGCTGTGGCTGTCACCCACAGCGAGGCCTGACTTGGGAGGAAAAGAGGCCGATGACAGTCGTCTGGTGATGGAAAGTGATGACAGGTGCTCAGTGGAGATCAATGCTCCAGGATGTTATTCCACAGGTACAGACAGCAGGGACACAGTCATTAAAAAAACAGACAAGCATTCTTGGAGTCTTGTGTAAAAAAATAAACAATTCTGTTTCTGTCAGTTTGTGTGGAGCTGGACCTGCAGAGCTTGGCAGTGAACACCATCCTTCAGTCACAGCATGTCAACGACATGGAGGGCGGGGCCAGTCTGGGGGTCAGTTTTGATGTGATCCAGCAGGCCTCGTTACAGGACATGATGTCTGGGAACCAGGGAGCCAGCGCTCTGGCCAGTTATGACGAGACCGCCCTCTGCTCGAACACATTCAGGTGTGTAAACACACGCTCTAACAGACAAGTGTGGCCAAGGGGTGAACTCTGCACACCTACTGTGAGGTTTATTTTCATGTTGTGCATAATTGTTTCGCTCACCTCAGTGTTTTCTCTCTGTGTGTGAGCAGGATCCTGAAGAGCATGGTGGTTGGATGGGTCAGAGAAATCACGCAATACCACAACGTGTACGCAGACAACCAGGTGATGCACTTCTACCGCTGGCTGCGCTCACCCAGCTCTCTGCTCTATGACCCCGCACTTCACCGCACACTGCACAACATGATGAAGAAGGTGTTTTTCCAGTAAGTGCCACACCATTCCCTCAACTGTAACACATGTTCATATTTTATTTAAGCCTGTTTTCAGCTTAAGATTGTCTTAGGCCTTTTCTCATCAACAGAAAAGAGATAATACCGTCTGTGCTTGATGATATGTAGACAGATTCTCAGCCTCTTTAAAGACCATTTTTCCCCTGAGTAGTTATCAATCTCTTTCCTGTCTTTCAGAGACATGCTAACTAATCTTTTTGTAGTCGCTCCCAACAGCATTTGATCTACTTCATATAAAACAAAACGGAACGAGACACCTGAGTCATTGGGGATGTGTTTTGAATATGCTGAATGAATGTTGGCGTGTTTATCAGAGGACTAAATCACATTAGCTGTAGCTACTTGTGAGCTGTGTACCTTTTTCTGATCCATGTCAGGAAATTCAATATGATGGTGTTTTGTCTTACCTTTATGTATTTCCATCTTTTCACAAGAGCATAGAGAAGAACTACACTGTCATCTACCATAGATAGATAGATGCTGTCAGCTAAAAATAAATGTGATATGTTGAAAAAACTCTCCTTCTGTTGTCAGGTTGGTTGCAGAGTTCAAACGTCTCGGCTCAACTGTAACGTACGGAAACTTCAACAGGATCATCCTGTGTACCAAAAAGCGGAGGATTGATGACGCCATCGGCTACGTAGAGTACATCACCAACAGGTCAGACGGATAGTCTTTGCAGGTTACAAAAAGAGCATGTGTTTGTTAAAAGTGGGTTTAAAGAGAAAAGGTATGACTTATATTCTGAATAGAAAAATATACTTTCTACATCCATGCATGAGGATAATTCAAGGAAGAAAGCTTGAGCAAGTTTATTCAAACAAACCGAGAAAACCTTTTGTTGTGTTTGAGCCAAAACACTAAAATCAGAGTTAAAAAAAAAATAACCACCCATTAGAGCAGTGAGATGGTGTTGTGGTCTCTATCAACAAAAGTAAAGTCTCTGAGGCACACAGAGGAGGAAAACTATCCATTAGACTAATGGCAGGAAAGACAAGGGGTGAAATCAGGCAACTACTGTTTATTGACGTTGTAACTGAGGGGTCTAATATCTCAATTTTAGTCATCGTGATGTCCTCGTGGTGAAAACTAAATGTTTCCCCTGCTCTTGAGGCTGCATTACAGCGGCATTTGATAAATCAGTCCCACAATAAAAAAGCCTGATCCTTTTTTTCTTTTTGGATCAATATAATAAATGATCATTTCTGACTGTCTGTGCATTAGCATTTTTAAAGTGGTCAGCCCCAGAAGTCTCTCTTTTTCTCTCTCCTCACATAACCTAGAATCTGGCTCTCTCTATTTGTATATTTAGCCTTTATTTCACCAAGTTAGTCCCACTGAGATCACAAATCTCTTTTACAAGGGAGACCTGGCCAAGAGGGCAGCAGCATAGTTCATTTGACAGAAAATACTCACAGCATCTCAACATTAAAACAATCTCACATTAAACATTTACACACAGATGAGGTAGATTGTAATGATTTCACTAAAGTTTTGAAGTCATTTAGTGTCACAAGAGCTTGAGGGCGAAGTTCAGACTGTAATTTGTTCCATTCTAGTGAGTGAGGCGTTGAATATGTAAGAATTGCAGTTATCTCTCCTAACAAACTGTTTCTCCTCTAGTATCCACTCAAGAGAAATCTTCCACTCCCTGTCAATCACCTTCTCTCGCTGCTGGGAGTTCCTCCTTTGGATGGACCCGGCTAACTACGGCGGAGTGAAAGGCAAACTGCCCTCCAGCTTTCTGTTAGGAGAGGTAAGTCAAACTTTGGCCTCTGAATGGGCTCCGATCAAACATGTACGACAACACCGAACTCATGCCTCCTCTCCTCATTCAGGATGGAGCCAAAGAGAAGAAAAAGAGTCCGGTGGATGGAGATGATGAGGGGAGTGACGATGAGGAGGAGAATGAGGTGGAGGAAGATGATGGTGATGGAGAGACAGATGAGGTGGAGGAGCAGATTGAGAGCAGCTGGAACATTATGCAGTATTTGCCCCAAACTGCATCCTGTCAGAAATACTTCCTCATGATTGTCTCCGGTAAGAAGAAATCAATACACTTTTTTTTTCTTATTTCCTACTCCACAACTCTCCCTGACACAAACTTTTTTCCACACCAGCGTACATCGCAGCGGTCTACCACAGCATGAAAGAGGAGCTGAGGCGCAACGCTCCTGGGGCCACACCAGTCAAGAGACGTGGCGGGAGCCAGGCATCCCAGCAGGCAGTTGGAGACTTAAGTGCTCTTCCTGGTAAGATGTAGTGAGTGTGACGAATATCTGGCAGACTTTAGTCTACGAAGGTCGGCTTATAACCATAACTTGATGGATTTCTAATCTGATCTGATTTTTTTTATTTAAACTCCCTCCCACAGGAATGATCTCCTTCTCTCAGGAGTATGTTGCCAGTGAGCTGACCCAAAACTTCTTCAACATCACTCAAAAAATCCAGAAGAAGGTGACAGGTACCAGGAGTGTGACCCAGCCCTCAGAGATGTTCCCTGTCCTGCCTGGATCCCATCTTCCCCTTCACAACCCCGCTCTGGAGTTTATCAAATATGTCTGCCAGGTAATATTACTCATCAAACCTATCACATATGAACTGGCAACATTATTGACTCTGGGAGTGGCAATGAACTGGTGTTGCTAGTGGTTAGTTAGTGATCAATGACTTTCGGGTTTGAAGATTGAATTGGATTTTTTAAGGAGACTGAAGTGCAGAAAAGGGATGAGTCATTACCACCAGCAAGAATGTTATTGTGGAGATTAGATTAATGGATGTTTTTCTTCAAGTCACCTGATTTATGATTGGTCAATAACTGAAACTATAACACATGAATTATCTGTCCTGTCTCATCATTTCTCTTCAGGTCCTTTCGCTGGACACCAACATTGTGAACCAGGTCAACAAGCTGAAAAGAGACCTGCTGCGTCTCGTCGATGTTGGAGAGTTTTCTGACGACGCCCAGTTTCGTGACCCCTGCAACTCCTATGTCCTCCCTGAGGTCATCTGCCACCACTGTAACTTCTGCCGTGACCTTGACCTCTGCAAGGACCCGTCTGTAGCACAAGTGAGAGGAGGGGCATAGATGTGAATCATAACAATACTATGAATGCTCCTGTTTCTGAACATGCCTGTTAAAAAAGGCTCAAATCTCAGTTTGATTTTCTTCTCTCAGGATGGATCTGTGTTGCCTCAGTGGTTCTGCTCAAACTGCCAGGCGCAGTATGAGACTGAGTCGATCGAGATGGCTCTTGTGGAAGCTCTGAAGAAGAAACTGATGAGCTACACACTGCAGGACCTGGTGAGAAAGAAAAAAATCAATGCTAAACATTGTTCTACATGTAACACATTTGTTTCATTTACACCATGAAAAAAAAAATCTTTTTCATGATTGTAGGTTTGTGCAAAATGTAAAGGAGTGAAGGAAGCAAACATGCCTCTGTACTGCAAATGTGCCGGAGACTTTGAACTCACCTTCCCAGCCAAGGTTTGTTTTTTCCACTTACTTACGTGACATCTAACATTGTCTCATTGCAAATCATTGAATTCAGCAATGACTGGGCAATTGTTCCCCTGTGACTTTTTTCTCTTCTGTCTTTTGCAGAGCTTCTCAGAGCAGATCACGGTGTTTCGCAGCATAGCGTCTCACTACTCCATGAACTTCCTGGAAGAAACCATCGACTGGTTGCTTGTAATGAGTCCACACATAAGTCAAACTCACTAAGTGTGACATCCACCACAAATCCCTCAGCTACATTTGTGGAAAGTGATTTTAAATGTGGGAAACGTTCCCATTTTGTGCACTTGTTCATTAGCCTTCATAATGTCAGTTTGTGGATGTAAAATCAGGACACTGTGGCGACAGGCTGCAGGAGGAATTGTAGATACTTTGACATTTAAAAATATCCTTTCATAGTTATATGTTTGTGTGCAAATTTCTTATTCATTGCAAGACATTGTTAATAAATATTTTTCCAAGTGCTTTATCTCCTCATTTTGCTGCTTGGTAACTCAGTACTGTAGCAAGTCCTGCCACATTCAAGGATAATACTACTGCAGCCAACTATCAGGTTTCCTACTCTAGTATGGAAAAGTATGGAAATGAATCTGATAAATTTCCAGGTCTTACAAAGTATTGAAAATGAAAAATAAAGTATGGAAAGATATTTATGTTTCCAGACTACTACCACAGTTCTAAAATACTGTTTTCAAAAGGAGAAAAGTTGGTATTCCCAAAAATAATTCTAAAAAGAAGAGTGGAAAAGTATGGAAACTCCAACTGTGTAGAAACCCTGAACTATAAAAGTATCCTCAAGATTTCCCTCTTATCAGTCAGAAGCTGCATGCACTTTAAAAATGTTTCATACTTGGCTGCAAATGTGCCTGTTGTAGTTTATGTGCCACATGTGACTTTAAGTGCTCCAAATTTCCAACACCAGTATTGCTTCAGTCAACTTCTGCTGAAAAACTGACTAACTAAACTTCACAGTGAGTTTCTTTAATCGCTGGCAGACAAACATGATGATAATAAGGGGAGTAAGGACTACACTGTCAAGAATGACTGAATATTTCACTATTCAGTAATCTCCCACAACATGCAAACCTCAAAGTGTCACCAGGATTCAGGAGAAATTTAGACATTTATATACAGTATTTAAGGTAATTTTTCAAGTCATTTTAAGATTCTTACATATCTCCTCAGAATCTTTTCAATCTTGCTGAAATGTTTAATTTTCAGTTTACAGAAAAGTCACTGATGGCAAGTCGTTACATTTTCATGTGTCAGTTCCCCTGGTGACACCACATATTTCAGTGTCACTATGTAACACAACTGTAGCCCCCAGGGTCTTTGGACCTCACAAGTACTAGCCTACTGGAACTCATCTGATATATCCTCCTGTGTCAGTAACCCACCATGACTACACCCCCAAAAATCATGAGCATCTGCAAGTATTTATGAGAAGCTAAAGCTGACTTTTCAGTTTTGTCATTTTTAGGAATAATTATTTAAACTGAAATCCTGTTTAAATTGTGACAGCCTGAAATAATTCACAGTGACAGTAAGATTCAGCATTTCTGTGCAGTATTGAATACATGATCTGCTGTTAGAGGCTGAGAGGGTCTTTTCCATAGCAGCTGATTTACTGTGAGCAGATCTCCAATACAAAGATCTTAACCCATGAATCTCCATCGCTTTAACCTCATTTGCCCATGGATGACTCACTTTTCCTGCTGATGGGTGTCTCCCAGACAAGTAATCACATTCTAGACTGATCTGAAACACAATTGGATTGGCTTCTTGGAGCTTCTCACAGACACACACTGAACATGTAGGCCGACAACTGAAGCACTTACAGGCCCTTTGACTAAACTCTTTACATTTTCAATGTTTAGATGTCTTAGATGCTGAGACACTGAGCTCAGCAGTGAAATAAATTAACAAAGTATGAAGCTTAGATTTTACATTCCTCATTTTCATGTCATAAACACACTTTTCTAACCAATTTGTCACCGTCCATTGTAGCCCCTCATCCATCATAGCAAGACATCGATCCATTAGACTTAATCTTAAGTCATTCTCTTTACCACTGACATTTGTATTGCTCTCAGTGGCTCAGATGGATTCACACTTCCCCCAATCTTGTTAGGGAAACCGTTTTATGGGAAATGTCAGTGTTATTTGATTACTGCTCATTGCCTCTCTCTCTCTCTCTGCATCTCCTGGCCGTTTCCTCTTGCACACATCGGGTTTAAAGATGGATGGAAATGAATGAGAACATGTAGATTCTGAAAACAGGGAGCACAGTTTTATGTGTCTAATACAGGTTTACAAGAGCAGAGAAATTCATTTTAATGCTTGTTTCTGAGTTGATAAATACAGACATTACTTTTTAAATGACGTTGAATATCTGTAATACAGAGATATAAACGGTAATAGGCTGTATGATTGTGTAAATAAAGACATCCTCCAAAACAATGACAAGGTGAAAGAAACGAAAGAGATGCACTGCTGTAAAGTTCGAGTCCATCAAAGTTTGAGATGATACATGAAATGAATCCACTGCAAACCAGCTGTTTTCCAATGTCCTCTGTCTCTCCTTTTCCAAAAAACCACACCATAGCAGCTGCTGGCAGTCCAGTCACTGATCTGACGAACCTCTCAGAGTTGTTGCCACAGTCAGCTGGTTGAGTAAAGTCCAAACTCTTGACCAGCAGTGACTTGAGGCAACTGTGACAGCATTAAAGAGGGACGCCGTCTGACAGGTCTGAATGGTTTGAGCCGTAGCTGTTGATGTAGCTGAGCTCTGTTGGAAGGGTCACTGAGGGCTCTCTGTTGATCTGTTGGAGAGGGAAATCCTTACTTGTGTTTGATAGTAATTGCTCAGTGTAATGTGCTGAATCAGCAACCATTAAAATGTATGTTATACGTGTGACTTTACATTACATCTAGGGCTGAGCGATGTTGGAAAAAGTTTATCACAATATATTTTTCTCATGTCAGTTGATATGTATATCACGATATAAAAAATGAAATTTAACAGTGCTTATTGGTAGCATGTCTTTAGCAATACAATAAGCTACTGCATCTGTGAGGTCTTTGTGCCTCTTCGACATTTTGTCGTAAGGTGTTGCGCTAGAGAAATCGCACTGAATGGTCGGCTGTTTCTGCAGGGTTTGTAACCTTTTGCACTGTGTATGCTCTGCCCTGTAGCACTGCTACAGTGCAGCTGCAGTCTGCTATTACGCAGTTGTTTGCTACTCGGTTCTAATTCAGCACATGATTGGTTCAGCACGGAGCGGACCCGGAGCAATTCCCCTTTTCATTGGCTATTCATATAGTCTACCAAACCTGGCAGAATGCTGACTATTGAAAAGGATATTGACCATGTTTTATATTGATATTGAGGGAAATCAAATTTTTCATATGTATAGTTATCGTTTTATCGCCCAGCCCTACTCAGAGCTGTTTAAATATAACCTGTCCAAAAATAGGGATGTAGTGGTTACTAACCTCGTCAAACTTTCTCTCACTGTAGACCTCATTCTTGTCGATAAATGTCAGCATGATCCAATCACAGATAATGGTGCACTAGAGGGGTGAGATTTAAAAAGAAGAAAGAAAGAAAGAAAGTTTTGAGGTGAAAAGAGCTTCACTGCAGGTTCAAAGTCTTCAGCTGAGACGCAGTAATTACTCACTATCCCAACTGAAGTCATAGCCGTCACAGTGCTGATAATTGTTGGGATGGGACTGAATTTGCCAGCCTACAAAAGACATAATTTATTAATCATATATCATCGTTAACTGACGGTAAACAGCAGTAATGATTATCTACTTACATGTCCATGAACTATGACATCCAGACGGATGCCATAAGCCTTGATAAGTGTCCGAGACTCAACCCCGTCCTTTCTGTAATATTTGGCAAACCTGAATATTTACACAAACATCGCAGGGTTAAAGATTGGGAAATTAGTCAATCAAAGTGACAAATGCTGTGTGAAGTACTCAATAACAAATCCAGTGTTAGCCTCACCTGTAATAGTATCCAGAGCTAGCCTGATCCTTTCGTAGATCAAGACGACGGAAGGAATAAGTAGGTTTACAGTGAGAAGGATCCAAGTCCAGGTTACACTTCCAGTTGATGAAAACCCCTATCACTCCACCCTGTGCAAAAGCAGCAATAATCTCATCTTGAACAATGCAGTATCATTACAGTTTTAAATACAGGAACATGTCTAGGCTTTTTGACTGGCCCAACTGAGGCACTGATGAAGACGGGAGTGGCAAGGGTATGTTTGTGTATGTACAAATATGCATTAATGGCATTTACTCTCTATGTCTTAACCTTCTATGAGACCATTCTCCACCACATCAGCCATGCTAGAGACAGTGTGGACACAAACACCAATCAATACAACAGTTTCAAGGTGTGTCCAAAAAGTAAGACTTTCTGGATGAATAAATGTCTAAATGTCTGGGGTCACGAAGTCCATTCACTCAGGTTTCAGTGAGGGCTCAGTGCTATCCCCTGGCCACCTCTCTGGACATGTCTCTAATTACACCATTTTTAATGTTACCCAATTCCTTTTTCTTTAACTAGACAGCATTTTACAACAAAAACCTTCCTGAGTCAAATCATCAGTGCATTTCCCTGTGCCGATCTGTTACTTACAGTCTTGCAGAGCTCACTGAAATTCTCCCTCGCCTGTTTTGCGATGTAGCCAAGACGAAAGTTTGGACAGTAGGGCTCTTTCTCTTCATTATAATAACACTTCCTGAGGTATTTTCGCATGGAGCGTTTGTTTGAAGCATCTTTGATATTCCCTCTGCCATAGACAAAGACAGCAGCTCTTCAGAATTTCTGCAGCTCCAGTGCCTGAGCATGTCAGCCCCAGTGTGAGTGTGCTTACTGTGATCGAGTGTGAAAGTTCTTTACCTGAGCACTTTGAATCTTGGGAAGTGGATAGAGTTTCTGATGAACACAGTGAAATTTATGGCTTCCTCTAGAGCTGGCTCTCTGTAAAAGACACAAAGTAAGATATGGTAAACTGTACTGTACTTTTCAGCTAGTTTTAGTATTTAGCTTGTTTTTTCTGCCAGTCACAACTACTCCCAGTACAATCTTATACTGACAACCTTTTGTGTACATCTATGACCAAGAAAATACTCTTACATAATTGATGTTCTCAGTTTTGCCCAAAATATTGAACAAATCTTTCGTCTTGTTAGCTTGTTTTTTCAGCATTTATTTGAGATTTAACTCTGACCGTTAGTCTTTTTTTGTATCCAGTATCTGTAACAGTAGGCCTCTAAAAATTCATTTGTCACAACAAATGGGGTCTCATAATTGACAGGAGCTCAACACAGTGACCTTAAAACTAGGACCCACCCCAGATGACTTCCATAGGTTATTCCATAAAATCCATTCATTTCCTGGTCTAAGAAATTTTATTAAAAAAGAAAAAAAAAACATTGTTAACTGAATGCATTTTGTTGTGAAGCGCAGTGTCCTGCACATTGATTTTGTTGCAGTTGCAGTTTGCTTTGCTTTTGCTTTGCTTTTATCATCAATAAATAGTTCAACAAAATAATTACTTTACCTCCCTTTTTTAAGGCCTGAAGACATAAAATTCATCTGTGCTTCTTAGCAAAAAACAATTACTAAAAAACTATATTCTTTTCATTCCCAACACGAGGATCTGTTTCTGCATTTTATTTCCAAAAGGCCTGTCTTATTTATGGATTGAAGCTTTGACGACAATTATTTCATCTTACATTTTTCCTGAATTACTCAAAATTAATAAATCTTACTTGAACATGACCCAAACAAGTTTAAAAGAATTTCCCTCATCCTCCTTACCGTACCACAGCATACTCCTCAATAGGACACCAGGTTTGTATCTCACAGGTTTTGAACGTGTAGTTGTAGTACTGAACACATCTGCCAGTCCTTTTGCCTGAAACAAAGTGTTCCAAAACTATAAAATATGATGGTACATTTTGATTATCCAAGCTTGTAAACAAAATTTGAAAAGGCTAAACACTGTACCATGGCCATCAAAGTCAACCTCTCCCTCAACACAGTCAGAGTCTTTCGTACAGTTTGCATTCGCAACGTTGAAATGCTGCAGTGAAACAGGACAGATATATTTGACCTCACAGGAGAGCAGGTTTAACAAATGTGCTTTCTTGTTATTGTTATAAAAACTCAAGTTGACCTCTCACCTCTGCACAGGTTCCTTGCTTCTGATCATAAGTAATTTCTCGTCTCAATATTGTGCTAATCACATCCCCACCCTTTGAGAGAAAAAAGCACAAATGTCACTGGTCTTCATATGAGACTTCTTTAAGAGAACTCTGCCTTTTTTCTAAACTCACCTCTGAAGGCCGAGCGTATTCCACAGTGTCAAAGATCTCGTCACCGTGAACTGCTGAGCCTCTCATGAGTGTGTAAACTGAGCTCTCTGGACGGGTTTCACTCTCTTGGTAGGCTTTCTGACTTATGAAGACATACCTTCAGATTTATAGAACAGACAGACCCAATATCACATTTTCTCCTATGACGTCAAGATAAACTGGAGGTATCACATTACACAAGAGCTGTTCAGCCCTCCTTACTGAAACCAAAATGGAAGAAAACATGATGCACATCATTTGTGATGTTCAAGACATCTTAGCTGAGGAGTACTTTCAGAATTACAACAGTCATATGGATAAAAAATAACAGGCAAAAAAAAATAAAAATAATAATAACTGGCATCAAAATTAGACTGCGTGGTTCAAGTTAAATGTCTTTTGATTGACATAATGTAAACCATGAGTAGATAAGACATCTCTCCATCAGTTATCCTTTTCATTTATTTCCATTTAATTTCTCTTAGGGATTTCAGTTGCACAAAACTACAACAAATGGGTTTGAGGATTAACAGTAGCACTAGTTTGTTTTTTTAATTTTACAACCTTTTCACACAGAGAAATTCACTGCCAGGAAAACACAAACTTGTATTCACTGTACCTCCTGAATGAAAAATGACAACCAACACATGATGTTAAAGTTACAGGAAGTTTTGATGTTCAATTTGTACTTTTTAGTACATACAGTTGGCATGCAGAAAATACATCATGAAGCTTACCAGATGAAATAGGTGATCACAAGAAACTGAACTGCTCTGTATATAACTCCAAGAGTTCTGTTTTTCACCACCATCACCTTTGGTGTCTCATAGTCCCAGAAGCCAAGAAAATAATCCTTTATAAATTCGCGCAGGCCCATGGTGAACTGATGACATGCTTCATCCATTAGTTAATCTTTAAGAATATTTTTTCTAATAATCTGTTTATCTTGCTGACTTTATCACCCCAGCAATGGTTTTCTTTCTCACTCTCTGCTCCTGTCCAGCCCCAATCAGCATCACTCTCAAGCATCTTCTGCACTAGCAGGAGAAACGAGGAGTGGAGGGGGTGGGGCTCAAATGTGGTTGAATCATGCAGGGGAAAGTGGGGTAAGTTGAGCCAAATGGTAAGCTGAGCCACCTCCTGTTGCTTGGAAATGGTAAAAGAAATTGATCATGTGACCAAATATTTAGGAGATGGTCATCAATTCATGGAGTCTGTGAAGGTTAGAAGCACATGGTGAAGAGGTTAGACATTTATTTCCAAAAAACATTTTTCACTCTTCAAAGTAATTTGATCTGTCATGAGTTTTATTAGAATTGTGCTCAGACCAAAAAAAGATAATTTTAAATTTGTTTTATACATCAATTGTGGTTTCTATGAGCTACAGCATGCGGTGAAAAACCTGACATAAAAGTCCACCATTTTAGCTCAGAGGACTAATAAAGTCATAATAACAGTTCTGGAGTAAGTTTAGCCAGTGGAGACCACTTAAATTGGCATGGTTTATTATCAAGATAGTTACGTTTACACTCATTCTGTTGGTTTGCAGGAATGCACAACATCTTCAAATATATGCAGATACACTACTAGTTAAAGACAAAACTATGATTGCCTTGATGTAGTGATCGGAAATATGAAAAATGGCTCATCTTACCCCACTCTCCCCTATTTAATTTTTTGCTTTGTTTTCATCTCAAACTCTTCGGATAATTTCGCATCATTTTGTTTCTGTTGGATCAAAAATCTTACCCAATGCTTTCAGCTCACCACACGAACTTTATTTATTTTTATTTACATCTTTTTTGTCTTTCAAAATGGGGTACAATTCGTATTTAATTTCAGTCTGTGTTGTTGTAAAATCAAACTTGTTTAATTTTCACGTATTTTGGCAATAAAATAATGTTAAAAATGCGTTGTTCAATTCTTTTTCAAAGTTAAATGCGTTGAAATGAGACATTTAGTTCTCTTGGTACAATATGAACAAAAGTTGAATTACTAACACTGGACTCTTGGGACTTTTTGCACTTGCTTTGTTTTTGTTCAGGCGGACATCGGCCTACATGTCATCGGGGTCCTGATTGCTGCTCTCACTGCTTCCTCCGCGCATGTCAGACGACACGTGCATCGGCCGTCTCTGTTTGTAGCCCTCAGCCCGTGCCCATGTAATGATCTTTCTCTATAGATAATTAAACCTATTAACGTGTGTGCCCGGTAACATATCATCTCTAAATGGGAGGTCTTCAAAAGAAAAAGGTAAGAGTTGGCCTGTAGTAAACATCAGGCTTGTCCGCAGCGAGTCTTGTAGGAAGGCTAGCTAGTTAGTTAGCTGGAGTCAAAACATGCATAGATTTAGACCAAGGATTGATTTATATACGGCCTGTGGAAGTGAATTCTGATTTTTCTGTTATTGCTTGCAGTTTGAGAGGGGCTCTGCCGCCAACTACATCACAAGGAACAAAGCTCGTAGGAAGTTACAGCTGAGTCTGCCGGATTTCAGGTAACATTACCTTTAAAAAGGTCGCTTAGATGCAACCTCGTTTAGTGTTGCGCTTTATCAGTCTATAGTAATTTATGTAAAGATCACAAGTGCACTATGTTGGATATGTTTCACTTATTTAGAGTTCAAAGTGCATAGTTTTTGATGAAACATAAACTGTTCTGTGTTGATTTCCTGTTTTTAACTTAATTTTTATCAAAATTTTCACCCCAACAATACAGTGCATACATCTCAATACAATACATTTCTTCTCCTTTTTCCAGCTGTATGTGTATTTTTACAAACATCCACAGATAATGTAGGATTAAATCAAAGAGAATAATCATAGTAATCATCGCAAATAAACAATGTCCACTCCAAAGTAGAGATTTATAGGCACAAGTTCTAGTCAGAGGCACGATGACAGTATTTTGATATGGATAGGAAGCACTTACACCATTAACAGAACTGTCATTGCATCAATAAAGGTACCACCTGTTTTTAACTTTTGGGAGATTATTGTTTGGTGGTTACTAACTATATAATATTACATTGGAGATGTACTTAAAAAAAATACATGACAGCACAATGGACTGGAAATATTTAACAAAGTGTCCGATTGGTTAAAACAGTCGAGAAAACCACAGATGTAGTTGTATCAGGGTGTAGTTTTCCGTATTTTCAGTGGTAAATCGTCAATCCATGTACACTTTTCAAAATACGTTTATTTGTCATGTGCATGTTAGACAAGGTCAACAGTGCAATGAAATGTCCTGGATGAGAGGACTGCTCGAGTCAAAAGAGTACAGATAAAACACACAATAGTACTGAAGGAACTTGTTAACTAGTTCCTTTGTGACAGAAAAAGTGAGTTGTATGCCTAAATCTGAACTATTTGGTTATGGATTAATTAGGATTTTTTCTTATGGAGACAGCCAAACAACTACCAAAATATTAACCAAAAAGTAGTCTTTCATCCCCCAATGATTTATACTTTTTTGTCAGGTTGCCTATCAGAGAAGATCGACCCCAACAGCAGCTTTGTCATTTCTCAATAATACCTGATCTCTTTGTTGAATTTCAGGCGTCTTTGCATCCTCAAAGGCATCTACCCTCATGAGCCCAAACACAAGAAGAAGGTCAACAAAGGCTCTACAGCTGCGAGGACCTTCTACCTGCTCAAAGACATCCGCTTCCTGTTGCATGAGCCAATCGTCGGCAAGTTCAGAGACTACAAGGTATCGCACACATATGATACGTTTTTAAATGTCACAGTCAATGTCTCTGTTTAAACTAGAATTTTTGAAAGCTGATATTGTAACTTGTGAGAAAATCTGTCAGTTTTTTTTTCAAAGCTAATTTAAATCATCCATTTAAAGATTTTTGAATATATGTTCTACTTGCATAACTGTTGTGTGTTTTTCTGGTGACATTTTCTAAATTAGTGGTATGAAGTCTAAACCAGCTTTCCATGTATTCTACTTCAACAGGTCTTTGTTCGCAGACTTAAGAAGGCATATGGAAAAACAGAATGGTCTGCTGTTGAGAGACTGAGGGAGAACAAGCCAACCTACAAATTGGACCACATCATCAAAGAGAGGTGAAATACAGTTTTTCATCTAAACTGACTTTCCAGGATCAAAAGATAACCAATCAACTCAGCTGTGTGAAGTGCTCTTTAAAAAAAGTATAAACAATTGAAGCAATAATAAACTGCACCTGGATTAAAATTTCCTGTTCACCTTTTCTGAGGCAGTATTAAGTTGAGAAGGTTTCAAATTAAGCAGCAAAAATTCTTTAAGACCATTAATGTAACGACAGCTGACTGTTATTGTGCTTATTTTGGCAGGTATCCTTCTTTCATCGATGCCCTCCGTGATATCGATGATGCCCTGTGTATGTGCTTCCTCTTCTCCACCTTCGCCCGCACGGGAAAATGCCACGTTCAGACAATCCAGCTGTGCAGACGCCTCACTGTGGAGTGGATGAACTACGTGATCACATCTAGTGCTCTCAGGAAGGTTCGTCAGTCTTTGTTTGTTTGTCATGAAGCAGAGAGGGAGGTGCTGTAATTGGTTTGTTGTATGTTTACGGTCATCTGTTTTAATGAACCTCAACACTTGTCTTTATATCATAGGTGTTCATCTCTATCAAGGGAATATATTACCAGGCTGAGGTGATGGGACAGCTCATTACATGGGTGGTGCCGTATCAGTTCTCCCATGATGTAAGTCAATGATGAAATGCAGTCCACAGTGAATATGCTGATTATAGAAACTGCTTTTATACTATTATGGGATTACACTGAAGGTTGACACAACTCTGTCATCACTGGAACCCATAATAACAACCCATACATGAACAAACATTTGTAATACTCTAGTGAACTTGAGGTAACGTCGGGTGTTTGGATAGGGTTGCTCTTTCTGTTTAAATGGCTGGAGTTGTTAATTTTGGGCAGTTCACATGTTGCTCCTTAACCCAGGGATTTTTAAATACTGTCAAAGACAACTCTGATCTCCAGTAATTCATCTGTGTATCTCGGTGATACTTTTAAAACAATTTTCAGCATCCAACTGATGTGGACTACAGGGTGATGGCAACTTTCACAGAGCTCTACACCACCCTCCTGGGGTTTGTCAACTTCAGACTCTACCATTCCCTGAACCTGATCTATCCTCCAAAGGTACAGACTGCTGCATTATTAAACTACATCTGATGTTGATAGACGTGGATGGTGAATAAGGATTTTTATTTTTCTGTTCATGTCTTCTGCAGATGGACAGTAAAGTAGAAATGGATCAGATGGAGGATGATGACTATGCCATGACTTCAGAAAGCAACTCCGAGGTGAGACCTACTGTCTTGAATAATTTTTAGGTCCCTTTCAGCCCTGAACACACAGTAGCGGCATCTTTTTTTACAGTTTGTGATTTTTTTGAAGTAATTTCTTCACACAGTTTTCTTTCAAAGTAACATTTCTGAAATTTCTATCTGGTCTTAGAAAGATGTCATTCATTATGTTAATTTTGGTAAATTATCCAGAGTGATCAGGACATCATTGTCTCTAAGATACACTGTTCTGATTTTGAAAATACCATGACTTCAATGCTTTGAGCAAGACAAACAGTTACTCTCACTTTCATATTAATGAGATGGATTAAAAACTTTGAAAGATCGCAGGTATCGCACACTAATATGTAATTATCAAAACTAGAAACTACAGTATCACGCGTTGTAAACCTTGTATTTTCTTGGACTGAAGTGCTTCCTTGATAAGTTGTATTTTAATAGATCATTGTTCTAATTCTTTGTTTGTTGTGCAGAAACTGTCAGCTCTCAGTGCCAGCCTGGCTCGCGCGGTTTCTTCAGCAGAGGAAGAGGAGGCTGAACTGGACCAGTTTCCTGTTGAAGGGGTACGGTTTCTTATCTGTTCCAGATACAGCGAGTAAAGAACCTCATGGTCATGATTATGAGTGCATCACACACAGCCAAACAACACTAGATAAATTAATTGGTCTCTTAGGGAAGAGGTGAGAAGTTAGGATCTTTGTCAGACTGTTCAGAGCCTTTTGATGTGTGAGACTGGGGACTTCAGCTTCATGTTTGGTAGCGAGGAATAAGATGTTCCCAAGCTTTATTTGTCAGATTGTCACACAAACTACAAGATCCACTTCTGGGTCTGCTCAAACACAGTAACTTTTCAGTATTTTACCTGCATTTAAACAAGATGAGATACATTTATTTTCGGTTTTAAGGCATGGAACACGAAGTCCCTGCAGTCCCTTGACTCTAATGTGTGATTTTTGGCTGTTAAAATAAATACGTCTTTAAGGAGGGCTTACATTATTTTTCAAGATGCTGATACTGTTGCAGCTGGATGTTTTAGACTTCATGAAAGAATTTAAAACAGTTATTTATTTATTTGTGTTTTGTTTTGTTTTTTTTCCAGGAGGACATTGAACAGATGGAAGCCAAGGAAAAAGAGCAGAAACAGCAGAAGCTTTTTAAGGGACTAAAGTTCTTCCTCAACAGAGAAGCCCCCAGAGAGTCTCTGGCTTTTGTCATCAGGTGAGTAAATTTGTGCTCCAGTGAGGCCTGCAGTTCTATCCGTGCCAAAATAAGAAGCAATCCATTTTAGTTTGAAACTGAAGTGAGGCCTTAAACCCTTTTCTTTTCCTGTTACCTTGAAGGTGTTTCGGTGGTGAGGTGTCCTGGGACAAGTCTCTTTGCATCGGCAGCACATATGAAGTGACAGACGAGACCATCACACATCACATCGCTGACAGACCAAATATCGAGAAACAGTACATCAACAGGTAATTGATGGTAGATCACGATGTTTTTCCAACGATACACATCTTTTCTGTCAGAGTTTCCTTGTACTTTTCAAATAGAGAAAGAAAATAATATTCTTCTTCGATAAAAAACAAGACTTTTTATCAAAACAATGAAAGAAATGTGCTGTTTCCATAATTTTCCTTTGAAACTATGTCCTCTAGGTACTACATCCAGCCACAGTGGGTGTATGATTGTGTTAACGCCAAAATGCTCCTGCCTGTGGAGGACTATTTCCTCGGAGTGAACCTGCCCCCCCACCTCTCTCCCTTCGTAGAGGAGAAGGAAGGAGACTATGTGCCTCCTGAAAAACTCAAGATCATGGCCTTACAACGCGGAGAAAAACCCGGTATGATCCAAGTGTTTTTTTTTTCCATTGCGTGTCAAACCTTTTCATGCAATTACACCTTTTTGTGTAATTAGCCATAATAAGCAGGATGAACTTGTGGACACATGCGAGTCTGCAATCAGTCTGATTACACAGCCAAGGAAAAGGTGGTTCCTCTCAGTTGATTGTGTGACTTCTGGAAACATTTGGCCTCATAAGAAATAAGGTGTATCTGGATGTTATATTTGTGATCAACTGAGATTTTTTTCTAATTAAGCAACTAAAGGATATTTTTAATTGAATGTAATCAATCATTTGAATTTCATTCATTTAAAAGGAAATATTAAACATGTGTGAGGAGTCTAAGTTTTAGAGGCTGACATGTAATTATTTGTTTTACTTCCATCACAGCCAATGAAGAGGAAGAGGAGGACGAAGAGGAGGGTGAAGAAGAAGAAGAAGAGGAGGGAGATGAGGAAGAGGAGGAAGAAGAGGATGAAGAGGAAGAGGCAGAAGAGAAAAATCTGAAAATGATGGAAGAACAAAGATCCCAGGGCAAGGTGAGATGATCTATTCTCCTGTGTCTGTCATGTCTATAGTGATGAAAAGAAGTGACACCATCACTTCTAACACTGTCACTCTTTTTAGTCTCTTCAGGTCAAAGTGACACCCGGCAAAGTAAAGGCAGAAAACTCTGCACGCTTGGAGGAGGAGGAGAAAGCTGAGGAGAAACGTCTGGCCATCATGATGATGAAGAAAAAGGAGAAGTACCTCTACGACAAGATCATGTTCGGAAAGAAGAGAAAAGTCCGAGAGGTTTGTTCTTTTGTTTTTTATCGAATATGGATTAATGTGCAGATAAGTCTGTTTGTGCTGCCTTGTGTACTGATAACAGTCTTTACACTGGATCCTATGTTGTCTCTGTCAGGCATCTTATCTGTGGCTGAGAATGTTAAACAGCTTTGTAAAGCTGCTGTGTGCTGAACACATTCACACCCAGCAATGGCCCCCCGAGTTCACAGACCTCTGAAATACCTTCATGTGTTTATTCTGCTCTTTCAGGCTAACAAGCTTGCAGCCAAGAGGAAAGCCCACGATGATGCTGAAAAATCCAAGAAGAAAAAGGCCAAAAAATGACCGGTGTGATGATGTATTACTCGGACAGACCAATGTGCATCACAGGTTGAAATGTCATAAAACCTTTTTGTGGATTATGGTGCCCTGTGATGGAGCTACAGGCACTCTGATGTGGGTGCGTCAACCTCTGCATAAATTTAAGCTGAGATGCAAGGTGTGGCTCATGCTAACTGTACCTATAAATGTAAAAGTGACTGTTTTCTGTAATGTGTTCTGTTTCACCTATCTGCTGACAGGATATTCGCTTCCTTTTCACATATGTACATGAAATGGTGTATTTTAAAGTAAAAACCTCAAGATTACGACTTATTTTAAGTGATTTTTTTTAACAGGATGAGCAGAAAATGAAGAGTTGGTTTTCTTTGACTTCCTTTCACTTAAAGACCCACTCCAATGAAAATCAAGGTTTTTTTAAATGTTTTTATATGTTCATATGGCATTTTTCTGATGCTACAGGACATATAAGGAAACTATTAGCTTTCATCGTGTCCCAAAAGATGTTAGTGTCCCAGAGATGAATAGCTCCTATGTTACCTGCCACTTCTACTACACCGGCAATGTTAGGCTGCAAGCTAATGTGAAGACAATTGTGTGCAGAGCAGCGCTGTCTACACCCACGACTCAGAGGCGAATTGCTAAATATCTACTGGAGCTCTGCAGAAGAAAAGCCCTTGAAAATGACCTCGGTAACGCAATTTTTTGTAAAACTTTATAATCACAATTTGAAGACCATTGAGAACATTTAAAATAATTTTTAAAAAACAATCGAAGTGGGACCTAAAAACACCAGCTAGCCCAGCAGTTCAGTGCACCCCTGAGGCTACACTCGTCATCGCAGCAATGATCCTTTGCTGCATGTTTGAAGCACACTCTCAACTCCCCACATATCCAGTCTCTCTCTCTCTCTCTCCACCTGTTGAATTAAGGTGAATGTATTGTAAAGAAGATTTTTTTTAAAAAATGCATCAGAAAAAAGGTTCACTATACGTGGAAAGATGTCCCACCATACCCTACATCCTTAGCTGTCCACTTGGTGTGGGCTGGTCACCATGGTCACCATACGGCTGTTCTCGGATAGCCTTGATTGATTTGTCCGCACACGGGCAGTGGGTGATGATGACGAACAAGCAGAATACTCTCTGCCCTCTTGGGATTCTGCAGTGATTGTGGTGGGCTGAAGGCCAGGCCAGTCATGCCGCGTTCTCGTCAATCTCCCCATTCAGTTTGAGACTCTTTCTGCCCCCCTCTCACCCTGATCTGCATTCCACGCAGGCCCACCCCAGTCCGGGTCTCAGCCTGGCACTCTGGGTGCCTGAGGGCAAATGCACGATTCGCTCAACAAAGGCGTCAGTGTCGAGCAGTAGCATGGCGTGTGGGATCTGCAACACAGAACCAAGATTAAGAGGCTGCAGTGAGGAGAGAGAGGGTTCATGCTTAGTGTAATGAGTGATGCACTAGCACCACATATTGCGACATCCTGGATAGCGGGCCCAGATAGACTCACACAAGTTCAGTTGTTTCTCTATTGAAACGTCTGATGAGCTTTACGACAGTTTAAATCAAGAAAGCACATTTAACAGACAGAATAAAAACATTTAATTGAAATCAAAAGTCAATTCACGGTGTAAGATCAAGAATTTATCATGCATAAATTGAAAGAAAGATTTAAAGGTCTTTCAAATTTCAACTTTTTATGCAAATACATCGTTGTTGCCTTGGGTCTGGGCGAGTTTATATAAAATAATCATCTAATCTGACTGAAGTATAACAGATGTCCTGTGTACACATTCCTCTTAAAGTAATAAGCAATGCAAACAATGAAGTCACGGCAGTCCTGATCAACTGGTACAATTAAAGTCTTTGTGCTATAGCTTTCTGTACTGGTTCTTTTTATGCTGTTTTCCACCCTTACTGTCAGCTTGCTGCTCTGACCCCAGTGTACACTTTCAATAGGCCTCTGTGTGGAGACAGAGAGAAGGAACTATACAGCTTCTTACCCCCCCTCCCCTTAACACTCAGTGACAAATGCAAATCCCCTGACAGAGTCCCTGACGTCACAGGAGGCTGCATGAACCTCCCAGCAGTGCTCTTTCAGCACTATCAGTTTTTGAATTGAAAGTTGAGGGGGGAGGAGGAGGCAGGTAGAGTGTGAAGCATCAGGTGTGCACGCAGAGAGAAAGAGGAGAAGAGGATCAGCAGCAACCAGATGACTGAGCTCAGTAGCACCGGACATGTGATAAGAGGAGAGTGAGACTGAAGTGGCTGAGTAACAGTATGTGCATGTTAAGATCAGACAGAAGAACTGCAGGAGCGTGACTGACGACTTTGGGTCATCAAGATGCAAAAGAAGATGCTGTTGGACAAGAATTGCTCTCTATAGTTTCTCCCTGGATTCGTGCATGAGGGTAAGAACTCATACTTAACTATGTAAAATTAAGCTCTTTGAAATCATTAATTTAATTTGTACTACACTGACAGTTCACCTTAGTATATAAAAATACATTTTAAACTTGCAAACATCTTCAGTTACATGATAGACAACAAAATGAGCCCTACATTCAGAATTTAATCTAAAATTTTGTGTTATTTATCCTGAAAAATAAGTTTTCCATCAAGTGTTTCAGGGTGACAATATACTCTACTGTTTTTGTCATACCAGAACTGAAAGCAAACGGTCTTTGAATTTATGTTCAGCCAGTGCAGGTGTAAGGATGGTTGTAACATCCTCTATTTGAAATGTAAATTAAAATGAAATTTTACTTTTGTATACCATACCATATAAAGCCAGATATTCAGGATATTTGCATCTTTGGCCCAGAGTAAAAGCAACGATTTAAACCATACTAAAAACATTACTTCTCTTTCTTTGGACTAATAAAGATTTTGAAAAATTTCTGTGCATTTCCAGGCTGAACTCTCCCATCTGAACTCGCCTCGTCCTCAAATGTCTCCCAACAGAGTGGCTTCTGATGGTGGAGAGAAAGCTCCCTCTCATACCGCTATAATGGCCCCTTTATGAGTCCAGACAAAGGGCAGAAACAGCCTTTTTAAGCAGCGTTTGGAGGATACTGTTTCAGGATAAGATTCAGATAAAAATGTAACTCTGCTGAAACTGAACACAGTCCTCATTTTAATAATGAATGACACACCTAACAACAGGAAAGTACACTTCGGTTAAGAGTGTTGCCCCTGAATTACAATGTTTTTGTAGTTACTGTTTTGTTTTAAGACGCACAGAGGCTTTTGTGCTAAAACAAGCATAGAATAACACATTCAAACACATTAACACATTCAAACTTGCAGACTAAAGCTCAAATTTGGCTTGCTGGAATGGGTTATAATTCTCCATCATGTTTCAGACTTTTCCAGTTTTGTTTTATTATTCTGTTGGCTGGGGAAAAAATAAAAAACCCAAAAGACCAAGGCATGCAGTTTAAAGTAAACTTGATTCATATAGCCTGAAACCTTCATACAAGCCTGTATCTGTACTTCAACAGGTTTTATCTCACTGTGGGAGCACTGCCTCAGGGATTACATGAGACCAGTTTATAGGCCTGGTAAACAATGTAAGCAGTGGTAGCATTTATTTGCATATTGGAGACAGGCACAAAACATATAAATTTAGCTCCGCCACAAAAGACAGAAATTGTGAACGTCAGAACAATGGAGCCCATTGTTTATTACACAGAGCTATCTTGACTTTCAGAGGTATCTGAACATCTGTGTGTGTCACTGTCAGCCGCAGCTCTTGACATTCTGCCACACCCAGTTACAGTACATCAGATACTTAAAATCCAACTGTGATGTACTTTTATTCAACTTTGATACAGTTCACAGATCAATGTCGTGTTTTTACAGCACCAAATTATTTAGTATATACACACCCCACCACCATCACCACCACCACAATAAAATCAAACCTAAGTCACTGCCAAAGCTTTTATAAAAAATAACTTTTATCAAAAATGAATAACCAAAGTATCCTGATATGAGCAGTCAGCAAACACACAAACCAACATTTTTTGGGACTCTTAGATTTTTTTCTTATTTGTTAACTGCTTTAAAAGGGTAAATAAGAGAAGAATCATTATCCTGCAAAACAGCAGAAAGTTGTGTTATATCTGAGAAATGGATGGAATTTCTGCATATAAATACTATTTCTTTTCTTTCTTCTTTTTCCTTTTGTTCCTCTCACGTCCACTCTGATTTATCTTTATCTTTATCTAAAACCAGCTCCAGCTCTAGCAGCCATAAAAACAGTCAAATAGCCATTTAACCACAGAACAGGAAGCTTTAATCTACTTTACACATACAGTAACTTGCTGGTAATAGATCCTGTATTTCTTGAAGTGAAATTTTGAATCCAAGACTTTTTTAAGTTAAGTATTAGACCCAAGTTTCTCTTTGTTTTGCATTGTATGTTTGGCACTTTTATTAAAGAAAAAGATAAATTGTCTACAAGGAACTGTTGAGGAGCACAGCATGTCGTTCTTGGTTAAAAGATTAAAAATGGATAGTCTGTTTTACCAAAAGAGAAAACTGAAATGAAATTTAAATCTAACCAGTTCAACCACCAATAAAAGTCTAAAACATGTACTACATTTTCATCCTCACACTTACTCTCTTGGGCCAAATTGGGGTTACATTAGGCTACTTAACACTTGAAATTGCAGGCGGTGAGTATCATTTTGTTACCCGTGCAGCTGAGTCAGCAGGTAGCTCTTCTTACCGCTGTCTGCAGGGGGAACACAAGATCACTTTCCACAGAGATGCATTATTTATTTCACAGTGCAGCTGAAAAAACACACGGTTGGTCATTTCAAGCCACAAGTGTGTCATTTTGAAGGTCACCGTACAATTTTAACAACAGCCTGTGTTTATGATGGTCCTGATGTAGACGGCCAAGAGATATGAGGCCAGCTGTGAGACTGTGTCAGGTACACTGACAGAGAGTAGTGTCCTTGAGTTCCCTGCACTTGAGTTGATTAAACCTGAATAGTGAGTATGTTTTTCTGTGGAGAGAGCATCCTCATATTGAAGAATGTGATTGTTGTATATTTCTTTGTTTACAACAAGTCCAGTTTTCTTGTAGAGGCGTTCCAGTTGACAGCCTTTTGTCTTGAGTTGGTGCAGTGCAGGTGTAAACAAGGGGGCAGAATGGGAAAAGGAGACAGACCAGGTTTTTGAGTGGAGCCAGGGTGTTTGAGGGACTTTGAAGACCAGTATTGTAATGAGAAACCAGTTTATCAGGGGCGAGTACACTGTGGAAGTTGGGGAGACTGTCTATACCAGTTTAGATTAATGTCCTCGATATGTCAGAATGAAATTGTATGGGGTATTGTTGTAGTGGATAGGGGTAGGTTTACATTAAAGGATATTGACATGTAGTCAGACAAAGGGAGATTAACAGCAGTGCAGTTAAGAGGGGTAACATCAGAACAGCAGATTAAATCCAAAATATGTCCTTTAGAGTGAGCAGGAAAGTCAATATGTTGTTGTAATCTGAGACTTTTAAGGAAGGATGTAAAGTCCTTTGTGCAACCCATTGTTAATGTTGTCCATATGGCTATTAAAATGTCCAAATAAATAATATCATCGATCAAGTGTTGTCATTTCATAACACAGAGTTCACCTCTCAATAGCAGGAGAAAATCTAAAAACCGTTACAAAGAATGCTTAACCTTTTTGTAGAAAATGCTCACCTTTGCAATGATGACTTTCAAAGGTGAACCTTGATCCTGCTGGACCATGGCTGGGAAGAAAGGGAGGCAGTGGAGGTCCATGTGCAAAGGCCTGGTCCTGGGTACCCTCCTGACCAGCTGTATGATCCTGCTTTACTGCCTCTCCACCCCAGAGATCCATCTCAGCCTGCCTGAGTAAGTCATGTCTCACTGATTTACATGCACATAGTGAAGTTATTGCACTTAAGGGTTAGAGGGGGGAAAGTAACTGAAAAAGTACTATCTAGTAAGGATAAAACAAATATCTGGCATGCCTTGAACTGAAAGTAAACTTCATCCACATTATTGACACACCCACAGAGTTATTGTTTCCCTTGTTTTCCTTTCTCTAGGGTTCCTGTACCTTATTCCTGTGCCCACCGCCCATCCCAGCTCCATCCTAAATCAACCACCAACACGTCCCAACAAACCTCTGGTCAGACCTGCACTCCCAAAGTGGATATCATGTTCATGAAGACCCACAAAACAGCCAGCAGCACCTTCCTTAACATCCTTTTCCGCTTTGGAGAGAAGCATCGGCTGAAATTTGCCTTCCCTAGCAGCAGAAATGACTTCTTTTATCCGTCTGTGTTTCAGCGTTCTCAGGTTAAAGACTACAGACCTGGTATGTGCTTCAATGTTATCTGTAATCACATGCGCTTTAATGCAAGTGAAGTGGCCAAGCTGCTACCTCTGGACACTTCCTACATCACCATCCTCAGAGACCCTGCTGAGCTCTTTGAGTCGTCCTTTCACTACTTTGGGCGGCTGGTGCCTTTTACCTGGAAGATACCGGGTGATGACAAACTATCTGAGTTTCTACAAGACCCAGATTATTACTTTGATAAAGAGGGTTTTAATTCTTTCTACCTCAAGAACCTGCTGTTCTTTGACTTTGGACAGGACAACACTTTGGGACTGGATGACCCACGTGTAGAAGAAGGAATCAAGTTCATCACTGAACGTTTTCAGCTGGTCATGTTGGTGGAATACTTTGAAGAATCTCTTATCCTGCTTAAGGACGCCCTCTGCTGGGAGATGGATGACTTGCTGTTCTTCAAGCTCAACGCCCGTAAAGGCTCCACTGTGTCCAAACTGACCCCGGAGCTGAGGGCCAAGGCTCTGCAGTGGAACGCCATTGACTGGAAGCTCTACCAGCACTTCAACCAGACTTTTTGGAAGAAAGTAGATGCATATGGACAGCAGAGGATGGCTAAAGATGTGGCAGAGCTCAGGAGAAGGAACACAGAGATGGCATCCATCTGCATTGAGGGAGGTCAAGCTGTAGAAGCTGGCAGCATTCAAGAGACAGCCATGCAGCCGTGGCAGCCCATCGGAGAGAAGTCCATCATGGGATACAACCTGAAGAAGAATGTGGACAAGGCACATTGGAAACTGTGCCGCAAGATGTTAATGCCAGAGCTGCAGTATTTAACAGAGCTTGGGGTCAACCTTTGGATCACCAAACTTTGGGGGCACGTACGAGACATCATTAACTGGTGATTTAACCTGTGAGCTCAAGGGGCCAATTCAACTCTGAAACACTGGACTGAAAAAAAGAAGGAGAATCAGACAGTGTGGCTGATGGAGTGAAAGGTTTCAGATTGAAGTCATATTTCAGTCTTGAAACCAGTCTCACTTGGTGGAAATGTTTCCACTTGTCTTCCCATGATTGTGCACTTTGGTGTTTTTTTAAAGGTGTTAGAAAAAGAAAGTAAATAGACCTTACAATCTAAAACTACTGATCCAGTTTACAAGGGGCAGTATGGAGGCCCAAGAAGACATGAATCCACACATTTAATCTAATAATTTGACCTGTTTTTTTCTGTCAAAGTTAATTTTACTTGTCCTCCTGTGATCGTAACTTCACATAGGATGACCACTTCTTGAATCTCCATAAGAGTATAAAATAGGAATAGGCTTAACTTACCTCATTATTGTGGGCATTATGGCAGTAAAGCCTTTCTTGGTCTGGTCTATCGCAGTGACCAGTCTATTAATTGTTGTCTGGATCTAGATTTATAAGAGATTATCCACGGAAATGACAAGAAAAACTAAAGGAAAAAAAGAAAATAACTAAGAAAATAAAAATGGAGTAAATAAAATCCATGCATGCATGGCCACTTGGGCATCCATAAAGATAAATCCTGGATTTTCTTTCCATTGAAGAGACATTATTCTCAAAAACAAAATAGAAGATCCTTATTCAGGACATATTCTAGAGCAATAAAGACTGCAATTTTGCAACCCCTGCCAAATTTTTGAAGTTGCTTGAAGATATGAAAGTTAAAAGTTTGAAAGTTGAACCATTAAAACACTCATATAAAGATACTGAATGTGAGTATTAATCCCATCTTAATCTACATGGACTTCAATATAAGTTATAACTCAAAAGGAGAGAAAGTTTATGATACTGATTTTTCTAGTGACAGACATTTTCACCAGTTTTAGCAGGGGACGTATGAGTGCAGCTAATAGCAATAATAATGTGCTTGCTTAAAGGCCCCAAAATATTATATCATCTATATTGTATTTCTATGCAAAGACATCAATGAATAAAAACTTAAATTCAGCACTGTGCAATCACTTTTGGAAGAATGATTTCTCAATTATCTACTTTTTTTTTTCTTTCCTTTTGGATGTCAAGCTATGTATGTCCTGCTTATGGTGTAACACTTCTCTTCTCTTAGGCATTTATGTGTAGAAATCTCTCCTCTGGCCCCTGATAGCCCCACCTTTACATTCAAGTATTTACTCCTACCAGGTGTTTTTAGCAGCACATTATGAAGTGGTTGGGTAGTGAGCCAAAAATGAGCAAACTAAGGTAAACCCCCTTTAAAAGGCACTGAGACAATGACAGCTAAGTCTGTTTGCACAGACCTGTAATCTCAGCCCACTGGAACACAGATAAACACATTTAATGTGTTTGTTTGTGTGTACTCAGCTCTTCTATTTGCCCAACACCTTTTTGCGTCTTTACTCTGTAGTTTTACTACAGTCAGTGTTTTTGATTCTTCTTGTTTTTTCTTTTGTCATTCAGTTAATGGCTCCTCTATCTGTAACTTAGGTGACTAATTTTGTCTTTCATCCACCTTCCCCCTTTTTCTTGGCAATATGTGAATAATATGTTGTCTGATTTATGTAATTAAAGCCTCCTCTTTACTCTGTGACTGTGTTTCATCTGAATCACAACTGTGTATAACAGCTTAAAAAATATCTCTTAATAAACCTTGCATTCTTTGGACCGGTGCTGTCAGGAGGTGTTGATAATGTTTCTAGCTGTCTCTGTGTATCTTCTGACACTGACACCAAATGTGTGAAAATGTGATCCACAGACCCACAAAGGTTGTCATGCTTGTTACAGTATGTATGAAAACTCTAGAGATGACCGGTAAACTGAGCAGACACTTTGAGAAAGAACAGTCTTTACAGTTCAGATAATTGTGACAATTACACCACATAATAAATAAGACTAGTCAGACACAAATTAGCCAACAGAAACCACAAAACATCCGTCAGGAATGTATGAAAAAAAGCCAGTCCAAAGCTATTCCTGGCATGTTCACCCACTCCAGCAGTCTATCAATGAAGACATGGGGGTTTACAGTCTTAAGAGCCAAAGAACCAACATACAACAATCACTGTCACCAGAGGACATCAAAATATTATTGGCTAGGGTTTGTCATAAATGTTATTTCTCTCCAAAACTGCAATGAGATCATTCATAACAGTTTTAGTTGTATATCAATTTAAATTTTTGAAAACGACATAAAACCTTTTCCAGTTTTTTCAAAGAAAGAAAAAAAAAAAGGAGCCACAACAGATGGTACCGATGAAAAAAAAAAAAAAGAAGCCGAAGCCTGCTGCAAATAAAAAAAAAGAAACAGTGCAGATTTTTAAAAAAGGCCACAACGGATGTTAACGACACAAAAAAAAGTGGTGATGCAAAAAAAAAAAAAGTTTCTTACTGCGAAAATAAAAGGATGCAGATAAAAAAAAGCCACAACAGAAGTGAGCTGCCAGGGACCAATAATGAAAAATAGTGAGGGGTCTGCATACTTATTTCTATGAGTAAAGCAACCAAACCGTAAAGCCACCGAATTCAATTCTCCTCTCGTGGGTGGTCTTTCGGGGCGTAGTGGGTTTCCTGTGTTAGCCAAAGCTAACACCACACCAGCATCCTTCAACTCCTTCAACTTCATATCGACTCAGGCGCAACATGGCCTAACCAAATGACACATTGAAAAGTACATGAAGCGAAATTAGACAATAACCTTTCCACTTAGTGCTTTGCTCGTCTTCTCGCCGTCGTCTTCTGCTGTTAGATCGTAAAACACCGGTGCATCATCATTGGTCCCCAGCTTCTCTGTTTTTCAGTTGCAGCCTTTTATTTTCGCAGTAAGTTACTTTTTTTTTTAAGCATCGCCACTTTTATTTGCATCATTAACTTCCGTTGTGGCTTTTTTTTTTATCTGCACCATTTCTTTTTTTATTTGCAGTGTGCTTCGGTTTTGGTTTTGTTTTTTTGGGGGGGGGTTTGCATCAGTAACTTCAGTTGTGGCTTCTTTTTTTTATCTGCGCCGTTCCTTTTTTTATTTGCAGCAGGCTTCGGTTTTGTTTTTGTTTTTGTGCATCAGTAACTTCAGTTGTTTAATCCTTTTTTTTTTTTTTTTTTGCATTCTTTTTTATTTGCAGCAGTGTCGGTTCTCGGCCACCGTACAATAGTCTATGAACGTAACCTATACTATTTACTCCATTTCAGTAGGTGGCGGTATGAAGCTTTTTAAGAAATGGCTGCGACCCGAAGAGACCTCAGAGGAGGAAGAAGTGTTGCCGTCGGGGGCGTGGTCGGCCGACTGGTCTGTTGACAGCTGGGTTAGCTTGTTTAGTTTCGCTGCAAAACTACTCATCTCATGTCACTGTGGCAATACTGCTTAACAGAATAAAACATACATTGTGGCGTAACGTAGCTAGTCGTTTAATGTCACTTAGATTTCTTCTTTTTACAGCTGTTTTTTATTGCGGCTAAACAATGGTCCGAAGCTACACAGCTAGCTGGTCTGTTAGATTAGTTTGAGATTTTAGCATTGCTATGAGCTAACTATTAGCAGGGAGAGCACCTTAATCCTTTCAAGTAATCAAATCGGATTGTCGTGTTATTCAGACGGGAGATACCAGGAAAAGACAGGTGAGGTAAGAGGGGATCAGAAGGACGACTTACTCGGACAATAATGGCGTGAACAGTGGATGTCCCGAGAGATAAGTGTCCCCGATGAGTGATTCAGCTGGATGAGTTTGCAATAATGTCCTGTAAATCTACCAAAGTAGCTCCCAGTGTTGACTTCGACCACAGCTGCTCCGACAGCGTGGAGTATTTGACGCTTAATTTTGGTCCCTTTGAGACTGTTCATCGATGGAGGAGACTTCCTCCTTGTGATGAATTTGTTGGTGCAAGGTAACATGATAAAGGCACAGATTTAGCTTTATGTGACTCCATCTGCTTTGTATTAATAACCTTGATCTTCTTTGATGTCTGTAGGCGCAGCAAGCATACTGTTGTGGCATACAGAGATGCCATTTACGTGTTTGGGGGAGATAATGGGTGAGTAGTACTGATCTGGCATAGCTCCATTATTTTGTGAACTCAGTAGGGGAGAGTGGGGTAGGTTGAGCCAAAGGGTAAGTTGAGCCACTCCCTGTTGCTTGGAAATGGTAAAAGAAATTGATCATGTGACCAAATATTTAGGAGATGGGCATCAATTCATGGAGTCTGTGAAGGTTAGAAGCACATGGGTGAAGGGGTTAGACATTTATTTACAAAAAAAACATTTTTCACTCTTGAAAGTGAATTTAGTCTGTCATAAGTTTTATTAGAATTGTGTTCAGACCAAAATAGATCATTTTAAATTTGTTTTATACATCAATTATTGTATCTATGAGCTAAAACATGAGGTCAAAACTCTAACATAAAAGTCCACCATTTTATCTTAGAGGACTAATAAAGTCATAATAGTAGTCCTGGGGTAAGTTGAGCCAGTGGCTCAACTGAGAAAGTGAAGGAGTCTGATGAGAGGATCAGAGTTTTTTATGTTAAAATTGCATTCTCATGTTAAAATGTTTTTTTACAAAACAGCTTTTTAACTGTTATATGCAATAATAATAAAAAGAATGATTGTATCAGTTGAAAAGCGTTTAATAGATAAAAATACACATGAATGTGAAGAAGTGACTGTTATTTAGGGAGAGAGAAGGTGAGGGAGGGCTGGGGTGGAGAGTGGGGGGGTGTAGGGATACGACTCAACTTACCCCGTTCCTATGGTCAACTTACCCCATACACGGGGTAAGTTGACCATAGGAGACCACTTTTTTGGCATGCTATATTATCAAGACAGTTATGTTTACACTAATTCTGTTGGTTTACAGGGATGCACAACATCTTAAATATATGCAGATACACTAGTTAGAGACAAAACTATGATTGCCTTGATGTAGTGATCTGAAATATGAAAAATGGTTCATCTTACCCCACTCTCCCCTATATCACATGCAGTTATATTTTCTGTCACCTGTTAGGAAGAACATGCTGAATGACCTGCTTCGTTTCGATGTGAAGGATTGCTCATGGTGCCGGTAGGACTGCAGAATTGCACCATAATAAATTACTTTTAAAGTAAATAGAAAATGGCACAGTTTGATTTATTGTCTGCATTTGACATTCACCACAGAGCCTTTACCACTGGAACTCCACCTGCTCCCAGATATCACCATTCTGCCGTTGTGTACGGCAGCAGCATGTTTGTTTTCGGTAAATGTTTTAAGCTATTTTTTTTTTCACAATCAGAGTCATTCATGTCACATATCTGTAACTTTGGTGAAACTGTTTTTTATCTTGAATTTTTCAAGGGGGCTACACTGGAGATATCTACTCAAACTCAAACCTCAAAAACAAAAATGATCTTTTTGAGTACAAGTTTGCAACTGGACAATGGACAGAATGGAAAGTGGAGGGAAGGTAATATATAAATATATATTTTTTTATTTTTAAATCAGTGATTAATTCTTAAGAATATCATACTTTGAGGGGAGTTTGGTTATACTGCATATGCTGGGCATCACCTGAATCAAAATTTATAACTTAAGCAACAAAGAATTATGCTATTATCCTGATGTTAAAAAATTGTAATACATCTTTACAAAAGCTCAGTCTAACAAAATAACAAAATCTTCTCTGTTTCAGCTTGCCAGTGGCCAGGTCTGCACATGGGGCAACAGTCTATAATGATAAATTGTGGATATTTGCTGGTTATGATGGGAATGCGAGGTATGTTTTATTATGTAGTTTGTTCACAATCAGTTTTTTGTTTTTATTTTCAGCTTATAAGACTGACTAATTTGTTCATTATGTGCAGGCTGAACGACATGTGGACCATCAGTCTGCAGGATAGAGAACATGCGTGTTGGGAGGAGGCAAGACAAAAAAAAATACATGAACAGTGACAAGAAGAACACATAGTGCTGTTGGTACACAAACACAGTATACTGAAAGGGTTGACATCTTTGTCTACTTTTGTTCTAAACAGATCGACCAGAGTGGTGAGATTCCTCCATCCTGCTGTAACTTTCCTGTAGCTGTATGCAGGGACAAGATGTTTGTGTTCTCTGGTCAGAGTGGAGCCAAAATCACCAACAACCTCTTCCAGTTTGAGTTTCATGGTCACATGTGAGTACAGTCTTAAATTGTGTGTGAGATCACTCCCATGCCATTCTTTCAGGAATACTCTATTTAGGACTCTTCTGCTCTCAGGTGGACACGCATCCCAACTGAACACTTACTGCGGGGCTCCCCTCCTCCTCCTCAGAGGCGCTATGGCCACACTATGGTTGCCTTTGACCGTCACCTGTATGTATTTGGAGGTGCTGCTGACAACACTCTGCCCAACGAGCTCCACTGTTATGATGTGGACTCACAGACCTGGGAAGTGATCCACCCCAGCACAGACAGCGAGGTAGAAACAAAATGTGTTTACCAACATCTGTGTCAGTGGATGATCTAAGTGATCAAGTAAACAGCAAGAATCGTAGGTATTTGTCTTCTAGAGATGAAAGTCCTTGTCCTTGCCCCCTCAGATGCCGAGTGGGAGACTCTTTCACGCTGCTGCTGTCATTCAGGATGCCATGTACATCTTTGGAGGAACTGTGGACAACAATGTGCGCAGTGGGGAGATGTACAGATTCCAGGTAATGTTATAGACTCTTGATTTTCAGTAATCAAGCTTGATTTTAGTGATTTGCATCTTACATTAATTCTTTTCTTCTTGCAGTTCTCATGCTATCCAAAATGTACTCTCCATGAGGATTATGGTAAACTCTGGGAGAACCGTCAGTTCTGTGATGTGGAGTTTATTCTGGGTGAAGTGAGTATTTATCATTCGTATGTGATGCTAACGAGCTGAGCTGAGCTAAGATGATTTTTCCGTCTACCTGTCTCTTTGTTGTGTACAGAGGGAGGAAAGAGTCTTGGGGCACATTGCCATAGTGACGGCAAGATGTCAGTGGCTGCGGAAGAAAATCCTGCAGGCTTGGGATAGGCAGCGACAGGTGAGAGTACACTTCATTTCTCGAAAGACTTAAGAAGACCATCAGGGTTTTTATGATAATTTGGAGCCCACTTTTGACACTAATCACATGTGCTCAACTATTTTGGTCCACTGTTGGGCAATAGGTGTTTTTTTTGTCATGGCTTGTTTGACCAGTATTATTTCTAGTGTAACCTCCAGATTTTTTCTTTTTTTTTTTTTCAAATGAACCAAAATAAAGGGTCTCAAGTCTCAAACAGAACATTGGGGACTCACTCAGCCACACCTGAATTCTTGAATGGATTTTACCTCTTTGTTATCTGCTCTGCAAGATGTTTTCTTCTCTTTTCAGCCATGGGCTTCACCACTGTGACTTCTACTTTAAAAAGCCATTAGTCATGACCCACAAAATTGCTAAAATTTGAGGATTATTGGTCATTTTTATAATTGGTTCTAGAAGTTGTCAGAATTTTACATTTTCCTACCTGCATCAACTTTCATCCTTAGTTACTTAAGTGTTATTTAAACACTGTGCATGTTGTGAATAAACAAAATAAAAGTAACAGTGCAAGATTGTGATACAGAGGAACTTCAGCCTCAGGAATGTTAAACTAACATGATCCTGTCTTTGTGTGCAGAAGAGTAAACAGGAGAGCAGTGAGGAAAGTGACGATGGGGCAGCTGGAGGCCAGAGGGATATCCCAGCAGGCCACAGGCCGTCGGGCACACAGCTGCTGCTAGAGGTAGCCATCAGGGAAGCGGAGGCCCAGCCTTTTGAGGTCCTCATGCAGTTTCTCTACACAGACAAGATCCAGTACCCACGCAGAGGTACCGTTATGCTCATCAATCTTTGGGTTGGTATTTCTAGAAGCAAGGAGAGATGAAGCTGCTCATTTATTCTTGTATTGATTTCTCTGTAGGTCATGTGCAGGACGTTCTTCTTATCATGGATGTTTACAAACTGGCACTTAGTTTCAAGCTGTCCAGGCTTGAGCAGCTGTGTGTGCAGTACATCGAGGCGTCTGTTGACCTGCAGAACGTCCTCAGTGTTTGTGAAAATGCTAACAAGCTGCAACTGGATCAGCTGAAGGTACATCTGGATAAATGTCCAACTTAGCTCCTGATGTGATGTGTGGTTGATGTTGCTACAACACAGAGACAGAGATATGGAGAGGAAATAACACAACATCTAAAATTCATGCAAACAACTTATTTCTCTCTGCAGGAACATTGCCTTAACTTTGTGGTGAAAGAGTCACACTTTAACCAGGTGATTATGACCAAGGAGTTTGAGCATCTTTCCACCCCGCTGATAGTAGAGATTGTGCGACGGAAGCAGCAGCCTCCTCCCAGGCTATATTCAGACCAGCCTGTGGACATTGGGACTTCCCTGGTTCAGGACATGAAGGCTTACCTAGAGGGAGGTGGCCTTGAGTTCTGTGACATTATCCTGCTGTTGGATGGACACCCACGACCTGCTCACAAGGCCATACTGGCAGCCCGGTCCAGGTACACACAACACAGGTTTAATTATGTGCTTCTGTACAAGCCTCCCTGATGTAGGACTTCAGCTAATTTCCGTGGTTTGGAAATAAGCTCAAATTTCTCTTACAATATTTTGCCATACTTTTTGCATGGGCGGGTTCTTGCCTTAATGGTTGCAAAACTTTGATTGTCATTTGCTCTTTTCAACTTAGGGTTAATTATATTTTTGACAAATGTAATAAAAATGAAAACATACATATACATCAGGTAACAGAAGTGAAAACATTTAAGTAAAGTGATCTAGTAAAAGTACTTTGAGACATCACTGACCATTTCAGCTGAGGAACTGTTTCTAATATCTGCATTTTTCCTCTCCTCAGTTACTTTGAGGCGATGTTTCGCTCCTTCATGCCTGAGGATGGTCAGGTTAATATTTCCATTGGTGAGATGGTTCCAAGTAAGCAGGCCTTTGAGTCCATGCTTCGTTACATCTACTATGGTGACGTCAACATGCCGCCAGAGGATTCTCTGTATCCTTCTCAAAGTCAGACTGCCTTTTGTTCATTTATTGTCCTTCCCAAGCAGGAAAAAAATCCAACCATCATAAGATAACGAAAATAAGGGATCACATTCTTTGAGAAAGGCAGATAAAGATATGAGAGGAGTCTTTACTTCTCCTCACAGAGCTAGCAAATACTAAAAGCATCATAGCTTTGGGACAAGAACGTTTTTTGCAAAGTGTAGAGTCCTGGTCAATCAAAACAAACACACTCAAGGAGTACTTCTCTTATAACCTCTATGTGATATCCTCTGATAAGACCTTAAACTACACCATGAAAAAATGTGGATTTACCCATTTTGTTTGGTAAATTATGTAATTTCTTCACCAACCAAGATGTTTGAGTAGAGTGTGAATATGGAGGTCTGGATTTTTTGAAGCTTGGGAAGTGCTGATGTAGTCAATCGAAGTAGTAATAACAGATAGTGTAGTAAAAACAAATAGTGTAGTGCTCTGGATGAAAACTTTCAACTTGGGTGACAAATCTGCTCGATGTTACTATGCAAAAGCCTATCAATTATTAGTTTTTATCAATTTACTGATGAGACTTTTTGACTACAAATATTTCAAAAGTTTTCTTTCACTCTGCAGGACATACACCTGATTAAGTTTGCATTTTTATTCTAGCAAATCCTTCTTATGTTTTTCTGTCTGCAAACTTAAGACCTGTTCCGAGGGATTCACAAAGATACAAATTTCTTTTTTGGGCTCATACATCTAAAGTAAGCAAGAGGAAGCATCCCTGTGTTGAAGGGGGGCTATTTAACGAGCAAGAAATGACAGTGTTTACCTCTGGGACATAAATCAATTTGGAAAAAGAGAGAAAGTTGTTTTCAGAACTGCTGGCTACACCGTAATTGCTGAGATCGACTGTTTTCGGTACCTTATTGCAAACTGCAAAGTATGATTTGTGTGTGGTACGGATTAAATTAGGGGTTGACACAGTGAAAATAATGTGGAAATGCTTTCATCCTACTCGCTCAGGAAAGTAAGCTCGTGTAACCACTATGCACAAAACATACAATACAAAGAACAAAATAGAGCTTTGGATTATTTTATATCAAATTGCTGATTATCTTTATAGAATGAGTAAATATTCTGCTGCATTCCTTGAGCAAGTCAAAGGCAACTACATGGTAAAAGCGAATTAATCCTACTTTTCAATGTGACTGAGAGGAAAAGCTTTCACTTTCTTAACCTCTGACACAAAGCTATTTGTTTGCTGCTCCATATTACTACGGCTTTTCAAACAACCGGCTCCAGGCTTACTGTAAGCAGAATCTGGAGATGAATGTCACTGTGGAGAATGTCTTGCAGGTATTTATGTTTTTGCTCAAGAGGGGAGCAGTGACCTAATTTGACCGAGCTGTCCTGCACTTCAATATTTTTTCAAATCTGAGTGAATCATCTCGTTACTCACGGTTTAATTTCTCCGTTTGTCTGCTTCAGATCCTGGAGGCAGCTGACAAGACTCAAGCTCTGGACATGAAGAAGCACTGCCTACACATTATTGTCCACCAGTTTATCAAGGTGGGTGGGCTTGTATCCAGAGTTCTGGGGGTCTGCTGCCCACTCACTACAGCTGAGCTAACCCTGTAGGCCAATCTTCTTTGCGGGACACTGAGACTTTTTGGCCTCCTAGAAGATCATCCTCCATCTTCTAAGTAGAGGGGAGAGTGTTTACAGCCCAGCCGGCTGTTCAAGCACTTCATCACGTAGAGATTAGGGTCAAAGTGCCGCTCTGATTATTGTTTGTTATTCAAAGAAACAGCTAAGAACTCAATTCTCACCCTCTGTCAGTATTTTAGTTATGCTTCTTTTTTTTATCTTCAGTTTTCATGCTGCTTATCCCTCATTTGACTTTGTTAGTCTCACTGTCCTGTCTTAATTTAAGGCTCATCTTTTTTTCTTTTTTTTGCCCTCCTCCCCTCCCAAAGGTATCCAAGCTCCCCAACCTGCGGTCTCTCAGCCAGCTGCTGCTGTTGGACATCATTGAGTCTCTAGCCACACACATATCAGACAAACAGTGTGCTGAGATGGGTTCGGACATTTAGGATGACGACAAAGCCAGCCTCCTCTTTTTTCCTCCTCTTTCAGAAGCCATACAACTTTGCTCCTCCTCCTCTTCCTCTTGTCTTCACAGTCATTCCCTCCATGATGATACACAGTGCTTTTCTGTGTCGTTTGTCCCGGTCCCTGACTGATGCTTTTTAACAAATGTAGTATCAAATCGTTTGTGCTCAGTGGAGAAACCAGTTTCTAGCTCAGTTACATCTGTTAAATGGTTTAATGATGCCCTTTGTTTATAGTTTACATCTATTTAATTTATTCTGTCCAGGAAAATGTCTTCAATGTCTGGTTTTCTCAGTATAGCCATGTAATGTTTTTGGAGATAAGCAGTGGACTGTAATAATACCTATGACACTGTAGAAATGTTCAATGCAACCCTCAGCAGTTGTATTTATTCATTTGCCTTAGATATGTAACCACACTGACATCAAAAATAGGTTTTTGTCTTAAAGGGATATTCCAGTGTAAACTTTATTTAGGGTCGAACACGCCATAACACCGAGTTAGAAGGGGTGTCTAACTCGTTTTTTTCGGTGTGTTTGACCCTAAATTAATTTTGTGCCGGAATATCCCTTTAACCTGTTTTCACCACTTGTATTATGCAAAGGTCTGACACATTTAGGAAGCCTGAATCAAATGTAATAAGGAATGAAAACCATCATATGAAAGTAAAATGACTGTGTTTTGTTTATTGTTCTTATAAACAACACCTTGGTTATATTAATCATCTCTCTAACAGACAAGCTCTCTGTAGCCCGATATAAACCGATGTCTATTCAGTGATATCAGTATGCTGTTATTAAATATTTACCCTTCATGTATTTAAAGCCTTAATACATCTTTCTGTACAAAACTAGTTGTGTTACTGAGTCTCTGAGCCTCAATCCACACAGAGTCACAGAAGTCTGACTTTGCCTGGTACACACACAGTTTCATTATGAGTACTTACTCTTTATTCACACTTATTTTTCTCCATTCTGCTCTAAGTAACCTACGTTATGACACAGCTTTCCTTTGACAGCTTTCCTTAGAGAAGGCCAGGAGTTGGCACTTGTCTTTGCTTACTCGTGTTAACTTTCACAATGTCCAACTGCAGGCAGAGGCGTTACCAGGAACCATGAAAATTTGGGATCAATAAGAGAGAGAGCACATTTCTCAGAACATCTGAGGTGTATAATTTTTTTCACACTAATCTCTCACACAACAGGAAGAATTAAAGAAGTAGCCTCTATTCAAACTGACTGTCTTAACTTAAAACTAGAAATATATGTTTTACAGTATCAGAACTTGTGCTGTATTTCAATGACAAAGTTTCAACAGCTATCTATCACCAGCTCTGTCCTTAAAATACAACCATTGTAACCTGTGCATGGTTTAAAAAAATGAAGGTCAAACCCTGACCTTTCATTAAATTAGCCATGTCCTTTAGGGGGTTTCAGTTTTCACAGATCTGTTAGAGATAAGCTCTGACAATGCTCCTTCATTTGAGAGAGCAAATTCATCGAGCTTGTGTTAAGTTTGCATGTGCAAGGATTCAGCATTATTTAAGTAAACAATTTTCTTAAAAAGGACATTTGATAATCTGATTAATCTCACACATCTTTATTCTACAGCACTTACTTATCCAGCCCTGACAACCTTTGAATTTTAAGTTGCACACAAACCCATTTGATGGCCTACAGAAGGAAAAAAGCTGACCCAGATGCTGAAGCACTCATCTGAATATCCTGTTAGCTTCCTCTTGTACGGCACTTTAAAGGGCTTCAGTAGAATACACAAAGTGTTGGACTCTTTTGGACTCTGATGTAAAACCGTTGCAGCAAGCACAAAGTGCTATTCATGGTCAAGATACTTGAGACACTTGGCCAGCTAAAGGCTTCTCTCTTCATTCCCTGAGGATGTAAATGTCTTAACCAGCTTAATACAAACGTCTCATCAGTAACATCAATCAAATTGAACTAACTGAACTTCAGAACATTTGATGACCTCTCTGTAACATGTTGAAGTACAACACGAGTATCTGTCATTTCTTCTTGTTTCATACAACCAATGCCCGTTTTTCTCAAGTTTCATTCATTTAAGTTCACTTGTGCACACTAAGTCCAGGATCACCCCGGTCATATCTGGTTTCATCTAAAAACAGAGGTCATTGTTCACTGCCTTGATGTTAAGCCCTGATACAAAACAATATGTCTGTTGTCATGCCGTAGTCTCAGATTATCTCCCCCTCTCTTCAGGTGCATTTTATTAAAGAGGCTGGATTTGTGGGCAGTCCGGGTTGATGCTGCACCCTCGGCAGGTGGGTCGGGCTACAGAGTCATTCTGAATCTCCAAACCTGCAACACAAACCTGTGGATGTGAGCAGGAGTCACAGCAGAGGTGAAAGATGGTATTTCTAACAACCAAAATGATGCAAAGGACGGCACTCTTTGTGACACTGGGGGGTTTGGTCACCTCTCTGATCACCACTTTTCTTCCTCTGTGGAAGACGATGAACTCGGACCTGAACGAGGTGGAGAACTGGTTCTCAGGACTGTGGCATATGTGTCTCTACACAGAGGAGGTCGGGATTCAGTGCAAGGCTTACGAGACCCTCATGGGACTGCCAATGGACCTGCAGATCTCCAGGGTGCTCATGTTGGTGTCTGTAGGAACTGGATTTTTGGCTCTGTTGGCTGCTTTTGCAGGACTGGATGGGGTGGAGATGTGTGCAGGGAAGCCTGACCTGAAGAGGCAGTTACTGGTTCTGGGTGGAGTTCTGTCTTGGGTATCGGGGCTCACCACTCTGGCTCCTGTATCCATTGTCGCATACTCAACGGTGGTTGAGTTCTGGGATGAGGGGTTTCCCGATGTGATGCCTCGCTGGGAGTATGGAGAGGCCATGTTCTCTGGATGGTTCGGAGGATTGGCTCTGGTCATTGGAGGGACTCTGTTCTTCGTGGCTGTGTGTATGAGGAAATCTGAGCAGAGACCACCAAGAGTGCCAAACAGTCTACCACTGAAGCACAGGACCAAGAACTACCTGAAGACTGAGGTGTTATAGATCTGTAACTGTTGTATGGAGGTCTGTCAGCCTGTGAGTGAATATATAATTATGAGTGAATATGTGTGAGACTATGAAGAATAACATTCCTGACTAATGTAACATTCAATCTTAACGGCTTTTCCTCCTTACTTGTTTTTCAAATTTGTACCTGAAGTATCAAACTCCTTTCTTTTCTTGCTAAATGAGATGTTGTCTGTTTCAAGTTTAACAAATTATTAAAGACTTAAAAAAATTAGCAGATGAATATTTCCTTTTTTTGTCTACATTCTTGTTTAAGTCTTTAGATAGTCCAACTGAGCGTTTTTTGGTCTAAAAGAGGTCTAATAGTCGTCTAGATGTAACCTAGACGACTGGTCTAAAATCAGGCTACCAAAGGTCTAAAAATGAAAGATTTTTAGATGTCTAAATTTAGACCAAGTTTAGACCAAGTCTAAATCTGGGCTATATCTATACTATACTAATATTTTGGTTAAGTACTTGGAGATCAGTTATGCAACACATAGTTGCCTTTTTTTTAATGAATGATTATTGAATAATGGGTAAAAGTGCAATGTCTAAATTCTGTCTAAAAATAAACAGAATCTAGACAGTTGAAATTGGGTCCAAGAAAAAAAACTACCCATCTATTGCTCTGTGGGATGTGTTTGTCAATCCTGCAAATAAAAGCTGATCTAACAGCTTCTCACACCCACATTCAGTGTTTTACTTGGTGCACCAAGTTTTTTAGTCGGCTGCTCTGGCAGGAATGACTAGTTTGATGTGAGTTGCATTCCAGTGCTGCAGATTTTCTGTGTTGAATTTCTTTTCAGGGGGGGTCTTGGCACCAGCAGCTCCTCTTAGTCCTTAATACACTTCTTGGCATGAGTGTGATGCTGTACATTGTGATGATTAGAGTAGATTTTGGATGTCACAACAAATCAAGAAATGATACAGGATCAATTATTGGAATCAGTTTGCAGTACATCAAGCTGTCTTAGCGATGTTAAACACGTCCATGGTCTTAACTGATGCTGTTTAACTGTGATGAATCTACCTCCATAGTATGTGACATTAATACTTGGCAGGCTCTGATTTTATATTAGGGTTAATTTGCTCCCCTCACCTTTCTTTATCTCAGTTTTTTTTTTGATGCAGCAGTTCCGGCTGGCCTCTATACAGAAAAGAGCCCCCTGTAATTCAATTAACCAGAGTGATGTGTAGGCCCTCCCCTCTCACTGGGAGGGCCTGATCAGTCATCTTGTCTTACATGTGAGCACCACCCTCCTCTGGCTCTGGCTCAAACATGCTTTTAAATGTGCTTGAACACATGCAGAGAGCAACACAAACATGCTGATACTGGAGCACATGTGCACGTGTGTCAGCTGTCAGTACTCTCCTCTATCCAATACATCTCTCTTTTGCAGTTTTTCACATTCTGCACAGGTTGTTAAAACTCTATGAAGATCACCATCCTGTCTCAATGCTGATATTGTTTCAGTATTGAGATTGACTTTTACTTTGTCGGGTGAATGACCTTGTTGCAGCAGTTAATTTAAGGGGTGATGCATTTCCTCCCTTAGGGGGAGCATTAGGTATAGAAATATCTCGGGCACTCATTTCTATAAGGCTCTATATACCTTTTTAATCCTGCCCCACCCTGACTGAAACTGGGACTCACTGCACCAACTGCACTTTCACTCCTTCTCCCTCTGCTGCACAATGAAAGAAGTTAAGCACACATCTACAGTGAGAGCTTTTTGGTGTTTAAAGCATGTTTATGTCTTTAGCTGGTCAGTGTAAGTGCAATGCCACAATAGTAACAGTGAATATATAAGCTGATCCTCCTGCAGCAGCACAAACATGCAGCACAATGCACGCACAGCAAGCAGGCAGTGTGATAAGTGGGCAGCCAGAGCAGGCAGTGGAGTGGGGAAGGCAGCAAGTGTTTGATCAGGCTTAACTGGCAAGTCAGGTCTTTAGACATCTGAAGGCGAGGCTGAAAGGGTCTGAGCAGAGAAGGAGAGTGTGTGTGTGTGTGTGTGTGTGTGTGTGTGTGTGTGTGTGTGTGTGTGTGTGTGTGTGTGTGTGTGTGTGTGTGAGTTTGGAAAAAAAAAAGAGAAGAGGGGGGTGGGTGGTTTGGAGGTCTGGAGCGGGGAACGGTGAGATTCATGCTGTGTTAGCATCCCCTCAGCAACTCCATCAATACTGCATACAGCTGAGAAACTGGCAAAGGTCCTCCGTGCTGCGCTTGCAGACCACACCAGGGAAAGAGAGCAACTCCCACGACCGGTCGGCTCAGTCTGCTGCTGGAGAAGAGAAAGGGGGGCTTTACAAGGGACATACACACACATTCACACACTCAGAGTCTCTGCTGCATCAAGAGGTAGAAGAGGAGAGCGGAGGAGGGTACAGAGGGACACACAGACTGGGAATACTCCAGTGGACTGGATTGTTGAGAGACTTGTGTGTGCTAATATGCTGGCGTGCTCCGCAGGGGACTCTGAGCACCAGGGAGTTTGACAGGATCTCAGTGCACCTGCTCCATGTACACTGGTAAGATGTCTCATTTATTTCAATAATCAACACTATACTGTCTCTGCTTTGTTGCCTCCCTGTGTGATTGGTGTACATATACTGCTGTGTTTAACTGGACTTAATAGTTTATGTGGATTTGCCTGCATTAGTGCTGTATGGGCACACAGAGTTCTTGTGTTGAAGTTGCTCTCTTGTTCCCCGGAGAATCATAAACTGTGCTGCAGTCTGTAGAGTTGGAATCAAAACACAGGAACTGATCTGAATGTTTCAATCACATCTGTTTCACATGAGTACAATAATTTATATCTAGGGTTGGTTAAATTCTTAATAAGAAATGAATCAGACGTAAGACTACTTCTCACACTTAATTCATATCAAATGGTCTTGAAAGTGACTTAAATTTGTGTTTTGATGTAATGTGCTCAGAAACCGCTCAGTCGAAGAATTGTTATATGGCTGCATGTACCATTTTCCATGACATCATGGAGAGGTTTATGCTCAAAGCAGCAGCAAAATGACCTGATGGAAGTTGGTAGTTTTTGCCACCTTTTTTTAAAAAGAAAATAGCAAATAAAGATAAAGATAAAACAATATTCCTCTTTTAGGGGGACTCAATTAGGAGTAACTGTCAACAATGCTGAGTAAAGTTTAATATTTGTTTTCTAGAGCCACATGGCATTTGTGGATAACCCTAAGCATCAAAGGTTCACCTTTGACCTCTGTTTAAAGTTAAATTTTATCATCACAACATGGTCAGATTGTATGCACCATACTTAAAGTTTGTGACCCTATAAAACAGTTGTTCACTCTTTGGTTATAGTCACAACTAAGAAATATCATTTGAGCAAACTGTTCCAGAAAAGAGTGAATGATCCTGCTCACATTGTTTGATTGTGCCACCTCGTAGAGCTTCTTAATAGGGATTGCGGTTAAATGTAATCCACTCTTTATTCTTTTATACTTAACACACGTAGGTGAAGGTGTAAATGAAAGTTAATCAAAAGCTTCTTGGCAGTTTGGGAAACATCCTGTTAATGATGAAATAGCTTAAACCATGGCTTGAAATACTTTTCTACTTCTCTTCTAATATCAAGAAGAGCAAAGTTTACATAAAGATCAAAGATTAAAACCTCCAACAATTTCACCCACTTGACCCTTACATTGAATGCCTCCTTAAGCTGGAGGTAAACAAAGTTTATAACTACTGAGAGAATGGCGAGGGAGGTCTTTTGCTCAACAGTTGGTTTGCGCAATCAGGGGGATGATTCCTCAGCTTATCTGGTTATTTCTCAGACTTGGAGAACACAAGTGAGGGGACGAAGCTTTGTCGTTTGATTGTTGTGAGCTCTTATCCATTATCAGCAGAGGATCAGAGGGCTCTAATGTTTAACTTCAAGCTAACATAGCTGCCAAACTAGTATTTGAATAAAACAGAGACCATCAGTTTGGATTGTTCGAGGGACATGAACACCTAAACCAGCAGCTCCTCTTTAGTTTAGTGCTGCTGAGTGTCCAGAAGTGCTTAAAATTGGAAAATAATTAACAGGGACTGGTTTAATGTCCACTGTTTTACTAGATATAGAAGTAACAGCATCTCCCTATCTGCTGGTGATGTTTACTAGTGAGGATCAGGTTGGTTGGCAGCAGCAAGCACAGGATTTATTTTTGTCAATCGTGTCTTTTTGGTAGTACTCATCTTTTAAAAGCAATAGAACCACTGTTTGCAGCCGGAGGACATGTTTTTGAAGTCAGATTTGAGGGATTGTTTTGTTGTCAGAGCACAGAAAATTCCTGCTTTTCCCTTTTCTGCTTTCCTCCCTCACAGTTAGTTCACAGGTCGGCCTCCTCACCCCCTACCAAGAGCTGCATTTTGCTAATTCTCCCCTCTAACATTCCAGTAACAGGTATTACATTTGTAGGCAAGTGAGTGAAACTGACAGCTTGTTTGCAGCAGGATTATTAGAACTGCTTGGGGACAGGTCCAACAGTGAGTGAGCGGGATCTGCGTCATATGTTGTGAGGACCAAATCTGCTTAACCTACTTTAGTTTTGCACAAAATATCTTGGAGCTCACTGGAACTCCAGGATGGCAGCTTGTTGCCATCCAATTTGTTGTTCATCAAAATTTCAGAGGTGGCAAATTATTAAAGGAGCAACATGCCTCTCTGTTTAAGAAGAGATGTGAAATACTGCTCTTTTTATTCAGTCATACAAACAAAATCAGAGACCAGAGACCAGAGAAAGCAGCATGTCCACCTGTAGAGAATGAGAACCTGATAAAATCTGATTTTAGACCAAGAAAAGTATTGGCTGCCATTAACTCTATACAGTGCAGCTGCTTCTGGTAATAATATTTTTTGGTGAAATATTTATTTTACATTGTATTGACTGGAAATTTCAACCAAAAACATAGACAGAAACCCTAAACTACAGAGTGATTATTGACAAAATACAATAATTCTGCAGAAAGAGCTTTATATTACACTGGACATGAAGACTTTACTGTTTAAGGTGGCCCAGCTTCTTTAACTTGTTTACACTGCCAGGTAGTTCAGTCCTGTGGATTCATAAATTTAGGGGTCCAGCGATGACTGCCGAAAAAGGACAAAGAAAAAGCTAATTTCTGTATTCAGTTTTCCACATTTACAATCTTCTTTCCACAAAATGTCATAGTTTTGCCTCAAGAGGCAGTATTTTTTTTTACTATGGAGCCATCTGAAGTGTTTGAACAGCCTGTCACCCTTAACAAGGAGCCACAACTACACACAAGTCTTTTAAAAGTTAAAGGTCAAAAGGATTGGGAACAATTTACCTCACGTATAGTCACAGTTAATTACCGGGTAAATGAAAAGAAATAGAAAGAAATGAAAAAATCCAATAATGGAACAGTAGTGTAAAGTACGATAAAGTTTACAGATTTAAGTTTAAAAAGGAACATCAAAATGTACATTGTCACTTTTACACACTGTAAAAAATCTACTTTCAAACTGAATCTAAAATCTCTGAGAGTAAATTTCAGTCCCAAAGTTGTGGTCAGTCAGAGGAGATCTTTCCATTTCTCATTTGTCCTCAGGAACTTTTTCTAAGCAGGGCTCCATTCAACACTGCACCCTGTTTTTTTCTGAAGTTCAAGGACATTAAGATGTGCTCAGAATACCAAGCAGTCCGTCTGGTTTTACCTCAAAAGAATCATTTGGTGATGAACTCGAGTTGATTGATACACCTGCTGTCTTCTCAGCCGCTCAGATTCACAGCAGCCAGCGCTCTGTGAGTAAATAACTACTGTACTGTTTGTGAGGGTGAAATACCAGTGAGGGCTGAAATGTGAGGGCAACGTGGCAACAAAAAAAGCAGGGGGGGGATTTTGAAACTCAAGGGGCCCCTGCTCCCCTTCAAAGCACAGTGTGACAAGAAAGTTAATGTGTCCAAGTGCTGTTAATATTTAACACTATCCCATGCAATATGCATGGACAAAGGTAACAATGTGTCTGGAAATGTTCCTAATTAATACAATGGCTTTCTTTTTACAAGAACAAACATGTTTTCCTGACACACACACACACAAAGAGGAAAAAAAAGTATCTTGCTTGTCTATCTTTCCTTGGCAGTTAAATCTTAACTCATTTATACACTTCAAAGCAACATCACACCACAATGTGTTGCTAACAACAGTCAATGACAGTGATTGATTATGAGGACCGCTAGAGAAGTACGGAGACAAATGAGGGTTGAACAATCTGTTAGTCTGAAAAACAAAGTTAGAAGTGAAAAACTCGAATCTTGCCAAACAAGCTTAAAGTGAAATTACACAGCTAGCGTCTTCTCATAGAGGGGGGCTAGACCTCACATTTATGTAAACTAATGAGACACAGATCCGTCTAGAGTGTGAATGTTTGTATTTCATTGGTGTCACTCTATCTGTCCAGATTATATGGTGGAGCTGATGTGTGCCATGGCCAGCCTGGACCTGCAGGTTCTCATACACACAGATTTGTGTTATCATTACTTCCCGACCAAGCAGCCCAGCCCAAGGATCTGACCGCTCCTCCCCTCCCTCTCCCCACTCCCTCCCTCTCCCTGGGTGTCCCTCAATCCCAGGCCCACCATGGGAGGATGCTTCTCCAGAACCAAACCAGGTAACATGTATTCCTATCCTGAAGTAGAACTCGGTTTGAAAGAAAAGAAAAAAAAAACTATGTTTGATTTACAGACATAAAAATGCTCATTTTGTTACAAACTAATTTGTTACAAGTTGTTATTTGAGTCTGTGATATTATGAGGTGTTTGTGTTGTCTTATCTACCCCTGCAGATGTTATCTTATTAAGTATTGAGAGTAAGGTTGGACAGTCTCATTTGATAATTAGTTTATATGTCATACTCTCTCAGATCAACAGATCACACTGACAAAAGCTGGAAATTAAACAGTATTGGTTAACCCTCCTCCTGTGTTAGAGTCTGCACCGACTCGTTTTTGATTTTAAATGCTTAAAAGAACCACATAAATTCACTGTTTCGCATCAAGACTTTTTGACTTTGTCAGCAACCTCTATTTCAACAAAATAAAAATTAAAAATTAAATTGACTGAATTATAAAAATGATGGCACTTGTCATGTTAAGGTTGCTGTTGACCTGGTTAGATCAATATCTAATAGTCGGAGCAAAAACTGAAATCATAAGTGCACTGTCAGGCACCACACTGACAGTCAGATCCTCTTCCAATCATGTGAGATTTAGGGAATTCTCATTTTGCCATGTTTTTTCCTGCCCAAAAAACAACACCAGGCATGTCCAGACATGTGAGATCAGTTCAGTATGGATTTCTGAGTGAGGGGTATACTGACAAAGAAAGACCCGGAGGACCAAATCAAAAAATATTATAAGTAATATTTTCATGAATATTGAAGCCTAACAAGGTAACCTAGAGATGAGAACCCAATTGGATGATAGATAATTGTTTTTAGTGTAATTTACAGCTGATTTAAGACACAGGTCAAAACCGACCCTTAACATGGTGGGTCCGTAGTAAAAGCTAACACAGGAGGAAGGATAAGTTTCAATCTGAGAAATTTTGAGTGCTGTTAAAGACGAATCATGAAAGTCCAGGATTTTTTATGAACATTTTCTTCACAGGCAAGTCCATGTAGCAGATGTGAAGATTAAGTAGGTGAATAAACTGAAGGCATATGGGCAATATGAATAGAAACTGATTTCAGTTTTAGTATATTAATATCTTATATGATACGCTATTTCTCAGGGGGAAACTTTTCTTTTTCTCAGTAAAAATTAAAAAATGTTTTCTCAAAAATATATCATGGAAATTTTGTTCAGTTTGAATCCTTTCATAGCTACCTACAGCCTCCAAATCCTGCAACACATCACATTCAGCCTCCTCTGCGCACTGTATACTGTTATGTGTGGGAGGAATTTCAATGCTCTCTGTTGCATCCGTGGTCAAGGGGATTACATACTGAGACCTGAATAGAAAAATATGACATAATCAGTCTGTTTACCATTTTTCACTGCTCCATCCCAGTTTTACAGATGATAACAAAGTTGTGTGTAGAGAACTTAAGGAACATGTGGACACCAAACAAATCCAAGATGAAAGAAGAAATAATTTGTTCAGTTCATTATTTCAAGGTTAAAATGAGGAGGAATAGATGCTTGTTGACTAATAGGTGAAAAGAGGCCTCAAATGACTACTAAGTTTGTGTCACTCACAATGCTACCTCCACCTGAATTAGGTCACATAATGGTAAATAAGATAATGACCAACTGTTGAAAACCCTTGAAATTATGGGATTATATGTTTGATACCAGTGATGATATTCCCAGAAACATTTCCAAGATATGTAAAGCAGTTGAAGATGATGACGCTCCTCACTTCACAAGTCTATGTCCAAAGAAAATAAATTAAACTTTTAGATTCAGTCGGTTTAAATACTACATGAAAAAGAATTCAACATGAGGGTAAATCATAATTTTAGAGTTCACTGTCAGACCCTGATTTACGAATTATGGCTGATGCCGTCCCTTTTTCTTTGTAGCCTGAAGTGACTGTATTGATGCCAGAGGGTGGCACATTGGGGGAGTATGAGGTTAACAAACGCAAGGTCATGCAGTTAGTGTTGGTAGGCTACCTGAAAGGGCTTGTATATTTGTTCAACTAAACAACTCGTGTATGCAGCAAACTTGTCGCTCACTTGACCACCTTCTAAAGGGGAGTAACTTTTAAGAAACTTAAAGAAACTTAAAAGTTGTCATCATCTCACGCTATCTTCTCCATGTATAAATCAATGAATCTTAAAGCCCAAACAAGCTAATAAACCAGCTTGGCCACCAATACATGCTAATTAGAGCTAGTATATAAATTATCGAGTCCATTGCTGAAAACCTGAAGCATGTACACCACCTGGATGGTCTGTTAGTACCTGAAACTGGCAGCACTAGTCAGCTCTTTCAGTGACTGGCTTCTTCACCTGCAGAGTGTGACAGAGAGATACCGCAAGTCCTTCCTGCTGCAGTCAGACTGTTCAACAGGCCTGCTACCAGTAATCCAGTTTTGTTATAAAAGGATGAAATTTAAGTTTGCAATAATGATGACACTATATACATGATATTTACTCATTTTATTTAGATTTTAAGGTCAGAGCTGTAATATTGCAGCATTAGGAAGCTTTATGTCAGCTATCCCTTTGTACACTCTTGAAAAAGAGACTTCTGATCTCAACAGGACTAACCTGGCTCAATAAAAAGAAAATTGTCCTCCATTTCTAACAAATAATTTCAGGGCTGGGACCGTGTTCTAGTCCAAGTCATAAAAAGACCAATAACTGGTGAAATAATAAAATTAGTACTCTTGAACCTAGAAACAAAAACATGGTCATTGAATTAAGATGAAACTAACACAGTTTTGTGTGTTAATGGATACAAACTCATAGGAACTCATAGAAAGCTTATAGGAACAGTGCGCTTTTTATATCATGTGAAAATCATTGAAGGTTGTAAATTCTGTGAAATTTCACACCAGGATCAGAACATCTTGTACCAGCTCACAAGTGACCAAAATGTCCAGGTTAGAGCTTTAACATTGTCAAGCTCAGACAAAGCCATCAGAGAATTGTTTTTGGATCAGCAGATAACTTTTTAGTGCAGATTAAATAAAGTATCTGTGTGACAATGAAGCAGAAGCACCTCTTTAGCTGTGGAAAGCTTTCTCTTTCTTTTCTTCTGCAATTGTACTCACTATTATGATTTTCCATTGATTTTAATTAAGGTTTGCTCAGCAGGAGAAAATTCCAGCCAGATTACTGTGTAAGAACCGGATGATCAGCACATTTTTCCAGCCGGACAGATAAAGCCTGCTGCAGTGAAGAAAAAAAAAAAAAGAGTTACACAACCATTTCTTAATGTTCAGAAATATATACCAAACAAGGGAGTCTGACATGTTAGCGAAGATTATAAATGCCTCAGAATAGCCGGCAGCAAAATCTTAGATGCTGACTTTTATTACTCTGCAACAGTCTTCGAGGATATGTATGTCACATAGAATTGACATTATTTTCTCCTTGTCAATCTCAGTCAATCTGATAATCTTTAACTTTTTTCATTGTCTTTTATTCATCTTTGAAATTCTTTTGCACTTCTGGAGATCTGTTTATTTGATTTTTTTACCCTCTTTTATTTTCTTTTGACCTCTGCTGACCTTTTGCATCGCCTTTTGTTCTTTCCTTCTATTATGTTCTGGTGAATTTTCTAGACCTTTCTCTGTTTTATTTATTTGTTTAATTTTTCCTGTATTTTTATTATTATTTTTATTATGAGGTTCTTCACTGGCCTGAGACCTCTCACTCACCACTGTGCACTACATGAGCAAGTTGGATGGTCTTCCTTGTCCTCATGGAGACTACAACACTGGCAGCTATTTATTTATAAAGCAGTTCTCAGTCTCTTACCCTCCTAACTTCTTACCCTCATTAGTAATATGTGCTCTCACTATCAGTCCCAAGAGTCAGGACTGATCTGGCAAAAAGGAGTTTATGTTTACTGCCCCTTTTACCTGGAGCAAATTTAATATAAGTCTGAAACTCAAAGACTAAGTCTCTTTGAATGTTAAAAAAATGTTTAGTGACTTGGAAGCAGACTCAAATGTCTGAAATCACCTTTACCATATCATCAGGCATTTAGAAAATGTGCTAAATTAAAATTCTGGCTTCCGTAATTTCAATGGATTGTTTTGATAGGACATCTATCTTTCTTTGTACAGTTGAAGTTAAAGTGGAACTCTCGCTCCTGGAAAAAGAAAAAGAGGTGGACGGACTCTCTCCTAATGGCAAAGCGAGTCCCTTTGCTGACAGCAGACCTAACGGGGCCCTGGGACACGGCTCTGATGAGGACTCCACCGCACTATATCACAAACCACGGGACTATGTGGAGGTCTCCGTCTGCCATGTCAAGGATCTGGAAAACGGACAGTAAGGGTTTTCCAATCTGCTTTTTTATTTAATGAACAAAAATTAAAATGACAAAAATCAACAAATAAGCTTAATGGAAGAGAGGGATGAAACTAAATACCTTTGTACCCCTAATTTATTTCACTCATTGTTACTATTAGAGTGTAAGAGGCTCCAGGGAACTTTTTATCTGACTAAAAGGTCTCATGTATTTCTTTAAACAACTCCATTAAGCACTTCTGAATGGAAGCAAAGTCATCTCGTTGTTTTGTGTGTACAACAGGATGCGTGAGGTCGACCTTGGGTGTGGTAGAGCTTTGTTGATCAAAGAGCATGGGGAGTTTTCAGCCATGGGGCACAAGTGTCCACATTATGGAGCACCCCTAGTCAAAGGTGAGTGATTTATATTTTTAGAGATGGTTTTAACCTTCCTGATCTTATATAAATTTGTGAACTTACATTTTTGGTCCTTCCAGGTGTGTTGTCAAAAGGCCATGTGCGCTGTCCCTGGCATGGCGCCTGTTTCAACATCGCAACAGGAGACATTGAGGACTTCCCTGGACTGGACAGCCTGCCAACCTTCCAGGTGACCTTCTACTCTGGTGCTGTCTCTTAACACATTTAAGGGATTACCAAAGAATGTACACATTGCTCATGTCTGTTTACTCCAGGTCAGAGTTGAAAAGGACAAGGTGATCATTCGAGCAAACAAACAGGTAACAAGAAAAAAAAGGAAAGAAATTTGTGCGGAAAAATTAACAGGCACCTTATTGATCTGCAATCTGTTTTTTTTTTTTTATAAAACACAAACATTTCCAGGCTCTTCAATCACAAAAAAGGTCAAAGCCAATGGCCCGATGCTCTGCAGTCATCAACTCCAACACAGGCTTCAGTCATGTTCTCATCATCGGCTCAGGTCAGTGAGTCTCCATCCTTTCTTCATTTCTTTACTGAGTAGTTCATACCTTTTAAACTACTTTTGAACTCTTCACTGACTGTTTCTGCAGGTCCAGCGGGTCTGGTGTGTGCGGAGACGCTGAGGCAAGAGGGCTTCACAGATCGCATTGTCATGTGCACCATGGACAGACACCCTCCATATGACAGGCCTAAACTGAGTAAGGTTTGTACACAGAACCAGTCTACCACACAGATCTAAGCAAGACAAAAAACTTACTCAGCAGTCTGCAGAGGCGCTTCTTTGGTCAGTGATGCTAAAAAAGATGCTCTTTGGGAAACAGCTGCACCTCACAACAGATACTGTAGAAGTAAACAGGTGTTAGAAATGTTACTAAGAGTAAAATGATGTGGCTTTGGCCATTAAGAAGCTTAAAGTTCATACTAGGTTTGAAAAGATTTGCTTGGAAAAGATTTTGTTATCATCCAGGGATTATTTCTTCACTTGATTCACTTTTTTTATTGATAAATTTTGCTCTAACTGAATGATCCTCAGTCCCTAGAGAGTACAGCAGAGCAGCTGAGACTGCGCTCCATGAGCTTCCTACAGGACCATGACATCGAGCTGCTCACAGAGAAAGAGGTGAAAGGTCATTCCCTCAGAACCTGAACTGATAACATAACACGTCAAGGTGGATCAACACATACTCAAGATCTTTTGTTTGTGTGAACTGTAATACTGTATGATTCTGTGATGTTTGTATCAGGCTGTCGCAATCGATGTGAAAACACGATCTGTGACCTTTGAAGACGGCTTGAGGATGGAGTACAGGAAACTCTTTATTGCTACAGGAAGCAAGTAAGGAAAAAAAAGTCCTTACAAATAATGATGAAAAATATTAAACTTTTGAAATGAAAGCTGATTTCTTATATTTTTCTACATTAAAGACCAAAACCAATGAACTACAAAGGCAAGGATGTCAGGAACGTGTTCCACCTCAGGACACCCGAGGATGCTAACAGTATAGCAAAACTGGCAAACAACAAGAACGCTGTGATTGTGGGGACATCATTTGTTGGTAAGACAAAATTATGAACAAATTCCTCTTGATTTTGCTAATAAACAAGGAAAATAATATTCGTTTGGCAAATCTTAGCTGCTTCATCCTGTCTCTTCATCAATACTCGATAATAACGTTTTGACTTACTCCACCTGGGAGCTAGGTATTACAGTAACCTGTGACCAATGCTGTCTTACATACATCTAATGATGCATTTCCCTGTATAGAAATAATATTAGTATTTTGATTTACATGTGAAATAACATAGACATTAATAATAAAGTTATTTTAATGAGGAGCTTTTTTAAAAAGTACTCAAACAAAAACAAAGAAAAAAGCATTATTGTTAATGTAGGAAACCAGATTAGTCAATAAACTCATGCATAAACTAAGATTCATTATATTATCTTCTACAATCACACCATATACAAGCTCATCTTTTTCTGCACTGCAATCATAAGAGCTACTCTCAAGATACAACTGGGTCATTTTTTCTTGGGTCACTAACAGTTTGTATTTCTTTTATCAGTTATTAAAATACAGCCCCCGTTTCTATGATCGTCACAGCAATTGTTTCATTCTATGTTTGTCTATGTCGAGTCTCTGCACGAGCTGCTGAGGATATTGTTTGTACGCTGTTTTTATTTCTGTGTGTATGTTGGCAGGCATGGAGGTGGCTGCGGCTCTGACTGACAAAGCCCACTCAGTCTCTGTCATCGGGATTGAGACGGTTCCCTTTAAAAACGCACTTGGAGAGAAATTAGGGAAAGCCATAATGAAGGTAAACGAACATACTCATAGGCACACACACTGGCATAGATCATAAAGCACTGCCTCAAGAAAACTAGCATTATTTCTCTCTATGTGAAAGAAGAAAACATTGTGCTTGTTAAAATGCAAATGACATGCAGGTGTTTTCTCTTGAATACAGTGTGTGTGTGTGTGTGTGTGTGTGTGTGTGTGTGTGTGTGTGTGTGTGTGTGTGTGTGTGTGTGTGTGTGTGTGTGTGTGTGTGTGTGTGTGTGTGTGTGTGTGTGTGCGTGTGTGTGTGTTTGATGTTGTCTCCACAGCTATTTGAGGCGAACAGGGTGAAGTTCTACATGCTGAACGAGGTGTCAGAGATGATTGGTCATCATGGACAGGTATTCAGAAAGTGAGAGAAACAGCTTGACATGATGCTCAGAAGTACTTTCCACTGAAACTTAGTCGGATGAGACGCACAAAGAGATCTTTTTGTTGGCAATCAACCAAAGAAATTTAGACAAATAAATGGACATACTTATCATGCATCACACAGGAGTTGTCCTCAAAGGCCAACATCTCGCCACCAATAGGAGGAGGGAAGAGGGGTCCATTTCAGTCAAGAATCTGACACCTAGATATTGTAATCTACACGATTTCTATGCATTGTACCTTTAAGCCTTGTTGTACGGTAGAACAAAGAGCATTTTAGCTTCTATGTGACCATTATAGTCTCTGATAAGTTGTATCGTGCAGAAAAAGCAGACTACTATTAAACAAGATTTTGTGTGGCTTGTAAGTGGTACTTGTAGATTTTTTCTTTCACAGCTTTATTGAAAATTATATTAACTAACAATTTAGCATTTCCAGTTTACGTTTCATACAAAATAGTAATGCAGCAACGGCATATATGACAATGTATAACAATAATTAAGCAAAAGAGAAAAAAAAAAGATAATTAAAAATAATAATAAATTAGGCGACAGACCTCTTTTCCCATGAAGTAAATAGTAAATAGTAAATTTATAATTATTGTGACAAATGATTGACTGAACATTACTGAATATATGTTCACTATGGGTATGCATTTCTTTATTTGTAACCAACTCAATAGACTTGAAATAATAATAAACTTCAATCAAAAACATTTAAATGATGGTTATTAGGGGTAAAAATGTGCCACTCGAGTATCTCTGTGGTTTTATTCTGTATTTCTTTCTTTCGCCATGTCTCATCATTGCCTTGTTTTTTCTCTGTTTCACAGCTAAAAGAGGTGGTGTTAAAGAGTGGAAAGGTCCTGAGAGCAGACGTGTGTGTCATCGGTGCAGGTGATGTGAAATTCTGTCAAATCTTTTGTCTATACTCTGTATTTTGGAGATTTTTTTATCAAAATTTCTCTCATGACTTTCCTCTTTTCCAGGAAGTGTTCCCGCCACAGGCTTTCTGAAACAGAGTGGCATCCACATGGACTCCAGGGGCTTCATCACTGTTAACAAGGTAAAGTATGAATCATGAACCCTCTAAGTGTGTTATGCCTCATGTTTTTGATGAACTCCTTCACATTTTCTCTCAGATGATGCAGACAAACGCTGATGGGGTGTTTGCTGGAGGAGATGTGGTGATATTTCCTTTCCCTCCACGGAACAACAAGAAGGTGAACATCCCTCACTGGCAGATGGCTCACGTACACGGTAAGTGAGTTATAGCTCTGTATTGACTGCATATCTTAAGCTTTCCCCCTTCAGGGTGATTAAATGTTCTTTTGTTGTCAAACTTACTGACAGGGAGAGTGGCAGCTCTGGGCATGCTGGGAAGAGCAACAGAGATCAAAACTGTGCCTTACTTCTGGTCTGCCATGTTTGGGAAGACCATACGTTATGCAGGTATACTGGTTTAAAAGGGTTAAAAAGGTTTTAGTTGTTGACATTTTATCAGTGCGATGAAGAAAGCATGTAGCAGGAGGAGGCTCAGAGGTGGTCAAGTGTGGCTGACAACACTGCCACCTAGCTTTAAAATAAAAAAACAGCACTGAGAGGACTTAAAGTTGAGCCTAAAGGGAATATATGTACAGTAAGTTTCTGTGTGTGTGTGTCTGTGCGTGTAAATGTGTATGTAAAATTTCTGTTTGTGAAGGTTATGGTGATGGATTTGACGATGTCATCATACAAGGAGATCTGGACGAACTGAGATTTGTGGCATTTTACACCAGGTGGGTTTTTTTTAGTATTGATATTCACTGTAGTCTATGATTTCATGTTTTCCTTGTTTTTGATCTTATTTTAGACTCAAATAAGTACTCACTGTCTGATTTAATCACAGCTACATTCTGTTTTTTTTCTGTTGTCTGTCTATAGGAGTGAGGAGGTGGTTGCTGTTGCCAGCATGAACTATGATCCCATTGTATCCCGAGTAGCAGAGGTCTTGGGATCTGGAAAGACGATTAGGAAACGAGATGTGGAGTAAGTAAGACCTAAATCTGGTCAGTGTTACAATAGTTGTTATGTTCTTTAGGTTTCTCAGGTTCTACTGTGAAGAAAAACATCATAAATAACATCACTTTGACAGAAAACACATCGAGGCATGGAGCTTGTGACTTTAATCACATGAAAAGTATTATACGGGCAAACCGGTTAACTTAGTGAAACTACACCTCAGACCACTCCGAGAACATCAGGTAGTTTTTAACTTTGACATTTTATTTAGCATTTTATTTTCCTTTGACGTTTCAAAATTGTCTGTACATGTTATGACAGAAAAAAAATAACAATATGGAGCTAAATATTGGAGCATTTGTTCACAAGAGTGGGCAAATAGACCAAGTTCTGAGACAGTAAATCAGGTTCCTCCTTAGAAGTTATTTTAAGAATGACAGAAACTATGTCATCTAAAGGTCTGTAAAAGCCATTCATTAGAAAATAGCTTACAACATTTTATTTTGAGATGCTTCCTCAACTATATCATGAGGATTCACACATTCATCTTTTAGGAACCATCTTTTCTTCAATTCTTTTTCAACACATTGTAGAGATGTTCTGGTTTCTCACGACTATTATTGTTTGTCCACAAATGTGTTCAATTTAAGTAAACTAGCCACAACAGATGTTCAAACACTTCACAGATAATTACTAGCAATAACAGTACAACATGGTTTTGATGATAATAAAATGATATCTAATGATATATTCTCTGCAGCTCTTGGTTTAATTTACCACTTACACCATAAGTGCTTAATTTGTGGACTTTAATTTCTCTTAATTTGATTTTAGATTGAGTTTGAAAAGGTAACGACTTCCTGCTATAATAAATATCAAATAGTCTTAGTCCTGTCCTGGATTAATTTTGTTATCACTAAAATAGCTAAAGGACCTACAAGACAGAGACTCACCACACAGTCATGACATTGCCGTGATTGTATTTTTTCATGGTATTCCACATGTTTCTCTGTGTTTTGGTTTGATTTTATTTGTTGTGTTGCTCATGTCTCTTATGTCTTTCGTTTTAATAATGCAAACTCGAAATTATCAGGATTTTAGCACGGCTTGGCAAGTATGAATAAATCAGAGCTTTTTCTACCTTTCCTTTCATTTACATCTTTTGTTTGCAGGGTGTTGTTGTTAATGTTGTTCACATGCACATGTCAGTGTGTCTCACGGCTTTTCTCCGGGTTTGCAGGACTGGGGACATTTCCTGGTTGATTGACAAAGGTTCTTAATGACTTTACCTAAAGTCCTCCACGTTATGGACACATATGGTGCTGTGACACTGAGCAGCTATCCCGGTCTGAACACACTCCTGCATATACAGGAACCTGGGAACAGGACTTTGGAGACACACTCCCCTGAAAACACCATCAAGGCTTGTTTTTCTTCCTAAGAGAGACACTGAGAAGTGACACACAGAGCCATACACAGTTTGAGTACACTGCGTCACTGTGTTGGCAGGTCTTGATGACATTTTTACCGACAAAGCAATACTGGATTCAAGTTGTATCTACCTGTACACTTTGTTAATAAGAAGCCAAGGATGGGCATTGGAATTTCCATTTTGTACAAATAACCTTGTGAATAGTTCAAATCCTGAATGCACTGTAACAAAAACAAGAACATCCAGTCTGAACTGAGAGTTTTTAAGTCTTCAAAACAGGTGAATTTGGGTGAATGCTCACATTCTGGCCTTAGATCTGCATGCAATTACAGACTTTAATAAGACTTCAAGCAAATAAGCCTCTTAAGCGAGAGTTTTATATCTATAGGAACAAAAAGCATTATGACTTGCAGCAAAACCCTAAATGCAGCTTTAATCGGCCCACTAACACACAAACACACACATGCAGCTTAAACTGTAAAACAATGATAGTTTCAAGGATAACAACATACTGTACCTCTTTGTAATGGCTGCCTTGCTCATAGATTGCACAAATTATCTAAAGATTATCCTTTGATCAGATTATAGTGCTTGCACAATAGATGGATGTATTTTCTTAACAAATAGAAATCTTCCCGTAGAGAAATCCTTTAGTAGCTTCTTTTTCATAGCTGGAATATTTTTTGTTACTAACTCAGGGAACTGAGGTTTGTGGCCTGGGCTGATAATGGTCAATACTGCAACTAGGAATGAATTTGTTGCTTTTCTCTCTCCCTCCCAGCTATTTTTATTACCCCTTTATGCATTCATTTTTATCAAGAACTGCTTGTCATGTTTATAAAGCAGATGATTGGTTACATCCTGATGTGCTGATGATGACCCCAAAGTACTTGACACACAAGTCAGCAGAGTATTTTAAAAAAAAAGAGAAGCCTGGAGTGGCATTTTTTAACTAAACTTTGAAATAAAAGTCTTCCAACAACAAGTACTTTCTGTTTTATTTATTTATTTGTTGTTTATCAGTCAGGAGTAATGCAAATAGTAGAGCACAGATCAGTAGAAAATGTGAATTTTTTTCTCAGAATACAACAGAGAAAAGTTTGGAGCTATACGACAAGTTTCGATCTTTGAGGCTTTAATAACAAAAAAAACACTTCTAGACAAGTCAGTTTTATCAGACAAGACATATGATAAAAATAACTTTTGTAAAGCTTAAATGCAAAGTGACAAAGTACAATTTTAAATTAAGCGTCTCCAGAAACAAATTCTTTTCCCAAATGAGGAGGCATCTTACTCGCGCAATGGTTTCCAACAATACTGCAAACAGCCTGTAGAGGTTTTTCTAGAGTATTTGGGTGAGAAGCACCTTAAAGACTAATAAATATGTTTACAGTTACTGGAGTGAAGGCATTACATGGTGATAAGTCAAAGAAGTGGATGGGAGTTATAGAAGGTTACTGACGACAGGACAGCGAGGAAACGCACATGCTGTACCATGGTTGATAGAAATGATGAAACCTGATATCAACAAAAGTCTGACAGTAGACAGAGTACGTCTGTAGGCAGGAGACAACTTAAAGCTGGCATTGGTATAAAAAATATTTGATAAAAAGCTTGGCTGTAATGCCCAGGGATTTTCACAGCGCTCGCTGGTGAAGAATTGCTATAGATTGAAACGTATCTGTTAGAGACCACATAGCAGACTCTGCGACGGTGTCGTAGGATTGACGGAGCTTAATAAGAGCAAGCTTAATCATTTCGATTAAACCTGATAGCTTCGAGCTGCTTTTGAAAATTCATGAAAAAGTCCTTTTTGTAAACTCCTGTGTAGAGGTTTGACATCATTGTGCTACAAAAATTCACATTCCGAGATCAGATGAGTACAATCACAGTTTTTCCAGAACCAGGAAATAAAGCACTTGTAATATTTTTATCCTATATCTGGTGAGATGATAAATGTTGGCAGTGATCTCTACTGCATTGGAGGACTGAGAAAAGAAACCCCTGATAATCTGATGGATGCTCATCTGGTTAAAAAGTCCTCCTGAATCCACTTTTTATGATACTCTGTGGCACATTGGTTGCTTTTCCCAGAAAACATCCAGCAAGATGCAGACACACAAGTGCTGACAATCTCCAGTTTACCCAGGGTCAGAGGTCGTATTCTGCTGCACACTGCTGGAGGTACCATTCATACAGCTTCCCCTGTGGAGTAAAATCAACAATGTGAGATGTTTTATATTGGAACCACCTGCTTCATCCATACTGGGATTTGCTAAAGCTTTAACTTCTTCACTAAACAGCTGAAATGAAACAAAATCTTACCTTCTTGATTTTGACGACATCCTGAATGTATTCACTGTACTTCGCCAGCACCTTCTTCTCCTTCTTCGTCAGAGTCTTATTGCCCTGCCTGACAATAAACAGTATCATACGGTTAACTTACATATTCAGTGAGTATTGATTTCTGATTGTGAGTTTGTGCCTGAAAAATTCTCCTACTTAGGGAATATTTCCAAGAGTCAAGCACATTTATGGAGTTTACAACAATATCAGCGAATTAAAACAATACTGACACAGTTTTAGTTTCCTTTATGTGTGTCAGCGTGAGAGTGTTAACTTGTGCCAATCTAGATTACAGGTATGTACTGCTCACAATAAAGTTTAATATAGACACCCAGGGAAACTGTATGCACATAACACATAGGGCTGCAGTTTACATTAATTTTCACCACTATTTAATTTGTTGGTAATGTTCTCAATTGATGATTTCCACCTCCTCAGCATGATTTCTTTGAATGTCTTCCAAATATAATCCACTGTTCAAAAGATACACAATCATGCCAGTAAAAAAAGAAAAACAATTTATTTTTGGAGCTTTTTATTTATGTAAGAAGTTATTAATTTCATAATTTTAATACATAAAATAAATTTTAAATACGGTAAATAAATAAAATGTAAATAAATAAAATAATTTAAAGAAAAATAATAAAAAATAAATTTATCCGTAGAGTAATTTTCTTTTAGTCAGCAAATAATACATTGTTTCAGAGCAACAACTTCTTGCATCTCTGTAACACTTACCCTGCAAAGTACTTTGCTAGGAAAAGCAGGAGATAGCAAAATGCTCCAAAGGTGATGACAAACACAACTTGTCCATCTTCCGGTATCCAATCCCACAAATAAATCACTATTCCCTGTAAGACACACGTTACACAGACACTCAGAGAACCAGGTACACAAAACACACAACTTAATGTCACCGTGCTGTGACGTTATCTGACATTTATATCATTATCACCTGTGTGACTCACTGTGAGCACGAGGACGGTTCGTGATGCCCCCTCACCCAGCAGCTCATCCAGCTGCTCTTTGGACAGGGTGTTAACGATGAAACTGAGGATGAAGAGGGTAGGGAGGACTACACCCAGAGCTCCACACAGGAACGAGTGAAGACGGACACTTTTGTTGTAAGCTGCATCAGCCCTGCCAGCGCACAATGAAATCTAGTTTTAATAACGCTTCTTCTGCAGGGTGTAATAGCTGCTGACTCTTATCTCCTCTGTTTGATCACAATACGGTTTATTTGTAGGTGGCATATCGCGTCAGGGTAAATTAGCTCCAGCTGTAATTTCAACACACTGACATGGGCTATGCTGTAGGCTGAGAGTCAAACCTGTCCTTCTCTAGTCTGCTGCTGATGGTGGAACAGATCAGGTCACAGTCTTTCTCCAGCTGATCCAAAGTCTTCTGAACGGCCTGATTGATGGTCTTCTCAATGGTCTGACACACACTGTCGATCTGGTTCACACAGCGGCTTGGCTAAACAAAATAAAGTTAGTGTTGATGAAGTTAGGTGCTGTTCTAAGCATTATTTGTGGCTATAGAGTGACGTTTTGATTGAGTATGTAGCTCCTGAGACCACTATGTATTGCTATCATGCAGTCGTTACTAAAGTTGGTATAACTAAAGAAGCAAGCGGTCGTCAACATTCATCTCTTGAGGGGGTGTCTAACTCGGTGTTACGGTGTGTTTGACCCTAACTTAATTCTACGCCGGAATATCCCTTTAATTTGATATTTGGAGATACTTTTCATAATTTGTTTTTGTCATAAAAGACCAAACAGTGTGAAATTAAACCCAGAATCAGTTTTGTAATAGCTGTGCATCTCTATCTCAAGAGAAAAGGTCAAGAAGCTTCACAACAAATCCTCACAGTGTTTTGACTGACAGCCTTGTTCACTGAGAGGAAAGCAAAACTGCGCTCAACCAACCAGAATAAACTGGAAGACTGCAGAAATACAAGAATCTGCCATCAGTGGTGGAGCCTTGTGGTTGTAGATCACACGATGGCCCAGCAATAACTCAACACTGAGGCTAAAAATGTCAAAGGTGACCGATCAGGGGCTGTGGTTTATGACCTCTGTTCCCCACCATAGCGTAGATAAGTCTCTCAGTCATCCAATTACAAAATAAATCATCTTGTTCCAGCCACTTGTAAACCTGAAGTGGAAAATTTACATTCAGAGATAATCAATAGCTGCTAAACCCCGAGGGAAATAAAGCGCTTTAATTCAGACCTGAAATCATAAAACCCTGAAGAAAAGATCTGACTTGTGTATTTTTATCACACAAGTGTTATCTTTATAATATTCAAAGCTATATAAGTGAGCTCTTTGTAAAGGGTTGCGTGTGCTACAATGCATCTTAATAACAGAGATATGTGTGGAGGTTTAAGGATGAGGAGCATGTGATGTATGATATACTGATGGACAACAGAAGAACACTTTGTTTCAAGATTTTACTTTGCCCTGGCCAATCACAAGTAGTCAAATGACATACCGAGTAAGATCATGTGTATCCTGTACGTTTATTTGTGTCAAAGAGTTTTAACCTCAGTCATATCAGGATAACTTTTGTTAGTAAGGAACAACAGTCATTGTAGGAGCCAAAATATATTTGTTGAAAGCATGATTTCTACAAGGTAAGTCACTTCTGGGGATCGACACTGAGGGGTGTGGTTTTGGGATGTTTGGCGAGTTATTTAAATCTCACAGGTGTAGTCAGACAATGGGTTGTGGTAAGCTCTGATAATTTTCTGTTAATCGTTTCACTCACCCTGTTTTAACCTCATTTTCATTGTATCACTTTGTCATTCGAAGGCAAAAGTTTTGGACCTGGATCAGTGTCTTTTCTTTTTTGGAACAATAAACCACTTTTTAACTCTCAAACTGATCTGATATTTGAACGAGTCAAAGATGCAAGCGAACCTAAAACCCAGCGGCCTTTTCATTGAAGGACAGCAGTCGCTACAGTCATCAAAGTCAGTAAGCTGTTGAGTTGAATTGTACTTGGGGGTTCTGTTATCTCAAAGGATGGTTTCCAATTACTGTATAAATCAGATTCCTATTTAAATCCTGTTGACTGTCCATCACAGGAAAAAAGGGAAAATAACAGTCTCACCTTCTGCGGGTTGGGGATGTATATTGTAGGCATCTCAAAGCCACATTTGTTGAGACCTGGACGGCGGCACAGTTCCTGCACTATCTGCATCATGACCCTCTGCAGAAATGGACATTTTTAAAGTTTAACGACCCTTTCTTACTATCAAATCAATCAAAAAGGTTTTTAAAAAAGACACGTGTTGAGTGGCCTCACCTGTCTGTCTGTTTCCTTTCCTGCTTCATCCGCCTTGCTGAGGTAGAAGAGCAGCTTGTCTCCACATTTCTCACTCAGCTTTTCTACAATGTTGAGAGTGCGCTTGCAGAGTGCCTGACCCATCGGGTCAAAAAACACAAATACCAGATCTGCCTGTTCTCCTGTACACAAAATACAACTGTCATTGGAACACTGCAGCTTTGGAGTAGAAAATGAGACCTACAGGTGCAAACACATACCCAGCCAGATGATGGCACTGTTGACATCAAAAGGGTAGACCATGTCCCCGTCCACCAAACCAGGCGTGTCCACAAACGTCACCAGGCTGAACTTCTTCTGCTTGGAGGTGGAGATCTCAGCAGACAGATAATCCAGAACACCTGGAATATAGACATACATGCGGTGAGAGCGCACAGATGATTCCCTTTATGAGAACACACTGATGATGACATAAAAGCGGAGTCCCTGCAGGAAGCTGTCACCTCCAATGACTGTATTACTATGTGCTACTGGTAGCCGCAGTGCGGTCAATACTTGAACCCCTGAGGGAAGACGGTGACACTAAAGATCAAGAACACTTACGGCTGTTTTTGTGCCTCCAGGCTTTCAATTACAATGGGGTTCATTTGTGTTTTAAAACAGAAAAAAAGGTGAATGATGATCATTTGAATAGAACTATTCGCTGGCTGCGTAGATGCATTTACACAGCTAAAATAAAAACATGTCATAAGCCTTCTCCTATCAGATAAACTCCCAGTTGTAAAGCTGCGAGTTATTCATCAAGTTATTTATCCTCCCATTTATCAAGTCACAGATTTTCTCACTTCATTACGTGCAGCAATCTGTTGTTATGGTTACACACAACAGCTCTTCAACTGGCAGCTTTAGCGTGGGGCGTGGGACATAAAGCTAGCCAGTGAAGAACGACTGTGAAGCAACGCGCTGAGGTTACGATGCTCCACCGCAACCACAATGTGCAAATCCACTAAAACCCCAAGCCTGGGCTCCAGAACAAGCACACTATTGAGACAAACTCCAACTATTGACAAAATAAGCCCCACCCACATCCACCAAACTAACCCTTTGTCAACACCCCCCACAGGCACACATACACACAGACACACAGGCCTGAGATGACACTGAGGCTGTTTCATAGGAGGAGGCAGGTGTTAACAGGCAGCACAAATCACATCCTTGTGCTGCAGCGAGCCAGGCTGCCGCTGCTGCTGCTGCTGCTGCTGCTGGGCCACATTAGCATTCCCTTAAGTTTCTCTTACATCAGCATGTACACAGTATCAATGCATCTCCAAACACATCTTTGAAGTAGATTCTCGTAGTCTTGCAAGATTACGCCAAATTCTTATGACGAAACGGTGTATGTATGAGAATACTTATACCGTCGCAATAGATCTCTTTGGGCTGCTGATCTACACTTCATCTACAAAAGGTTTGTCCAAAACACACAAATGCATGCATCTTTACAAAACAGTAGCAAAAAAACAAGAACATGCTTGACTCTTTAAAGAAAGTGGATCAGTCACCCCAGTTAAAGCATATTCATCCACTCGAGTTGACAAAAACACTCTGAGTCTCCTTCAGCTTTAAGAAAACAACCAAGATACTCGTCTTTAAGTGCCAAGTTCCTCAAGTGGCTGTAACGAAGAGGACTTCTCTGGAGAGCTTGTGCTTTGGGAAAAGGGCAAAGGCCGCCACACTGCTGCATTGACCGAGACTAAAAGAGGACTTGGTGGATTAAAGAGTTTAAATAAGATGCAGTGCACATACATGTCAAGTAAGAAAGCAAAAAAGGTAGCCAAATGATATGAAAAAATCACTTTTTACATACGCTTTCAACAGCCATGCAGCATACGGTCTAACCTCATGACAACAGGTTGCCCAGATTAAGACAAGACAGTAAGAAACACCCCACATGTTAGTCTGAAACAACATTAAAAAGTATCTCCATGCACATCCCAAAAAAGAACGAGCTGTAAAATCAGCATCTACTCCCACGTAAGGATATACGCTGCTTTTCTGATGAGTCATCCTCAGCTGCTGTCACAGGTAAACAAATGCCTCATATGGTGGATTTCCAGAGGGGGAAATGAAGTTTGGATAAAAAGGTTTCCAGAAGCAGATCAGCGGTGTCCTGCGAGCCTCTGGCCTGCAGGGTGAAGCTGCTGCTGCTGCTGTTGCTGGAGTCCAGGCTGTGGCGTCTGTACCGGCTGTGACATTTCTCAGCAGCTCCTCCTGACTCCACTGCACTGCTGTCGATGGGGCGTGTGACTCACAAGCCATATCGTGAGCATTTCGGTCCGCACCCAGTGAACCCTTGCTCTTCACACACCCACTGTGAATGCACACACATACATTACCCCCCCCTCCCTTTCCCTCTACTGCCCCCCCCCACCCCCAACCCCCACTACCACCACTGATGCTCCCACTCAGACAGCAGGCACACCCAGACTCTTCTGCATGACCACCTCAACATCCGGAAAGCTCCAGATCACTGCTGTCGTGCAGAGAGCTGAGAACGATAGTCGGAACACAATGTGCTATGATCATGTCTCTTTTTTTTTCCCATGTAAGAGGAATCTCAACCCAGATCGCATCTCAGAGACAAACAGCCCAGATGAAAGAAAAAGGGACCAGAAGTCTGATTTATATAGTACAAACTTGACACGTCAAAGCATGACTCAGTGTTGAGTCATCGAGGTGAAACACCTGAACTCTACCTTGCATCACAAAAAAAACAGGCCTTACACCTAAAAAGTAGAAACATCAATACACTCAATGTGCCACACAGCTCAAAACAGCCATCCCTGCAGTTTGCTTAATGTAAAAAAAGTAACAACAATCCATTTTGTAAATAATAACAATGTATGTAATTAAAATTACCAAGGGCACTATCAATGAGCTCCCACACATACAGCATCATGAACAAAGATATCAGTCATAATCTTTTTAAGCGACTTAAAGCCGGGAGTGATTAGTAGCTCTAATCACTACATGCAAAACATCAGTTACTACAGCTGGTTCATGACAGGCAGGAGAGAGATTATGGTTTCTGCATTGTCCCTCTCAAATAAAGTCTACAAATTAAAAAAAAATTGATAGATAAGTGACATGTTGAAAGAGACATTTTGACTCTTGCTTTAAGTTGGCCATGAGTTCAGTGAGTTCCTCTGAGAAATGACAGTGCAAATCTCAAAATGAGGCTGCACTAAGCAAAATGGTGGTGTCAGTTATAGGAAGACATAACTGGAAAAAAATCAAAAAGGTTCATGCTAATCTTTCATTAAACTGGTTGATTGTGTAGTTGTATGAAGGGGCTAATTTACAATAATGAGTATCATATGTTAATTAATGTTCATTGCTCTATTTCAGTGAATTCAATTTCAAAATGGCAGGTGCACTTCAGCCTATAGAGCATACAAAACATGTAGGATCTGTACAATAGCACTTGGATCAGATCCCACAGTGGGTATTTCAGTCATCTCACTGTAGTTGAGCGGTATACAGCCCATAACTGTGTCCAGTATATTAATAATATCAAACACAAACCAGCCTGATGTCAACAGCCATTCACTGAACAACTGTTGCATAGGTCTGACTTTGACTTTTCAAACAGTTTTTGGCAGTGAGCATACATATGCCACACAAATGAGCACCCTCCAAAATCTTAGAGGAAGCAAGCTCAGACTTGAAAGCATAATTACATTCAGCATCTGTCGACTGTGCCTGTTGCTGCTTTTTCTGCTTTTCCATAAATTTTGAACTATATTTGCTCTACTCTGCTGTACTTATAATATTTAGGCAGAGGAATAAAAATCTATTACTTATATTTTAATCTCTGTACTGCATTCACTATAGATGTAATGATATGTATCTAAATGCAAAATATACTAAAAGTTCTAGAAAATCTATTGACATCGCTCTTTTCATTGATATGAAATTTGGATTCACTCTTTTTTCTGTCAAGATGAAATAAGAGATACCAAATTATACGCCACTAGCGATGTCTTTGTAGATATTTGGCAACCATTAATTCATTTTATAGAAACATTACCTCCTGCAGCTGTGTCTAGATATCATGTATGAGGTCCGCTGGTGTAAACTTGGCCAGTATACTCCATGCTTACTAATGAGCCCACTTCTTTTGAATTGCCAGTTTATGCGTTTGTGCATGTAAGCTTATGCAAACGTATGTACATATTTTATGTTGTTTGTTTTTCCCCCCTCACTTTTATATTGTATTTTCAGTTTGCTTAAAAAGGGCATTAAATAAAATACTTTTTCAAAAAAGTTAATTAAACCAACATCAGAAAAATACAATTTGCACTATATCTACATTTTTTTTCTTAGCTAATTAAAGTGAGAGTTACAAATGGCAGAAGCAGCAGGAACTAGCCCTCAAATATCTCTTGGTTCCACTTGTTACTAGTAGCAATATTTTCTCCTTATTTACCATACTGAGAATGGCAGGGTCATTTATTTTTTTTACTTATTTCATGTTTCATTTTTACCAGTGACCCTGTGTTTTGAAAGCTGACGTCAAAGCAGACGTCACTGCTGATTGGGAACACGTAAACAGCATCGTAGGAGGAATGGCATTCAACAAAGAGAACTATGATCAGATTCGAAACGATTTTCAGCGGTTTAGCGACGCTCTTTTAAAGACTTAATTGAAGCGTCACAAATATTCCTAACCAAGGTTTTCCTAACCATCAGAGCTGTCCCTACTTGGCATGCTCCCTTAGATTTGGTTATAATGTGAAAGTATGTTTGTAATGTATCAAATATGGCCCTGAATTCACAAATGATGACTGATGATGGTACCTGCATATGAATAGATTTGGTGGTTTTCTTCCCAGTAAGCACAGGATATTCTACACAGCCAGGGACAGTCATGCATTTATCAAAAAGTACTTCAGAGCTAAAACATGTAGAAAGCACTTACCTTTGAACTCCAGGAGTGGTCGGAAGTGAGGATAGAGATGCAGCGTTGCATTCCCCTGTAAAAAGCCAAAAAACAAAGAGACTGTGTTAAAGTCATGATGAGGGAAAGTAATGTGCAGTTAGTCTGTTCTACAAAAGACAACTCTATCCCTTCTTAAGAACTTGCTGCAGCTCAGTGTGCTTTCCTCAAGCTTTTCCTGGATGTAGGAGATAATCCTCCCACTCTGCAGTCCTTCACTGCAAATATATTATTCATCTTCATCATCTTCAGCACAGCAGGAGATGAGCACAGAGGCAGAGGATGTGAGGAGATGGAGAGACAGGTGTCTCCAGAGCATGCTTATTTGCTGCAAAGATAGCTCTGTGCTCTCTGCTGTGCGTATGTCTATTCAAAGCTCCTCAGTGAAGCAGCATGCTGACTGAGAAATCACTGCTAACTGAGGAAGTGCCCTGCATGCAAGCCAACATCAAACATATTAATTCACTGACCTTCATGGCAGCATGCAGCTTTACATCCTGTGTATTACGTCAAGCATTCATCTGAACATGAAACGCGGACAATATGCACAGGTAAGATCAATACATATCCATCAATCAATCAATCTTTATATAGCGCCAATTCACAACAATTTAACGCTAAACAAAAAAGCTGGTTTGGACAATACTCTATTTACAAAGACCCAGTATAAAGATGGGATAAGACTTAGCACCATTTTGTTAGATCAGATCCACTCCCATCCTATCTTCAACCACAAGTGTAATACTTGGTAGCATTTAGCAAGATACAGTGGAGAAGAAAAACTTCTTTTTAACAAACAGAAACCTCGAGCAGGACCAGACTCATGTGAGACACTCATCTGCCGGGACTGTATTAGCTTTAGAAAGAGGATAGAGGAAGATGCAGGAAGAGAGAGATGGATAAAGTTTTGCTGTTCTTACCGTCAGTGATTCTCTTTTACGACCACTTGTGACAAACGTGAAGCCCTGAGTTTCTATGGCGACACCTGCTTTCTGAATGTGCTCTTCAACATACCTGGAATCACAGTAATCCATATCAAATATTTTGGAAACTACTTCTAACTACGATCTTGTGCACAGGTTTTAAAGACAATTCTTGAGTCATTTTTATGCTTCGATTTCTCCATTTCTCTTTGATTAAAATGGCAGAATATGGTAAAAAGAAATTATCATTCCAAACCAGAAACCTTCAGCTTCTATGGTTAAATGTTTCAGGACAGCAAACTAAACCCAGAGAGATACAATTTCTGATCACATGAATCAAATATTCCCTCAACAAATGACTACAGCAAACAATCAGTGTTCTGTAGTGCTCATTATTTTAGTTAATCATCATATATCCAATAGATCTCAGTATTAATAAGTGCAGAGCAAATAGAAGACTATAAGACTGTTTCATCTCATTCAAATAATGTTCATCTGTTCAGACAGTAGCAACAAATTTCCTTTAAAGGACAATAAATGTCTTTTTATCTATCATAAAACTGTCACACTTTTGCTCCCTCTCAGACAGGATCTTGATAATGTCCCCCAAATAAAAAGTACTACGATTTCAAATTACAGTCAACTCGATTATTGACAAGCAGCAACTTTATTGCTGATGGGACATTAATATAAAAATATGAGGTTAAACTTTGGTCATGTTTCTCTTTCTATTTCCTCTCAAACATAGGCTACACATTAACAACTTTATCTATACAACACAATCAGATGTGAGGAGATAAAACAAATGAATATGTTAAACTACTTGTCATTTTAAAAAAAAGACATATTTGTCATTTCCTATCAGGTTTCTCAGTCCTACCAACACATTTTTGAGGGCAAAACTGCACAAATTTCTACCCGTCCTAAAGCAGTTTTGTAAAAGCCAAAAGTTAGAATGATACATCTACAAAAAACAGAGCATGTGATGACCCCACAGCTCAACACCACAGATCCCATAACCAGAGAAATGTTTTACCAGTTAATGAAGGAGCTCTTCCCTGCAGAGTGGTTGCCCATTATCATCACTATTATCTTTTTCCTTGGAGGCAGCAGCCGCACGCCAAGGCTGCTGGCAATTTTAACTAGACCTGAAAACACAACAAACACAAAAGAGTTAGCTTTGTAGCTAAAGCCCCATCAAAAAAATAATAATACAAACACAGAAAGGAAACTAGTGCTTTCTGTAGTTATGTCAAAAATGGGTTAAGTTTACTTAAAAAAAAAAAAAAACAACTATATTATCAGGCAACATTTGCTAGCTAGCTAGCTAGCTAGATAGATAGAAAGAAAGATAGATAGCCTTTATTGATCCCAAACTGGGAAATTCACAGTCTTACTACTGCTACTAGTCTTACGAGTAAAAAAAGATGCATTACTTTTTTTTTTTGTTCCACCTCACCTATAAAAGAACATTTCTGCCTTTCTCTACTATACATAATTTAAAGTTGAGGAGATCACTTTAGAAGTAGAGATTAATTTTGGTCAGTATTTTTAAAACATTAAACTATGAAAAATGATTGAACTACAAAAAATAACCGTGTGCATGTTTAATTTAGAGTGGTCCCCATCAATACAACCTCTAAACTCTGTACTTTGTGATTGATGTGGGTTATAGATCCAGGCAGAAGTAGTAGTCCCGACATTAAACAACCATACACATTGCAACCTGTTTGCACACAGGCTGACAGGTCGACAATTGCTGAATGATGCACAGAATTGTTAAGCAACCAAATTTTATTGAAAATAATGTTAAAGTAGTTGACCAATACTGTTTTTTTTTTTAATGATAGATGTCAGTGCTGATCATTACAGAGCAGGTCCGCTGATGACCCATATATGAGGCTGATATCATGTTGTGTATTAATAACAGCAGACCATATTTGATGCACATTAAAATCTTCTATATGTGGTTGTCTTTGTAGACAACCATGCATAGAATAACATTTGGGCTAAATTTCAGAGCATGACACATTTATGTCAAAGGCAATATTAACCTTCATTACTTCAGACATCATAACAGAAAATATATGAGATACTTCTCAGTAAGTGTTCTGTCATTGGAAAGATGTGTTCTCATTTCAGAGGACATTTTTTTGTCATTTGTCTTTTTTTAACCAATGTCCCAGATATCAGCCAATACCAATTATTTCAAAAGTCCATTAATTTAACCAATTAATCAGTGCATCTCTAGTAACTGCATTGGTTCTTTTAGTTTGGACCTGAGTCAAGAAACATTGTGTGACTTCTTGAAGTGCAAATCCTGCAAACGCACAGAGCCCATTAAAGACCTCTCCCATATTTGCCAAAGACACAATTGTCTCAGTACCAACCCCTCTGGGCTCAACAGCTTTTCATACATGTTGCAAGAGTGTTTGGTGACAGTTATAGGCGCTGCCCCACACTCTTCAATGTCATCAGATTACTGACACTGACTGACAGCTGACACAGACCACCACCCACCATTAACCTGAAAACAACAACAACTTAGTACTGTTATCGCCACTTGAAACTTCAGAGTCCCACTGAAGCACAAAGTTATATAACAACACAAAACTGTGCCTGCTTGTTTCTGCAGCCCGGTGCAAAGTGAGCTGAGGTGTTGCTCAGAGTTTCTCCGCTTACTGATCATTTACCGTTTTCGCTGTCCACATACAGACTGTGACATTCTTTCAGGATCTTCTCACTCGGTGTGGTGATCGCGGACTCCAAGGGGTTCGCCACAGACCGGGGTTTTCTGCCCGACATTGCGACCACCACCTGCCGAAAACCGCCACCCTGCGGTTTCTCTGGCCGCCGGGGGAAGAGTTTCAGTGCTGCACTTACGGCTCCCGTGCAGGTGAAGCGCCCTCATCTGGACAAACGTTCTTCTCCTTCTTCTTCTTCTACTTCTTTATTTCAGGCAGAGTAGACCCCGCAAGCCATATTACTGCCTTCCACTGGTCTCTTGTTCAATCAGCTCTTGTTATAAGGAAGAGTGGGGTCAGATGAGACATGTCTCATATTTCAGATCACTACATCAAGACAGTCATAGTTTTGTCTCTAACTAGTGTATCTGCATATAGTTCAAGATGTTGTGCATCCCTGCAAACCAACAAAATGAGTGTAAACATAACTGTCTTGATAATATAGCATGCCAAAAAAAGAGGGGTCTCCTATGGCCAACTTACCCCGTGTATGGGGTAAGTTGGCCATAGGAGCAGAGTAAGTTGAGCTGTATCCCTACTACCCCAGAACTACTATGATGACTTTATTAGTCCTCTAAGCTAAATTGGTGGACTTCTATGCTTTGGTTTTAACCTCATGTTGTAGCTCATAGATACCACAATTGATGTATAAACAGATTTAAAATGATCTTTTTTGGTCTGAAGACAATTCCAATAAAACTTATGACAGACTAAATTCACTTTCAAGAGAGAAAAAATGTTTTTTTTTGGAAATCAATGTCTAAGCCCTTCACCCATGTGCTTCGTCATTTGGTGGTTTTCTTTATGGCCAAATAAAGAAAAGATAGACAAAACCTTCACTCCTAGCTCTGACATTTTAACGAATGGGCGGCTTCTTTCTGCGTGATAACCACTGCATTTTAGAAACACATGTTTAACTGTTTCTGGCTGTCCACGTTGACATAGCCCTGTGACATGTTTTTTCCTATTGTAAATAGATATTGATTTAACCCACAGTGTCCAAGCCTCAGCCTGCACAGCTTAACTGCATCTCTATGAGATTTGATGTTACAACGGCATCTATTCTTCATTTTGGGTTGGGCTGTAAAATGATGTCTCTCCTTATCCTCCCTCTCCCAGCCAGCTTGCCACTCCTTAATAACACCCTCCTTAATTCGTCCCTTTAGTTCCACTTTCCTTGTGAATACCTATTCCTTTGAGTAAGCTTTCCTCTGCCAAGAGGTCCACTTTCTCGTTGCCCTCAACCCCAGCATGCCCCAGAACCCAACAGGATGTGACCTCGTGTCCTAACTCAATTCTGCACATGATGTTTTGAATTTCCATCACCAGATCAGGACGAGCTTTGCTTTTACCAGCTCTTAAGGCCTCCAGTGATGCTGCTGAGTTGGGGCAGATGACAATCTCCTTGGGCAGATGACAACCCTCCACCCACTTTAGAGCCCAAAGGATTGGCATCAACTCTGTGGTGAAAACTCAAGTTTCATCAGATACTCGAAAACTATACTTCAATTCTGACTGTTCTATATGTTCTATAAAAGGTTTAGCACTTTGTCTAGCACTTATCTAAAAAACATGGTGAAATAAAAATTCTAAACTTAAAGTTAAAAATTTTACATTGACCTTTGAAAACATAGACACTGTTTTAATAATTATTTATTTTTAATTTAAATCTCTTGTTAGGAGTTTTTGAAACAGACTAAAATGAATGGTGACACATCTCTATGATGTACAAAAGTATTGGGACCACTGATGAAAAGATTAGCAATTTCCGCACTGTAATTTTTATGCTGAGTAAACAGTCTGAAGTGAGTGTTCTGATGTTTGCTGTCTCATTTGATTGATGATGTTGGATGTGAAAATGAACAGAATGCTAAGTGTAGAAGTGAAAATTCTATTTCTGGGCCTGACTGGGCCATAATCAGCCCATCCCCTAATTTTCATGGTTCCCTGAGGCTTTGCCTTTGTCAGTCAAATAATTGTTTTAATGTGAATAGTCATTAAAATATATTGGCAGGCTAATGTGGGGGTAAACAGATGAAGTAGCACATCCCAAATCATTAAAATGTGTAATACATTTTGAAACTAAAGAGGGGGTGTTGTTTGATTGATGTATCTCTTATTTGTCAGTCAGACCTGATTGGTCATGCAAATATTTCTATTCTTCCACCAAAAAGTAAATCTTTAGAGAGTAGCATAATCACCAAGGAAAAGGGCCTCAGTGTAGCAGTCTTTGTAAAATTATGCTGACTCACCCTCCATGACTGTTTTTATACATGTTGTATAAAGATAACTTCAATTCTTGTGTCTTACCATTGGAGCTGAGTTGATTTTGTCTGTCATGAACTCATTTAATATATTTTGGGCACAGCAAACCACTTCTATAACTAACGCTTTTATATCTGGAATTTAGAGTCATAACCACAAAAGAGGGATTAACTTCAACAATCCTTCGATTACAGTAAAAAGCTGGCCCCAGATCCTGAATGGTTTTTATTCTTTTTACATGACTTTGCAAAGCTGTTGTTTATTTGCTTCACAGATACAAAAGCGCCCAGTGTGGCTGAGGATGACTACTCAAAGATGATCTCTTTTCTCATTACCAAACTCATCTGCACAAATTCTCTATTAGATCCCTTTTTGTGTAAAAAAAATTTAAAAATAGGTAAATACATCTAGAAATACACTTAGAGACAAAATCCAGAGTTTGTGCTCACAAGAAGAGCCCACTTAACAATGAAACTAAAAGTGTCCTTCAATTCTGCCATGAGTTTATGAGCAGATTCAAATCTTACAGTCTTAAAAAATCCCCCAGGGGGGAAAAATTAAGAAATGTTATACATTATAAGAAAAATACAATCCTTGATTTATGATATGGTTTGCCACAACATACTGAACGCGGTTCCTTAAGTCTCAATCATCACATACAAATGGAGCCTCTCCTCTGCAGTGGAGACAGTTAGTACCACCTGTTTCTATCATTAATATTGTGAATTTTGGTAAATCTTCCCAGACTATTCCAGTTATTTAGTGTGGTGTCTCAGCCATGTTGTTGTTATAGGGGATTTTATCTGGCACTGGACGTCAAGCTTTGGATCACATGTGTGCCCAGATTGCCAAAACAGTCGTCACATGAGTTTTTTTTTTTTTTCTCCTGTCTCCTGTCTGCTTATCTGCACCAAGATCAGCCTGCATATGACTTCTTTATTTCACACTGTCTAAGTCTAACTGTGAACCTGTCATTGTCAGGAAGTATCATGTTCAACTTCTGTGTGAGAGGAGGATTTACACTTTGGGGCTCAAATTCCCACTGTTCGCAAATTCTCAGAGGCTGAATCAGGATTAAAAGTTTACGGCGGTGAAAATCTCAACTCGTGCAGAACAGCGTGCCTTTGAAAAGCCTCCCAGAGCTTATGGGCTGATATTACCAGCAGTTCAGTGGAGCTGTTGTTTAATATCAACAAAGCAAAAGGTTATATCATTGACTTATAAATGTATTGTCTCCTTCCAGAAGGCAGGTAAACTTTATATGAAATTGGAAATGCACTCAGGACAGACTATCTTAATGTCCAGAAATTCATTAAGAATACTGCTAACTTTGTTCTGATGAAGACTTCTCCAGTCACAAGCTATTGAAGATAGTGGACAAAGACTTTATTATCTATTCAGATGGAGTCTGGTCTTGCTGTTTTGGCTTCACATGAATGAACAGGGGGATTATACCTCAAAGAGTTAAATTGGGATGTTATCTTGAGTGAGTAATATTGATAACAAATTGTGGCCATAGTCTCCAACCCCCACCCCCCACATACACAAAACTGAGAATAAAAAAGGTTACTTTTACTTCTGCGCATTTATCCAAAGGGACAGTCTTATCTGTGGTTTTGACTCAGCGTTCCCCCCATTAGGCCACCCAGGGGCCAGGAATGTGTTTGAGAAGTTAATGAGTCAGATGCCCCCGCCTCTCCCGAGATCATATGCTGCACCTTGACAACAGGAGTTCATTATGAAGTTGCTGAGTCTGAAGTGGAACATCCGTTATCCAAGGTTCATTCACACTTGCTTTTCCAAAATGAAAATCAACGAGGAAAATGAGGAGCCGAAAAAACGGGTGAGTAGGAATCAACCCACTGAGCTAATTTTTTTTTTCAAATCATTTGGCACCTGAGGAGGCTTAGATTAAAATTTGTGTGCTTTCCACGTGACTCATTTTTGAACTGAAGCCAAATTGCTGTGAATATGAATGTATTTGTTCATACATGCATAATCATTTGATCAATTGGACAGCCTGCAACAAGACTATGTTAAGGGAGCTGTTTGAGGTTTGACCTGGAGAGCAAGATTTTGCACAACAGGTGCTTTTGGTTATTTTTTCAATCATTTTTTCTCCTAATTACTGGAAGATGATTCCTTTGCTAAAATCAAAGCATCCATCGTACAAGTCAAAGTGAAGAGGACAAAGGTAACTATGATCAAATGTGGACCTTGTATGGAAATGGGCCTGCTGCTGTACTTCCTCTTACTTCTGCTTCTCTTACTGTTCATGGGATATTCTGTGACTAAAGGTTAATAAATCATTTCAGGAATTAATTCAAAAATAAGTAATTTGATGCTCTCCAGATATTTTAGAAGCCACTTCTAAAAGTAAGCTTGGAGTTGCCAGGTTTTGAGAAATTATTTTGCGTTAATCCTTTGTATTCGGTTTAAACGAAATAATAAATATTAAAAGTTTATTGTTGTGATCTTTTTAACAGATTTATACAAGCTCTTGAAATCCCTTTTTAATCACAGTAAGGCAGTAAATTTGAACACATAAACCCCTGAGTACAAAAAAAAGTTCCCTTGTCTTGCCTTGTCTTTAAAAACCTGTAGCCTTACTGACATATGGAGTATTTTGACGCCTTTCCTGATCACTTGCTTATCAATACTGTCTATCTGCACTTATCTCAGTGGGCTGTTTACTCTGAACATTTAGGGGGACTGGTTGCTGTGGATGTTCATGTCACTTCAGTGTCTACTTTTATGGGCTCTGAAACACACATGGAGTAATAGACTAACAGTGAGCTTTAATAATATTTGGGGATTTAAATGACAAAGATTTCCAAACATATAAAAGATGTTAAATGGCCACAGATACTCAACACGCTCCTGCTGTCTGAAGTCAGTCTCCGAACTCCCTTCCTCCTCTGCTGCTTTTTAGGAAGCTCTGGTATCTGTGTCTGATGCTGCAGTGATATTCATTCAAAGGTTTGCAACGTTACGCAACAGCATTCGCCTTGAAGGCTGGAGTCAGGGGCGTACCACCAAACCCTGGGTTTTGAACTCGTGTAGCCTGATGCCCCCCCATCCACTTTTATTCATTTTCCAATTTTTTTTTTTTTTTTGGCTATTCTCACATGAGGGCTTTGTAAACTCCCCCTCTGTTCCACTGCCCTAGCTGTAGTACATCCCCCTTTTTCCCTTTTATTTTTTTCATTCGAAGAAATACAGCCGAGCCAAATCTTGCAATTTGATTCGCATCTGATACCATGAAATCATAAAATGCACGGTTCAGCCGATTCTCTCCACCACGCGGTCACTGTATGACAACAGATCAATTGTATCATCCTCAGGATAAACTCGGCTTCTCGTCAGACTCAAGTTTCCACTTGAGAACAAACTCTTTACATGAAGGAAAGACCTGTCTTGGTGCACAAACTTTATTGGATCATACTCTGTGCAAAACGTCAGCCTCAAAATGCCTAAAGAATTTGTGGACGAATATCAACCTCTGCTTATTAAAGGCATCAAAGATACAAGGCAACCAACGGTATGTAGACTATAATGAAATATAGTGGGATGCTGCCTTTTTGTCTGTATTTTGTATCATAGATGATTTGTGTTTGTGTATCTCTCTATCTGTTCTTTATTACAGCTTCCAAACAAATCACTTTTTCTGGCTGTATGTGCTGCTTGTATAGGGGGAACCTTTCAGTATGGATACAATGTATCCGTCATCAATGCACCTACAATGGTAATAACACAACCGAGAGAAACTATCACGCTAAGATTTAAAATAATGGTCTAATAAAAGTTACCTGTACAGTATTCTCTGACTCTGCATGGGTTAATATCTCATTTGAAACACTATGAATTCAAGCCTGTAGGTAATATCCATCATTTATCCATCACTTATATTGATTTAACATCCACTTTGTAGCAATGGCTGGTAATTGTGCATGCACAGATAGACTTTCTTTCAATATTTTTAATCCAGGAACCTTCATTTTTATTTTGTCTGCTCGGTATGCGAATAGTTTTTTCTCCATTTCTTTACAGTATGTGCATGATTTCATCAACCAAACTTGGAGTGAACGTTTCCAGTCGGACATATCTGACCACGTTCTCACCCTGCTGTGGTCCACGATTGTGTCTATGTTCACAGTGGGGGGACTTATAGGAGTAACAATAGGTGGGACAATGTCTATGATGCTGGGAAGGTATGGATTTAATAAAGCTCCTTTTCTTTGGGTTTTCCTCGACTGTATTTCAAGAACTAATCTTTGTTGTGTGCTTACTTTTCCAGGAAAGGAGCGCTGTTGGCCAATAATATATTTGCAATTTTGGCAGCTCTGTTCATGGGTCTGAGTTACCCAACGGGATACTTTGAATTACTCATCGTTGGGCGTCTTCTCTGTGGAATTAATGCAGGTAAATTATGTTTATTAAAACATATAGAGAGATTAATCTGAATTCATAAAGTGAATACTCACAGATTCTTCTCTAATCACGCTGTGTTTTCCCTAAAGGAATTGGACTTTGTGTTCAACCTCTATATTTGGGGGAAATAGCCCCAACTTCTCTCCGGGGCGCCATGGGAACAGGGACTTCTATTTTCATCACTGGTGGAATATTGACAGGACAAGTGATCGGCCTCAAGTAATGCTGGGCAAGAAAAAGGCACAAAATATTGTATTTCCAAAATAATATGCTCTCTCAAGTTTCTATGTGTGGTTTGACAGGGAGCTTTTGGGTAGAGAAGAGCTGTGGCATCTTCTGCTTGCCACCACATGTGTCCCAGCCATCATGCAGCTCCTCATCCTGCCCTGGTTCCCTGAGAGTCCACGTTACCTGCTCATTGACAAAGGAGACGATGCCAGGTGCAAAAAGGGTAAAGCATCCCAGTCACTCACTTTCATTTCTCAAAGATTGTTTTTTCACACACTAAAAAGAAGTTTCAGGATCCCTTTTGTCTGGCATTACCAGACACAGAGTAATTTATTTTCATGTGAGTTCAAGCATGGCTTCACAGTCTGGTGTGATGCAGTAAACCTTTTGATGGTATTAATTGAAAAAACAGACCCTACAGCACAGTCAGATTAAAAGAATGTGAATGCGGCAAAAGGACAATTAACAAAGTAAGTCATGTGCTCTTTGTTCTGCAGCTCTGAAGCAGCTACATGGTGGAGCTGGCTGCAGCAGGGAATGGGAAGAAATAGAGACGGAGAGGAATAATTTTGTGGGTTTTAGAGCAAAGAAACCCTGGGAGCTCTTCACTGATCGAACTATCCGCTGGCAGCTTCTCACCATCTTGCTGCTCAATGCTGCACAGCAGCTGAACGGCATCAATGCTGTACGTACATAATGATAAAGCAACAGTCACTGATAGATTTCTCATTGCAAGCATTGGTAACCTTTAAGAAAAGTAAAGCTGTTCAAGATTACAAATGATCCTTTTTTTATGAACAGTTTTGTCTTCTTGTCTTTCTCTCCCATAGATTTACTTCTATGCAGATTACTTGTTTAAACAAGCTGGGATTCCTGCTGAAAAAATACCATATGTGACGATTGGCACTGGTGCCTGTGAATGTGTCACCGCTTTAACATGTGTAAGATAACTTTCACATTATGTATCTATGTGCATTTCTTCTATGAGCCTGTTGTTTCTACACTGCTACACACAAAAACTAGGGGAGAACAGTTTGGGCATTTCTGATAAAATAGTTGAAAAATAAACGCACCTCTGGATTACAGAAACAAAATAGTCTAACTTCATCATCCACCCAAGGGAAACTTGTCACATGTCGAAATGAGAAAAGCACAAGACATAGTGCGACATAGTGAATGCAGTAAACCTGGAAAGCACAAAAGCTGTGCTAAAGATCAAACAAGTGTAAAGAAAATCAGTGCGACAGAGCATATGAGTGTGAAAGTCAAACTAAAATACTGTGGAGTAGGATTTGACAGAACAAAACGAGAACATCACCATGAAAGGTCAGAGTACGTCTCAAGTGTTTGCTTGGAGATTCATCTTGATCTTGTGACATGCTGTGTGTCTCACAGGGTCTGCTCATTGACCGTCTGGGAAGAAAAATGCTCATCGCAGGAGGATACACTTTGATGAGTGTGTGCTGCGTTTTGATCACGCTAACTCTCACTTTTCAGGTAAAAAAAACTACACCAAACAACAGTGTTGAGACACACTTTTTGTTTCGCAGGACTTTCTCAGCCTCTGATGCATTTGTGAACTGAGTTATTTTATAAAACTAAGGAGAAAACTTAGAGCAAAACCTTACAGATATACACAAATCTGCAGGGATTAGCCCATTTAAGGAGATTAGGCCTTTCACCAAGAAGAGAGGTGAGTTGAACAACATGCATAAAAACAATTCAGAGTGAACTAGTTGAGAGTCTACTTTTTTTATGGAAAGGTATGAACTGTATGAGTTATTGGCACGCATGGCCAAAACATGTGCATATAGTCAGCTGGTGATTATCATGTGATTCATATATCAGGTGTGTCTGGGAAAATCAGGACTGTTTTTATTAGTTAATATCACTTTGTTGTAATATAAGTCTAATGTGGCACAAGAGAGTTTGTAAAAGGTTGAATTATAAAGCTGCAAATAGAGAAAAAAATCTCCAGTTTTGAGGTTTGGTTATAGCTGGCAGACCTCTGTGACCATATTGAAAAAGCGGTCAATGCGGAAAAGTAGCAAATGGTAGTTGTAAGAGATATAAACCAGAGCTGCAGTCGCCAACAAACTCGCCTTTTTTGATATTGACTAAAAATAATTAAACAAGTGACTGCGCTTTATTCTTAGAGAAACTATCAAATAAAAAAAAACATTCTTGAGCTGATTCTTATCTGTAAGAGCTTTCAGCTGATTTTATTCCTAAGCTTTTTGCTCATATTCTTTTCTTCATCTGTTAAAGCAGCCTATGTTCTCTCCCTTTTGAAGAGTGGGGGCCCTTTAGGCTTTCACAGCTACTCTTCGTTATCCAAATTCCTCCCCCAAGCCAAGAGTTTCAAAGTAAACTTCAAATAAATCACGGCTCAACAGCATCTCAGCTGAAAAACAGTCTGGGTTTAGTGTTTTTGAGCATTTCATTTGATCCAGGCATTTGGTTCGGTTGACCATGAGCAGACACAGTATATTAGTTGTTGGCAAGTCTACAGAAAGTTCAGGACCTTTTCAGAACCCAGTTTGTAGAAACAAGCGGTCACAAGTTAAAGTTTATGGAGATCTCAAAGGTAAAAAACATCAGAAAGGACATACATTTGGCCAAAGTTCATCTCTATGCAGACAACACAAAAGTCTATTCAACAACCTCCTCACTAAGTTCAACGTATGAATCGTTTTTGATGTTAGATAGCTTTGACATTTATACCATAAGTAAGGTCTCAGTTATTCTGCTTCTAAACATGCTACCCTCTCTTGATTTCGATAAATAGGCTGCGTTTCATATCCACTCTTAAACATCCCTCAGTATTTCACTCCTTGACTTGCATTTTTTTTTTCGTAAAGACTTAGTAGAAAGCAGCGGCACTGAAAAGCTTCTTCAGCAAGTTCTCAGAATTCATGCAGAATTTGGTCAATTACTATTTCGCCCGCGGTCACTAAACAACAACTCTAGTATTTCTCAACTTTCTCATAATTTTTGCTCCTTGTTGAGTTCAGAACTGTGACTGAAAATTCAGTTTCAAGGATAACCTGAAAGTTGGACTTTGTTGTACTTATGTTTGTTGATTATCCGTTTCATAAATATGACTGTTTAGAACATTTTCCATTTCTGTAATTATCTTTCTCACAGGAAGCCAACCCAATAATCCCGTACTTGAGCATGACGTGTGTATTTGCTTTTATTCTAAGTTTTGGCCTTGGACCAGGTAACTTTCTGAATTAGCTCCTTTAAAGTCTAACATCAAGCTACCTAGTTGTGAAATAGTTGAAACAGTGTTATATTTTGTTGGCTCTTTCTCTGTGAAGGTGGTGTGACTAACATCTTGACCGCTGAACTGTTTACACAAAGCACGCGGCCTGCAGCTTACATTATCTCAGGATCACTCAACTGGTTCAGCTTCTTCTTCATCAGCCTGGCCTTTCCTTTCATTGTGGTAAATGTCTAAATATATACCACAATCTTCACGTCTTTATTTTTAAATGCTTCATCATGTGTTGGCACAATTCACATGTTTAAGTGAGACACACTAACGGTTTTATTCCATTTGATGTACACAGATTGGGCTGCAGCAGTACTGTTTCCTTGTGTTTTTGGTCATCTGCGCTTTAGTAGCGACATACATTTGCCTCGCTGTTCCTGAAACCAAAAACAAAACCTTCCTGGAAATCGAGAATGCATTCCAGTCCAACAACAACAAAAAGGCGAACGGTATTGATGGAACGGGAGCAATGCTGTTATCGACTTCTATATGAAGTACAACCCATCACTCAGGGGTCATACAAGTTAAGTTTTTTTGTGTAATATAGAGTATACTTATGTCACAAAGAGCTGTTATATACTTTAGAACATGTAACATAACAATAACGGTGCTATAACTTATGGGACCTTGCTTGAACTTCATTGTACTGTCACTGTAATGATTAGGTCTTGTTAGGTCACCGACAAATATGCATTTCATTAATCTTAATCTGTAATATTTTGGTGAAATAAATGTTGGTTTGTACAACTTTCACAAAGGATGCTTATTACTTTTTTTATGAAATTCAATTCCTGGAAAGCATCAAAGTGCCAGACAGATTTCTTCACCTTCAGGTTTAGAAAACAAAGATGTTCAAACAATAAAAAAAAAAACAACCATTAATTAACTTTAGGGCCATTATAGTGACACAACAACACACATTAAGGCTTCTCAGTATATGTTGTCAGTTCCATGTAAGACAAATCGTTTCTTTTTTCATTTTCCGAGTATCTGTATGAGAGAAGGTAAAACTAACCTAATTCCAGTAATCCGTGCCGCTTATGAGTATTTGGCTCAAATCCTCCACACATATTAGCCTAAAAACTTCTACTTAACTCAATTTCAGCAATGTTAGCTGCTGTGAAATTGACTCTATTTATTTTTCCAAGAATCTACTTTCTTTGCCAGTACTGGAAACTTTCAGGAAAAATGTACTTTTGATTAGCAAAATGACCAAACAATAATAATCAGTATCAGTGAATTAAACTGAAACAGCAGGTTGTGTTACATTCTCTTCATTTTTCCCTTCATGGATGCTGCTCATCCATCCACAGTGCTAATCCATGATTTAATTTCTATTGTATGAAACCCTTTTTTGTAAATGTGTGTGACAATGTGTGCAGAAGTTTTTCTTCGTCCAGGGTACAAGACCACACAAGGCCAGATTAACTAACAAAAAGACCAGGCACATAATAAGCTGCACACCCTATTAAATCTTCAGCCTCCCCATTCTGTGTGCCAGTGTGTATAAACCCTCCACACCGTCGTCTTATAGTACAACACAGACATGAAATGCTTCTCATGACTGATAAGTTTTACCTTTTCTATTTCCTGAAACAGTAGAATCATGCTGCACAACTTGCTCCCAGCTTTACAGTCTTTGCACACCACGAGTAACAATAATGAAATTGTTTGAAAGGGCTCCAACACAAGGCTACTGCACACAGCATGGTCTCAGGTGTGAGTCATAATGCAGGGCCTGACTTAAGCGGCTTATCTTTTCAGATGATATTAGTAGCACACAAACTTCACTTTGTAATAAAATGACTACAGTCAACTAGCATGCTGTCTACCTGAATTTATATCTATCCCAGTATAGTAACTGTGTTTTTATCTGTATGTGCCAGTAAAGTTTAATTAGATTTGCAGTCGGTGTACCTGAAAGAAAACTCTGAGGGGTCTGTGTATTTCCAATTGCACATGAACGTTTTACAACAAGGTATTTTCCTTTAAATTCAATTTAAATAGTTTAAAGATTCAGTATCTTTTCTTAAAACTTTTTAACATGCAAGTACTCAGTAAATAAGATTATTTACTTTTGTTTAAAAGGGTAGAGCTCAGGGTTAGTTTAGTCAAAGCAGTTACAATAAAAAGATGCATCAAGTTCCTTATTATTTTCAGAGTTTGAAACGGTTAGTGGGAGACAAATAAGATCCTTAACCTCAAAAAATTAAACAGAGGTGGAGATGTGTTAAATATAACGAGGTGCTTGGTGCAAAGTGATCAGAAGCAGAAGCAACTGCTTTACAATTGATGTTGTATGGATGTGTGGTATTTGGACTTGCTGCAAGTACATCTCTCAAGAAACTAGATAATATTCATTACCAGGCGTTAGGAATATGTACAGAAGCTATGAGAGTAATCCTAAAATCAAACAGAGGAAATGCCATCAGAACTGAGAAGAGAGCAACTGTCATTAAACTAGTGGGTTAATTCAGATTAGAAAACAGGTAAATAATGGATTATCTGTCAACACTGAAGAAATGCTTGAGGCATTAATCGCCTTAACATGGATGAAGGAGGTAATCTTTAGGATAAATAATGGGCTCAGGATGCTGCAGTTCAACATTAATGAGTAGTAAATCGCCTTTCAGAAAACAAAACATATATTTTTTGTAGAAACTCAATAATGATTGGATTTACTGTAGTATTGTTAGGTATACCAGCACATATTGGCATAAATGTGAAATAGCAGATAAATATGCAAAAGAAGCAACAAGAAGATGATACATTGATATAACTAAAGGCCTATCATACAGTAAAATGGAAACAAAGACTATTATCAGACACCAAATGAGGAAGAAAACAGTGAGATGGAAACATAAGGGGATTCTATAAAATCCATACAGTTGGTAAAATGAGTCACAAAGAAAAACCTATGATTTCAAGACTCTGATCTGGGCAAATGATTGAACAGCTTATGGTGTAAAACTGGTAACCATCCATTGGGATAATGCAATGTATGCAAACAAAAGGAAATTAGTTTTTAACCAAAGTATGAGGAGGACAGAATACTATTAATGAGATCAAAGGAGATTTGATTTCGTTGATATTTGGTTATTATTTAGAGAGAAATTTTCATGGAAAGTGTTGTAATTTAGACTTTTGTTGTATTTTTGTTGTTGAAACACCTAAAAATATATATATATATTTATTTTTGCCTGTATTAAACAAAAAACATCCACTCTGAGTACCATACGATACAAGAAAAAAGAAAAACAGTCCGCAGTATTTAAGTACTTATGTCTATGCCGAGGATATCCAGCAGTTGGCGACATATTACGTTGGTCTAGAGTAGAAGAAGACGGCCGACCTATTCAAGATGGCGACCTAGTGGAGAGTCCATGCTCGTTTGTTGACAGTGAAATAAAATCAGTTTGTGCCCGTTTTGTTGATTTAAACCAACTGAAAAATGTCGAGGCTCATCATTAAAAACCTCCCTAATGGGGTAAGTAACCTGAACAGATATGAAAACACAGTGGTTATTGTCAGTGTCAGTACAGCTGAAAGTGTGACTCTTATCTCCTGTGCAGATGAAGGAGGAGAGGTTTAAGTCCATGTTTGCTGCTTTCGGCACCGTGACAGACTGCTCTTTAAAGTTTACGAAGGACGGCAAGTTTCGAAAGTTTGGTTTTGTGGGTTTTAAAGACGAAGAAGATGCGAACAGAGCACTGAAACATTTCAACAAGAGCTACGTGGACACATCCAGAGTGACGGTATGGTTCAGCAATGACTACACAACTCAATATCTTTAATGAGTTTCTCTTTATTGCATTTATCAAAGCAAAGTTGTTGCTTATTTTAGGTGGAGATGTGCAAGGACTTTGGAGATCCAACAAAAGCCAAGGCCTGGAGCAAACATACCAAGAGCTCAGTTCCTGATAAACCCTCAACCACAGCTGACACAGACACTAAAAAGGTATCTGCTGAAGGTCCAGATTGGTGATACCTGGTCCTTCTAGCAATAGAGCTCAAAGTGAAGCAACATAAAGAAAGAAGAAGATGTCTGGATAAGTCACAGCACTTTCATTTCTGCAAAATAACAATATGTCTCTTTGTTTGTGCTTAGAAAAAAGGAAAGAAAAAGGAAACTACTGGTGTTCTTGGAAATGTGAGTAAATTTGTTTGTTAAAGTGTAGAGTGTGCTTATAAAATATGTGCATGGCATAGAGTTTTACTGGGCTGTGAGTAGGGCTGGGCGATAAAACGATAACGATTTATATCAAAAATAAATTTCCCTCAATATCAATATTAAACATGGTCAATATGCTTTTTGATAGTCGGCATTCTGCCATGTGACTATATGAATAGCCAATGAAAAAGGGGAGTTGCTCCTGGTCCACTTCACGCTGAACCAATCATGTGCTGAATTAGAACCAAGTAGCAAGGCTGCAGCTACACGCAACCATAGCACTTTAACATGTGAAGGCATCAGCACTGTCGGTGAGACTGATGACAGATGTAGGCTCAACAGATGATGACATAGTCGACAACACCGGCACGAAAACTTCAGTGGTGTGGAGGTATTTTGGTTTTCTGAGGTCGGACATGAAGCAGAGACATGTGCACTGCAAATTAAATTGCATTTTTTGGCAAAGTCAGGGAATACCTCAAGGTTTTTTTACCACCTGAAGCAATGCCAGGAGCCCGTGGCGCCTGTGCAGTCGAAACAGCCGACCATTCAGTCCGCTTTCACCAGCCCAACACCGTACGACAAAACGCCGAAGAGTCACAAAGACCTCACAGATGCAGTAGCTTATTGTTTTGCAAAAGACACGCTACCGATAAGCTCTGTTAAGTTTTATTTTTTTATATCGTGATATATATCGATATAGACTGATATGAAAAAAATATATTGTGATAAACTTTTTCCCACATTGCCCTAGCTGTGAGTGATGCTGTTGTTGTGTGTATTTGTCATATATCAGCTAGAAGAGGATCAAGGCTTCCAAGAGTTTCTTTCAGTACATCAAAATCGTAGCCAAGCACCAACTTGGGCCAATGACAGTGTGCAGCAAAAACCTGATCCCAACAGTGGACCAACAAAAACTCAGGGCAAGAAGAAGCCTGCTTCAGATGACTACCTCAACTTTGATTCAGACCAGTCGGAAGAAGAAGAAGAGGAAGAGGGATCTGATGCAGAAGAAGGTTGGTAGTGATGATCCCCTGAAAACAAGTGCATTTTACCTTCCCCAGTTAACTGTAACTATTTACACTTTTTTGGACATTTTGGATCAACTTTTTAATCTAAACTGGGAAGTGTTCCATATAGGTTAAAAAATTACATAGATGTTCTCAAAAATACAATTATTTAATCAAGACTCCATGGTATTGCATGTTGTTGCTTTTAGGTACCACTAAAGAAGCACTTAAGTCTGGTTTATCAGACATGGAGTACCTGCGCTCCAAGGTGGCACAAACGGATGAAACCACAGAAGAGAGTGAGGTGAGGGATGATGATGAAGGTGGTGATGATGAAGATGAAGACTCTAGTCCTGTGCGGCACATGGACAGTGCTTATGATAGTGGGGAAAGAGAAGATATTTCAACGGACAAACCCACAGTTTCCTCTGAGAAAAATAAGCAGAGCAAATCGAAGAAAACTGCCAAACAAGAGGTATATGTTCGAAGATTTTCTCATTTAGGTTTACAAACTAATACAATGCAGCATCTGATTTTAGTTTTTACAATTCCACACCATCTACTCTTAGCAGATGGATCCAGTGACAGAGTTCACAGTGAAGCTGAGAGGAGCTCCGTTTAACGTGAAAGAGGTGAGTGAAAAGAGCTCCCTGATTTCAGAGGTGTTGTGAAGATTTCCTGCATCTGAAATTTTCTTTACTGTACTTTTTCTGCATCTCTCACAACATCATAATTTTTGTGTGACATTTACAGCAACAAATTAGGGAGTTCATGACCCCTCTGAAGCCTGCAGCCATCAGGATTGGGAAGAACGAAAGTGGAAATAGAACAGGTTTGTCAGTGATGGCTTCTCTGATGTACTCTGACGTCTTTCTCAGACTTAAATGTAATATTTGCATGGGTTATAATGTAGTCTACAGCCTGCTGAGTGGATCGCTGTAATTTCTGTTCATAATGACTGTATTCTTGCAAATGTATGAAAATGTTGTTATATGTGTGTGTGTGTGTGTGTGTGTGTGTGTGTGTGTGTGTGTGTGTGTGTGTGTGTGTGTGTGTGTGTGTGTGTGTGTGTGTGTGTGTGTGTGTGTGTGTGTGTGTTTCAGGTTATGTATATGTGGACTTGCACTCTGACGAACAGGTAGAAAAGGCTTTGAAGAAGAATAAAGACTACATTGGTGAGGAGTGATCTGTAATTTGTCAATTATTATCAATCTCTTTTAAACACAGTCGCATGTGTTTGAGCTGCCAGTGATTATGTTCAAAATAGTGGATGAATTTTACTGATCTACACTTTTTTCAACAATGTTTTGAGAAAAAAAAAAACATTTTATGTTTATGTGACAAATATAGTAATGAATGTTAATAATTTAAAAATACCCAAGTTTCTTTTGATATTATTTTTTTGGCAATCCATGAAAAGATGTCCTTCTTGTGTTTCCAGGTGGGCGTTACATAGAGGTCTTTCGTGTAGACGCCTCTGGAGGTAAAGCTAAGAGAGACAAGAGGAGCACCGAAATTGACAAAAACTTCATTAGAAAGCTCAAAGAGGATGAGGAAGAAGAGGATGTTGCAGAGTCAGGTCGACTCTTCGTCAGAAACCTTCCCTATACCTGCGGAGAGGAGGAGATCAAAGAGCTGTTTTCTAAATATGGTACTAAATGATTAGGCCTTTATCTCAAACAAAAGGATCAACTCTCGCCTGAGTGCCTCACAGCTGAACTTTTTTTGCAGGTCCGTTATCAGAGGTGCTCTTTCCAATTGACAATCTCACAAAGAAACCAAAAGGATTTGCTTTTGTCACATTTATGATACCAGAAAATGCTGTGACAGCTCTGGCTCAGCTGGATGGACATATATTTCAGGTATTTAATCTCCATTGATGATTGATGGTAATGCTGTTATTTAGCAGTACAAATTCATTTTTTGAAAAGGAGTAAAATCCTTATTCTCCTTGTTTTCAGGGTAGGATGCTTCACTTGCTTCCCTCTACAGTGAAAAAGGAGAAGACGGACTCTTCAGATGCTGGCGGCCCCGGCTCCTCCTCTTACAAACGGCAAAAAGATGCAAAAAATAAATCTTCAAGTTCCAGGTAAGACGAGACAATAACATCAACTGCTTCCACTTGTGTTTGTGATTCTCTGAATACGACATTGATAACTAATGAATAACCTTAAATCCAAATTTAGAAGGTTCCATTATCAGTTCATGTGATTATTTGCTTGTTTTTTTTTAAGCTCCCACAACTGGAACACCCTTTTTCTGGGAACAAGTGCAGTGGCAGATGCTATCGCTGAGAAATACAACACCACAAAAAGCCAAGTCCTGGACCATGTGAGTACCATGGGGTCTGAATCTGCTGGTGTTCTGGTGATTTCCTGTCACTTTCAGAGATACCAGACTGATAAAAGTCCTTTTTTTTTTGTAAATGGAACAAGTTTCAAAGAAAGACCACACAGAGGCACCGCTTCAGCCTTTTTCCAAACAAACAAGGGTGGTATGTTAAATATGTTTTTGTAGTTGTTTTTAACATACCAGATAGTGTTCTGTCATCAAAAGAACTAACCACTGCACCAACGGAAAATTTTTACCCGGAGGAATATGAAACATGCTCCAACTTGAGTAAGAGATCCAAAGCATCAAGGATGTTAAACCATCACAAAATGATTCAAAAACTGTGCAAGAGCATTTTATTGGTCAGCATGACGGGCACGCTTCAGCTCTCTCTCTCTCAGTCATCCTCAGACGAGCTTCCATTAGAGTCTATAATCCTCCCGATTCTCCATACACCCAGCCAGCTCCAAAGAGCTTTCAGCTCCCGCATCCTTCTTCAGGATGTCCACATACGTTAGCACTGAACGTCCTCACGAACAGTGCCCATGTGTTGGTTCCCATAGGACCAGCCTGCTGGCAGGGAGCTCCTGATATCTATGGCAGTGGCCGGCCAGCCTCATCCTCCTAGATGCTACCATCTTGCTTAGCCTCGGCACTTGCCCGTACAGGTCCTTATTGGTAATGTGGATGTTCTGGTTCACATTCAGAACAGATCATAGCATTCTGGTGTAGCACCCATCTTATGCAGGGTGGGTGTTAGGGGGTCCAGCTTTCGCAACCAAACAGGAGGACCGACTCCACAGTGGCGTGGAATAGGTTCAGCTTTTTGTGTCTGGAGAGATTCGAGCACCACACTCTTGACACACCATTCAGGGCCCTCCATGCTAGTGCCTTCCTGACCTTAAGGTCCTGTTCTGTGGAATTCACCCAGCAGGATCCCAAGTATTTGAAGTCATTAACCTCTCGCAGAGCGCTGCCATCTGAGGCTATAATCGGTGGACGGTCCATGTGGGAGTTATAGATAATTACCTCAGTTTTCTTCGCATTCAGTCTGAGGCCAACCTTAGCACATTCCACCTCCACTCTGTTCAGTAGTTCCTGTGCCTGCTCCACACGGTCAGACACCAGGCAGATGTCATCTGCGTAGTCCAGGTCTGCCAGGGCTACAGCAGGGCTTCTTCTAGACTTCCTCAGTGTAATTGTGAAGCCAAGCTCCTTCTCCCGCCCATTGATGGCTTCCCTGAGCGCCTAGTCTAGAGCTATGATAAAGAGGAAGGGAGTAAGAGTGTCTCCCTGCTGCACCCCCGCTAGGATTTCGAACTCTTTGCTGACGCCATCTGGGGTTACCAGCTGTCATTCATTTTTTTCCTATTAAGCAGTCAAAATACACCATTTGAAAAAAGAACAAATATGTGCCTCCATGAAATCATGTTTAGAATCTCACCAGGTGATGCTGCATTGCTTCATTGAGTTGCACTCTGTCCTTTCTCATGTATTGCATCCACATCAAGTTTGAATTATTCAGTGCAAAATTGAAGTTTGTTTTTTTCCTATGTGGTCTCTGCAGGAGTCGAGGGGCAGTGTTGCAGTACGGATGGCTCTTGGAGAAACACAGATTGTACAGGAGACTCGACAGTTTCTACTAGACAACGGTGTCAGTCTAGATTCCTTTAGCCAGGTAAGACTTTAAGACAAACTCTGATTCTGTTGATCTTGATTGCTCATAATAATTAAAGTAATAATATTATTGTTATTATTATCATAGGAGTTATGTAGCACTTTTTCCAATACTCAAAGATGCTGACGATCCAAATAAACTGGTTACCCTGGCTGTAGTTGTTTTTTTCACGTGTTGTCTCCCCCTGGTGTAAAGGCAGCAGCAGCGAGGAGCACATCTGTGATCTTAGTGAAAAATCTTCCAGCTGGAGTTTCAACATCAGAGTTGGAGGAGCTTTTCTCACCTCATGGCTCTTTGGGTCGAGTGCTGCTGCCCCCCTCAGGACTCACTGCCGTTGTCGAGTTCCTGGAGCCAACAGAAGCCAAACGAGCCTTCACTCGTCTCGCCTACAGCAAGGTGTGTGTAACCTCAGAGCCAAACCTAAACTTGCAGCATATGTTTGAGAGTCCTCCCTCTTTAGACTTTTTTTCTCTCTGAACTCCAGTTTCAACATGTCCCCCTGTATTTGGAGTGGGCACCTGTTGGAGTGTTTGTGACGGGCAAACCAGAGCCAGGTAAAATCCTGCAAATACACAAACCCAAATATTTTTCATGTTTGTACATTTTCAGACTCTTAAATTGTTTTTTTTTTTTTAATAAACAAACACTTTTGATCCTTTCTCAAAGTATTGAAAAAAGAGGCACCAGCGACGCATGAGAAGAAAGAGGTAGAGGGCAAAGAAAATGAAGAGGAGGAAGAGGAAGAGGAGGAGTCTGCTCCAGGTTCCACACTTTTTATCAAGAATCTAAATTTCAGCACAACAGAGGAGACCCTGCAGGAGGTAGGAAGACTAGTAGAGTTGTAAATTGATTTCTCTCACGTTTCAAAGCCTTTTTGTCCTTGTGAGGTGTCTGAAACAAACAGAAACAATGTTTATTTTCACAGACATTTTCCAAATGTGGAAAAGTCAAGTCCTGCTCCATTTCCAAGAAGAAAGACAAAACAGGTACAATAGATTAAAGTAACGTCTTCCTCTAGATATGATGATCCTCTCAATGTGGTATTTGCTTGGAAAAAAATACATTGATGAACCAGAGCTCTTCTGTCTACATTCTGTCAACCTAAATCAACACATTTTTCTTTCTGAATCTGCATTAAAAACCACCTGACCCTTTCTATTTGATGATCAGGAAAGTTGTTGTCCATGGGCTACGGTTTTGTCCAGTATCAGACGGCAGAGGCGGCACAGAAAGCCCTAAGACAGCTCCAGGTATAGTTCCTATTCCCTTGCTGAAACATCTGCAGCTTTTCTCCATACGGATGATTCTTGGCTCACAGTATGTTCTTTCTCTTTGCCCTCCACCAGCACTGTAATGTTGATGATCACCAGTTAGAGCTGAAGATTTCTGAGAGAGCCACAAGGTAAGATGGTTGTCAGAGGGACAACAGTAATAGTGGTTAATAAAGAGATGTGCTGGATTTCATTCCCATATTGGAGTAGTGTAAAATAAGTGCATTTTAGTGTTAGATGAGGATGATCTAGAAGTGATCGAGGCATCTTTGAGTGTCACAGCTACATTATAACTTGCCAGGCACAGGGGACATAAAAAAAACAGTTGGTGTTTGTGCCAGCTTTGATATTAAAGAAAAGATAAATATCTTAAAGTTTGTTCATGTCATTTTGAAAATGGTGCCTGGTTAGGGTGGGTGGGACAGAGATGATCTTCAGGTTAATTGTCAGGAGTTAATGAGTCATTTCCCCCACTGTGTGCAGGACTTCTGAAATGTCACGGAAGAAGAAGCAAGATGAGAAGAAACAGACGGGTACGAAGATCCTTGTGCGAAACGTCCCCTTCCAGGCCACTGTCAGGGAAATTCGGGAACTCTTCTGGTAACTGTCACATTCAAGAGTTTTTACCATCATTGTATGCAGAAAGGTTGCAACAACGTCTTAAAATGATCCATTTTTTCGCTTTGTTCTTGCAGCACATTTGGTGAGCTAAAGACAGTCCGTCTGCCAAAGAAAGCAGCTGGTACAGGGAATCATAGAGGCTTTGGTTTTATTGACTTCCTCACCAAACAAGACGCTAAGGTGCGTTTAGAAATCTTTAAAGAAATTACCCTACTACCTGTTGCCAAAATGAAGTGTATTACCATGTCAAATCTAATCCCTTGTTTTCCCTTTAGAAAGCTTTTGCTGCACTGTGCCACAGCACCCATCTTTATGGAAGACGCCTTGTGTTGGAGTGGGCTGACGCTGAGGAAACAGTGGAGACATTAAGACGGAAAACAGCCGAACATTTTCACGGTAAAGCTGCAATTTCATGCAACAACATACAGGCATCAATGCAAACCTTGATGTTTATTTAGTAGTTACTTATGTGTAATTTATCCTCTGTGTCAGTGGTCGCCAAAAAACAGCGGAAAGCTGAAGTGCTGGAGGGAATTCTGGAGACAATGGAAACTGATGGTGTGATGGAAGACTGAGTTCCCTTTAAAGATGTTGTCTGTGATGAAGATAAGACACAACTCTGTACAGTGCTCCTGTGTTATTTTATGGGAAAATAAATGGCATATTACCAATCTGGCCACGGTTATATTGAACATTCAGAAAATTTGAATTGTTTGCTCTCCATGTTTTGTTACATGTTATATTTTATATTGAATTATGCATCAAAAATACAGAATGAGACTACTGTCAGTTTTTATTATTAAAAAATTTGTTTAATGAGAGCTGTGGGTGTCTGTTGTTTTTTTGTAAGTAAAATACCTCTTATTTTGAAGGGACAGTCGCTGTAAGATGAGAGCGGCGACCAACGTGACTGAGATCACATGACTCCTTAATGGCAACATGGCGTCCAGACTGAAGCAGAGTTTGGCCGTACAGGCTGTAAAAACATATTTTAAAGTTTTAGTAGTTTTATCCGGATTGTGTTTTATGTGTGCACCTGCTCAAGCTGAAATACGAAGTGCTGTTATTGACAAGCAAACGGGAAAACTGGCCGTTATAGAGGGGTACCGAGGAGATTTTGTTGCCTGGGGCAACTTCAGTGATGAGATTGAGAGAACAGGGTGAGTTCACCAGTGGAGTTAAAGATGTCAAACCTTTCTTTTGTTAGCTGAGAGCTGTGAAATAGTAGATGAATGGGGAAAAAAACTCTTTGATCATTTCTCTCCTGCTAAATACATTGCATGATATGTCGTCATATCCCAAAGTGTCTGAAGAATTCAGCAGCTAATGTTTGGCTAATTGTAAACATTATAAGAAAAGGGTATGGCGAGCAAAGTAACAGCAACCAATAAACAGATTATTCTTAAATAAGTACAGAACTGAACATTTTCGTGTGATCGTTGTTCTTGCTGAGTCATTTTCTGTGATTAAATGAACAGCTGACCAACAGTATCGACTCCCAACGATTCAGCTTACCTTTGCACATCAGCAAATTCCAAAACAAGACGCAGTGTAAGGGTCAAATTAAAGGTTTTTTTTAAAGGGTTTCGATTGAAAAGTCTTTCTGTTACGAGAATTGAACAGTAAACAAACAAAACAAAAAAAACCCGAAATGTTACGAAGTTTAAGTCATAATATTTTTTGGAACAAAGTCGTAATAAAGTCATTGTATTACCGCGGCCCCAACACTTCCTCGCAGTATGGTAACAGAATCTGGAAGTAAACTTGTACTGGGCTTCTGTCCAAATAAAGAAGAAGTAGTCTGTCAAAGCCTCTAAAAACTGGATTATAAAACAATAAATGTATGAAATTTAATCACAGATTTAAAAAAAATGAAACAATACACAAGTAGTTTTGGATCTGTGAGTCTTGACATGTCAGAGAATATTGGTCCGATCAGGATCAGGGATACGGCTCAACTTACCCCACTCCTACGGTCAACTTACCTCCTATTGACCATAGGAGACCAGTTTTTTTTGGCATGCTATATTATCAAGACAGTTATGTTTACACTCATTCTGTTGGTTTTCAGGGATGCACAACATCTTGAAATATATGCAGATACACTTGTTAGAGACAAAACTATGATTGCCTTGATGTAGTGATCCGAAATATGAAAAATGGCTCATCTTACCCCACTTCTCCCCTATGGTATAGCCTGTCCCCTTTTAATTTTGCCGTCACAGACAGGTCAGTCATATGTGCTCTCCTTCCAGCTGGGCGTTCTTAGAAGTCACTACCAGTGGTCAGTACAATGACAGTCTGCAGGCATATGCTGCGGGTGCAGTGGAGGCTGCTCTCACATCTCAGGTCAGTCTAAACCTTGGATCCACAACCCAGTTTGTCCTAGGCTTACCATGCAATTAAAATCTGTCATTGACTTTTTAATTTGTGTAGCTCATCTATAAGCACTGGATGAACACTCTGATGGGCTACTGTGGACCATTTACATCTCAAACGGGTTACTGTGAGCGCCTTAAGGCTTTCATTTCCGCCAACATGCAATGGGTTCAGGAGCAAATAGAGAAGCAGCCAAGTTCACCCTACTGGTACCAGGTAACAACTGAGAAAATTTATGTTACATAAAATTTGTTTCATAGACATCATGTTTATGTATTTTTGTGATATTTTCTGCATATCAGGTGCGCCTGGCTCTCCTGCAGCTGAAAGGCCTGGAAGACAGCTACAATGATCAGCTGTCATTTCCAACTGGGTCTTTCTCCCTCAACCCATTTGGCTTCCTGTATGTGATTACCTCCATTTATTGTTTAACATGTCGCTCCACTGCTATACAGATTGAAATCATTAAAACTTGTGCTGTAACCTGCACTTTTACTCTTTCCACTCAGACTTTTCCAAATGGGTGGAGATCTGGAGGACCTGGAATCAGCTCTGAACAAATCCAGCCAAACCCGACCTCTTGGTTCTGGCTCTTGTTCTGCTCTTGTTAAGCTGCTGCCAAACAATAAAGACCTGCTGGTGTCGCATGACACCTGGAACGTGTACCAGGCCATGCTGCGCATTATGAAGAAATACATCTTTTCTTTTAAGGTTTCTCCATCAGGTAGCCCTCTTTTAGGAAATACACTTCCTTTTGATTACTACTCCTGCCACTGAGTTCTGTGGAATTGGGAAGATATCCCCCTTGTTTCTGTAGAGTTTTTAAGCTGTTCAGTAATCAGAGCTGAAAACAAGGGCAACAAAGAATCCTTACAAAATAGGTGCAATGACTTCATGGAAAAAGTCAACAAGTCAATGTTTTAGATTAAATAAGATGCATAAATAACTGAGCTTTAGTGGTGCTTTTTTTGTAATTACCAGACAACTATGCTGGATGTTGTCAGCCTTTGTGCCAAGCTAAGCTAAATGGCTACTGTGCACAGAAGTGTGGTTAGCAATTTGATAACAACTTCTTTATTAAGTAATTGAAAACAAATGAATTTCAAACCACTTCTTCAAACCTTGTTAACCAAAGACCTGCAGCCCATAACCTGAAGCACCATTTCTCTTTAAATTTGAAGCTCTTTGACTTGACTCCCTGTGGCCATGGTCTAAGATATAAATATGGATTTACTGACCACAAATTAGTTATAGACTATTGTTATGTGTTCGTTTTCAGACAACGATCTTCTCCCAGGGGGAATTCAGGCCTTTTCATCTTATCCTGGATCTATCTTCTCCGGAGATGACTTTTATATTCTAAGTAGTGGTTTGGTAAGAGACTTTTTCTGCTTAATAATATCACTAACTGTTAAGATGCCGTAGTGTTCCAATTTTGAATTTTTGGCATGTAATTTTATTTTAAGACTGTGCTTCTTGTTTGTTATCCATCTTGTGATTGCAGGTTACTTTGGAAACCACCATTGGCAACAGTAATCCTGCGCTCTGGAAATTTGTTCAGCCCACAGGAACCGTCATGGAGTGGCTGAGGAACATAGTTGCTAATCGACTGGCTGTCACTGGCAAAGAGTGGGCTAAGATATTTAGCATGTTCAACAGTGGAACGTGAGTTATGTGCTCCAGAGAGAAACTAGCTCTCATGAGTTTTTGACAGACACTATCCCCACTTTGTCTAAGAGTTATCTCCTAAATAGACTCTGGCCTGAGTTTTTTTGCCACATTTTGCCTTGTGTTCAAATTCCCCGTGCATGAGAAGGAAGGATAAGATTTAGTGTGACCTTTGATTTTAAGATGTACTAATAGCAGTGAAGGGAGCAGGAAAAGGGCATTTATAATCAGGAGTCACATGAGAAGTCAGTCCAGACATCCAGCTGGAAAGGCGCTGTCAGGATGATAGTTTGTGAATCATCAGTTCCATGATTATACACTGTTGATGTATAAAAAATATCACTAAATACTAGAAGGTTTTATGGATTTTTGTTCTTGATTGTTTTAAATGACTGTATATGTATATAGGTACAACAACCAGTGGATGATTGTGAACTACAACCATTTTACTCCAGGAAAGACTGACATTAAAGAGGAGCTCTTTGTTGTGCTGGAACAGATACCGTAGGTCTTTGCTTCCCATCTAAATAAATAAAAATAGAAATTCTGGAATTTCTATTTATGACTCGTGGATCCATAACTTTTTTTCTCTACCTTAATTCTGCAGGGGTTTAATTGTTTACACCGACAAAACTCAAGAATTGCTGGGGAAAGGCTACTGGGCAAGTTACAACATACCGTAGGTTTGAAATCTTCAAGCTTCATGTTAATGTATTAATTGTGTAGCTTATGAGAGTATTAAATGTGATTTTTTTCTTTGTTCATGCATGCCTGTGTAAAGGTACTATGAGGACATATTTAATGCCAGTGGCTGCAATGAGCTGGTTGAGAAGTTTGGCCCTTGGTTTTCCCTGGACCAGAATCCTAGGGCTCAGATATTCAGGAGAAACCAGACAGCTGTCATAGATCTGGACTCAATGGTCCGACTCATGAGGTAAAGATTGGTTGTCAATAGATCAAAGGTTGGACAATTCCGTCTGTGTTTGATTGTTAGTACACAAATTGTGTCCTCTAACATAAGCTTTGGTATTTTCACATTTTAAGTTTAAACCTTTTTAGCTAAATTAATTGTCTCTTCCTAGGTATAATAACTTTAAAGAGGACCCGCTGTCAAGGTGTGATGGCTGTGATCCACCTTGGAATGGAGAGAATACTATCTCAGCCCGTTCAGACCTGAACCCAGCCAATGGAACCTATCCGTTTGGCGCTTTAAAGCAGAGACCACATGGAGGAACAGATATGAAAGTTGGTCATTTTCTTGCTACAATCCATACCTGTCTGTCCAGACTTTTCATGATCCCAAAATATTGTCTGTGTGATCTTAGAGAGATGTATTTTTAATCAGGGGTTTTATGTGTGTTCCTGTGCAGATGACTTCTTATGGGATGTTTCGGGACTATGGTATGCTAGCAGTGAGTGGACCCACATGGGACCAGGTGCCACCCTTCCAGTGGAGCACTTCCCCTTACAAAGATCTGATGCACATGGGACACCCTGACAAATGGACATTCGAGCCCATAAAAGTCTCCTGGACTTCCTAATTTTTACTATACTGTAATGCAAGGGAAATGAAATGATGCTGAATGTGCTGTTCGACAAAGGGAAATTTTACCTACATTTTATAAAATGAGTTTTATGAACACAATAATCATGGTTTCAGTTTTGAAGAGAAAGGCATTAGTATTCTGGAACTATCACAATGTAAAGCATGGTACTTGAACAAAAAATATGCACCAAAAATTCAGTTAAACCTTCACTGTGAGGCAGTGTGAACTAAAGCACATTTCACACTTTGCAGTAGCAAAGTTGGAGCTTCTAAATAAAAGGGATATTCCGGCGTAAGATTAATTTAAGGTCAAACACACCGTAACACCAAGTTAGACACCCATCGAGAGATGACTGTTGCTGACTGCTTGCTTCTCTAGTTATACCAACTTTAGTAACGACCGTACGATGGCAATACACAGTGGTCTGAGGAGCCATACACAAACCTCAAACAAAACGCCACTCTATAACCACAAATGATGCTCACCTAACTTCATCAACAGTACATACAGTATAAGGTCCCAGCCATAGCACTAGCCACCAAACATCTTTTTAACTTTGCCTAATTTCTTTAGCAAAGCGACTCAACACAACTCACCCACTCTCTTCAGCAGCCGCTTGTTTATAGCCAGACCTCAGGTCAGTCCATTACGGACTGCTGCGGGGTGACGCAGCTCAAGGAATAACCCTTTAAACTATATCAGCTTTCCATTTTTTTGTTTTTAAGATTCCGTTTATAACTCATACTGATTGTAAATGTAAATTATACCAATTTTAACTGCTTCGTGAGTGATGGAGTTGTAAAATATTCTCAATGGACTTTTTTTTTAGCAATCACCACAAGATTGTTGAAAGGATGAAAATGTTGATCATGAATTAAATGCTCTTTATCCTTATACACATTCACCGGCTAATTTGTTATGCAGCCTTGCTAGTGTGGGGTCGGACCTCCTTTGCCTTGTGAATATTTTAGTGCAGTTTTCTCACCATAAGTACATCAAAAATACAAGACGATAAACGCAGCTCAGCAGTTTGTGCGAGTGTAGCTTCCAGTCATGTGACCTGCGTCATAGTCGTTGTCATAGCAGCTTATCGTCGTAAATCGATGCTACTGTCGTGATATCACCGTGCGGCTTTTCTGTAAACAAACGGAACTGTGAACTCCGTTTTGCTCAACAAGGAATTCAACTTCACTTTACTTTACAGCTGTTAACGCCCTCCATTGAGACTGCTTGAAATCAAGGTATGTAGGTACTTTACTGCTGGTTTATAGCAATACTACAGTGACAGTAACTTAACTGGGTTGGCTGATAAGAAAGACGGCAGACACGTCTCCCTTAGCTCTGTTGTCTGGAGTAACTTCACAACTGTCGTACTGCAACAGTCATTTATTTCACGAATAGCGAAATTAAAAAAATGTGTCTTTCCGTCTGAAAATTACTCTCTCACTAGCTTTCATTCAACTTTAGTAACTTAAGTGAATTTCTTCTGTTTACAGCTGGTCACATCCCAGGGGTGTGTGCAGTCTGAGGATGAGTTCCTGGCAGCCCGTTACCAACCTTAAAGATTATGTATCCCAGAATCCTCCTGGGGTGACATTTTTCCTATGTCTGTTGACTCTGGCTGTCACTTTCATTTGCCTCAGCTCTTACAGCTACAGTCACGCTGTGCCTAACCCTGACACGACTAAGGTAAGACGTGTTTATCAAAATCCATTGTTACAGTGGAGTTTGCCCTTGAAAGGTGTCTGCTTAAAATGGAATTGATCTATAAATACAAGTTTGCCAGTTGTTATTTTTGCTGTTGTGTAAACCAAGACTGGAAAAAGAGAGGTAGGCAGTGTTGTGCAGGTAGTGACTGCTGGTTTATTTGTTCATCTGCATGTCCTGTGTGAGTCATGCACTTTATTCTCTTCTTAGGACTGGAACCACCTACTGTCCTCCTTATCACAGTTCCAGCTGTGTGTTAAGGCAAATGCAAGTTCTTCTGAGCTGGTTTCTCCAGCCAACCCTCCACCCATGAAAAGAGACACTTTAGTTCACTCTTCAAAGACTCCGACTGTCACCACTTTACATCTTAAGGTACCAGTGACTGTGACATCAAACTCTAACAGTGGGGCCCTAAAAGATCTGGCTCTTTACACTTCTTTAAACAGCGGTCAGCTTCAGCTTGGAGGTTTGTGTTACAGGGTTCCTCATAAGATTAAGTATGTCTAACCATGAATTGTCACCCATGACTGAATGTTTCTTTCCCCAGGCAATGACACCGTTCATGTGACTCTAGAGGCTCTATCTGGAAATGACACTTACACCTGCCTCACCATAAGTGCTCCAACTCACCTCTTGTTTATGAGCCAGTAAGTACCTACACATTCTATAGTGTGTTTCAAAGGTTTCTTTTTTTAAAATGACTGACTACTTGGGTGCATAGAAAGACAGTCACTTCATGAATGTGTGCTAATATGAAATTAATTTATACTTTAATGAAGACTTCCATTAGAGTGCCCTGCATCTGAGGAAAACATTTCACCCATCCAAGTAGAGGCAAAAAAACAGCAACGTACAGAATCGCAAACCTGCTACAGTCTACGCTCCAAGAACGACCCTTCACTTACCATCATGTTAACACAGGTACAGTGAGTAACGCTTTAAAATTATAACATTCTAGCCATAACAAGTTATCATACCATGTTTTTTTCCTACTGTTTTTCTGCAGGAGGAACGCACAGTGGCAGTGCGGCATCTGTTAGAAGTCAGTGTGTGTCTTCTCGGAATTTGTGTAATTTTCTGTTTAGTAGCTAGTACACACTCACTTGTACGACGCCACCATTGGAATGGACTGGATCTTCAAAGTGTAAGAAATATTCATTCCTGCCTTGTATTGGCCTTGTAGTTAAGGCACATACCCCATTCACAAGCCTTTGCTGCATGTCTTCCCCCATCACCTACTTTCCACATTTCCTGGCTTGCTTCAGCTGTTCAATCAGTATCAGCAGACATAAATGCCCCAATAAGTACTTAAAATTTGTTATTTCTTGCAAGACCTGTACCTTTCTGGCAATGGTAGCTTTTTAGAGAATACCAGATGTTTTAAAATGTAATGTAATCTAATTTAATGCTTTATTGTATTTTCAGGAGCCCTTGATTGACAGCTGAGTTCGCCCCATCCTGAAGAAATCATTTTTTGACTAAGAGAAGAGAGCAATATGAAATATCAGTTTTTGAGAAGCAGTCCACAGAGGTTATGATGATAACTATATCAGGAGTACAACATATGATAAAAAAAGTTGTCTCAATAACTATTGAGAAATGTTCAAACCTGACTGACTCAAAACACCTGAGAAGAGAGCCACAGTACTTGAACTTTTTGATCGTGCTGAAGTTTTGTTTTAGGAAACTAAACAAACGAGTCAAACATGTGGTTTTGACAGAGAGGAGCACATGATGGAATGGACCATGGTAAAATGGGATGGACCCTTCTTATGATAATTATGGTAATTGATCAATCACTATCCTGTTATGAACAGTGTATCAAAGCAATAACATGCATTCCACTAAACTGATGTCTTCTTCTACTGAAGTATTTTCCAGATTTATTCTCTCCTGCATTCAGATGAGAATGATCGTAGTTTTCTTTAAAAAACATTTATTTTTTCAGCCAAAAATTCCTTATTTTATGTTTTTATTAGACTGAAATAATATGTATAACACACTGGATTGCTGTTGGGAGATATTTCTGTCTACATTTTTTGGACCAATGACCTTTGAGCGGACAAAGCCAGTTACATCTTTTTATGTATTTATGTGACATTGAAAATTTGTTGAATCCAGAAAGCAGGAGTTCACACTCACTTTTTATGAATTCTTGCATCAACCAATGATGATTGTATCAATTGTTAATCTGTAAAAATTTCAAGAGTGATTCTGTATACAATTGGTTCTCTGAGCAACAAATAATGTTTATATGTGAAAGAGAATGGGGTGGTTGATTCTACTGATATTGACTTGATTCTGACCATTTGTTCTATGTACTTATCATGAAAATGAACAGTGTTATAAACTTATATGTTGCCCAAACTCCTAGAGTGACTGAGTCTGTATTAAAGTCGCCTGAAATAGGCTATTCAAAATATTGATTCAAGAAAAAGAATACTACGGTGTGCTGTGTACAGTAATGTGATGTGTATATAGAAATTACTAGTAAACTGACATGAACCACTTGAAGAAAAATGGCTAGAAAAAGAGATATATGTAACACATTAAAATTGTGAATTTTGACAGGCGAGTCAAAGGACTTTACATTGAGTATTAAAATGTCACAAATACGTATCTGCTCCTCTTATAGTCCCAGTAATAGGAGCCAGAAATGCTATTATCATTATTTAACCTTTACCCATGACTGCATGTTCAAACTCATAGCCTACTGGCAATAATTAACTCTTGAAGGAGCTCATCTTTATGATAACAAGTTCTTCTCTAGCAAACTGGGAAAAAATAGGAACAATAGCCGACGAGAGCTGAACTTGTGCTTACAATGTTTCACTGATGATTTTGTGTTGGACATTATCTTATTTTCTCTTCTATTTGAAGAGTACGTGTTTAGGATCTTGCATTCGATCTCCCACTGTGAATTTCACGTGTGATAATTAAAATGTTATAACACAGCTGTCTGAATAATATCAGTGGAAGGGAGAAGACACAGCAATAACTTAACTGGATACTAAACAGAGCTGTATTTTTGATCAAATACAATAATCATATTTTCTTAATTACATTAATGTTTCGTCTTGTGTTGCTAAGCAAACACACTGTTAGTGGAACCACTCAACTGATACAGCACCGGTATGTTCACTGATTAACGTAACAGACTTCTCAGCCAATCGTCGTTGAGATGTTTTACTTGGTGCTCTCCTATTGGCTGGCTACGGAAAACAGAGGCGGGAGTTCTACAATCCGGAGGAAAAGCAAGTAGCCAACGTCGAAGTGGATTCCTCGAGGCCTGGCGGGTAATTTTACGCTAAAGAAGAGGAAACATAACGTTACGAAGTATTTTTTACGCATTGGACTGATTATTACACTACTTCGAAGCCACTACGAAGTCGACTTCATATGAAACGGTCTGCAGAAACGCTGAAAATGACTAAATTTAGCCAACGTCAGCTGCATGTTTTGAGTGTGGAGTGAGCTAGCTAGCCTTATATCATAACCACTGAAGAAAACGCTAACGCCCGCTAGCAAAGTGTGCTAATATCAAAACCTTAATAACAGGGTTTTTTTTAGTACTTATCAAATGTTACGTGCCGTGTCCTATACTAAACATGACTTGGCCTTGCATTATGATTGTTAGTTAGAGCAGTAAATGACTTTTACAGATGAATGTTAACGCTTTAGACGAAGAACTTCACTGCATGATCACTTAACTTACATTTGAAGTGTTGTGTTGTTTCTGATCAGGCCTCCCACGTGCCCTTCCTCATATTTTCAAGCTTTTAAGGAGAAGTGGGTGTGAACCTGATACTTTGACTTGTTGTCAACCGTGCACATGAGCTGCTCACACATCCTGACATTGGTTTCACTGAATGAACTGAAGACTCCATAACACTCTGAAGTCTAAAATTGTGTCCTTCTTTGCAGGATGGAGGATTTGAACTAGAGCTCGACTGGACACAACAGGACTGTAAGAGGAAAAAAAGGAAATAACTGAATGACCATGGCCTACTCCAACTACACCAACCTGAGCAGGGCTCAGCTTACCTTTGAGTACCTGCACACAAACTCGTAAGTGCCTCATAATGACACTGTACCACCCATGTTTATTAAAACTTTGAAATACCCTAACCTATGAAATAATACTGCTTCAAGACAAAAAGACTGTAGGAAGGTGACATCAGATCTATGCCCCTGCATACACACTCTACTACATGACTATGTTTACACTTCATCCTGAATAATACAGGTTAAGGACAATAACCACCCGTCTGATCATGTCAACAAAAGCAGAAAATTAAGACTCTCCCTGGAAGTAGAATTCATGGAAGAGCTGTTTCATTGGATTGCATTAGATGCCCAGGTGCAAACAATATTACTGCTGGTTGGTGTATATCAACCGTTACCTGTGGAGCTCTTCTCTGTGTATGATGTGAGGAGTGTACTATCTTCATGTTCCTATCTTTATCTTCTAAGGACATCTTGAATGTATGTGTAACTGGTTCAACAGTACCTTAAGATATGTAATGTATACGTTACTTTATGTACCTGAAAGCAAATATAAGTCATCCACAGGTGTGTGGTGACCGGTTAAACTTGTGACAAAAAAATACATATATGTATATATTCATCTTTTAGTCAAAAGGATATTGTAGAGGACAAATAATTTGATTTGTATGACAGTGATCAGGCGGTGGAGGCTACAAATTGGAACAAGAGTGTGAAGTATTCATCAAACAGCGTATCCAAAAAGTTGTTTTTTATAACTGTATTTTTTATTTATTCTTTATTTTATTTTGTAAAGCACTTTTAAAAACAGATGTTCACAAAGTGCTTTGACAGAAAGTGTCAAAGCAAAGAGCTTGAGCACAAAAATAAAAACAAGAAGCACAAATCAAGGCCTCAGAAATTAAAGACCATTTTCATATCTCATAAGAAACCCAGACAATATAAGAACCACGCAACATAAAATGAGACCATGACAAAGCTTAAGACTCAGAATCAGTAGAAAATAGCCTGATCGACTGTATCAAAAGCTTCACTTGGATCTTAAAGAATTAAAATTTCAGAATTTTGCTGCATTTTAGATAACATCACACTAATCTGATTTTGCTTTATTATTTTTTAGTAATATGTGTCTTACATCTATGTTTTATTGATGTATTCTGAAAGACATAAGTAGGCTTGACGTTGCAATTGGATATATATTTTCTAATCATTCTGTATTTCTAACATGTTTCTCTCAAGATTATTTTGGTTAAAAAGTGATCTTTTTTAATTATTCGATTTTGTGGTCTACTTCAGCACAACCCACGAGTTCCTGTTCGGAGCCTTGGCAGAACTTGTTGACAATTCAAGGTACTGACAATAAAACTTTCAAGTGATATCAAATTTCGGAGCATGAAAAATGTACATCAGCCTCTTTTTATGTTAAAAAGGAAGACTCTCAAAGATGGTTTGTTTTTTCCTTCACAGAGATGCCAATGCTACACGAATAGACATCTACACAGGTAAACCTCAGAATAGTTCTTACAGTAAAGTCTACACATTCATCCATGCTCCAAATGTGACTGTAACCTTTCTGCTGTCTGTGCTGACAGAAAAAAAGCCCGAGCTGCGGGGCAGCTACATGCTCTGTTTTCTGGATGATGGTATTGGAATGGACCCAAGTAAGTGGCACTTGAATAACAGAGATGTTGTTTTAAACCTTTCCATTGCAAGATTTTCCATGATAACTTGATTGTTTAAAACTCAAAACTGACTGAACTGTTTTTTTTTCCTTTCTTTTTGTTAGATGAGGCAACCCATGTAATCCAGTTCGGGAAGTCAAGCAAACGGTCCCCTGAGTCCACTCAGATCGGCCAATACGGAAACGGTTTGAAATCGTAAGACCTTCATTTGATAATATGTGATTTTTTAACTTAAAATTGGACATACTCGTGTTTTCCATATCTTTAAATTTAAATATGTTCTGTTTTGTTTTACAGTGGATCTATGCGTATTGGAAAGGACTTTATCTTGTTCACGAAAAAGGGCGACACGCTGACATGCCTTTTTCTGTCCAGGACTTTCCATGAAGAGGAGGGTCTGGATGAGGTCAGATACAAATGTGGTCAAAAAGAGTTCCTGTTGTTAGCAATTGTTAGAACTGTTCATAACTGGGGAATTTTTTGCAAACGGTAAAAAGAGAAAACGTTGGGCTGTCGTGCATTGCTCACCCAGTCTGTTTCATAGCTGCAATTCACTGTTTTTCCTCCCGTTTAATATTTGTGAGGTGAGATTTTGCCGAGGAGACACTTTCTGCCTCATGTTTAAGCATCAGGATTTTCAACATCTTTGAACTTCCACACAATCAAAGACTCTAATCCTCTCTCTTCAGGTGATAGTGCCCCTCCCCTCCTGGGATCTGAAGACCAAAGAGCCACTGACTTCTGACCCGGAGAAGTACGCCATCGAGACAGAGCTGATATTTAAATACTCGCCTTTTAAGAGTGAACAAGAGCTGATGGAACAGTTTAACAAAATAGAGAGCAGCAGTGGTAAGTCAACTCTGATGTGTGTCCCTGATTTCAGCGACGTTCATTGTGATGTTTACCTTCTGATGTTATTTTAAGACACGAAATTTGGAGAGCATTCTGATCTGTGGTGTTATTTGTGTTCAAACACAGGACATTGTACCTTATATATTGTTGTAATTTGTTAAAAGGAACTCTAGTCATCATCTATAATCTGAAGCTGATGGACAACGGAGAACCAGAGCTCGATGTGGTGACGGATCATCAGGACATACTGATGGCTGGAACGGCAGCAGAAGGAGTGTGAGCATCATTTTACTATTTTCAGAGCATTCAGTTATGTGATCCTTAACCCAAATGTTTTCAAGGTTATTTCATTGGATGTTTATTTTTGTTAATGGGTGGGTGCGTGTGCCCCCTGCTCCTCTTGTAGGAAGCCAGAAAAGAGGTCATTCAGGGCGTACGCTGCTGTGTTGTACATCGACCCACGGATGAGGATTTTCATCCAGGGGCACAAAGTCAGGACCAAGAGATTGTCATGCTGTCTGTATAAGCCGAGGTGATATGATGATACATTTCTTATGTCTGAGATAGACGATTTTTGCTAAAACAAACAAATACACAAAGAAGAGTTTCATAAACATTTGTGTTGTCTTAAAGGGTTTATAAATACACATCGACTCGCTTCAAAACTCGTGCTGAGCAAGAGGTGAAGAAAGCCGATCATCTTGCCAAGATTGGTGAGTGAGCTGTGTAATGATTAATCTACATTTTGGTTTCATGTAATGACTGCCTCACTCTTAAACATTTACAATTTTGTCATTTATTTTAGCCGAAGAAAAAGCAAGAGAGGCAGACAGTAAGCGCATAGCCTTGGAGGCAAGACTGGGAGACGACCTGTCAAAAGATTCAAGGGTAAGACAAGGAGATTTTTGGGGGGATTATCATAAAACAAATGTAAACGAACTCTGCTCAGTTCATAAGCTTGTGAGCGAAGCTGTTTTAATGTCCGAATTTGTTGTCTCCATGTGCTCTCTCCCCCTCTGTCAAGGCAATCCTGAGAAAGGTTCAAGATTCAGCAATGATGCTTCAGCGGGACGCTGACATGAAGAAAATGATACTTGAAGCAAAGCAGAAGTAGGAAGACCTCCTTAACACTGCAAATGGTCTTGTTTAGACCTTGAAATGCCTTTAATTTTCCTTAATGTGCTGAAGTTTAAATATTACAATAGATTTTGCTTTGGTTTTAATATAAAATCCTCCAACACAAAACTCTAGATTGCTTTGTTTATGCTCGTTTTTTCACCACCCTCTCTTTTCAGAGCCCTGAAGGAGCCCAAGGAGTTGAACTTCATATTTGGAGTGAACATTGAACAAAGAGAGCTGGATGGGATGTTTGTGTACAACTGCTCTCGTCTCATTAAGATGTATGAGAAGACTGGCCCCCAGCTTGAGGGAGGCATGTGAGTAATGTGGAGGCAGAGATTGAAATGTGATGTTGCTTGAAAATAATATCCTTTAGGATATTTTCATTCATGTTGTCTGACTTTTTATGTGATCTGCATTTTTAGGGCATGTGGGGGCGTTGTTGGCGTGGTGGATGTGCCGTATTTAGTCTTAGAGCCGACTCACAACAAACAGGACTTTGCAGACGCAAAGGAATATCGGCATTTACTGAAGTCCATGGGGGAGCATTTAGCACAGTACTGGAAAGACACAAACATTGGTGAGTTTCTTGAAATTTGTAATTGTTTAAGTTCTTGCACTGGTAAGAAGAGTAGCTAAAGGAAAGGGTGCTTATTAAAGCGATTAAAAAAATCCTCCAACACAGCAAGATGGTAAGCAATAGTAATGATAATTTTTTTGGTTAGAATTTCATGGTTGCATTACACTGATTACAGTCACTTTTTGTATGGTAAGGTGTAGATACCCAAACACCAACATCAGAGCAGTATTAGCTTTATTTAAGACTTTACTTTTAGATACTCATAGCTCTAAGTTTTACTCCGCTCACCGTGGAGCAACTGGTTGAAAGCTTTGCTTTTACTCATGTTAACCATCAACCACCATCTTAAGGCAAAATAGTCGGTATGTGTTATAATGGGCCACACTGGAAGACAAGTCAAAAGTCTACTGTCATGTCACCATGGTTGTGGTGCACGTTCCTTCCTACGGTTCTCTGGTGTACATACTCCTTCACAAATGCACCGAGGAACAAGTAGAAAAATTCTGGAAACTTTTCATTGGAAACATTTGCCTGAATAACTTAAAATTTGAATTTCATTAAATCACATGTTAAAATATTTTAGTTGTCAATAATAAATGTCTGTATGTTTTTTTTTGTTTTTTTTTTCTGCAGCTCAAAAAGGAATCGCAAAGTTCTGGGATGAGTTTGGCTACCTGTCCGCCAGCTGGTCAGCACCTCCATCAGTAGAGTCCAGATATAAAAGACGTCGCGCCATGGAGATACCAATCACTATTCAGTGTGGTATGTCACTGATTTATACACACACAAAACACATTTACATCGCATATATGCCGTGCTGCTTGTAAACAAAATACTTTGAACTCACACTGATTCTCTGACTCTGCTTTTTATCAAAAGACAAATGTCTAAAGTGGAGAACGCTGCCTTTCCAGATGGATGCTGTGGATAAACGTTACCCAGACAGTTGGGTGTGTCTCATGAACCCAGACAGCAGCCAGGACAGGTGAACAGAAACTTTTTGAATAGGATTTGTCTTTGAAATAGCATCTTGTGCTTTTTGTGTAACATTCACTTAGCACAGGCACTGCATGTTAATGTAGTCTCCTTGTCGCTACAACATTGTTTTCTTCATGTGATGTGGAGTGTGTGTTTTTTTTTTTTTTTAGGTGTGACGCTCCTGAACAAAAACAGAATTTGCCCTGTGGTGTTCTCAAGAAAGACAAGCAAACAGCTGAAGACAAACAGAAAGAGCTGGCAGAGAAAATCAAACAGCAGCAGGAAAAACTTCAGGCCTTGCAGGTATCATATCCGTCTTTATCACCTCTCCTCCTTACACTGCCTCTTTAATTTGTTTCAGGACTGAAGTCATATTTTTCCCTTTAGAAAACCACTACCATCAGATCTGCAGCAGATATAAAGAAGCTACCACTGGAGGTCAGCATGAAACCAACAGAGAGCACCTCTCAGGTACTAAGCATCATGGTGTCACTTTTGAACAGTCCTGTAATGTTCTTGAGCTTCAACTAGATTATTTTGCATTCATCATCTCACCGAAATATTCTGTTGTTTCTGCTCTTTTTTCACATGGTTTCAGGCAACTAGGTCTTCTGAAAGGACCACAACACGCCCTCGCTCCCCGCCTCTCCCAGCTCACCTCAAAAACGCCCAGAGTACCCCTCCAACCCGTGCAGCATCTCAGCGCCCCACCAGAACACCCGCCCCTCCGCCCCCCAAAGTCGACGCACCCAGGTTGAGGGCTGCAGCAAAACCGCCTCCACCTGCAGCGAAACCTGTAGCCAAAGCATCTGCCAAAACACCCCCACCCAGCCGCACCACCCGGGTAAGTGAGCAGTTATGAAAGATTTCTACTAAAGTCATTAAAGAAAGGCTCTGCTGCATATGGCGTCACGTTCAAATTTCACCCAGAAATAATCGCTGAAAATGTTTCTGTTCAGACACCTGCCAAAGCAGCGTCAGCCAAACCTGCAGCTGCTGGACAACGCAAGAGAGTAATAGAAGAGGATAGTGAAGAGGAGGAAGAGGAGGAGGAGGAGGAAGAAGAAGAAGAAGAAGAAGAGAAGGAGGAGGATGACAGTGAAGAAGAGAGTGAAGAGGAAGTACCACAAACAAAGAAATCAAAGATGGCCGCAGCAGCTGCTAACCGTGGTAAAGTGGTTGAGAAAGCCACACCTCCCAAACGTGGCAAATTGGACGAGGTAAACATCAAACTTTGTTTTCCAATGAGAGTAGACTCAGAATCAAGTCAGATATGTGCAAGTTAAATTTATATATTTCACCCTTTTAAAGAGACGTGTGGAATCAAATGGCAGCATTAGCAAAGCCACAAATGATTTATATTTTGAGTCAGTCAGGTTGTGTGGCTTATTGTGCTAACACTGCGAGGACTTTGCTGCGATGGCGTACCTGCTTCTCTTTTCTGCTGCTTGTTGCTTATGTGTCTGTGATATTACCTACCTCCATTAAAGTCACAGTGAGGAGTCAGAATTGAATAGATTTGGGAAAGATGTTTGCTAACAGCATATTCAAGATCTTAATTCAAACTAATTGTTGACGTTGATTAAAAGTCACAAATTTGGAATCATACTTGGACATAAGTTGCAATGAGCGTTGCTTTTTCAGCCTTCAGAAGTATCTAGACAGGTCCTAAAAGGAGGATCTTTAATTAAGATTCAGCCTCATATGTCAACCAAAAATAAATGGAATAATAATATCAGCAATCCTGGGTGAGTAAGTGGGTTACCGAACCTCAAATCAGAGCCCCTCTGCTGTTGACCCTGCAGGTCAACAAACGCTCACAGCTTGAGAGGAAAGCGGTTTCTACTCCAGCACGGCAGGCAGCAACAACTCCATCCTCTGGCCCTAAATCTATTTCCTTGCAGCAGCATGTTGCTAAACCAAAGGTAGCTTTATTCAGCCGGTCACTGTCTTTAATTCCTGCAGATAAAGTTGCATCCACTCTCACAGCTTCTAACAAACATGAAACAGAAACTTTCCGCTGACTTGGGTGTTCTGAACGACGGTTCTCTGATCTAACAATCTTCTCCTAACATTATTATCATTGTCTAACAACTCTTTATCAAACATACTTTCCTCCTCTTGTGCCTGGGGTCACGCTGGGATTTTCACCTCTTTCACTGAACGGATGCAAATTATTTCTTTGATTAAGTCTTCTTTGCCAGAAGACATGTCTCCTCTGACTGTTGAATGTTGAATGATGTGATGATTTTTTAAGGTGCCTGAGAAGCCACCACAGCAGGAACCAGAGAATGACGCTAAAAACGCTCAGAGAGGTGAGTTGATGGACTGGGCTTGGCTGAAAGTGTCAACACATTGCTGAAAAGAGGACGCTCTTTTAAAGATTTGAGGATTTTCTTCTTTGAATTTTTCATTCCCACAGATAAGGGGCTGCTGGTGGAAGTACGTGTCAACAAGGTGTGGTACACCGGCAAAGTCATAGCTGTGGAGGCAAACAAGCAAAGTGTTCGCTGGAAGGTGAAATTTGATTATGTACCTCGATCTACCCCTAAAGACAGATGGTAAGATCCTTGTACTGTGTCGCTGGTTTTAGGGCATATTTTGCTGACCTGCCAGATGATTCATATCATATCTTTGGTTTACTTTAATCTATGTCGTATGTGAAGGGTATTCAAAGGCAGTGATGAGGTCCGGCTGATGCGGCCGCCATCTCCAATCTCTCAGACACCTGACACTCAACAGGAGACTGAGAAGGGTCGAGCAGCCATGGAGCCGGACACCACCCAGCCAGGAACCAGCCGAGAGGTGACCGACAGTCTGGTCACCATGTTGAGGTGAGTTGATCCTGATGAACTGTTGTTTCCTCACAACAGCGAGGGATTAATCTCAAGTGTGTTCACTGTCCCGTTTATATTTCCAGGACAATGCTGCGTTACTTCTTTCCTCCTGCTTTCCGGATTCCAAAGGATGATGTGAACAGTATGACGGCAGAGGAGTTGGTGGCTTTTCCTTTGGTAAATACAAAAATAATTTTAATAGATGATAGAAAATGTCATTTATTACTACTTTTTTGTTTTTCAGAAAACTAAGTGCTATGTGTGCTTCTGTTTATGCTCCTTCTAGAAAGAGTATTTCCAGCAGTATGAATCAGGTCTCCAGTCTTTGTGTAACTCGTACCAGAGCAGGGCTGATGCCAGGGCCAAAGCTGTGGAGGAGAAGAGCAACAGTACTGAAGTCAAACTGAAGGAGGCAGACGAGAAATTACAGAAACTGAGAACAAACATTGTAGCACTTCTGCAAAAAGTACAAGAGGTGAGTTCACTAGTTCAGTCCTTTCTATTAATAATACCAGAAACAGGTTATCTCCTAACATTGTGGAATGTTTTTCATGTGCTTTTTTCTGTTTGTAAGATGGGCTTTCTTTCTTCTTTTTAAACTATGACAGGACATTGACATAAACACAGATGACGAGCTTGATGCATACATCGAGGACCTCTTAACCAAAGGTGATTAAAGAAGACATAACTGAGAGTTACAGGAAAGAAGAAGAGGACTTGAACATAAACTGGTGGTTTTAATCCAGCAAGTATTTGCTGAGAGTTCTCAAAACTGATTGTCATAACTTTGACCGATTTGTTTGATCATTTGTTAAGCCCGCACCTGTGCGCTCTTGAGTTTCTCCACTGCTGGGTAGCCCTCTCTCCCATGACTTTCTCTTTAGTCCTTTTTTATATAACTGCTTATATATGTACGTTCGTCTATGTTCAGTTCATCCCTTCTTGATTCATCCTTAACAGTTTGTGTAGGTTTAATACAAGTAATGCTTCCTTTATGAAGTCAACTTATGCTGTTAAAACTGCAGACTACATTGGTTCTTTGTTTGAGACGATCATCAGATGAGATTGGGACAGTCACGGTGACCTGAGACTTGGGTTTGGCTAGTGTTAATCATCGCAGCCTGTGTTTCAGCTGTAACATTTATTTTTCTACACTACGATCGTATCAGTGTTGCTTGCTACCTTACTTCATCCTGGCCTGACAATTCGACCAGGTTAATATTTTACACTTGGGTGATGTGCCACACCCACAAACATAATCTTCTTACTGGGTTTTATCAGTATGACTATTCCCCCATACCCCTCCTAAATTTAAGCTAAGACTGTTCTGTTTTGTTTAGTTATTTTTTAAGTTTTGGAGGAGAAAATATTCTCATTTAAATGCAAAAGTTGTGTGTTCATTATTATTCAGTGCCTGTGTCCTTCCTTTTGAACAGATTTTTAACATGTCATGGAAATGTTTTATGAAACAGTGCATGCTTTCAGTCTTTATGTTCTAATTGGAACAAAGGATTCTGTATTTTTGACAAATCTTTACTTCAAATAATAAAACAGGTTCAGTAACAACTCATGATGGATGTATGTTTGTTTTCTATTACCCCATGTATGTATATTCAAATTAAAGTCTCTTCTAAAAGTATGAAGCAATAATTATTATATCAGTTTAATTTGAATGTATTTCTCATATTATTTTAATGAGTATTACTGAAACAGTTTGATTTGACATGAACGTGTCTCTTAAAAAATGATAACATACTTTGATACCATGTTGTTTGATTTGTTGTCACAGCTGTTTCTTGTCTTCAATATTGTAAGGTTATTATTTAGGTTTATTTACTTATTAAATGAGTACATTTATTAAATAAAATAATAAATTATTTATTAAATAAATATCAAATAAAATTTATTTGATTAATAAAAAATGATTTATTTAAATAAATTAAATAATTTATAAATGTATTTGTTAAATAAATTTATCATATATAACATAACATAATACATTTATTAAACAACTGGTATTATTTATTTATTTATTATTTTGGTTATTATTTCCTCATTAATCCAAACGAACAAAGACTATTTTGGTCGTTCAGAGAACAGATAGAGATCTCCTAATATTGGAAAACTGAGTGTACCACAAAACCGCATGACATTTTACAGTCAGAAATTATCTGGTGTCGATTTCAGTAAACCGACTCTTTAAACGAAGGACGGGGCTTTTATTTTGAAGGCTGAAGTCTACGGTGAGTAAACACTACGGGGCTAACGACGGCAAGTAAGATTGTGTACTCATTTTCTTACACTCATTAAACTTATTAGCTTTGAATGCAGTGGTTTCACTGTTTTGAAAGCAATTATTACCATTAAGTGCGTTAAAGTGATGGTGGGTATCGTATCGGAAAACAGCTTTGTAAAAGCTAGCTCGCTAACAGATGTTAGTTTCAGAGCTCGGGTCACTTCAGGTGACACCTGATCACTGAGATTAACGGAAAGAACCCAGTCAACGGTTGATAACTTCTCCACATTACATCATTACATTGTGACATGAAAAAAAATACTGAAACCAGCAACGTCTGCGTGCAACTGCGAAAACTGAACTTTGACCCACTTAACTGACGCTAACAGCTAGCTTGACTTGCTCACAGTGAAATTTTGTTGTAAATTCTTCCGATTCACACGAAACCAAGTTGTTATTCACCTTTCTGCTCTGCCCGTATCCAAGTCTTGGACAGAAATATTGAAGGCATTATACGTGTATACTTGCATATTTTACTTATAGATAAAAAATGTAAAACTAAATTTGCCGGTGAACAATAAAATGATTGTTGACCTTCAAATGTATTTATTGAATTGAGTGTGATGTGGTATTCTCAGTCTTTCTGTTCAATATACTTATATTGTTAAGCATTTTGTTGTAGAAATGGGCCACAAAAAGGTTTGCCTATTAGGGCTGGGATGATGTGCTTTTCTCCTGATTCGATTCTTCTACGATTTTTTTTTATGCCGATTCGATTTTAATTGCGATTGTATGGTATTGTCGATTTTCTCGATATTCAATCTGCATTTCTAACACCAGTGAAACAGTTGAATGATTATGATTGTCTAGTGACTATTCCAGGAACCATATTACCCCCCAAAAAATACACATCACATGTAAGTCAGTTTTTAAGATTTATTCTTAAATTTGAAAAAGAAAAAAAATGATTTTTGAACATAACAATCTATTTAAAAAATTGTAAAACAAAAAATTACAATACTTATGTAAATCGATTTTTTCTCCCACCTATTGTCTAGTCTTAATTCATATCACACAGGGATAGGGAAAGCGTATTCTGCTATATATATTCAGCAACAATACATTTAAGATGCATTTGTCTTTCTGTCTTTGGACTTCAGGTCTTGAGCAATGTCCGCGTACTCAGCTCTCCGGAACCATCATCTAGCTGGAAGCTGCTGCAGGGCATTGTGTGGCGCTCCTCGGCCTCTCATCCACATCAGATCGGCCAGTGTTGCTGAGCATGGAACAAGGAGATCTGATGAAGAACCACTTTGGGAGGCAGGAGGCTTTCCACTGTTCTCTGGTTCCAAGATAGGATCTTTTTTTCAGGAGAAACCTGTGCTGAAAAACCCTTTTCTAGAAGATGCCTTACTCAGAGCATACCTGAGGAGACACCTGCCTGAGGAGGTGAGGAGAAAGAGCAGCTGTGTCTTCTTGCTTAAATATAGAAACAGAAATTGTGGCTTATTTCTGCGCCCTTATTTGAGAAAATCTTGCTGAATTAGATTTGGAAACTTAAGCAAACAATCATGTAAACATATGGTGTGATGTAGAGTACCTATTACAATATGAGACCAGAAGATTTTTTCTGATGAAGTACACTGTTAAGAAGCATTTTGCTGCAGCTTGTGTCAAATATATATGTCACATGACGGCTGATATCCTAAGCCTCTTTATCACTCATGCTTCAGAAAGAACTTCATTTGATTCAGATTCAAAAGTTTGAAATATGAGAACATTTCCAACAAATACTTTTTAAAATAATAAACAGCACATGACTACTTTATCAAAAAAGTGGAAGTCTCTTTTAATTTGACTTTGAAACAATAAGTTGTCATAAATATTAAATACCATTAGCTTAGCCAGTAATGTCCCTCTGTTTGCTGGAGTTAAAAGATTGAACTTTCTCTGTACAAATGAAGAAGAAAATCCAAAAGCTTTAAAAGGCATCGTCCTCTCATCACAGTTTTCATCCCTGGCTTTTCATGCCCTTAGATGCCCTCCTTTTCTTAATAATCAGTAGCACAACATGGACAAGATTTATCTGTTTCTTTCTAACAACTGTTGTCCTTTTTTCGATGTGTTGTCCACAGTCAGTCTCCTCAGACTTGAGAGCATTCGGGGAGCGTGTGGCAAATGAGGTTGATGGCTGGGGCCGTGAGTGCGAGGTTACTCCTCCTCGATTGGTGCACTTTGACCCCTGGGGTCGCAGAGTGGATCACATCGTCACTTCCTCAGCTTGGAAACGCATGAAAGACCTGTCTGCAGAGGAGGGACTTGTTGCCATCGGATATGAGAGGGCGTATGGGGAGTGGAGGTTTGGATGCTGTTAAACTTCCTTTTCCACATTTGAACTTTATTTTTCTCTTCAACAAACTCTGTAACTGCTTCTGAGTGAACTTGTGTCCGTTTGTGTTTTTCCAGTCGTGTGTACCAAATGAGCAAGTTGTTCATCTTCTCTCCCTCCTCTGGCCTCTACACCTGTCCTCTGGCCATGACAGATGGAGCTGCTAAAGTCATCCAGGTATGTCAGGAAAAAAATTAAACATTGTGTTGTGAATGTTTACCGTAGGTTCTTCATCCAACTCCAATGTAATTGTAAATATTCTTGGTTTAACTGCAGTTGAATTCACATGCTTACAAGAAACTACGTTATTTTAGTCTACGAAAGTAACCCACACTTAGAGTAATAAACAAGATTATATCGAGGGCCCTGAGGTTGAAATATTGGAGCCAGATGAAGGGAAAGGCCTTTTGAGGCTATTTGCAAATGAAAATCTAAAATAGTCTACAGCTGAAATAGATTAGTGGGATTTTTAAAGCTGAACAGTAAAGCTCATACAAATGCTCATGGTTGGGAAAAATAACAGTCAAAAAGATCGTATCAACTGAGAATTCTTGAGCTTAGTCTAATTCTTTTTTTAAGCCTGTATGTACGTACAGTATATGTGTGTGCTGATTTGCTTGTCTGCTCAAAGTCCATAGGTGTTTCATGGCCGGTAGATGAAGCCTATAGTCGTTTGACAACCCGTCAGCCAGAGCGATTCTGGACATCCGGACAGTGGATGACAGAAAGACAGGGAGGATCTGATGTGGGTTGGTAGTGACTTGAACCAGCACCTACACTCACAGTTGCTACTCTGTTGATTCTGTCGTGAATCAACAGAGCATTGATTAATGCACGATGGCTTGTCTCTAAATGCCTCATTTCTCCAGCCAGCGGCACAGAGACTGTGGCAGTGTCCCAGTCAGATGGTTCATACAAACTTCACGGCTTCAAGTGGTTCACCTCTGCCACAGATGCTGACATGACTCTCACGTTGGCTAGAACACAGGACCAAACTGGAGCAACCACACCAGTACAGCTGACTTATTTCACTCCTCTGACATCAGCCATTACTCCTGTTAAAAGAAACATCAGAGTTTCATCTGTATGTGTGTGTTTGATTCTGTGCTGCAGGGTAGCAGGGGTTTGTCTTTGTTCTACGCTGAGGTGTGCAGAGATGAAGATGGCCTGCTCAAAGGTATAGAGGTTCAGAGACTGAAAGACAAGCTTGGCACGAGACAGATGCCAACTGCTGAGCTGCTTTTGGACGGCTTGCCAGCACACAAGGTCAGTTACATAACTTCATTAATCGCATTAACAACAAACTAAAGGATCCTACCCCAGCCTATGCAAACACGATTAGTGCTTTTGTTACATTAAAGCCACACAGGTAAAGGTTCAATTCAGTTTTTCAAAATAAAGCTTCATGCAGTGAGAAAACACAAAACTTCTCTGCAGTTATTTGACCAAGCAGCACATTAGGAGTGATCTTGTTTCCACTTCCTCTTAAACAAAGAACCTCTAAAACCATGATCAACAAAATTTGGTTTTCCTTTTCATATATTGGATTCCTCAGAGTGCTTTGAAAGCAGACGTTATATAGAATAGTTTTTTGCCAAACAGCACAGCGGGATGAAACAAAGCTGTGAGCTGAACACAGCTGGGAACTGAAAACAACTGCACTGATATCAAAAATTAAACATATAGAGCTTTATCACCACACTATTTTTTATTTCCCCATAAGGATCTTAATTAAGAATTGTGTATTTTCAACTCTGGAGTAAAAAGTTATCCATCAAAACCCACATTACAGTATATTTCTACTCTGTATGTTTCATTCTACTGATAATGTGTATTAAAACTAAACTGCTACTTCACCCTCTTGCACAAGCAGGAAATAAACTTGTTGGATTTAAATCAACTGTTTCTTTTCACAACAACTTTCCTGGATAAACTTTTCAGATTGCTTTTGTGCATTGCAATCTATTATAAAAGAGTTATTAATGATCGATTATGTAAAAAAAATGCTTTACTCAGTATGAGAATAGTCTGGTTTGAGCATAAATCATCTGATCCTTATTAGTCTAAACATACAACACACAAGTTTCCTGCTCAGATTTAGTCTTTGAGGAATATGAACTTTAAATACACCTCCTGTTTACTCTGAAAGTCTGTCATGCAGACTCTGTTGACTGATTGCAACAATCATTTTCATTCAGATGTTATAGTATTAATAATCATGCTCTTTGCATTCACAACAAAGAATTACAAACTTACATGTGTATTTTTTATTCCCTACTTTTGCAGCTTTCAGCGGAAGGTAAAGGCGTAGCTTCTATAGCTAACATGCTAACCATTACCAGGATCCACAACAGCATCTCTGCAGCATCTGGAATGAGAAGGCAGGAAATCCTTCACACTACTGTACACCATCTGTATAAATGTTTTCTTTATGCTAAATGCTGCGTAATCTGATTTTGATTCGATCTTTGTATGATCACAGGGTGGTTCAGTTAGCCCGTGACTACGCTACTCGCCGCACTGCTTTTGGAAAGCTTCTTAAAGACCACCCACTGCACATGCAGACTCTTGCGAGGATGGAGGTAAGCTCACAGGAGAAAAAAACTACCAGTTCACTATTGTGTCTCCCATTATGCTTCACCAATACTTGCCTTCAACCTGGCCAGGTGGAGACTCGCGGAGCCTTTCTGCTGGTGATGGATGTCTGTCGCCTGCTGGGCAAAGAGGAGTGCGGCTTGGCGAGCCAGTTAGATACACATCTGCTCCGTTTGCTCACTCCTGTTGTCAAACTGTACACTGGGAAGCAGGTGCGTGGCTCGTGCATTTGATAAACTTTTATCTTACTGTTGTGGTGAGGAGCCTTACTCTGTTTGTTCTGTTATTTTGAAGGCTGTGGCTGTGGTGTCAGAGGGTTTGGAAAGTTTTGGAGGACAGGGTTACATCGAGGATACAGGGCTGCCTGCAATGCTTCGTGATGTACAGGTGAGATGAATGCATGCAACACTCATTAAAAAGGCCCTTTTATTTTGAAGCTAACCTGTCTCTTTTACTGTCAGGTTTTAAGTATATGGGAAGGTACCACAAATATTCTGTCTCTGGATGTGCTGCGCTGTGTGGCTCGCAGCTCAGGAATGGTTCTCCATGCTTACTTTAGCCATACCAAGGTACAGATTTAGAAATGGTCCTGTTCAACATGTTCAGTAACTTCCTTGGTATACAGGTGAACAGGAATATTGATGTTATTGTTTCCTGCTTTGAAGTCCCTGCTCTCAGGTGCATCTAGTGTTTCCTCATTGGCCCCGGCAGTAAAAGCAGTGGAGGCTGCTCTGTCTGAACTGAAGGACTTTGTTCAGGTAGCAGCCACCAGACCACCTGGCTACCTGGAGCTAGCAGCCAGAGACCTGGCGTTCAGCTTGGCTCGCATCTACACAGGCAAGAAACATGATGTTCATGCACTCCCCTCACTTCAGTTATACAGAGCTGCACTCCTGGAAATGGTTAAACTCTTGACTCACTCTAGAAAAATAAAAGAGAGTTAACTTCTCTTCTTAATCCACACAATTTCTTTTCATAACTAGGGGTATACATTACACATGATACAACTTGACCACCAGGTGTGCAATTTTTATAGCCTGAGAGTTAATCAGCCTCGCAGAATTTTCTTTAAAGTTTGTGACAACATTTTCCATAGAGAAGGCTCCCCGAAGCCTGTAAACTTGCTGTCATGTGTATAATAGATGAACTGTCTGTCCACAGGTGCTCTTCTCATTGACCATGCATGTTGGAAAGAGGCCTCTCCGTCTGACACTTATGCAGCTCTAAGGTGAGAAAAAATAAATTGTGATGAATCTAGTTTTAGAGAAAAAAAATCTGTAATTTTGCAGTAATCATGTTTGTTCTTTATTAGATGGTGTGAGCAGGCCCTGTGCCCTGTAGGGACTAAAGAGAAGAGAGGCTGCTATGATCCAAACACTCCACCACTCGATGCTGCACTGGTGTATGAGCGACTAGCCCAGGACTGACAGAAAAATCTGTGATTAATCCATGACTCAATCTGCCATTAATGTGCCTTACTTCAATAATGTCAGATCATTTTACTGGATACTACTCATTGTTTTACTTTATATAAGACTGCGATCATGTTTAAGGAACAATTGAGACCCACTTGTAAACACAGCAAAAAGATGCGAAAAAAGGAGTTTTTAAAAAGTGTATTTCTCTCTATAAGGCTAGTATATTTTATCTGATTAGATAGAACTTAATAAATCCTTCTGGGAAGGTTTCCTGAAGGAAATTAAACTGTGATTTGTTATTGCTGTTGCATGATGTATATTTTTGTCCATAATAAATAAACACTGAGCCATAATGTCACAATTTATTATCTTATAAATTACTTTTGGAAGCTTGCTGTACAAAATGTGTAAACTAAATACACACCACATGACACCGGGCTTTTCACATTCATGCTCATAACGATTTTCACAGCCAAAGTAAACAAAGGTAAACAACCCCAAAACTGAAGTAGAGCAGGGGTCAGAGCCCTGCAGAGCTCTAGTTACAGGAGAGAATATTTATCTACATGGTGCATTCAATGGCTTTTTGAAAAATTGTAAATTCGAGTTTCGACAGAAATGTTTCATACGTACTGTACACCGCGTCGCTGCTTATCAATCCGTCATTTATTTCAAAGATATACACATTTTTTGTACCAAAATTTCATTAAAAAAACTAATGATAAAAAATACAAACATGCTTTTGAAGTTTGGGAAAAGGCTCTAACAAAATCAAACAAGACCGAAGTGAAATACACAGAAATGACCAGAATAGTAACAGCAAACTGAATACCAACCGGGCAAACTGAGCTAACAAGGCAATTTGCTGTTCGTTTATATTTAAAGATGAAAAATATACCCTCAACGTTTTGCTAATGAGCCTGTTCCGTCCAAAACCTTTGAAGTTTCAAGTTTCCGAGTCGTCCCTGAAGGCGACGCATCCTGCTTGAATAAACGGTAGGTGGAGCTTTAGCCGAAGGTGTACACGGTGTACGCGAAGGGTGAAACTGACAGGCGTAAAACAAAGGTAGAAGGAACAAACCCTAGTAGGTGTAGAACGAAGCTGGAGTTACAGTAAAGGCGGAAATATTTTGTTGTCGCTCAAGCTAAAAAAAAAAAAAAGTCTGGACTGTCGGACTGAAACGACCGAGCAGTCCTGGTCCACAGCAGCAGCAGGATGGAAGCAGCTCCTGGATAAAGTCAACCATGTCTCCTGCTGTTTACCTGTCACTCTTGGTTGTGTTACTGTGTCACCTGCGGGTCGGCGCGGGATCCTATGTCCTCAGGAACCAGGCTGAGTGGTCTCCAGATACAACACTAACCATGATGTCCCAAAGCTACGAAGACAAGGTTTGTGAGATCTGATAGTAGACTGTCGACAAAGTGAGGATCTCTACTGTGATTATTGTGGGATTTGATTTCCAGGCGAGTGTATGTTTATCGGGCAGGTAGTCAGCAGGTTTTCCGACTGTCACATGACTGGTAAAGAAACACGACAGACATGCATAAAGTTTAAGAGCTCTGTTAAATGTGACATGTGCATGTTCACATGACAGCAGGGCAGACGGAGTCTCCACGGTCCCCTGATTTCCTCCAGGCGAGGAGAGTGTGTAACAAGTGGGGACAGGGCTCACCTCTGTCATGTTTCTCCACACACAGAGGTTCCACAGAGCCCTAACACAAAACTTTCAACTTTATAAAGACTAAATTTATATGTAAAATGACACTCAGACTGGAAAGTTTGGACTTTTTTCTCTTCATAGAAATCATAGAATTTACAGCAAATGTTGAAAACTTTTTGATTTCAACATTATTATTTGATCTCAGCAGCTGCATCACTGCTCTTTTCAACATTTTACCCCCAAAAGCTTTAAAAAAAACAGCTTTTCTTAAAACTGTCATATCACTTTTTCTAAATCCTCATGTAATGAAATTTTATGATCTGTTTTATTATAAAATGATGCAAAAAATGTTTAGAGCAAAATCAAAATGCTCCCTGTCACAATACAGAGGTTCTTTTCAATTCAGGACAGTCCGTATAATCTCAGAGGTGCTTGCGAATTTATTGTACAAAAAGTTAAAAAAGCTATGAAAAGGAGTTGTGTCTCTGTTACTGGAGTTAAATTCTGGAATGATGCCTATATACATCTAAAAACATGTCAGTCTTTTTTGTTTTTTTTAAAGAAAATGGTTTGTAAAGCTTTTTTTGAAGCCTATAAGTGTGATTAATTATCTGTTGTTGTGCTTTCTTTGCTTTTCTGGAGGTCGGTAGCCTAAAAAAAAAAGTTGACAACACAGGATAGGCTTTTTTAAGCAGCCTGCTTCTGCCTATGCCTTTTCAGTCGGTGTTCAACACATGATTCGATTCTTGATTTGGTGATTTTGTGTGGAATGTCAATGTTCTGTACAGTATTTGGTGTTGTCATGACTGACGACTACTTTTAATTCATTATCACTGCAAAGTACAACCTCAATAGTAAACATATGTCAAAATCATAACATAAATCAAAACAACAAATCAATATCAACTTGAATAATGAGTCATTACATTCATGGATGGTGTGTTGGACTGCGCTTAATTATAAAAGTGTTCCTCTTTAAATAGACTCTGAGTGTTTCTACTGTTAAATATTACATAAATCCTTCGCTGGATGAGGCAGTGTTGAGAGTTAGTAAGTAGGACTGCTTTAAACCAAAATTAAGTTGTTTCAAAACTCCTGCTTACAGCAACATGTCAAGGATGATTATTTATCATTCATTATTATTGTTTGTTTCTTTCTGTGTGTTTGTGTTTAGTGTGACGTTGTGATGAACCTCAATGCTTCAGACCGCTGTGCCTTTGTGAAGAACACGTCTGATTGTTCTATGGAGGACGGCTTCATTAACTACATTAAAGTTGCCTTCTGTCTACTTCCCACCAACCTCACACCCCTCGTCATAACTCTATGTGTAAGAGCTCATAAACTTACCCTTTGTAGTTTGGGTGTGTGAGTGTGAGAGTGAAACTGATTCTCAAGACCAGCTGACCATTTGAGGAAGTTAACTCTGCTGAGGGCAGACTAGGGAACGATCAGACTTTGGTTATTTCAGCCTTTGCTCAATAATAGATTTTTTTGTATAAATAAGTGACCTGATTGATTAGCGTTGTTTGCAACAGAAGTAATACGACTGTAACACTGAAAGTTGCATAAATCTGTCTGTGTATAAAACTATTGATATGTGTTTCAGATTAGGAACAGCAGGATCAGAGTGGTCAAATAAGGGCATGTTTTTGAGGTTCAGTGTGGTCAGTCTGGATCCTGTTTGCATGTCTGTCTGAGTGTGACCAACTCAAGCAGTACTTGTGTTTTCTCTGAGTGTGTTAAAAGAAAACTTCTGCTTCTTCACAGATTATATGGCTGCTCTTTCTTTTCGTCATCCTCGGACTCACAGCGTCTAAGTTGTAAGTGTGTCACACTCTCATGTGTCAATACACGCTATTGTTCCCTTTTGTGTGCTGGGACCAGCCCCCAGTAGCCTGAATAAATCATTCATTTTTGATTGATACGTTTCAGCCCTGGAAAATGTAACACTGTATTAACATTGTGCAAACTGAACACAGACACAGACAAACAAACTCACTCATGCCCTCAGTTTGTTTAGTTTATCTGTCAGATGACCAGAGTTTTTCAAGGCTGGAAAAAAACACAAGTTGTAAGACTGTGAGATTTCATCAAAGGAAGTTCAGTTTGTTCTGCATGTTTTCTGCGTCACCTCACTTCGCTGAAAACTGCTGCAAAAAAACAAACTGAACAATGTTAATTAGAAACTCAAGGATGCTATAAATCTCTTTTTATTTGAACAGTCTGTGTTTTCTATTCCACAGTTTCTGTCCCAACCTCTCAGCCATCTCTACCAGTCTGCACCTCACTCACAACGTGGCTGTATCCTTTTTATTTATCTCCTACGATCTCCTGCTTGCTTAGATTTTATGTACAATCTGGTCAAAGCAGTGATACTGCTGACTCACTGAAACACTTCCTCTCTAAGAGATTTGTTGCAGTTAAGAAATGTTTTTCTCTCAAGTATTTTCTTTGACTTGCTGAGGGGGTGACATTTCTCGCTCTCGGTAACGGAGCTCCTGACATCTTCAGTGCCATGGCTGCTTTCTCAAACCCGCACACTGCCGGGCTGGCTGTTGGAGCCTTGTTTGGTAAGCGCAGTCTCCACCAGGTTGTGAAAAATGAACACCTCAAGCTTTATTTATTATTCAAACCACTTGGTTGTCCTTTTCCTCATCATGTTCAATCTCTCCTCCCTGTTAGGAGCCGGGATATTCGTCACCACAGTGGTTGCCGGCAGCGTGGCTCTGGTGAAGCCTTTCGCTGTTGCCTCACGTCCATTTTTGCGTGATGTCACCTTCTACATGGTGGCTGTGTTTTGGACTTTCGTCATGTTGTACAGAGGGACCACAACACTGAAAGAAACACTCGGTACACACAAACTCTGGTTTCTCTTTTGGTTTTCTCTCTTTCTCACCAACATTGAGAGCCATTTTCTGTTGAACTTGAGAGAAAGCTAGCCTAAGTGATGTTTGTTAGTAATTCACATTCTTATATATCCTATGATTCCTGTCCTCTGAAAACACATTTTAATCAGTTAAAGTGTAAAAGACTGCAGCCATGAGAACTTAAGTGTTTCCCGGTGTATTGCTATATTGCTTCAAGTAATATTAACCTTATTTCTATGGCACTTTTAAAAACAGGATTTTACAAAGTGCTTCGACAGTTTACTTTAATAAGACAAAGCATTAAAAACAGATGGAAAAGACAATACCCCAGCACAAAAAAGAAACCTACCCCCTGCTGGTTTTCTCCACTAAAACTGTTTGGACAAGCCTTGGAACAACTTTCCACTTTCACTGTTAGCGTTTAAGATTTTCCCAACACAGCCTGATCTCCCCTTTATTGCTTCATCTCCTCTCCCTAGGCTACCTTAGCCTCTACGTGATCTATGTATTGACTGTTATCATCAGCGCATATATCTACAACAGGCAGAAACATTCACTGACCTCGAGTGACCGCAGTGTTACACGTATTCCAGGTAAAACATTAAAAATAAAAAGAAAGACACTCTCACACAGATGAATTTTAAAAGCCGTTCAACCTCTAACAGGGAGAATATAATTTTCTTTGCAGCAGAGTTTCACTCATCGGAGTCGTCAGATGATGATGTGCCTTGTCTGTTGGACGGGTCCATCCAGCAGGACTATGGTAGGAATACTGCTCCTCACTGAAAGCAACAATGTAAGTAAATGTTCACCAAAATCTTTCTGCACAAACAGGACAAAAAAAATGCATTTGTGTATTTCAGAGTCAGAGTACAGACCACTTCTGCCATATTCTGAGACAACGACCCACATCCTGCTTAACGCTTTGAACCCAGTGGACGGCAGAAAGTGGAGGAGGAAATCATGGAGGTGGAGAGCCCTCAAAGTGCTGAAGGTTTGTTTGATTTTGAGCAGAAATGAAGGGAAGTGTTAAATGCATGAATTTGTTCCTGCTGTTGTTGAGACACTCGTGTCTGGCACTCATCAGACACCTATAGAGGTCCTGCTGCTGCTCTGTATCCCTGTGGTCGACCCTGACAAGGAGGACAAGAACTGGAGGCGCCCACTAAACTGCATCCACCTTATCACATCGCCTCTAGTGTGCGTGCTCACCTTCCAGTCTGGAATATGTAAGTGTATCACTCCTCCCGATGAATGTTGCTAACATTTTGTAGCAGAGGAAAGACGTGGCAACCCTCTTCTTCTTCTTTTTTTTTTTTTTTACCATGTTTCACGTCTAGATGGAACTTACATGATCAAAGGGGAGTTCCCTCTCTGGCTGCTGACTCTGCTGCTGGGATTTTTCCTGTCCTCCATTGTCTTCTGCACGACCACAAATGACTGTCCTCCAAGATACCACTCAGTAAGCAGGAGGAAGTGAGATGAGCGGGAGGATGGGGTTACCAACTTTCAGATCTTGACAATAAGCAACAGAATGCTACTGGCATTAATTTATGTCTACAAGAATTGTGACTTTGTGATGCAGTATTTGAAGCTTTAAAGCTCAGACTGAGATGCTGACTTAAAGGGATATACCGGCGTAAAATTAAATTAGGTTCAAACACACTGTAACACCGAGTTAGACGCTCCATTGAGAGATGAATGTTGCAGACGGCTTGCTTCTCTAGTTATACCAACTTAAGTAACGACCGCACGATAGCAATACACAGCGGTCCCAGGAGCCATGTGCTCAACCAAAACGCCACTCTGTATCCACAAATAATGCTCAGAACAGCACCTAACTTCATCAACAGTACATATAGGGTCCTAGCCACAGCACTAACCATCGATTAAGTTAGGTGCTGTTCTGAGCATTTTGTGTGGCTATAGAGTGGCGTTTTGGTTGACCGCGTGGCTCTTAAGACTGCTGTGTATTGCTATCATGCGGTCGGTACTCAAGTTGGTATAACTAGTGAAGCAAGCGGTCGGCAACATTAGTCTCTCGACAGGGTGTCTGACTCGGTGTTACAATGTGTTTGATCCTAACTTAATTTTACGCCAGAATATCCCTTTAATAACGTGTCAAGTTTTTCATGTCTAGCATCCAAAGTGTGTGGACATGCTAATAGTTGATTAGCTCTAAAAAAAAAAAAAAAGATTTTTATGCAAGTAAAGCTTTGGTTGATTAAGGATAGAGATCATAAGAATATAGAATATAAGAATATAGATGCTTCATCTGTCATCACAACCATACAGTAATAGTCATTTTTTAAGGCGTTTTGTTGACAGGTGTTTTACATGTGCTATCATTAGGAAACATCCATGTAACTATTTGTCTTTTTCTCCCTGCAGCTGTTTTCTCTCCTGGGTTTTGTAGTGAGTGCTGTATTGATCAGTGCAGCGGCCTCTGAAGTGGTCAGCCTCCTGCACATGCTCGGTGTGGTGCTGAGTCTGAGTAACACTGTGTTGGGTCTGACACTGTTAGCCTGGGGAAACAGCATAGGAGGTGATATCCGTGAACCGATATTTTTCCCCTTTTTTTTTGAAGAGTGGACAAAAACATGTTTTTAAACTTTAAACCTTTGCACATTTTTCTCTCTTTTATAGACTGTTTTTCTGACATAACCATCGCACGGCAGGGATACCCGCGCATGGCAATATCTGCCTGCTTTGGAGGCATCATTTTCAGTATCCTTATCTTTTTATGACAACACGTGTCATTTTATTTCACACGTACAACGACTATGTCCTTGACTGAAATAACTTCAGACATGGTGTTTGGAGTGGGTTTAGGATGTCTGGTGCAGATATATAAAACGCACTCGTATGTGCAGGTAAGCTCAGATACACAGTTATTCATTATGGCTGATAAATACTGTAAATAAGCATGTTTCATCTTTGTCTCTTTCTCCTCCTCAGTTTGAAGTTGAGGGTTTGCTGACGTGGATTCTTGCCGGGTCTCTGGGTTTATCTTTGGTCCTGTCGTTTGTCATTGTTCCAATCTGCCGATTCCACCTAGGTCGACCGTACGGGATCTTCCTCCTCGTTTTCTACGTCGTCTTTCTTGTCATTGCACTGCTCACGGAGTTTGGAGAGATCCACATTGTATGATCTGACTTTGAGGCCAGTCTGAAACAGGGGATGTCTTTTCATACAGCGACTTGAACGCAGGCTACACTGACCGACACAGCAAATCAATGCACTATTTATAGGAGAATCAAAAGTACACTCTGTGCACTACTCTGAAGAATCAAAAGTGGCAACTTGTCTACAAACTCTCGCTCAGGAAGAGCTTGAACTAATCATCCCGTTGTGCCTTCAAAACAGCCACTTATCTGGCTGACTGAAGCTCTGACGGCACTTTGAAAGTCCACAGGGAAGACACATATATTTGTAAATTAAAACATTGTTAATGCACTAAATGTATTGTGAATCAACATGTTAAAATGACCTTGTACAAAACTGCATTTGTGGCATTAAAGTAATCTGGGTTTGGTATTTGTTTTAACATGTTGTACACCAATATTAATGTGTAAGTCTGTTTTTGTTTTCTGCAGTACATTGAACAATGTAGATGAATGAGTTACCAGCATTATTAGAAACAGCAAAAATACACCGATACAAATTTTAACAGTTTAATACAATTCCTTATCCGCTAACTAAAATACATTACAGAAATAAGAAGTTATAAAAAAGGAAAATAATTAAAAGTTTTTGGAGACATTAGTTAGGAGAGACGTCGGGCTGGTATTGTTGGGATTGAGCTGAAAGGAGTGTATCTGCGTGGAGTTTTGGTCTTTATGTTTTAGTAGAGATTAATAGTTTGTATGAGCCGCTGATCTAAGGCATCACGTTAAAGTCCTCTGTGGTTAACAGGAGGCCACAAAAGGCCTTCAAGAGTATACAGTACGTACACAACAGGCGGTAATAGTTCAGGCCCCTCGCTCATGTCTGCTGCAGTCTTCAGAAAGGCCAAAAGAGGGCGGCATCCTGTTTCATTGGTCCAATAACACATCTCTACTCCAGTCATTTAGTCCGTATTGATGGTTTCAGGCTTCAGGAAGGACTCGTATCAAGTCATTTCTTATGAGTCCATGAGGTCCCAGATTTTCCCCCTCGCTGAAGTGATTATATGTGGAGATGTGGAAAACTCCTGGAGTGATGGATTTATCTTAGCAGTTTAAAAACACTGATATAGTGGAGCATATGTACTGCTGGGACTTAGTTGATGCTGAGAGGCCCAGTCTGCGAGTTGAGCTGAGGCTCGGGGAAGGAAGACAGGTCAGAAACGGGACAGTCCAGCTCCTGCTCAGGGAGCCCAGGGCTTTGGTTTGTCTGCGGCAGATTTTCCCTTGAATACTCTGCATACCACTCCTGGAGAAAGAAGCACAGAAAAGATGAGGAGAATATCAAACATGAGGACCTCTCGGTATTCAGGAGTATCTTTTAAGAATTACCTGTATCTCCTCCTCGTACATTTTCATGCTAAGATCACTCTTTGTTCTCGACCTGCGGCCGAGGTACACCAGAGAAGTGTGCTGTGTACACAAAACCAGGAGGGAAAACCAGTTAGTGGGACTTCAACTGTAGTACAGAGCATAAAGAGGTACAGAGAGGTGTGGTTCTTACCCCGCCCCTGTCCATGGCTTGTAGGACTCCCTGAAGAGAGCTGAGGGAGGACAGTCCTGAGCAGAACTGTTTATACAGCTCCAAAATGGCCAGAGATTCATCACGACTCACCTCTACCTCAAACACGATACCGTTCTCATCTAGAAATGAACACAAAGTGATGATCATAACTACACACACACTAAACTAGCAGCAAAAAAACCCACTTTGAGTAAGCTTTCTGTTTCTTTCTATCTGCATTACAAGGTGTTTTGTGTTAGAGTCATACAAAGGTACCTTTTTATGAAAAAATACACCATCACACATGCATTGTCTCACCCTCAGGGTTCTCCACTGGTTCCCTGTTCTTGCGACTGTAGTTCATACGGAACACAAACGCATCCAAAATGAACGCCACAATTATGGTCATCACCACCTTCAGAGGAACACATTCATATTCATATTGGTAAGCATGAAAAGAGACAAATGTGTAGATTTCTCACAAACAAGTCAGCAAATAAATCTGCACATGGCCTCCTCACCATGGTAACAATGTAAAAGGTCATAAAGTACAGCCGGCTCCAGTGGCTCGTCATGGACGTGACCCCTTCCTGTGGAAAAGGGAACAAGGCATTAATGAGACGGTGGCAATACTGCAGAGTGATGACTGATAGAGGAGCACACAGAAATCATGAGATCTTACCATAGTGATGTACCAGTTATTGACCACAGTCAGCTCAAACAGAGTCACTGGAGGAAAAAAACAGATTTATATAAAACAGACAAAATGCACATTTTGCAAGAAAACAAAAATCTGTCTCCACAAGCAGAGAAAAAAAAGTCAAAAACATCAGCAAACCACACAAAACAGTCCCAAACAAAGCTCCAATTCTGCTGTTTCAGTACTCTTTAAACCGTTGGCACAGCAGTGGCTCAGTCTGCAGAGACTTGGCTTGGGAACCGGCATGACTGGTCCAAGTTCTGCTGCAGACTTAGTCTGGGAATAGAACTGGTGGCTGGAGAGGTGCCAGTTCACTTTGTCGGCATTGACAAGGTGCCCTTACGCAAAGCACCTTATACCTTACTATCTGGGCTGCTCAACTATGTACAGTCTCTGACTCAAACATCTCTGAATTAATGCACGTTTTTGAGGGTCCTGTCTGTGCATGTGTCAGCATGTGTATGTCCTAAAACGAGTGGACTCACCGAAGCTGCTCAGAATGTTGTTGAAGTTGTTGAGATAATAGTAGCCTTCTTCCAGCACTGTTTTGTTGCCATGGGTGACATTGATCAGTCGGTAGGAGTCTGCCACTGTGCTGGTGCTAAAAAGGAACAAAGCAGAAATGTGAAAGTTGAGGTCATTGCTATTGATCATTATTACACTCTGGTGCTAAATAGAAATGAATATGTAACCAAGAGAGACAAGGTGAGATTACCACAAAATAATGATGATGTCATGACTCACTTGCAGCAGTTTGGATGAACCACATCAGCGAAGAACTCCATCCCCACAATCGCAAAAGAGTAGTAGAAGATGATCAGGGTCAGACCTAGACTTGCCATCCTGGGAAAGAGCTCAAACATGGTGTCCAACACATTACGATACCGCTGCTTTATCTTAAACAACCTGTGGGAGACAACAGAATGAGATCCAGACATAAAAGGAGGTAGAGGTGCATACACAGATGTATAATGTGTATGAATACATGCATACCGCAGCAGCTGGAGAGGTCTGAGAACAACGATAAAGTAAAATGGCTTCATATCAAAGGCCAGAGCAATCAGGCCCAAGAAGGCAAATACAGTCACTGAGAAGTCAAACCTGGAGCAGAAACCACATAAAGGCAACTTTTTAGAGGGGTGTTTTCACAAAGAAAGCCATTTCAAAATTTTAGATATTTCACTGAAAGTACTGAATCCAAATTTAGAGACTAAATGAAGCTCTAGTCTTATGCTCACTGTTGTGAACCTGCGCTCATGAGTTTCAAAAGCTGCAGTCCACAAGTTTAAAGCATTGGATTCAGTACCCAGCTAATATGCCGATAGACCCAGTATCCATGTTATTACTCACAGATTCCACCCAGAGCTGAAATAAGCCATCGGTCCCAAACCAGAAATTTTTAATAACACCTCTACACCATAAACTACAAGTGAAAAGACAGATGCACAGTTAATGTCAGTGTAAGTACATCCCGGTACAGGTTAAAACACCCTCTATAACCGTTTCATACAGCGTGTGAACACTCAGCCTGCAGCATACTCACTGGTCAGGAACACAATATAATTCCAGGGGACAGATCTGGACCAGGAGAATCCACCTGCACAAGGAGAGCAAGGTGAGAAAGTCTGCTGAGCAAGAACCCTCCTCTTCAGTGATGTGTGTGTTTAGAGGGAATCAATCTTACTTTCGAGGTTGTACGTCTCCACAAGGATCCACACTCCATTGATGGCGACTACCACATCTGCAGCCACAAGAAATGATTATTAAGTTGATGCTAAGCTTCGTTCCAGTGTCGAGATGGTCAGCTAAGAGCATGTCGAGAATTACACTTACACATGGCATACTGGAAGCCTTTTGACTTCACCAGCAGGTTAATGCCTGTTAGAGAAGAAAGATAGAGCACTGAAGACATCAAACATAAACTGATTTATGGAGTAAATAAAGCAAAGTGAAAGAAACAAAAACAAAACTGAGAACTTGCCTTTGAAAATGAGGAAGGTCGTGTGTGGAAGGTCATCAAACCAATGCTCTCCACTGCGCCGTGCCTTAACAACACAACACACAGACAACAATATAATGGCAAACAGCACATGCAAGACAGTGAATCCAATCTGCACAGTGCGGCTTACCTTCCATTTAAGGCCAGTGACTTCATAGAATTTGTAAAAGTCATCTAGACTGTAGCAAAAAAAAAACACCCATTAAATCAAGTTAGATGAAAATGCAAACTTTTAATAAAGGAGTGTATGTCATAGTCAGTCACCTGAGCATGGGAGCACCTGAGGTGTTCAGAGCTTTGTATGTGAGGAAGCGGTCTCGTGCGGACATCCGCGGTCTGTAAAACCGCATCAAGCCATCAAACTGTTTGAGCGAGACACCCATCGGCCTCTGGGGAAATGAAAACACGAGAGGAAATGTAGACAAACTCAGCGGCCGCAAGGGGAGGGGCTTCGGACCAACTGTATCTTTAGACGACAGAGGATAGTGTGCTTGTACCTGACGACTGACCAACAACTGAAATGCGTGGTCGATGGCTGAACGCTTGTGAAGCAGGAGAGATTTAAACTTCATCTTCTCGACATCATTAAATGTGTCAAACACCACAGCCAAGAGCTGGAGAGGACAGAGACATGACAGCAGAGGGATTCTCATGAGTATTTGGGTAAAAAGGCCCGCTGACTGAAAGGCAGGTCTTTTTCTGATAAGAAAATCTGCTAGATGGCAGATAAGACATATTGTTTAAAAAAAGAAAAACATTTTTACCAGGTTCATGACAAAGTAGAGCTCTATGGAGAGGTAAACAATGAAGAAAACACAGGACCAGCGGTTCTTTGAGTAAGACGGCATCATCACATCAGGGAAACTAGAAGAAAACGAGAAGGAAGAGGAAGAACCACAAGACACATGGTGAAAACTGTAGAATCAGCCTAAACACACATGCAGTCAGGCAAAAATACATGTACTATAAGCTCTGAAAGGAGGAAGTAGTGCTGCTATGCCGTGTAAATACAGATATTATTCTTACTTTGCTGTAGTTAGGAGCACAAACAGACTGACCAGGCTGTTCTCCAGAGTGCTGAAGTACTGCAGCGAAAGGAGAGGGGTGAGTCAAGAACTCTGACTACTACACAAAAGGATCAGTAGAGTTTTAAAACATTTATAACTAAAACAATCTAATGTAAAAAGAAAAAAACTTAATGTACCGGGTCTGATGAGTTTGTAGAGAAGAGACAGAAACCTAAAGGAGGACAAAAGAACCATCAAACACTAAACCCTCTAAAGACAGACATCTTCATTCTTTCTTATTCAACAAAAGAAGAAGAAAGTCCTTAATTAAATGTTCAATCAATATTTTTTCTTACCCAAGATCGCAAAAATAACCATGAAGAAGAGCAGCAGAAGGAGGATGTCAATGAAAGGTGGGAGGGACTGGAAGATCTGACGCAAGTTTCTGATAAGATGGAAGAAGCAGGTGAGTGATTACCAGTTCACAAAGCATAACTATGAAAGTCAGTCATTATGTACCTGCGTACAGCACCGCAGTATCGACAGTCCACCAGGAAAATCGGCCTGAGAGCTCTGGTTACCCGCACATGAGACGTCTGTCTGATCAGAACCACTATGGCCTCCACAAACTGTAGCAGCAACACACATGTCTGCACAAAAAGAGATAAGATATCGTGAACATTGCAACCTGGATCCCAAACTATGATCTGGATCTTTGGAGTCACCTTAACCATGGTCCTCTTGTGTCGAATGAAGGTGTGGAAGCCTAACCAGCGCAGTTTCATGCAGAGCTCAAAAGCCACCATAACCAAAGCCAGCAGCTCCAGAGTGGCATGGACCTGCAGAGACATTCAATATCTTGTTTTCTGCCCATACAGCCTTGTATAATTGTGTTTGTTTTAATGTAGTGATTTGGTTTAACTTACGTAGACATCCAGGCGCAGAGAGGGAACAGCAGGAGCTTCACACAGAGACAACATCATCAGCAACAAGCCTGTCAGCAGCTCCATCATGTAGAACAGGTGGTTGTGGGCAAACAGGTACGCCGCGAGCGCTTTGGGGTTACGAGGATGCGTAAAGAACTTATCATTGTTCTCTCCTTCCTGTGTGTGAAATTTAAAGCCCACATACAGAATACACAATAAGTCTGACACACTGGTGTGATGGTGCAAGGTATACGTGATGCTATAAAGCCGGATGTCGAAAATATTGATGTTGTATTTTCTTTTTTTCCTCTTTTTTGTATTCAATACTGGATGGTACTGGTGCTTTAGTGGACTTTAACAGACTCAACCTGTTTTTTTAAAAGTTGGTGAAAGTTGGTAGCATGGTAACTCACCAACAAAGGCAATGAAAAACAGGCTAAAACCTTAAAAAGGATGTAAACAATGAAAACAGATCGACTCCTCAAACACTGTATGTTATAGAGGACAAAAAGTATTCAATGTGTTATCAGGCATGAAGGATACAAAAAGCCAGTACACAATCATGTGCAACAGTACAAATACACTACTTGTGAATACCTGCAGGTATATGGCTGCCTCTTGGTAGTTCATCTCCCAGCTTTGTCGTAAAGACACATTTTGGGCTCTGTGGTTTGGCGGTCCTGGTGTCGAGATAACCGCATTGTCGACTATGTCATAATTGCCACCCCCTCCATCTAGAAGAAAATGATCAGGTATTAGTGTATTGATTGGCTATAAATGAATGTGGACACCATCATCACATTGTGACATCATCCGAGATTTGCATTGGTTTTACTGTTTATCTCTTAATTGCTACTAGAATATTGTGCATATACTGTGATGTACGGTGGCCGAGAATCACCAATGCAGCAAATAAATAAAGAATGCAAAAAAAAAAGAAGCCACAATGGAAATTACTGATGCAAAAAAAAAAGGAACAAAGCCTGCTGCAAATAAAAAACAAAACGGTGCAGCTTTTTTTTTTTTAAAAAAAGCCACAATGGAAGTTAGCGGCGCAAGAAAAAAAGAAAAAAAAAAAAAAAGTTGGTTACTGCGAAAATAAAAGAATGCAAATAAAAAAAGTCACAATGGAAGTTACCAAGGAAAAAACAAGAGAAACCGAAGCCCACCACAAATAAAATAAAAAAAACGGTGCAGATTTTTTAAAAGCGACAACGGAAGTTGACGATACAAAAAAAAAGTGGCGATGCAGAAAAAAAATAACTAAATAAAAAAGTTACTTACTGAGAAAATAAAAGGATGCAAATAAAAAAAGCCACAACGAAAGTGAGCTGCCGGGCACCAATAATGAAAAAAGTGAGGGGTCTGTGTACTTATTTCTATGAGTAAAGCAACCAAACCATAAAGCTACCGAACTCGATTCTCCTCTTGTGGGTGGTCTTTTGGGGCGTAGTGGGTTTCCCGTGTTAGCCGAAGCTAACAATAAACTAGCATCCTCCAGTTCAACTTAATATGGATTCAGGCGCAACATGGTCTAACCAAATGACACATTGAAAAGCACACGAAGCAAAATTAAACAATAACTTTTCCATTTACTTCTTCGCTCGTCTTCTTGCCGTTGTAAAACACCGTTGCATCATCATTATTGGTCCCCGGCAGCTCACTTCTGTTGTGGCTTTTTTTATTTGCATCCTCTTGTTTTAGCAGTAAGTAACTTTTTTTTTTAATCTTCAATTTTTTGCGTCCTTAACTTTCATTGTGTTTGGGTTTTTTTTTGGCATTTTTTTTTATTTGCAGCAGTGGCACTTCTCGGCCACCGTAGTTATACACACACTACACGAAGAGGTTAGATGCATACCGATGCAGTTTAGTTCAAACTGTAAGGCATAGGAGGAGATCACGACTGGACTCTCAGTTCGGATCTGGTCTTCATGGAAACCAGCAGCATGTCCACATATGCAATCCATTGATCAGTTTGGACTTCTCTGTGTGCTGCAGCTTTGTGAATGTATCAAAGATCCCTAAAGTCCACAACACACATGGGTTTGAGTGTGTGTGCGTGTCATTCTCAGTATGCTGGTCTCATTCCAGTCTCCACACACATCTGGAGATACAAATGGCTGCACATTCCAGTTAAGCCTGATGCAATCTCCTCAAACTCTGAGGTGTGAGCCCTCTTAGATCAGGAAATGTCTAGGCTAGACTTAAAATAAAGCTTGAGACAGTACACCATTGGCAATGACTGATAATGACAATAACATCGAGTAAGTCTCAGACAAACACTTTCTACTTTTGGAAAACGTCTTTATGATTCAAGGTAGGATCACTTGTGACAGTCAAACCTGGACTGCGGTGTGGAATTACCCTCCTACCTCAGCTGCACACTTTGAACTTTGAACCAAGTGAGAAAGTGCAGTGTATGCACTGATGTCACACTGTCCATTACACCTCCTTCTTGCTAGAAACAGGATACAGATGTGAGACAGAGAAACCACAAGAAAAGTTGGTCCTGTCTGACCAGAGGAATTCAGAGAACAAGGAAGATATCTAGACTCAGAGAGTGGCACACCATTGTCATAAACAAAACAATTGACCAACTTGAACCAGACAGAGTTAGTACTTCTTTCTATCTATCAACTTGCAATAACTCAATTGTCAGAAACTGAAGAAATCCAGATGAACAGATTCATGCACGATCTCTCACAAATGTAAAATAACAGTTTCCCTCCATGTGTCTATCTGCAGCTGCAAATGTAATCCTGTGTGAGTCCTTCTGGGTGCTCCTCTAAAGCACTGCACATCACATGTTTGCGCTCCAAGCCCAACTCCTTGGAATAAAAGACCACATGAGCCTCTGAAATGCCGTCACAGGCTTTTCCCATCTATCATAACAGCAGCAGATCAGGCTGAAGTGTTAAGATCAAATTCCAGTCCAGCAGTAGCAGCATTGCCGTTATCCTGACAGTAGTAAACCCCTATGTCCGCACTGTGCAACTCCAACTAGTCACTTGTTTGAGAACAATAACATGTTTGTAACTCCCAGTCAAAAACACAGAGGGGTCAGGCTCACAGAAACACAAACACACTCAGCAGTCATGACGGTTTCTTCCAGGATGAGTAAAATCTAGCGTTGTGGCTCTCTGAAGACTGCTAACAATCTGCAAAAAAAATGGACTTCCAGCCAAGCATGTGATCTGTCTCTGAGGTGATACAACACAGCCCCCTTTCTTGGTGTCTCGTTTAAACGTTCTCACTCAGGAAAAAAGGCTCCAACAGCAATCAACAGGAACAGATTGATACTTCCTTCAACTGTCCACCTCTGTCTGATATCCTGAGAAAAGAAAAAAAAATCTCCTCTTCCTGTTCAACTCCAAGGCCAGAGAAAATGTCCCAGTAAGCTCACACACACACTTAAACACAGACTGTAGACACTCAAACAAACACACACATTCAGCCCAAGGGAGGGGCTGAGGGGTTCATGGTCTGCTGAACCAGCAGTTTCTCAGGTGGGTCATTTTGTAGCTTATATGTGAGGAACACAAAGGGCAGCAGGATTACTATGTAGAGAGGATGCATGGTCGACCATACATAGTGGCACACACGTGATCTCAGGGCCTGGTGGACGGTCTGGTTCCTACACTAGAGTAGTCTTGTCTGAACATGCAGCATGGATGCAGTGAATGGAGCCTCACAAAATGTGCAAGGTCATCTCTGGTAAGTAGATCAGCATTTACCACATATCAGAAAATCTATCTGAATAAATATGCTATACCTGTATAAACAAAGCTAACCAAGGCTAATAAAAACCCAGTCCCCGGTTGTGGAACAGCTGGAGAGCCTCAGGGCCGCAGAGGCTGTTGATGTTTTTAAGAAGAGGCTCATGACTCACCTTTTTAACCAGGCTTTTCACTAATTGCCTTTTCATATTTCTCTTATTGCAAATGTTCATTTTAATCAAAGTTCTTAATGTTTATTTTATGTCATTTTATTAATAATCTCTGTTCTTAGTCTTTTTCTTAATTACTGTCATAGGTTTTTACTTCTTATACCCCTTTTACATGGTAAAGAGCTCTTACTTATCTGTTCATTTAATATTATTTTAGTCCATCAGGTTTTACTCTTTCTTTTTACTATTTTTATCTTTTATCTCCAGTGTCTCCCAAAGGTAGCTCTTTCCTCACGTAATGTCTCGGTGTCAGGCCATGTCTCTTTAACAATATATCTTAAATTCTTACACTGTGTGTGTATGTGTCTTTGTGTCTTTGTGTGTGTATGTGGGTCGATGGGTGGGTGTGTGGGTGGGAGGGTCAGGTTTTGTTGTTGTTAACTGTTGTTTAGCCTCTGTGATTCACTTTGAACTGCATTTTTTATCTGAAAAGTGCGACAAAAATAAAGTTGAAATTTGAAAAAAAAAAAAAAATGCATCACTGTGAAATTAACATTATCACCACACAGTACGCAAGAACTACATTACTAAACAGGTGTGGATGCAGTTTTTTTGTTTTTTGTTTTAATTTAAGAATAAAGGTCCTTACACACTGGGGCTGTTGCAAATATAGAACGCGAAAATACGAAATATTCGAAGACGAATTTTGACGCGCCTGACTATACACATCAAGCCCAATGCAATTTTGCGACTTTCATGGAAAAAAAGACGCATCCAGGGGAAAGTCCCGCCTCCTTCGCCTCTGATTGGCTAGAAAAGCTGGAAATGTTATCAGATGCCCAAGCCAAACGGTCAGCACTCATAGCCAATCAGAGGCGAAGGAGGGCGGGACCTTCCTTCACCATCCTACAGCGCCCCGGGTGGAAGCGAGAAGACAAAAATGGAGTCTACTTCAACTTTCGCAACAACACGCAATCTGATTGGTCAGAAGTGGACACACGGTATATGAAACTTTAGAAAAATCGACCATGATCCGAAAAAATAAATGCCGCAATATCCAAGACAGGAAAACGTCGCTGGTGTGAACGCTTGCATTGACAGGATACGGATTCAAAAAAATATTGATGTCCGAAATAATCACACAAAATAACAGTCCCTGTGTGCAAGGACCTTAAATCTTAAAAACTGACTTACATGTGATGTGTATTTTTTGGTGAAATACGGTTCCTGAAATAGTCAGTAGACAATCATTCGACTGTTTCACTGGTGTTAAAAATGCAGACTGAATATCGAGAAAATCGACAATATCGTAGAATCGCAATATAAAATTATCGGCATCAAAAAATCGTGGAAGGATCGCATTTGGTGAAAAGTATATTGTTCCAGCCCTAGTTTGTAGGCTGTAGTGGTTTTAAATCCAATATGAAGGCAAACTTGAGTCAACACTATATCTGATTACCTTCATGTTGACTATAGAGAAGAAATAGTTAACTTACTTTCGTCTCCTCTCTCGGTCTCCTCGCTGAGCAGATCGCTGTTTGCTTCATCCCAGGTCAAGATGAGAGGCACGTCGTCGTCAGGCTCCATACTGACAGATAACAGGCTGCCTCTATTTGTTTAGATTAAGTTGAAGTTCATCTAAGCTGCGTACTTGCTAAATAAGAGCATTATTAGATCTGCTATTAAGACGACGACGACTGCACAACGCTAGGGTGAGGTTTCAGCTAACAAACCCTGTACTTTTCAAACTAATCTGAAACTAAATACGACCTCAAACGTTTGCAGCTTTAAAGATGTGTAAAGCCGTCGGTTGCAGATTGAGTTTTTGCCCTGGCACAGATGGAAACTGGCTCACAGTCACTCAGGACTGGCATCAAGTGGACTCAGGCTAACAAGCAGAGACAGTCGGCAGCCTCGGTCCATCACTGCATCACCTCCGCAGACTCTGATATCATATATCAGACAGATTTCCGATTTACAGTCATCTCTCTACGTGAACAGCAACGACCGGACAATTGACGAAACCTCAAAAGCTCTACGCATACAAACTACCGTGTACCCACTACAGTGGGTCAACAAACGTTTACGACACTGAAACAATTCACGGCAGGCCGACCGACCGTTGCCCAACTTCAAAATAAAAGTCAGTAAACCAAAGACGGTTTTGAAAAACACTTCAATAAATTCAGTCGAAGCTATTTGTCTATTCACACATTTATAAACACGGACACACTCAAATAAATTAATGCATATTTAGGTACTTACTGTGGTTAAAGCTACCCGTTGAGAAAGACTTGCGCAATGGTATCCTAGCAACAGAAGAAAACATTTACAAATTCCTTTTGCAGTCGGCCCATAAAAGAACAGGTGAGAAAACTTGATAAACTCTGCTAAAGTTATACACTATTTTAAAAAGCGTTGCTTTCATAAATAAGCATTTTAAACACGTAAACTAATGTCTCATAAAATGTCTCAGGAAACGCATGTGCTCATTACATTAAAGTCGTTTTAATTGTGTTAATGACAATCAACACTGTCGTAATCTATAACAGCCTACAATACATGAAGTTAAACCCCTTTACTTGTTTCCCGGTTAGAGAAAGGCCATGGGGTAGTCTATCATAACTAAATAATTTTATTTTTCTACGTTTTTTTAATAATTTCGTTTTGATCCTTTTTAACTTTGGTTAGTTCTATTACTTTAACGATGCTATTTTTTACGTTTATTTATTTATTTATTTATTTTTCAAATGTTTAGTTTTTATTTAGTTGTGAACTGATAGTTTTAATATTTCCTTTACATAAAAAGGATATAAGAGCAAGATCCATAATGGGAAGAAGTGGTGCTACATTGTTACTCAATACTTTGGATGTTTATAGAAAATGTATTGACATACAAATTCTGAACAACTAAAACCAGCTAGACCGACAAACCATTAAAAGTATACAGTATGTTTGTCAGCTTTCATTATATGAAATGGCCAGGGAGTTTACAGTATGAAATAAAATGACTTGGACCAAACACTTTATTAATCAAACACTCTATTAACTAAATAAAACATTTGTTGTATTATATTTTGGTTAGTTTTATAGACATAGGTTTTTTTTTTGTCACGACTCAATTCATCTAAGGGCTTCTGTTGTTTTGTTAGTTTTCATTAACCTTACCTAAAATAACTGATAATAAATCTAGGAATCAAACACCGAGTTAGTACCTGACCTTTTTTCAGGCTATATTTTATTAATAGATATGGCTTTGGAAAATAAATTTTGTGAAATCTAAAAGGAAATAACACCAGAAAAAAATCTTAAAGACTGAACTGTGTTTTGCTGTGGCACTGGGCTATCATTCACAAGAAAGATTTGAAAAGGACGAGTGTATCAGTTCGTTATGTGTGCACTCTGTGAAGACATATAAAATGTGCATTTGGATTTTCAAATGTGCTTGGAATTTAAGTTGATTCTTTTTGTCTTTTTTATCCTCCTCCTACAAGTCACTATTCAGAGACAGAATGTCTGAAAAAGGGACAGAAGTGCTGTTGGAAATGAAGACCGATGTAGAAGATGCTAGCAAAAGCCATGACGGACTATCAGAGGAGATTCTGCTCAATCCTGACATTCAATGCATCTCAAACATACTGGAAAACTGCATCAGTCAGATTGAGTTTGCTGCAGCTCTTCCTTCCATTCTAAAGTTTAGCTGTGAATCTAGTGATGTGGACAAGGGGTTGAGGAGAGCCCTTGAAGAGCATCAAGCATTAACTGAACGACTGGAGACACTAGAGGATCTCAAAGGGTCAAATGAAGATCAAGAGGTGAAAGATGAAGAAGAAAGAGCTCAGCTCAAAGAGGACTTTCAGAACTCTGTCAGGAATCTGCTCAGGCTTGTCCGAACCCGTCCAGATGTCATTTCTGACTTAAGGGCAGAGCAGAAAATGCAGATAGGGGAGAGTGAGTCCATACTAATTACAGAGCTAAACAAGTTTCATGGCCAAATGATGGACAAGTTGCTAACCACTGTGGATCATAAGCTTAAGCCGGCCCTCTTCAAGCATCCCACTGCCCTTACCGTCAACATAGAAAGACAAGAAGCAAAACTAGCAGCATATATGAAGGAAATAGATGAAAAGGTAAGACACCTTGGGGGAATCAAGTCCACTTTATGTGTAACTTCCTTTGACGCAGCCAGTGGAAAATAAACCCATCAGACTTTTCTTAGTCTTATTATTTCTTTTAATTCTGCCTTGTTAGACTGAAGTGTTCTGTCCTTTTGGTTATTTTTCTGTCTTGCTGTATTTCCCTGTATCCCAGATTTCTCTGCAAAATATTGAGATAGAAAATTTGACCGGATCCCTGGAGGAGAAAAATACTGAAGAAGCCAACTTGTCAATCGTTGCTGGTCATCATGTTAGGGTGCCAAAGAAGAGCCGTTTACAACAGGAAACTGATCAACTGCAAACGCAGCTCAACAATTTGATGCTTGAAAACAGAGAAGCAGAAAGAGTAATCCAAAAGGTATTGTTTTTAGAATTTAACATTAAGATTTTTATATTTATTTGTACTTACTTTGTTATTTAATTTGGCATCATATCTTTTCTGTCTTGACAGAAAAATGATCAATTGGAGGCAGAAATTGAATACTTGCTCCAGAGTTTTGACACAAGGATAGAAGAAATCCAGGTACACACTTGGACACCTTTGTCACCACAAAAAGTTAATAAAAATAAGGGTTGAAAGCAGGATTTAATAATAGTTCTCATACTGATTGAGACTATGTTCTGAAAGATTAACATGTCAGTAAAAACGCAATAGTTGTTTCACAATATACACTTGACCTGATATCCAATTTGATTTAACAAACACATGTCATGTTTTTGCTTTAATTTTTTTTTAAATCCTTCTCCTCACCCAACACCAACATCATAACTGCCATATTTCTGTGTCTCAGGCTGACCTAGAGGTCAGTCAAATGAATTATAAGAAGGACCTTGAGGAGCTGAAGACATTGGAGATACCCTTTTCTGTCCTTGAAGTGGAGTTCAACCAGATCCAAGAGAAGCATCGTCTTGAGGAAGAGAAGAGAAAGGAGGAGATGAAAGAGCTGGAGCTGAAGACCAAAGCTGCGCTCTATGCCCAGGCCTGGTGGAGAGGCTACAGCACCCGCAAAGCATTGAAGAACAAAGGCAAAGATAAAAAGGCAAAAAAAGGCAAAGGCAAGAAGACCAAATAAACCATTATAAGTTTAGTTTTTCTGATGGTACAGTGACAGATTCTGCTGTGCACATTTGTCTTTAGATGCAGCAGTGTAAATTCTATATCGCCGATGTAATGTCTGTTTGTGTTCTTAGTAAAGTAGTTAATACTGCACTGATTTTTATTGTTTAATATCAGGTATTGTTTAAAACCTGAATAGTCCTTCAAAGTACACAGCTTCACTCAAATTCCAACTGAAATTAGGTCTATCATTCTGATGGACTGACTCTATGTTTTTTGCTTCCATGAAGTACCACAGGGTGGCAGTGCAGACTGCTTGTAATTACATTTGTCTGCAGGGCTCAGAGAAAGCCACAGTAGTACCTATGACCTTTGATACCTCTGGAGTAGTATTTAAAAAGTCTAATCAAGTAAACTTACGGTGTATATTAATAACTTGTATATAATAACTGAAACCTATGAACGAGATGTATATTTAACAAAAAGGCAGCTATGCAGCAGTACCAAGATAAACACACAAAATAACACAGATTTCAGGGCATTTCAAGGCCTTATTATTACTGATGATTGTTTCAAAGGTTTCCTGATTGCCAATAACACTGTTTACTTCTCAGCGTGTTAGTGAACGTCTTTGATTACAGTATTCTAAGGTATTTGATTGTTCCGATCAACGGTAATTATTTGTCTTCATCCACACACCTAGAGGAGCGTACATTCCTTCTTGCTCTGTTTCATAGGGATCTGTATCCAAGGGGCACGTCCAGAGGGATGCCACATCATTTTTTTTTTTTTGTCCAGCACTGCTTTGTGTTCCCTAATTGTGCTGCTTTCTCAGTTTAAAGCAATTATTAACTGTTCTACCATGCCGTTGTCTGTTTGTTTGCATGTGCTTCCCCACAAGCTCAAATGGGCCATGCTCAGTATGGTATAAGCTTGCATCAGAATCCCATTTTCCCCAAATATCGTAATATTCATCCTTGATTTGAATATATCACAAAAAGACCTGAAAGTTAAGGATCTCATTGGTAGACACATGATGATCTAGATGTCCTGTCAGATCTATTTTTATTGTTTTACTTTTTATTCTATGTTTAAATCTGTAATGATAAGACAGTGATCTTGTCACATGTTTGTATGTGTGCAGTGCTTTTTCAGAAACTTTGTTCCCTCTGCCTTTGCCAATCTTGTCCAGAACACTCTTGAATACAAGGCTTTTAAATCTCATTGAATGTCTTATATCTAGTCTGCAAATAAAAATGTTTTAAATGGATGAGAAAAACTCTCTGTGTCCGTTCCCGTGTTTTCACTGATTCTACACATAGACTCAATCTTTGCCTAAATCCCTTCTTACTCCTGGTGTTTCTTCTACAAATCTAAGAGGGTAGTGGTCCTGTCATGTAACCATCCTGTCATCACACCACTCGCCCCTGTGGGCAACCTCCTGTTCACACACAAGCATGGTAGAAAGTTATTAACATTGATCGCCCAGATTGATTCTGGCAGGGCTTCACACGCTCTGCACTGAGTAGAACTGCTGCAGATAAAGTCACAGTGCAACTTAATCCTCCTCTGTGATGATCCTGATGTTTATGACTTGTTGTCTTTAGTGTTGCACGCAAGAATACACAGGAATACAGAGATCACACTTTTGATGAAGTAAATATTCTAGTTATTGTATTATTTTGTCTTATTAAACATGTATTCTAGACAACATCCTTACCTATTTTGGCCTTAGATTGTTTTTATTACAATATTCCCTCCAAGTTTGTTTACAGTTCTTTTTAACCTGTATAAGTAGCAGCTGCGTTGTATCTGAAGTGGGACAGATATTGTCTAGTTCTACTTTATGTGTTTGTTTTGGTCTTGTGTAAAACAAATCTGCAGAGTGAAAAAAAAACCATGAGTCTCCATCACTGATTTTCAGACAACTTTCTATTGGATATTAGATAAATAGAGATCTTTTTTCAAGGCTTTACTTATAAGTTCATTTAATTACTTTTCCTGAAATCTTGAAACTCCCTCAAACTATCAATGAAATGTGAGGCTCATTATGTAAATAATGTTGTGATTCTTTTTGGTAAACCACGTTTTCACCCACATCTGGAGCATTTTTGGACAATCCTGCTTTAAGTTTTGCAAATAATGCCCGGACTCTGTGTGTACTGTGGTTGATAATTGAGTCTGGCTGTCTGTTGTTTTTGTCCTCTAGGCTGTGTGAGCACAAAACAAATATGTGGGAGAGGACAGATGCAGGACATTGATCCAATGGACCAGCAAGTTATTTTTTAGGTACATGATATAAATTTGGACCTAAGTTATAACCTGAGTCAGACACAACCTTGACAAACGCCTCCTCTCTGCAGTTTGAACCCTGGTTACGCATTTTTCTTGCCAATATCACCACACAGAAGATGATATTTAGCTCAGTTTGTAGCAGACATGGTAATGGGATTGTACAGTTTAAGACCACTAAATCAAACATTGCTTGATTTTAAATCCGTTTTTGGAAATGAAAATGAAGACCATGTTAATAGTCAGTGATTGGTGTGTTGAAGTAAGCCTGTCTGTTGGTTACTTATATCGTGTGGCTCATTCTTGTTTCAAGCTAGTCCAGTGCAAAACAGCAACCCTCAACAGAGACCCCAAAGACCCCAGTTCCTTAAATGGTCGCTCAAGGCTGACTTCAAAACTGAGTCTTCATTGGTGATGCCTCAATTTCCAACTACAACTTTCTACAACTCATGCTTGTTGATATATGTTGAGGTATAAAGTTATACTTATAAGCCAGCATTTATTTTCATTTAAACTTGTCTCAACACTTTTCGTACAGTCACTTTTGTTTTAAATTGAAGTTTAATCCCAGAAAATAATCTGTATTTTAGTTGTATTCTGCTGTCAGAGTTGTTGGACAGGCACCATGTTCTCTAATCTGTCCATGTAAATGACCAGTATATTAAAACTCAACTGAGAATCTGTGTCCGGTCTGGATCTCAGCAAAGTGACCCACGAAACATGAGTTTCACATATTTGATTGGCAGGTGTTACCAAAGAGAAGTGTTGTGTTTTCACTTAAAGCTCAAAAGTCACACTTCATGTCACACCTTTACGCTGCTGAAGCTTCCAAAAAGATGGACAGCGCACGGAAACACACCATGGTTATACTCCATGTTTGTCAGCACACACTAGACTGACAGATACAGGCGGACATGATGACACTTGGCTGTAAACATGTCAAAAACAAGATCCACTGTGTGAAAATTGTTAAGGCTACTTCGGATCAAAAGATGTTGGCTTAATTTCTCTTAGCATGAATTTGGGTCCAACAAGTAGTTCATAAACTGAACTCTAGGTTCCGGCTATTTGATATGAATGACATGAAGCATATTTGATTGCTTGAGTTGAGTTTGGGTGTTGCACCGCAAAGTATGCTTCATTAATCACATGGCTGACTGATAACTGCAGCATCACACACAAACCTTTGTGCATCTGAGTTTACTATTATGAGAACAGTGTTTGTGATGCAAGACATCAATTTGAATTTCAAAATTTGCAGTCTTTCTATGTGAAATTTCACTGTGCGGTCTATAATGGTTTCTCTTTTTGCATGGTAAGGTCTGCATCTGCATTTATGGATGCAGCAACACAATGGTTTTTGAGCCCATGCAGTGATTGGCACCACAGAGTCATGTCTGTTTTCTGATATGCCGAATCAGTTTTTTGCTACAATCTACTAATTTCTTTATCTGTAAAACTGAGTTTTAATCATACAGAAAAACAGCATTAATTTCCCTTTACTCTATCTATTCATGACTAAAACTTGATAAGAAAAGGATATGAGTTTAATGTGTGACTTAAGCATAGGTTATTTAACTTCCCTCTAATGCTTGAAACCACAAATTATGGCCAGAAAATTCACATTTTTTGGAGCTGAAATGTTTATTTAACTTACTACTGAAAACCCCAAAAAATCAAAATGTCCTTAAAATTTGACAAATATATTTATTGATCTTATTTGATACATTAGATGTTTTTGGAAACTGATAAACCACAAGAAGACATCTTTATCATTTATCGGACTGTATTCAGGTGTTTTTTTTAGTAATTTGTTGATCATATTGATCTGATATTAGTGTCATAAAAGTATGTATAAAATATGATACAAAAGGCCTTAAAGGGTTGAGTGAAATACTCATTAGGTTATATAACTGAAAATGAAGAGGTAGTTTGAGGAGAAATTTAGTTACAAATTATAATTGCAAAACTCTTTGGCTTTGTTTGTATGATTTCATGACGTCATGGACCTCATGCTGACTTGGTCGCCCTGTTCTTGTCCTGCTCAGTTGTTAAAAAGGTCTGTCGGTGTTTACCAGGTGTGACCTCTTCATCTCCTCCACCTCTCACTGTGCCTGTCACCCCACACAAGATGCTTTTACTATAACAGCACCATTCCATTAGTATTAATAAAGTCCTATGTATGTGGCTGTGCGCTCACACACAGTAGGCCAGCAAGGACTCCATTCATCAAAAATAGATACAGTGGCATCTCTGCCTGCAGCTATCTGTGTTGTTGTTTTTCCCCTTCACTGCCCTTTGGTAATGCCTTTTCTTTTTCCTCTCTCCCATGTCCTCTGCTCATTTTGTGTGTGCGTGTGTTGTGAGTGTGAGCAAGACGTACACTTAAGTCAGATGCATTTTTCTGGTTCTGCCTCTTTCGTGTCAGAAATACACCTAAAAATTATTATGCAAAAATAACAGCACACCGCATTTCCATTAAGTGTGCTAATGCCACCTCCCTCTGTCACCATGTGGCCCAGAATGAACATGTAATGTCAAATAACCATTAAGTCAACAACGGCTGGCTGTATGCCTAAAGGTGGTAACATCCTTAAGGATATTTTAGCTGTGAACAGTGACATAAACATCTGAACAGTGACATGATTATGGTGGTGATAAATCTTACTGTCAGCAGCAAACATTTTTTTCTCCCCTCATGATGAGTTGAGAAAAACATTGTAGCCACAGAGTCAGTTTTATTATCTCCTCTGGAGATTTTGATGGTTGTACAAGATCCTCCTCTGCTAAATTTGATATGGTAGAAATAGAAGGTCCTCTTTTATAGTATATCGCCTCAAAAACAAGGTTTTGAAGATGTTTGTTCAGGTGTTTCCACTGTTCAGACCATGCGGGCAGTCAATGAATTTAATTGTTAGCATGAATACATCCTGTAAGTCTGAAGTGGGGCCTTAGATAAACTATTTAAATACAAATTCTCAGATTAAATGTTGTTTTGATACGCATTATGACTGACTGATTTTCAGTGTTTGTCAGTGATGGTTGTACATTTTGTCGCTGGCCATTTTTTAA